GAAAAAAATAAAGTAGTTTTATTGGCCAATTTCCAGTTTTAGCTCTTTGTTAGCTTGTTTCACATATAACTAGTTTTTTTTTCACTTTTCTCTTTAGCCTAATTCATTATGGTTCTTATTTAAAATAACTCTCAATCTCATTCATTATTATGTATAGAAGACTCTTCATTTGAGAAGGTAGCAGATTCCATCTTGTTTTTAGTTCTTTTTTATGCTATTTATAATCTTGCACTCAATTCTAACATTCGTTTATATTGTTCATTAGTCATTGTTTTCTTAGAAAAAAAAAAGCTCTATACGCTACTTGACTCGTACAAAAGAAAAGGCAAATACACGAATTGCCGGAAGTTCTTTGTTACTTCATCTTGCTAACATGAAGAAATTACTTTTTCTTTTTAGTCCAAGTTTTAAAAAGGTAAGTTAGTTTAAACATTTAGAATCTTCTTCAGTGTTTATATGAAAAAACACATATATGATAAGCAGATAAGCATTATCCCACTATTATTTTGTACTGTTTTAAAAAATAAAGCGTTATTTTATATTTATAAAAATATGGTAAATAAGCAACCCATATCGTATATAAGCTACCAAAAAAATATGGTAGAAAAGCTACCTTTTGGGTGCTTATAGAATATCATTCCTACCATATTTTAACTGTCAAAATTGGTAACTTTTCTACCATATTTTCCGCCATAGTGGTAGTGCCTAAAATATGCTGATAATCAACTGAATTCATATTACCATCATACACTTGACATGCATATCCTGGTCTCCAATAGGTCATACAGCCCCAAGTCATGATATGACCACCATCATGCTTGACTGTAACATCAATATGATGTGGTCTCAGTGGGTCGCCAGGTCTTGTCCGGTAGTATTTGTAGCCGTCTGACTCCCAGATGTTGATTTTACTCTCGTCTGTGTTGTGTATATAATGATGTATTACATAATATCTTATAATATAGAAATTAGAGTCATGAAGAACCGAATGATATTATAGTTACTATCTATACACTTTATGCATACAATATTATTTGATTTCAGTTTATAAGACATTCTTGTGATGAGAAAAAATAATGTTATAATAAATACTAACTCTACAAAATAATGATAAGAAAAACATAGTGTGAGGAGTTATTAATGATAAAGATATATGAATTATAGATTATACCTATTAATTATATATATGTATTATTATTTAATATTGTCTAAAATACTAACTTATAAATATAATCATATACTATCTATGAGAACTCTATTCTAATTGAATACACTATATAATATAATGAAATTCATTTAAGTAGTACATTGAGGAATGAATATAACATAAAGAAGCTGGTTAGAATATAAATCTATATATCAAAAGTGTCTTTCCTATATCATTCACAAGTATGAACAAACGAGATTTTATTATTTTGTTTCAAGAAAAACAACCGGCTAGATCAAGCACCAATAATTTAATGTTCATTAGAGTTAACTGAGATTAATTCTCAGTCAGGGCAAAGACTAGAGCTCTAATACAATAATTTTAATTATTCTATGGGAAAATATTCTTCTTTCAAGATATCTTCACTCTGTTCCTGTCGCGAACTAACCCGTTCTCTACAAGATATAAATATGGATTCATTTTACACTCATCTTGGAGAAATTCAGTTTATTTTTTATTTTTATTGATAGTAAAAGTTTTATACAAAATTCTCACAGATTTATTCTGTCTTATTCTTTTGTTATCTTTGTCTTATCAACAGTTCTGAATCTTAAAACACATGAACGATTTTTTCACCCACTGTATGTCTATAGACAAAATTATTATACAAGTGCACTATATGTTCTATTATGATTATTTATCTTATTGAACTAAGTTATAAATCTTACAACCATGACAATTTCTTCTCATTGACGATAGGTCAATGGGTAAGAAACGACGTTTAGAAATATAAGTCTCTAAAAGTGCGGAAACGTTAGAAACTCTGTTTCTGAAGCTAGTTGATGTGGTTCTGTCGCGTAATGGGTTCGAAGCATTGTCGACACTCAAAATGACGTTTAAGCTTTTTGAATTACACTGTTGTTGTTGTTCTGTTATTGCTGCTTAACGATGTTTTCGGGGATTGAAATTTCCTAAAAACAGGAAAGGGAGAAGAAAGGCGGCAATTCAATTTTGAACGGTGTTCCAAATTAAGTTCAAATTTTATTGGTTAAATGCTCCATTTTATTTTCGAAAAATGTACCACTAAATTCAAAAAATGGTCGATTTGAGAGTAGACGCACTGTAGTTCGCTTCTATGAAAATTCTGTCTATAGATATATTAAGTATATTTACCTTTGTATAGAAAAATAATTGATAAAAGTCCTACATCTAAAGATATATCTTCTTCTATTATTGTTCTGCTGCATATAAATTTGTAAGATAAACTGGGGTAAACTAAGAATAATAAAAATATGCTTAACAATCGATTTCACTCAGAATGCACACATTAGCGATAAAAATAAATATATACAAAAGACATGGATATATCTATAATGATTGTTGATATTATAATAATTAGATAATCAATCTCTTTCTATAGTTATATTGTCAGATATAATTTGTCATATTTTTATCTTTTTATTACTCATTATCCTTATTCATAAAAGATATAAATGTTCTTACATTATTCACTCTTATTTTGTATAATTAAAGATAATTGAATTAATTTCTTTTTAACTTACCTTTACCTTAATAAAACTTATTAGTAAGTCACAACGTACTTCTTCTGTTCGTTTTATTTAGTTCTTCTTTTTATTTTATCTCTTATTTCTATTTGATTATATTTTACCTGTTAAACCACAACTACATTGCATTTTAAAGTTAGATATGGTTCTTTACCTACTGCCAGAGCTGCCCGCCAATGGTTGGAGCGAAATCATGTAAATATCAGTTATCGTCGGATGATTCAAATTTTATATCAGCTGTCCTTTATGCGACATTTAAAAAAAAAATCAAAACCTTTCCTCAGATACGAGCATAGCATATGAAGAAACAACTTTATTGGGCTAAAAAATACCAAGGATTGGCAATTAAAGACTGGAAAAAAGTTTACCTTCTTCTTACGAAACAAAAATAATTCTGTGAGAAACCTAATGGTACAGTGTATATACCTGGAGATAAAGGGGTTATCTAGCACAATCACATAACTATAAGTAAGTTTTAAGGTATGGTGGTGGCTCTTTAATGATGTGGCGCTGTACATCATCATTTGGACCAAGTTACGCGTCTAGAATACTCCAAGATACTATGAATTTAGAATACAATATTGAGATACTAGAGACTTCTTATATGAATACTTCAGAATACTATGATCTAAGTAAGATGAAGATGCAACGCATATGTCTCTGCATGACTAAAAAAATGGCTTAAACGAAATTACGTGAAGTCTCTATGTATATGGCCACCAAATAGCCTAGATTTAAATCCAATTGAGCATCTCCGGCACAAGTTGAAGTCGGGATTAGGTGAATATCAAACACATGCAGAAAAATACAAATGAATTATGGGAACGAGTTGATGTTGAATGGTACAAATTGACCGATGAGGATATGGAATCTTACTACAATAGTATGCCATCAAGAATAGAAACAGTCATTAAAGCTAAACGGGGCTATACAAAATATTAAATTTTACTACATTAATAAAAAAAATTATTGCCAATGTAACATTTTTTAGCTCCAGTCAAAGCTCAAACATAATAAGCAATTTCCATTTTTTTTAGGCTGCTAGCTTATAGCGGGCATATTGTGCTTTCTCTGTTCTAACTTTCGTTTAAACTCGAGAAGTTTCAAAGAAGTATAATATGAATACCCCAACTTACTGATTTTTTAGGACACTTTGTTCATTTAGTTTAAATATAAATGATTTTTTAAGTTTTAATACAAGTACTGTTACTGTAAAACAGACACGAAATACATTTATAACAGAATAAATAAATACATAGATAAATATTAATAGCTCTTCATTTATTTTATTTTGCGTAATATCTTGCCACCAAATTTCATTACACCCAATTAACTGTTTTCCTTAAGCTTCATACAATAATATTACCGGTTATACTCTTTTTAGTTCAGGCCTATGCTCTTCATTATTGCTTTTCAAACTACTACTCTATTTTTTTTTTTTTTTTTTTTTTTTTTTTTTTTGTATATACATCTATCTGTATGCTTTTAAATTATTTATTCCAATCATCTTGCAATTATTCTATATCTAGTCTTCTTTCTGATTTCCCTTCCACCTCTTTAACTAAACTAATAATTATTCAACCTAATGAGCATGAATGCTCCTATTAGGATAAGTTGAAGTTAAACTCGTACTAAGTAGGCGTTGTGACCTGAGCGGAAAAAAAAAGTACTTAATATTATTAGAGCCAAACATGGGAATGACTTTAATAATCAATCAAGCCGAAATTCCTCAAGTGTTGCTTATACATTAGTTACATTTTTCTAGACAAGTTTCTTCTATATATCTAATCTAAAAAAAAAAAATAAGTGTTCACAATAATCAATTTATATGTAATAATAGAGAATGATAATAAAAAAAAAATAAAATACATATGAGAATGGTATAGAAACTCAAGGACACTTGAGCCTGTAAGGGCCACAAAATATATTTTGTAAATGTCTCAAAAAAATATAAATATGTATGTGCACGTGTGTGTGTTTGTTTGTTTGTTAATTGCAGAAATCTTAACAAAAGAGTCATAGTATAATTAATAACTTATTTTTTGATTAGATATATTATTTTTACTCATGTTGTAAACGGGCTTTATATTGACATAAACTAGTTTTTTTTAGAAAAGTAACTTATTTTATTATTTTTTTAATACCTTCACGCGCATAAATAATCATTCTTCACAATTCCTCTTTCTCCTCCCCCCCATGCCCTGGGTTTAAATTTATTATCTACTAGGCAAAAAAAAAAGAAAGAGGAAGGGATGTATTTTTTTTTTTTGACATAAAAATATATATTCATGACTATTTCTAACCAACGTCTTATCTATGGTGCAGCTCTTATCCTCTTAGGTACTTCAGGGCTTGTTTATTACCTAATGGAAGATGACAAGCGTGCCAAAAAAAGAAAGGCAGCTCGTAAATCCGAACGTGCTACACTTCATGTCCTTGCACAAATTCAACAAGAAGCTCAATCGATTGAAACCAAGTTAAATACCGTTGACCAACAAACATCGCTCAAACAAAAGCAGTTTTTGTTAGCCCATGCTAATGAGCTTTTGCTTCAATTGATGGAGAAATTAGATACTATTCGTCCTGTGGCGGTTATTATGGCTGATGATGACAAGGAAATGAACGAATTTGAACAAAAATTGGTCTCTAACATTAAATCCAAAAAGAAGGCGGTTATCAAGATGATTGAAGAATTATTTCGCCAATTAGATAAGATGAATGTGCAAGTGACAAAAGCGTTAGAAGAAGAAGAAAGAGAAGAAGCAGAGCGTTTGGAAAAGGCTAAAAAGGAAGCTGAAGATGAAAGGAAATTGAAAGAGGAGCAAGAAAGAGTTATTCAAGAAGAGGCGCTTCGTAGGTTAAATGAAGAACAAAATAATACGTTAAATGATGAACAAGATATGGACATCAGTAGACAAAAAGTGGAAGAAGCCGTAGAAGAATCTGCAGAAGAAGCTGCAGAAGAAGTTGCAGAAGAAGTTGCAGAAGAAGCTGCAGAAAAGGCTACAGAAGAAGCTGTAGAAGAAGCTGTAGAAGAGATTATGGAAGAAGCTGTAGAAGAGATTGTAGAAGAAGCTGTAGAAGAAGCTGTAGAAGAAGTTGTAGAAGAGATGATAGAGGAAGCTGTAGAAGAGATGATAGAAGAAGCTGTAGAAGAAGCTGTAGAAAAGGCTACAGAAGAAGCTATTGAAGAGGAGGCTGTAGCAGAAAATAAGGAAGAAAAAGAGTTACTAGACATGTTGGCAAAGGAGCTAGAAAGAGAGGTAGCTAATAAAAGATTAGCTACGCCCAACCAAGATGAAGTCATTTTAACTTCATCATCTGAAGAACACGAGGATGAGGCCATTACTACAACAAAAAATGATGAAAATATTGTTCATGAAGAACTTCAAAATTAAGTAAAATTTTATTTTATAATTTTTTATATAAAGAAGGTATCATTCAATGACTAAGGGTTAATGGAGCTTGCAATTATGACAGAGCGTATATGCGTGTATTTGTCTTAGAGAATATTATCTTTATGGGAGTAGGGAAATGCAAAACCTTTTATCATTTTTTTTTTTCGAAACTTTCTAACATGTTAGATATAAGCATATATGTGTGTCTGTGTGTATTTTTTTTTTCGAAAGTTTTCCTTTAATCTTGTCGACAGAAAGACTTGTATAAATAACTTTATATTCCGTATCCAAAATTGAATTCATCATTGGAACGATATACAATGTTTAGGTGCCATTAAGGAAACAGTCTGTAGATGAAAAGAAAAAAAAAAAAGGGAGGGGGAGGAGTTGACAATCGTATTGAGTAGCTAATTTCTTGACATGTTTATAAGCGGCTACACTCCGTTAACGTGGCTTCAAGATACGAGACTAATTGTTTATCTATTGAGAAAATGCTTTGAATAAAGATATGTGAGCGTGGTCATATAAGGGAAATAGAAATAATCTCCTGCTGCTACTGTTGTTGCTGTTGCTATTGTTGTATATGCATATTATTTAATCTTGGAGAAACTTCTAAAACGAAGGTATTTCAAAATTATCTAATGCCTAGAAGTTTAATACAAACCAAAAAAAAAAAAGAAAAAAAGAAGGAGGAGGGGTATTCTTTTTTTTTTATTTTAATGATCAATTTGCCAAATCCTAGTAGTAAAGTCTTCAGAACAACTAGCAAACTATAGAAAAATTGTTAAAACATATACCTTTTTTTTTTTTTTTTTTTTTTTTTTTTTTTTTACCTGACTATTATTTTTTTTGTGCCAGGATACACCTATCACTTTCTTTTGGTGTCCTTGAAAATGATAAGATGCCTCCCTCTCTGATATTGGGTCTTCTAAATCCCATGCAAATACATCTTTATCGAAGGATCCAGACAACAAAAACCGATCATCTGAAGAAATAGAAATGCGAATATCAAACCCTCCTACCTTATAGTGTGGGTCTCTAAACTTTTTCGCTGGTCGAGTTAAATCCGTTAAATAATGCATATAGACTGTATTGTCCATACAACAACTAAAGAGACGTTTTCCATCGTTCGCTAATTTCATATCAGCAATACCATTTCGTTTACCAGTCTCAGGCGAACTAAAGATGGTAGAAGCAAGGACAGAGGGCTTTCGGCCTATTCGAATATCCCAGAGTTTAATTGCTCCATCTGTACTGCCACTGGTAATGACCTGTTCTTCGTGCTGTCCGTTAAACACTGCGCAGGTTACAGATCGAATAAGAAGGGGTTGTGGTCCAGACGTGGGTTTCTTTCTTGTATTCGTAATAGACGAGAGATAGGTCCTTTTTTTTGTTGTTTTTGATGATGAAGTAATTGCAGGTGAGGTGATATTACTATGTGCAAAAGGTTCATGTTTAATGGAATCATAGATAGGTATACTCTTGTCATCACCTAACAAAAAAAAAAAAAAAAAAAGTTAGAAATTAAGCATGTGTATATATTATATGTATATGCATGTATTTAAAGTTGCTTACCTGGATTTTCTGGGCGTCTTTGTTTATATCGTGTATCCCAAATACGATATGAACCATCTTTAGAAGCTGACACAAGTAAATCTATTAAATACCTTTTAATAAGAAAAAAAAAACACAGAATATATATAAATAAAGAAAAAAAAAAAAAGGAATGTACAAAATACCTACTTTGATTTGTTGGATGCCAGTTGACTGATTTCACAATGTCCCCATGTCCACGAAATTCAGCTAGTGAAGTTTGAATATTCATATCCCAAAGTCTTATTAATTTATCAGTGGATGCTGTAATTAGCATAGTGTCATCTGGACTCCATTTAACATCTGTCAAAGCATGTCGATGACAATAAAATGAATGGTGAAACTGGAGATTATTTTGTTCATTATTTTTATCTGTCCTGAGTAATGAAATACGTCCATCTTCATCACCAACAGCAAGAAGATTACCATCATGTGTTCTATGAGCAAATTCACAAATAAAAGGGGTACAAAATTCATTATCAGGGAAAATGAATTGATACACTTTATCACTGCGACTTTTATAAAATGGAAGAATTGATCTTGCTGGCACTATATCAACATAATATTAATAAAAACTAAGCAGCTGATATGTATTGATCTATAACTTACCTATACATCGTCTTCCAAATATTTTTGGATGATGTTGTAGTGAACGCTGTTTAAGTGCTTTATAAAGACTAATTTTCTGTTGTTCCTGAAATAAAGGTGTCTTTTGATTATTAGAACAGGTTAGTGTTTTTTCACCTGCTAATTCACTATTATTTAACGTCATGATTATATAAATATAAGCTATCAACAAAATACATAAAAAAAAACACGTATAATAATAAATTTATTTTTTTTTTTAAGACGCGACTGTTTAATCCCTTTTTTTTTTCTTTTTCTATACAATTAGGATTAAATAAATTTTTATTACATAATTAATTTTTTTGATCGTTGTGAGCACATAGTATCTAAATGATATTACTGAATTGCCCAAATCGGCTCAATAAAACAATAGCAGAAAGAAACTAAAAAAGTCCCTGTAAGAGACATATGGTAAAAAGGAAAGAGAGGGGGAAAGCTTATACAAGTAAAATATTTTCGAATGAAACTGAGACTGGTAAAAATAAAAAAAAAAAAATAAATAAATAAATAAAAAATAAAGTTTAGATCAAATAATACAAAGTAAAACTAGTTTCTAGACGTGTTTACCTATAAAAATCTAAAATTTCCGTTAAGAAAAGGTCATGTTTGGAGGTGTGTGTGTGTGTGTGTATGTGTGGAGGACGCTGATATTATTGTTTCTGACAAGAGAATGTGGGGAAGCTGGTCGCAAGCAGTTAGTATTTCATCGAGGATTTGATGACCATACATATATATATTTTCCAGGTATTGCAATCACGTTGCCTCAACATCCCATATTTTTAGCAAGTTAAGAAGACATTATATGACAGGCTTGCTGTTTCATATAATATGTTAAATTAGAGTTAACAGAGCAGTAAATCATTTATTACCTTGGGAAATTATAGCTGTGGCAGTTACAATCAAATCATTACATCTTTTGTCTATTTAATTATTCTTTCCACACTGTATTGATGGTTCTTATTTAGATATCTTCAAACTTGACAGTATTTTTTTTATTAACACCATTTCATTCCCAAGGGCTATAGCTGGAATCTTCATATAAAGCTTTGATAAATTTTTTTTGTAGCATCTAATATATACCTCTTTATCTATTATACAATAAATATATTGTCATTTACAACACACTTGCATTTATGTTATATTTCTTCTTTTTTATAGGATTTTTTTTATTCTTTCTTTTTCTTCATAATAACCAGGTGAAATAATAATAATAATAATAATAATAAATACTGGTCCTGAAGTTTGTATATACATACATATATATAAATAAAAGCAACAGTTAAGCTATTGTCGTAACAAACTAGAAATTAACTATTTGTTCTAGATCATTTTATAAGAAACATATCGGGATCATCTCTTTGTAATAATTGAGGAGAAACCAGATTAGGCTTCAGGATAGGTTCATGATGTCTTACATTTGGTATGGGCTAACCTCCCATCATAAAAATGACATTTTGTACTTAAATTCCAAGTACGGTATGCATATATGTATATGTATATTAGTTTTGGATAAAGGCACATAGATAAAGCCTTTTGATGAACAGTATGAGTAGTTGTTTGACTAGTAGTAGTGATAATACAATTATAAACAAAGCAAAATGTAATTGATCTATTGAGGTGGGATTTTTTTTTTTTTTTTTTTTTTTTTTTTTTTTTTTTTTTTTTTTTTTTTTTTACATAGTTCTGTATTGCTATGAATCTAAAGAATATATACGAGTTCTTTCAATGTGAACCCTATTTTAGGGGTTAATACAGTTTTGAATTTGTCATCTTAATATCTATGTATTTATATCCACAGGTCGCACTTTGAGCTAAACTTTTTCATAAACACGTTATACTAAACCATTCCAACTTAAATTAACGGCTATATACTAAAAACAAGCAATAGTTTTATTTACTTTACAAGTTAATTCATGTCTAATATGCTTAGAGATTTGTATTCTGGATAATGAACATTATATCAATCAATCTCTTCCACTTTTTTTAAAATAATAATAATAATAGAGAAACGACAATGATAGCAAAAAAAAAGTACATCATTATTACCTTCTTCTTCCCGAGGGAATGATTCACTTCTTAAATCGGTTGACCAAAGTGTCAATCTCACAAGTACTTATAATCTATATAACTACCACCAGGATGTTCTGAATAGATGAATTTGTTAATATATAACAAGGTGATAATCATCATCAAGTGTAGCCAAAAGTAAAAGAAAGAAAAAAAAAAGTCAATAAACTATGTTAAATCGTCAAAAGCAGTCGGGCAATAAATGTTACTTTAGAAAAAGTTTATTAGCCTTCAAAAAAACTAAAATAAAAGAATAATAGACATATACAAAAGTCATGTAGTCGTTAAATTCACCTATTATTCAGCCTCCTGTATCATAGTACTTTATAGAAAGGAAGCTTTTGTTAATCTTATTGAAACGATGAATCATTCGTAGCAGCGGACTTGGATGATGTATACATATATATATATATAAAAGCATAGTACAGATGAAACAAGTATAATTGTCTAGATTTTTGTCGATAATAGGCTATTATCCCGGACACCAATGGGAACTCATAGCTAATTAACTGTCATATCCCATAATAGTTAGAAAACTAGATGCGAATCTAGAGGAAGTAGAAAGCAGTAATGATCATAAAAAAAGTGAGACATCAGTCGTTATGTAATACGAATATCATTCTTTTTATTTATTTATTATTTTTAATAAAGAATAATGGTTTTTACTCTATGTAAAACTGAATTATTCGATATTCTATGAAAAGAAAACAGACGGTTTACAAAGAATAAGAAACTTTCTCTCTCTTTTTTTTTTTTTTTTTTTTTTTTAATAAAATGAAATAAAATAAAATAAAATGAAAATGAAATCATGCTATTTTTTTTTTTTTTTTTACTGAATTTGGTAAAAATATAATACAGATAGGCGTGTATTTTTTTTTTAATGGTAGTATAGCACATAGTATGCAGGTGATATTGACAGGTTTATCAAATTTTGATTCAGCCAAGAGCAATTAATTTATTTTATTTTTACTTTGATTGAGATTGTCTTATTCTTCTTTATTATTTCTTTACACAGGTATCAAATGATAATGATAATAGGATATGTAAAATGGAAACTAAAAAAGCAAATTACTAAAACAGTTTATAACTTTAAAAAAAAAAGACGTGTTTCACTTTTATTCAGATAGACATCAAGTCTACAACATGTAAAATGATATTATATTCTACTATTTAAATCAGGATGATTATTATGAATACATATACATATATTTTCAATAATTTATAAATACATACATATTCAATATAAACTATATCATTTACAATCTAGTTTATTCAATATTAGAATATATTGGTTAAAATTGTTTCTATGATCGACATAATTATATACATATAAAAAAAAGACTCCCAATGTTATGCTTCCAACTTAATTTTTTTTTTCAGTCAAGAGTATTACAAGGAATGGGGACAAAGAATATTCTATACTACAAAATACCTTATTACACATCAATATGAACAAAAATCCCGAAATCCCATTATATCTAATTGGTTTACTATAGTTGAACCATTAAAATGATTAATTTATCCTTCTTATAGGATTCCAGGGAAAAAAAAAAAAAAAAAAAAAAGAAAGTTAAAAAATATAAAAAGAAGAGAGTAGTGTAAAGGAGGGGAGAGAGAAAGAAAGAAAGAGAGGAAGTATAAGAAGAAGAAAAAAAAAGAAGCAATATATATCATTTCGTCAATAACAACATACGTACATACATCAATAAATGGTTCGTGATATTTCCACTGAATTTCATCGAAATATACATCTGGAGCAAATGGTAGAAGACTCTAGTCTATTGAGTAATAACGATTCTTCTCTTCTAAATCGCCCTTGTCCATCAAAGCAAACTCAACAAGCATCTACCTGCCATTATCTATCCATGTCTTTTTCACCTTATTATTCTTTCTGCTCTATTTGCGGTGTAGATGTCTCTATTTTTGCTCATGAAAGTCATTGTTCATACTCTTCTAGTTCTTCCTGAAAAGAAAAAAAAAATCATAGAATACAAGTTATTCTTTTTTTTTTTTATATTATATATACATCTTATTATACCATCATACAATCTATTTATTATATTGAATTTATTTATTTATTTATTTTCATTTAACATCATTAAATAAAATAGAATAAAATAAAAAAAAAACACTATTTTATAATTCAATTAAAAAAGATCCATATAGAAGGCTTCTTTTTACTATTACTATTATATCCAATTGAAGAATAATTACTTGCACATTAAGAATAATGGTATATGTATAAAGGACATATTTATGTTTGCTATATTATTAAATATAATACAAAATTCGCTACAACATATCGTGTATCGATGCAATAATATACTATTATTAATTTCTGTTTCTTTTCTTTTCTTTCTTTCTACCTTTCTTTTTTTTAAAAAAAAACTATTAAGATAAACTTTATTACTAAAAGTATAAAGTATTATTGGATCATTTCTCCATGTCCTTTTAAAATAAAAAAAAAAACAACAAGCTTATTTATAAAAACTCTTATCTTGATAGGTTTCTTGACATTATTACATATCTATTATATACTGATTCAACCAGATCAGGTTATATATTTTATTCACCTTTATCCCTTTTATACACACACACATATATATATGTATATGTATAAAGTAGAATTATCAAAATACAAAGAATGAGAGAAATAGAATAGATCAACTAGTTTATCGTATTGTAATAAAAAAGAGGAAAAAAAAAGTGGGGGGGGGGCTGAAAGCTATGATTTATTAATAAAATAAAACTGGTATATAAGTAAGATATAAATTGTTTCCAAAAAAAATAAAATAAAATAAAATAAACAAAGCAGTCATATCTATATATGCTGTGTGTGTATACATGTTATATGAGGGAATATATATATATATATATATGAATGTATATCTATCTATTTACAAAAATTTTTTTTTCTTCTTCTTTTAAACTTCCTGTTGTATTCTATTATTATCTTCTTGATGTGTTCTATTTATCTTATTGTAAAAGGCATATTGAATAAAAATGGTACAATCAAATAAGAGGGTGCCAGCACTGCCAAGGAGATAAGGTACAGCTTCCAACATGGTAGAGCGTGTTGCATGTGGATTTATAAGGATACTGAGTACATAAGTCATGTTCCCCATAGCTGCAAAAAGGAAAAGATAAATGGAAAGGCCCTGAACGGAACGACGATGAAAGTTGCGATAGATTTGTGGAAGTCGAGAGGATAAATAGAGAAAAGTACAGATCCAAGCAAAGAGGCGACCGACCCAGATGATAGTTTTATTATTATCTTCATTCATCATTGATAGAGTAGTAGTAGTAGTAGTTGTTATCATAGAGGAGGAGAAGGTTGTGGGTTGGCCCAAGGTAGTGTAGAAACCAAAGGCAAACATCATCATCGTAAGATATTTCTTTTGATTGTTGTTGTTATTAGATGATGAAGATAGTAATGAAGCTTGCTCATTCATTTCTTTTTTATCCTCAACGATCATCGTTATATTGACAGCTGCTACTGTACTTGACTTATTCTTTATAACAGTCGTATTCATTATTTTAATTTCATCGTCTCCATCAAACCAACGTCGGATACAATTATTAGCATACTTTACGTAATAAAGCCATTGAATGCATAATATGGTATCAATACATGTAAAATACATGGATAAAATAATTTGAAATGTAAGTTGCCCAGTAATGATACAGCCAATAAAATTAGCGACATCACCTAATATATACACATGGATCAATATCAAGTATATTACATATAGAGTTCTTTTTACCTATTAACCAAATTGTTAAGAAAGTAAAGCTGAGTCCCTTAGCATCACGCAGTTTATAATTCTTAATCACTTGACTATAAAATGATTAGTTTGTTAAATTCTAGATGATACATAATGTATATCTATATTCATACTTTACGGCATTTGAGCATTCAACCAACATAAAATAGATAAATATCCAAATAATAAACTCATTGTTTCTTGCCAACCGTAAACACAATCACCAAATATATTCTATATGTACATATATATATATATATATATATATATATATGTGTGTGTGTGTGTGTATATATGTTAGTGTATGATGTGGGGTAACTATTTCTGTAATTGAAAAAAAAAAACTTGATAATTACATAAATCCAGTTTATAGCCGTTGTACCATCGCTTAAAATAGGACAAGTCTCCATCATGTAAATTAGTATAGGAAAGGAAAGCAGTAGAAAAATAAAAATAAAAAAAGTAAATTGTTTAAAAGAAAGACAAGGGGAAGGGAAGGAAAGGGATGGAAAGTATTTATTATATATCGGTTATTTAAATAGTAATAATGATGACTTGCTTACTGGTTTACTTTAATCTTCCGTGTGTATGTGTATAATAAGATAATTTCTTATACATCTGATCTTTATTACTAAATAAAGAAAGCGACTATTGATGTTAAAAAAAAAAAGGACATTTTTTTTCCCTTGTGATATAAAAATAAAATAGCTACTCCTGGAAAAAAAAGAAAAAAAGAAAAAAGGATTCCTATCTTTTATTAGACTTATTATAATACAGGACTCCTTCTTTTATTGCAGTTTCTCCGTTTACAATTCAAACTATTCATTTTTCAAGGTAAATAAAATAAATAGGGGACTATGAAAATAAATATATTTAATTACGACGCAGACTACTATTTAATAAAATAAATAGTTTTTTTTTTTTTTTTTTTTTAAAAAAAAAGGGATTATTTATGCCTATTGGACTCTACTCATGCCTTTTATTATTCGAATAATAAAATGATAACAGTAGAAAAATCATCATTTGTTACTTATTAAGCATTATTCTATTGGTTATTTTGACTCAGTTACTTAATTAAGAAACTACAACTGCATATTATATCACTCCTCCTCTACAATGATTGTTACTACTAAGATATATATTTTATCTAAGCCTATTTTTGCTTGCTGATCATTTGTTATTATACAACACTTTTTTTAAAAAGATCTACTCTCCTATCTACTAATTGTATATTATGTTGGCAAAAAAAAAAGTTAATTACTGTCTTATCTTGTTCATTGATAAATCCAGCACTTTATCTAATCAAATGACTTTTATTATTAGTTGCTATTCATTCTTCACGTTAATAGAGGTAATGCTACAGTTAAACTGAAGCATATTGTTTCCCCACTACAACTGTAGTTGGTGTGTTCAAGTTCCTTACTAGTATTTAACCTCTTTTATACTCGCATTGACATCATGATAAAGAGCTTCGAATTATTGGTCATGAATAAAGGAAGAATCATGTAGCTATAAGAATACATCATAATTATGTAAAAAAAAAAAAAAAAAAAAAAAAAAATGAATATTGTTATTGTGAAACTGATTGTTTTTATTATTATATATTTCTTTTCTTTTTCTTCTTAACAATAAAATAAAATGAGTGCATTTAATCAAGCTGCTGGAAATATGATAAATACGGTAGATAACACTAGCATAGGTGGTAGTCATAAACAAACACAGACAGATGAAAATATTGACCGCAATACGCATGATGAAGAAACTTGCTATAAATGTAAACATACAGCAAATAATAATTCCTCACCAAATCATCATCATCACCATCATCAGCAGCAGCAACAACAAGCTGATCACAGTAGTGCTGTCTTTAAGAAAAAAGAGTTATAGACTAGACTAAAATTTGAATGAAATATGTAGACATGAATAAAGTTTGCTTCAAGCTCTTTTTCTTTTTTGGAAATCACACCTCTTTTATAGTAGTTTAATGTAAGTTGTATTTAAAGAATAATATATCTTTGTGTAAAAGGAAACCAATTCATATATTAGGATATTGTATCTGTACATAATCCAAAATAGAATTTTTTCTTTCTTTCTTTCTTTTAGCTTTGGTTTATATTATTCAATTATCCATAATTTAGTCGAATAGAGAACCCTTTAGAAATAAAAATGAATGGATATTCTTATATATAAATAAACTACTGTTGCTGTATTCTTAAACATATTTTGAGACTCCTAATTATAGCTTTATACAGACTTGATATACAGAAAAATACAAGCAATTATCATTCATAAAGGATAAAGATCAAGGGTTATTTATAATAAATATATAGGTGTAGAGTAGAGTAGTACTTGTATATATAATATATAAAAAATATGCATGTAGAATGACATTTTATTATTATTATTATTATTATTATTATTACAAATTTTCACCATTTTGATGCAATATTTCGTCAAATGTGTGTGTGTGTGTTTTCATGCTTATGATAATGATGTGTAACTTTCGTTGGACTAAATTTGATTTTAAACGGAGATTCGATGATAAATAGATACACATGTATATATATTTGTATTCTATTTTATTATTTTAGCGTCGAACAATGGAGCTTGTACTACTACTAGTACTGTTATTACTTCCAGTTTGATAATACAAAGCCTCTAATTCAGCTTCAAGTGCCTTTATTTGAGCATGTCTCATTTCTAAATCTCTATTCAGTTGATCTCTTTCTGCCATCAATTGAGCCTCCCATTGTCTGAATCTTGCTTCTTCCTTCTTTACCTGTTCTGTAAATTCCTTTCTCAACATCTCTTCTCTTTCACGATAACGTTGACTGTTTTCATACTTTCTTGAGATCTGTTGGTTTCGACGTTGCTTTTCAGCTGGCTTCACCATTTCCCTCATTCGATAATTTTCATAATAGACATGCTCTGTGCTCTCCAAGAGGTCAAGTAGATGGGTACGAATCAAGAGTTGACGTAGTTTAGTAAAATCATTATGATCTTCGTTCTCCACTTCAGCTACACCCCATTCATAACTTCTACCCTTCACGATACGTCCGTCTGGTGTCTCGACATCCTCTGTGGAGGCAATGATAGCAAATGGCATGGCTGCCATCAATGACTTGTTTAACTTTACTAAATCTTCATCCTTTTCTTCTTCTTCTTCTCCTTCCTCCTCAGGACATTTATAGATCGTAATATGATTCGCTTCAATATCACGAAGGATCTGTTTTTTAAAGTTCGACACATCCTTAGATGTCATTGTATCTGCTTTAGCAATCACAGGGATTAAATTAACGCGTGTCCCAAGTCTTTTCATGGCTTCAATATCTAAGGGTTTTAAACTATATACTTGCGCAAAAAGAAGAAGAAGAAGAAAAAGATTAGGAATGAATTAACAAAATAAAAAAAAAAATCCCTTTTATCTCTCTCTCTCTCTCTCTCTCTTTCGCCTTCTTTAAATATGTATGTATGTATGTATATATTGGCTTGTTTGTCATTTACCCATGTCCTGTAGGTCGAAGAAAATAAAGACAAGCATGTACTCGCATATCGATAATTTCTTTTCTATCAGGTTGTTGTTCTTGTCTCATGTAATTCTCATATTGATCATCAATAAATTCGACCACAGGTGTCCAACAATTATGATTATTTACATAATCACCAAATCCAGGTGTATCCACGATTGTTAATTTCACTTGAAAGTTCTTTTCTTCAAGTTCTATTCTTATCATCATCAACAGAATAAGAAAGAAAGTAAGTAAGTAAGAAAAAAGAGATTCATATGTGTGTGTGTGTGCATGCGTGCGTGTATCTTATTTACCTGCTTTTGTAATTTCAATATCTACTGTTCTAGTTAATTGACTCAAATGTCGTAATGAAGGGTTTTTCGGATTCTTTAAAGTGGTTGTAAAGAGAGTATTAATAAAGGTTGTTTTACCAAGACCTGATTCACCGCATACAATCAATGTAAACTGGGTTCCCTTTTTAGTAGCAATCTTGTGTTGTTGATTAGGTAAATGTGCAATACCAACAGGTGACATTTTGTATAACCTCAAAAAAAAAAAAAAAAAAGTAAAAGAAATAATAATATTAATATAAATATTTTTATACACATATATAAAAAAAAAAGGAACTCGTATAATTTAAATTCTAAATTATAATTGGATAAAAAATATATTTTTTAATGTTTTATATAATTAATAGGCGGGAAGAAAAGACGAAATAATAGAGAATTTTAAAAGGTAGAAATAGAAATAAGATCTTTTTGAATAAAATCATCTGCATTATTTGTCGATAAACCAAAATTGATATTATTATATTTAGTTATTGTCGACACTAGTGGAGGTGAAGGAGGCTTTATGGATGAAATTTCATAATCTTCAATAGAAGAGCTTATCCTTGAACTGGTAGTTGTTGCTGTCTTGATAAACTAGTACGAATTCCTGTTAAAATCCTTGTAAGCATCTTTTATAGTAATAAATTAAAAAAAAAAGAAAGATAATAAAATAAAATAAAAATGGAAGAATTTATCAATACACATACGGAGAAATCACACCACACTTAGTCAGTGAATAGTGGAGTCGTATTTTTATAACTACAGATTTCAATTGTTCAAAGTTTCATCTAATTACGGTTCCTTGATAACATATGAAAAAAGTATTTTTTATCCGACACGTTATTTGATTGGTTTATATTCTGGGGGAGGGTTAAAAAATAATAAATAAATTAAAGTTAATATGTCTATTTTTTTTTTTTTTCTTTTAAAATTAAAATATCAAAAAAAAAAAAAAAAAAAATGCCGTCAAGAAAGGAATCTTCTGTTTCACCACAGATTGAAGAACAACAACACATAAATGAAGAAACAATAAATGAAGAAGAATTAGTAAACAATTTCCTTAACTTTCTTCTTTTTTAAATAATAATAATAAAAAAGCCTACTAAATATTAAAATCCCTTTTGTGCTTTTATAAAAAAGTTGTTCTATACAGAAATTGATGATCTTCAAGCACATGGTATCGGAGTTGCCGACATACATAAACTTAAAGCTGCAGGTGTTTGTACAGTAAAGGTAAACAAAAAAAAAAAAAAAAAAAAACTTTGTATTATATTGCATAAAGATAAGAATCCATGATGTGATCTTTAGGGAGTACAAATGATGACAAAGAAATCTCTTTTAAAAATTAAAGGATTATCAGAAACAAAAGTAGATAAAATTAAAGAAGCTGCGATTAAGATTCAAGTAAAATAACAATACTAATAGTACATAATACATCATATTCATTCATTCATATAAAAAAAAGGGACCTGGATTTGTTACAGCAAAGGAAATTGCTATACAAAGAGAAAAAGTAGTCAAGATTTCAACTGGCAGTAAACAACTGAATACACTTCTTGGAGGTAATAATAATAATAATAACATATACACACATATACACATTCTATTGTTTATTATTAGGTGGCATTCAAACAATGTCAATCACAGAGGTCTTTGGTGAATATAGAACAGGTAAAACTCAATTGGCTCATACCCTGTGTGTTCAAGTTCAATTACCATCTGAAGAAGGAGGCGCCTGTGGTAAAGCAGCTTATATTGATACAGAGGGTACCTTTAGACCAGACCGTATCATTTCTATTGCAGATCGATTTGGTGTAGATCCTAATATTGTATTAGATAATATTGTTGTCGCTAGAGCTTGGAACAGTGACCAACAAATGGATTTAATCTATGAATTAGCAGCTCATTTCGCTGAACAACGTGGTACTTACCGTTTATTAGTCATTGATTCTATCATCAGTTTATTTCGTTGTGATTATTCGGGTCGTGGTGAATTAGCTGATAGACAACAAAAATTAAATCAAATGTTGAGTCGATTAACAAAGATATCAGAAGAATATAACATTGCTGTCTTTTTAACCAATCAAGTATCCTCTGACCCAGGAGGTATAAATGTATAATATGTATATGTATATGTATAATATGTATAATATGTATATGTATAATACGTATAATACATGCATACATACATACATACACACACACCTATACATGTATTCATATATTTATTCATATTTATAAATATATAAAGCTGGAATGACATTCGTGGCTGATCCAAAGAAGCCAGTAGGTGGTCATGTATTAGCTCACGCGTAAAGTATATACACATATACATATACATATCAATGAGTAACACGACTATTTATTCATTAGATCTTCTACACGCATCTATTTAAGAAAAGGACGTGGTGAAGAACGTGTTGCAAAATTATATGATTCACCTGATATGCCAGAAAGTGAAGCCTCTTACTCAATTAACAGTGGTGGTATTGTCGACATTTCTATTTAAATATATGTATATATATATCTATTTATTATTCTGCTACTTTTATATACAAATATACATATTACGAATAATAATAAAACTTCAATTTATTTTGCTTCTTTTATGTATTTATAACCTTTGTTTTTCCATGCATTTTGTTCTCCAAAAACATTTCTTTCCAAGGGACCTTCACAATCTAAATCACAACATACATTAGGTGTCTTGCAAGTCTCTGGAAATGGGACATCTTTTGATGATGATGATGATTGATGATGATCACGTAATATGATCTCCTTTAAATAGGGTATAAATCGTTCTACATCAATACGTCTTGCTACATCTTTATGATATTGCAAGTATCTTTGCCATCTTTCTTCATAGCTACTACTACTACTACTATTCAACTTTGTTTGTAATAAATAGGATGTATCTACCTCATCTGGTCTCATCATGAAAAACGTTTGTAATTCAGTTTCATTTAAAGGAACGCCTAATAACTTTTGTGCCAGCGCTTCATCATATTCTTCACAACTTGCTTGATGACAACTAAAATCAAATATACGTCTTCCAATCGCTGTCATTGGATATTTAAACCATTGCTCACTATAATAACGTGCTGAGATGGAAATCAAGATGGCATCTGATTTCATAAATAAACCTGCTCCTAATCCATTACCAAAGGGGGCTATCAAGACATCTAAATCATTCACGACATGAGCTGTATTGATCAAATCACATCCCTCCACATCAAAATCAATGGAGAGAACTCTGTAATTTTCTTTTGTTAATGCCTGAATGAGTTCAGGCACATTGGTGATATGTCGTGTATATCGACGATTCAAGATACCAATCGTCTTTTCACCCATTGCATGATGAACAACAACTGAGGCAGCACATTTATTCTTATTCTTATCATAAGGTTCCTTCATCACAAAGGAACGATAGGCATCATAATGCTCGGTTGGAATCTGACCTTCACAATACCATAATGAACATCGATTCCCTGTTCCTATAATAGCTCTTTCAAAACACATGGGAGGTGATAACCAACTAGCTGCTAACCCTTGATGAGGTGCTTGTAAATCGACCTTGTTTAAAACAATCTCTCGACCTTCTTTATTGGGTAATAACATATTCAAATTCTCTTTTGGCTTCCCATTATCATAGGTAGCTGCTCTTAATGTCCAGCTGTCCACTGTCGCTCCATATTCTAACATGGTACTGTAGAGGGGCATAAGTCCATTATAAAGTGCATGGGAGAAATGATAAGGTGAATAAAGACCATACACAAATAAGCTGGTATTGATAAAATTGGTATAAAGAGGTGGGCTTGATAGTTGTTTGGGTTGAAACCAAATATCTTCACTAGACCCTGTATTAATGAGATTAATAGATGGGAATGTCTCTTGAGAATTAATAATAAAAGGACCATGACGTTGATCCACGCAAAAATATTTAACTTCACATATTCGATGACGTCCCTTTCCTTTACAAGTCCATGTTGAAATTGGTGTAGGCTGAATAGCAGTACGATAAATGTAAAAAAGGGTCCAAATTGTAAAAAATAAAATAAAGGTATAAATAAAATATTTTTTATTTTTAAACAAAAGTAGTCTTTGCATTTAAGGAGATTAGGAAAAAGAATCAGAAAATGTTTGTCACTTTTTTTTTTTTTTTTTTTTTTTTTTTTTTTTTTTTTTTTTCATTAAATGATAATAATGTGAAACCCAAAAAAAGAAAAAAAAATAATATTCATTCCATCATTTATAAAGTCGATGAAGTTGTTGTAAAAGTTGAATTATTATTAAATTGTAAATTATTATCAGTTGAAAGAAAGAAAGGACTTGCAGGTGAATTTATTGCTGTATGATATGCACTTAATGAAGGTGAATAGAATTGATCATATACATTTTGTGTTTGAATTGTAAGTTGCTGTCTTTTATAAGTAGTGTCATGATGAGAAGTCACAAAAATAGAAGGTGTAGCAGTAGCAGTAGTAGTAGTAGTAGTAGTAGCAGATGTCCCTTTTTTTTTTAGCAAATATAAATGTTAATAACTAGTATATATGAATTTATCCTTATTTTATTACTACTATTCGTGTTAGAGTTTTGTTGCATCAAGAATTGCATCATATTATTTAATAACTGTTGTTGTTCTTCTTGTTTCTTTCTTGTTTCAGTCAATTCAGTCATTACATGAGTAATTCCTTCCTTTAATTTTATTAATTCATGAACTATCTCTGATTGTTTAGAAGTCATATTTAATAATAATTGTTGTTGATTATTATTATTTACTCCTTTAATAACATTATAATATGATTCTATTGATTGCTGTTGTTCAGTTATATGATATGTTTTACGTTTAATTTCATCTAATAAGTCTATTCTATCTCTTATAAATTTTGAATGAGAAAATTCCCAAATTTGATTCTCTGCTAAGATCCTTGGTGACTTGTTAATCTTATGAAACCCGTACCTGATTTTTTAAAAAAAAAATATGTGTATATTAAAAATCATTCCATTCTTATATACAAGGACAGCTTTTTTTTTTTTTTTTTCATTTTTACATGTTTAGCTGGCGTACAAAACTACTAAAATTACTATGCTTAAAATGTTTTGGTAATACATCTTTAGAAAATTCCAAGACATTACAGACGATAAAAGAAGCTCCTATATAATTCCAAGCAATTAAATGTTGATATTGATGATCAACTACCATACTTTTATATATACATATATTAGCTATAATGGAAATGATGTTGACAATTATTATTATTATTATTATGATTACTTGTATAGTTTATGTACAAATGTAGCATTTATTGTAGTTATAGGTAATGACTGTAATGAAAGACTTTTTGCAAATTGTATTGATAAAGAAGTTTCTCTTGGTGATTCAATACAAGATGAACTATTGTCAGTCAATGTTGATGAGGAATCTCTGCTAGGTAACATTTTAAAGAGAAAAGCAAAGAAAAAGAAAAAAAAAAGAGAGAGGGGTAGAAAGGGCCATTTTATGTTATTATTTATTTTTTATTGTTGTATTACACAGTATTAATCTTTTCTCTTCTTTTCAATTAATCTCAAATAACAAAGTGGGCCCATCCAGCAAAGTTTGAATTTTTTGTTTTCCTTTGCCAACGTAGGTTGAATCCATTCACAAAAGACAATAAAATAATAAACACCTAAAGCTATTTATTTATCAATAAAGTAAAGTTAATTTTTACTATTTTTTTTTTCCAAGTCATTTATTTAATATATAATTTTACCTGTACCAATATGCCACCATCCATGAAGCTTTTTTTTTTTAAATAAAAGGAAAAAGGGTAAAGGTGAATATCATTGTTTACCTTACCTTATATCAACCATTTTATTTATACTTACTTCACTAACAGAACCTATTAAAATAGGTACAGTATTTCTCCACGCCCTTAAATACATACAGAATTGATTATCAATATTCCATAAAATAAATGCAATAATAAATCCAAATGCTGAAAGCCATAACAAAAGTCTCATTCTAGGTCGACTGTAACTTGTACTTTTATCTTGAGGAATCTGATAAAAAAGATAAGTGGCTCTAATGACAATACCAACAACAAGAATTCCATATGAGACTTGATGAAAGATTGGATTGTTAATAATCAGGTACGAATAAGTAATAATGACTGAATAAATGAATAAGACAAGAGGTGGAATAATATTATTTTTAGTGTTTGGGTCAGCTAAATATCTAAGATAGGAATTTAATAATGAATAGGAAACATATTCTATTCTATTCTTACGTAAGCCACATGACTAGACTAGCAACATAAATCACTAATTATTCAATATTCAATAAATGACGTGTTGTTAGTAAACGAATGGATTGAGGTACTATAATAGTTTCACATACTAGGTAATTCATCTAATAATTGCATTTTATATTGAAGTGTCATATGAAAACACCATCTAAACAAAAGATAATTTAATAGTCATAAATAATAAAAAGAGGGAAGTTTATACATACGAGCCAAAACCAACAAAAATAACACCTAAATAAGCAAGAATAATAGTCTTATTTGAGCCATTTTTAAGAATATTGTAGATACCGAAAAGAGAGAAAATGACTATTAAGAAAGAAAAAAAGAAAAGGTTATATATAAAAAGAATGGTAATATGAGTTTTATATTATTACCAAATCCTAAGTTTGTAATAGTATTAAAGAATTCTGCAAGATAAGGTGAAATAGTATAATTTTCCTAGTTATTATTTATTTGTTATTTAAAAAACAAAACAAAAAAAAAAAAAAAAAAAAGATACAATCTTAACAGAATAGACACACTATCATACCTCACACCAATCAATAGTTGAGGTACTAAAATAATAAAATAAATAAATAAATAGTTTAAAAAGTCAACTTATTTAATTCTTTAATAGCCTTACACTTCACCCCAAAAGTTTCCTATTTGGCTTGAAGAAGAAAAAGACGACATAAGAATGTATTTTTTTTTAAAAAAAAAAAAAAAAAAAAAAATGAAAAATGAAAAAAATAAAAATAAAAAATAAAATAAAAAAATAAAGAAGAGGAGTTCATATTTAATCTTACTCCTCTTGTACAGTATTCCTCACTTTAAATTTAAACAATGTTAAAATCCAGACAACGGAAAGAAACATTTACAGACAGTGGAAAGAAATTATTCAGAAAAGTTAAAAAATAATATTCAGACAAGCACTTGAAAATGATAGTTGACGTTTTTCATTATGTATAGCTTTTAAGGGCGACAGTTTTACCATACAGCCTTGTTTCTACAAGTTATATTTGCCTTGCCTTGGAGAACCTCATGTAATAGTTACTCCTTGTATGTCAATTTAGTCTGGCATAAAGATAATTAATTTAACAACAGCATATATTACTGATGCTGATAGAGAAGATCTTGGAAACTACATATCTTTCTCAAAGCTTTCACACATCTTTATATTCAATCAAAACTAATAAAACAAATTACTACATTATTAAAATGTGACCACAAATACCCAAAATACTCTAGTCTGTTTAATACGAACTTGGGGTGTAGGCTGTGCTGCCTTTCCCAAACATCGTGTATAAGCAAAAGTTAGAGGCAGGAGTGAGTCAGTCTTTAACAGAGGCTTGTAAAGAGCTGTCAACAGCTTATAGCAACCATATTGTTGAAAATTTCGAAGCATGGCTCATGAGATACTTCAGGTATCAGCTTCAAAAATACGTTTGTTGTAAGTGATTCATCAACAATAAAGTTAGTGATTATACTCATATGCTGTTAATTAGATGATTGAACCCAAAGACATTCACAAAATCTCTGTAAGATACTGTTACCAATTTGTTTGTGGAGGTGACCCTCAATGACCAGAATCTATAGATTTAGAAGAACATCAAAAGCAGCGTGTTACCTTATTTTGTCAACCTCTGAAGGAAATTACCCCAATAAAAGTAACATTGAAATCACTTTCTGGGTACGTCCCCGAGAAATGTATACCTATTATTTTCCATATCCTACTAGAATATGAAGAGGAATATGCAAATCACAGTCCTTATCATGTACGAAGATTACCGTTACCTCGTTTGTTTGGCTTGTTCCCAAAACACTCTTTACACTTCAGGTCTATAACAATATCCGCAAACAACTTGTCGGCTTTTCTGTCCACTTCTGTACCAAGGGGGGGTGGGGGTATAATAAGCAACTTGAAATGTTTAAAAAGATTGTGAACTTTAAAACGTGGCGAATTAAAAGGCATAGCATAATCTGAAAAAAAAATTATTAATTGAGCAAACAAGTAGCTGACATAATACTAGCGATCTTACACCTAACGGGAACAATAAAGTCTTATTCGGAAACCTTTTACGCTCAGACAGATTTTCGGTTGATTGTCTTTTTTTTTTTACAAAAAGAAAAAAGGATCTTATCAGACCGTTAATAATCTAGATCTCAAGTTAACAGATTTTGACTACGAAGAGGTGGCGTCAACATTTTTAGTGAATCAACAAAAACTTAAAAAAACAAAATGGAATTGAGAAAGTAGAATCAAAAACTCCAACACACAAGACAGCAAAAGCAGAAAAATAGTGCGAATACTTACAATCTATGCTTGAGCATATTGACGTACTATTTGATTTCTACAAAGATACCAGTGACGAAAGTCGTTTCGCATTATATCAAGGTCGCCAACGGGCTCCAGAAATCATGACCAACATCTTGCTTAATGGCGGGCTGAAGTACAACCGTGAAAGAAGAAAAAGAAATAGGAAGAAGAAGAAGAAAAGTAAGAAAAAAGATAAAAGAAGACAGGAAAAAAAAGAAAAGGGAAAGCAGGAATAAGAAAGTAAAAGAAAGAGAGGAGAAGAAGGTTGTAAATAAGCAAGCAATTTCTATTTCAACGTGTTAAATAGTCCTTATCGAAAAACATTTTAAAAGGTCAAGTAAGTGGAAGCCCCAGGAGTACCGTGAAGATAAGAAAAGAATTCCCTTCATTGTTTTCGGCAACGGTATGTTTGGAAAGGACTCAATTATGCTAAGAGGAAACCGATGTCGAGTTACAAAGATTTTATGGCAGACTCTGAAGAAGAGAGAAAGAGAGGGAAGATTAATTGCTGTTATAATTGACGAATTTAATACATCAAGAGTTTGTAGTAGCTGTCACAACAAGACTCTGAAGCCAGTTGAGCATACTTGTGGTAATAGTATCCTGGAATGCAAATCCTGTGGAATATTATGGCAGCGAGACATCAACGCAAGCAAAAACATGACGGAAATAACATTGTCAATTTGGAGACAAACTGGTCGCCCAACTGCATTTCAAAGACCGAAGAAATCACAACAATAACTATGAGAATCCTATCGCTGTATTATAAATAGCTTGTCTCTCAAGACATTTAGATTATTACAGGTATCACTCATCTAAAAACTAATTTCTGATTTTTCTAGAAACTAATTTTCTTTTGTCCAAATTTCATTTTGGTTTCGTCCAAAAAAAAAAAAAAAAAAAAAAAAAAACATCGTCTAGGAATACTGCAATATATTATTTCGGATAAACATAAAGAAATATCAGGTCCCTAAAATAAGCCACCTTTTTTATTTCATTTTTTTTTTATTTTAAAAAATTTATGGTATCAAATACAGCATTTCTAAAAGAGGAAAGTTCAAAAAATGAGTCATTTTTCTTATCTTATCCAATCATTTTATTTGATAGATGTAATAAATAACTAACTTTAGTTTCCTTTTTTTCTTCTTTTTTTTTTCTCTTCTTTTTCTTTTTCCTTTTCTTTTCCTTTATTCTCTTACTTTTTATAAAGTTTACTTTTTATTTATATTTATTATTGTTTTTATTAGGCTTGGTACCCCTGATAAAAATAGACACATTTTATAAAAGCAAATCTTAATTAAATTTATTATATTTATCTTATTTTTTTTTGCCCCCTTATCTCTATTTCCCATTTGTAGTCCATATTTTAAAATGGCTTTCACCGCTTAAATTATTCGATTATATTCGACAATTTACACGTACCGATTAAAACAACGCAATTTTTATATTTTAGCTTCCCCCCCCCGCCAACTTACATACTTCGATTAAACTATAAACAATCAGTTTATTTTTTTTTTACAACTAACCATTATGGTTTTAATTTCGCAACAATGCTTACACTCTACTCTTTTCTTACTATCAAAAAAGACGTGCAAGTCTCGAAAACCAGTATCTCTATTACCTTGTTGAAAATCTAAATTAATCAATTATCAAGAATTATATTAGAATCCTAAAAAGAAAAAATACCTCTTTTTTTTTTTAAAAAAAAAACAAAATGTCTGTATTCACTACTACTCTTACTACTCCTACTACTACCTCTACTACCTCTACTACTTCTACTCCTATTATCAATACTGTTAAAAATACACACATGACTCAAGACGACGTATTTGCTCAACTTTATCAAGCCTTGACCCCTCCGACAACATCAGACTCTTCTATGTTTGATGAGTGGCTCAAACATGACTTTTTATCAGATTATAGTAATTCTTCTCCTGAAATTGCTACACCTCTTGATACCTATTTGTCTCCTATTTCCCTTAAGGTTGAACAACAACAACAACAACAACAACAACAGCAGCAGCAGCAACAACAACCTCCTGTTTGTATCTTTGATCCAGCTGTTGATTTGGATGTTTCAGCCATTTTGAATTCTCCTCCCACAGAATTGTTTACTAATGCTGCTTCTACTACTACTGCTACATCAACTCCTGTAGTCACTAGTCCTCCTGTTATGTCAACAACGACTCCGGTCGATATGACACAACAAATGAGACATCTTATTGCTGATTTGCCTGCTGCTTTAGCTGCTTTAGCTGCAATTGCTGCTCCTGCTTTATCCACACCATCATCTACTGCAACTACCCCAGTGATGCCTACTACACCCGCTGTCTCTCCTGCTGTCAAGAGTGCTACTACTCCTGCTTTTTCTACTCGTCGCTCTACTACCAAGAAACGTACATTAGACGATATTGATCCTACGGATGATATAGCTATCAAGCGACAAAAGAACACAGATGCTGCACGACGATCACGTCTTCGTAAAGTACAAAAGATGGAAGCACTTGAGAACCGTGTATCAGAACTTGAAAAGTTGAATGCTGGATTACTTATGCATGTAGCTGTGCTTGATTCTGAAAAGACGAATCTTAAAGCAAAAGAATCATCGTATGAAAATCGTATCAAATGTTTAGAAGAACAATTAGCCGAAGCTCATAAAGCACTTTCATCACGATCTTGATTTACTTTTATTATATTATATTATATATTTTTTTTACATTTTTACTGGTTTTCATTTTATTTTATTTTTTTTTTTATTTCATTAATCAAGTAAACTAATAAATGTATATGTACCCATCATTATTACGTTATAGAAATCGTTTTTTTTTTAAATGTCCGTTGTTACCGAATAGCAACACTAAAAAAAAAATAATAAGGTAAAAAATAGGCATATTTATATTTTTAAACAAAAAGAAAAAGACAGTATGTCTTTAATAAAGTAGACATAAAATTGTTTATTATCCTGTATGACCTTTTTTTCTTTTTTTTTTTTCTATCTAATTGATAAATATGATGTTGTTACACTTTCACTATTTTTTTTTTTTTTTTTTAAAGATAATCAATCAGCGAAATAGGAGTAGGAGTTGAATGTTAGATGCGTGACTGGTTTTCCTCTCTATAATTTTTTTTTTTAAATGACTTGTTGCTACAAAAAAAAAACTTAAAAAGGGCCTTCAAATCAAAAATTTCTTTTTTTTTTTTTTAATCCTTTCTTCTTTCGATAGACAAGTTACTAAAAGGCAAGTATGATTAACATATTATATAACAAAGAAGAAAAAGAAGACAAGATATTTTTTTTATCGTTTAAAAAGATGAAAAACATAACAGACCTGTTCTGCATTTTTAAGCTGAAGATAAACCTTTATTGCCTATTTACCACTGAAAACAACGATAAAAAAAAAATTCTTGTCTTTCTTGAAAAAAATAATAGTTGCTAATACGAATATTTTAAACGAATAGGTTTCTTTCTTATTATTCAAGAATTAGAAAATATACCTTTTGGGGCTTGCTTTATCTCTTTTTTTTTTAAAAAAAAATATAAATATAAATATATTTATTTTTATTTACATCAATAAACTCGTTTCCTTTTTTCTTTAATTATAATTAAATCTTTGTACATGTTTGTTCGTTATAAGCCTATTTTATTAAAAAGATGTTACTATTCTACATTTAAGGTTTTTTTTTTCTCACTGAACTAAAAACTCCCTTACTCATCATCTATGTCCTTCACTATTTAGGAACTTGGTATTTCGGCTTCCATCTGTCAAAGACTTGAAAAAAACTTTAATATTCTTCAACCTACCCTTGCTCAAACTCAATTTATTCCTTTACTCCTCTCTGGTCAAAAGGATGTCCTTTTACGAGATCGTCCAGGCACAGGCAAGACATTGGGCATCGTTGCCACCTTAGCCTCCCTCGTCAACCGACGTTCATTATTCATCGTCCCTAATCAAGAACTTGCCTTTCAAATCGGTCGTTGGCTCCAGATGCTCACGACCGCAGATCGTTTTCAAATCTTGGCAAGTCATTATCATCACGACGACGACGACGACAACAACAACACTCGTCTTCATATGCCACCATCCCTTGTGATTGCCACACCAGGTTGTCTCTTGGATCTCTGTAATAACAGGGGGCTTCGTCTGGGCCCCCTTGATCATCTCATCATCGATGAGGCTGATCAAGCACTAGGACTTCCTAAACGTTATGCTCCTAAACGTGACTTTGAGAGACGGGCGAGACATCCTAAAGCTACTGAGGTCCTCTTGGATCTTCTCGTAAGGGATCCTAACGGTCAGCAGCAACAACAACAACAGCGACCACGACATCAAACAGTCATGAGTTCCGCTACCTTGAACCGTCCATTTCGTCATTTCGTAAGCCGGCAAAGATCTTGGCTTTTGAAAGATGAACACGTCTTTATTGATGGTTGTTGTTGTACGAATGAGGAGACATCACCCTCTCGTGTCGTTCAACATCATTGTCTTGTCCTATCTCAGCACTCCATTCGTAACATGCGATCTAAAAGGGAAGAGGGAAAAGAAGAAGAAGACGTAATGATGGAGAAGGTGGAGAAGGAGGAGGAGGAGGATGTGATACTGGATAGCATGGCAGTCCTGCAGAGTCTTGAGCATGTACAGAATGGTATCTTCTTTATCCCAACTACTCAATCTATCTCACATGTGAAAACAAAGTTGGCTGAAAGAGAGGTGGTCGTGAAGGATTTAAAGGATTATACCCCCGGTGCTAAAGGTTTATGGCTCGCTACTGAATTTACAGCAAGAGGAATCGATATCCCTAACCTCTCTCATGTCTTCCTCTGGGGTCCTCCTTCCTCTCCTGCCTCCTTTTTACATATTGCAGGTCGTACTGGAAGATTAGGCAGTAGTAGTGATCAGAGTAGGAAAGTGATTAGCCTAGTCAATTCATCAACTGAAGCTAAAATTGCAAACATGTATCGTCTTTTAAATATTCCTGTGCAAACTTATGAACATGTAGTAGAGTAGAAATAATCAAAGTTTTCTTTTTTATTATTGGGGTAATGTTAAAAGAATTTTGTTTATGAAATAAATTAAACCAGTATCATCATCTGTAGCCGTTTCTAATAACTTGAAAATACGCTTGATAATCTAAATAATGAACATGTATAAATTTATTAGAATCATGATTTTTTTTTTTTTGAGAATAAATAACATACTTGTTCTTGTTCTGCCTTAGTGTTACTGGTATGATAGACATAATAGTGAAGTAGATAAATTGTATCTGCAAATCGAATATCTTGATCTACTAGAATGGTATTGGACAAGATGGTATGCAATCCTATCTCAAGACTTTCCTTGATTGATTTTCTTTTAGAGGATGAAGTCAGATAGACTACAAAGGCATCTAAACAGCGTAGAATCCAATTCAAAATGCCTGTTGGTGGCTCTTCATGAATCAACTCGGCAATCACTTTCCAACCTGTGAAATCGGCATGGATAGATGACGATGATATTAAATCAATCATGGCTGATACAATATGTTTCATCACTGTCGTACTTGATTGTTGTTGCAACAAACGATAACATTCACAAAGCCCCACTATTCTATTTAATAAACTGATATCCTTGTCGTCTATAGATGCCATCGTTTGATTTACAGTGCACTGAATCGCTTTACACAAAATCACTTGTTTATTTTCGCTTGCAAAAAGTGATTTTGTTATTGTTTCATAAACGACTTGTTGAAGCGATTCAATGAATGCTTTTTTGCTTTCATCTTTACAAACTAAATGATTTCTTAACGTATCCAACAGAATAGACTTTAGGAAGAGAGAAAAAAAAAGAAGAAGGAAAAGGGGAGGGAATATTAAAAAAAAAGGGATTAATTTTTAATATACATTTTTTTTTTTTTTTACCTGTTTCTCTTGATCAAATTCATTAAACTTTTCTCCTAAAGCCGTCATCAGCTCTAGCATTCGACTTTCAGAAAATTGAACCCTTTTAACAACTGCATTCATACCACGTCGTTGCTGCTGCTGCTGTTGCTGTTGCTGTTTTTCAAGTCTTGGTAATCCTCCTAATTCTAACACTGTGCCCAGTACTTGTTCACTCACATCCCATTCTGTTTCAACTTTCATTATCAAGTATTCTGATAATGAAATCGAAGTCGCTGCATGAACCGATGCAAACATCAAGCCGTCATTAGAAGTGGATGATAACAAGGGGAGCCAATGAACGGGTGGCAAAGGACCTGGTGTTGCAATCAGTGCCCTCCACAAGGTAGTATGATCTGTCGACTTTACCAGCTGATCAAAGACAGCCCTCAAATAACTTGTATTTTGATTTAATCTATTATAATTAGCAGGTTCGTTTGTATGATGATGTTGTTGTTGTTGTTGTTGTTGATTCATGGTAGTAAGTATCGATTGTTCAAGGACTTTACCATAGATGGCAGCTGCCACACGTCCACTTTTTAAATTACCCATCGTTTTCTTAAAGACCAAGTCTGATAGAGTCAATAATACCCTTTGACGACAGGAAGGTATAGTCGTTTGTTCTCTATTGACATCATGACCCACGACGTATCGAATACCCGCTAAGGAAGCTAATCCGAATAAACTAGCAATACGATAATGGCTTGCTGCATCATCTGTGTTGATACTTGACAATAAGGGTTTCATTGCCTCTTCACATATTCTTTCATCCTTTTTCAAGACAAAGGTATGATATTGAATTTGCGTATAAGGAATAATAAAATGATAAAAATGCTGTGCCAAGTTGGGGTCTTGAGAGGCTGCTGTCATGGCTGATTCAACTAAATGAGATAACTCTTCATTGAGATGATGATCATGAATAGTTGTTGTTGTTGTTATTGTTGCTGCTATTACTGCTGCTGCACAAACCCAGGTAGAACCAAATATAAATCCCTTTTGAACGACTTGGCCTTCAAGATACTTTCCAAGTTGATCAGCGGCAAATTGAATACTCTCCTTATTTAATGGATCTGCTGCAGCAAGACCCATCAAGAGACCTATCGCACGACTATCATCAGATAAGGTCTTTAATTCATCTGTGATCTTAAAACGTCCTGCTGTATATCCATTTGCAAATTGAATTAAATCAAGGGCTGTATCAATATTGCGTGGCATCTTTTGATTTGTTTTATCGAACAAGATGGGTTGTATCATATCTTGATCTTTCGCTAAATAGGCTAATGAAAATCGAGCTGCAAACTGGACTTCCTCACTCATCAAATGAGCTGAATGAGATAAAGCTGAACTAGATAAATTAATATAATTTTTTAAAAGAGTTTGTATCATATCATTTGCATAAGATGTAGCAAATGAGGGTGACCAAGTACGTAACACGTTGATAAGACCTATCCATATCATCTTCCTATGTGAGTTTTTTTTTTTTCATAACTATATACATATATTACCTGTTATCGCGAGCATAATATTACATGTCACACCTGGAATCGTACTCTTTTCTAACCTTACCATTAAATCCTTTACTAAATTCGCTACTTGTTCTTCATCCTTCTTGAACTCCTCTAACGCATTTCGTCTAAAAAAGGACTCCCACATATCAATACTCGATAGACGTAATAATAAATGATCCGTCAAGGTAACATCTGTAAAGGCCGTCACCATAAAACGATACCATTTGGGTTCTTGATGAACGGCCTGTAAGACTGCCATTGTATAGCCTGATCTTAAACCAGGGGGGACTCGTCCGGTTTCCCAAACCTCTAATAATTGTCTTCCAATATCTTCTGTAGTATGAGTCTTCACAGTGTCTTGTTGTTTAAACAAGCCACGTCGCATATGATCAAGTTCATTTGACATGAGTTTAGCTAATACGAGGTCACCACCCTTCGTAAATTCGCTCAGAATTTGAACACATTCGGGTGCCTTTTCAGGTAGAACACTCATGATATCCTGAGCAGGGAATTCAGCTAGGGACTTGATGGCATACTCAGCTGCTTCCTCATCTGACAAAAGAGGCAACAGATAATCCTTCAATACAGTCGATTTAAATTGTAAAAAGGCTTCTGATATATCTTCTTTACGTCCTACAATGGAGTAAAAGTCGCATAATTGACGTGTCATCCATTGTTTCCCTGTTGATTGAGCTAAATACATGACAGCAATGGTCCAGATGGATCTAGGCTCTGCAAAGCCAGCCTTGATACAATGATTGATCGTCGTCATGAGAAGAGTGAGTGAAGCTGAGCTCAAGTCTCTACAGGTCTGTAAGAGGGAGATAACGAGAGGGAGAATATCAGGACAGCAAAGACGTGGTTGGTCTCGACACACATCACGCATCGTTGTTAGAATAGCTAATTCTAATTTGATCGATAATTGAGTTTTAGAAGAGGTAAGGTTCATGAAACGGTCTACAGAGGCTGCTTTACGTTGAGATACCCAATCAGTCAAGATACGTTTCAACTCCTGCCAAACACGAGGATGAATTTGGAAAAGATGAGCTAAGGCTTTAATACCCAATACAGACATCATATTGGATTGCTGTTGTGTAGACAAGATCAGTTGTAAAATTTTAGATGTAATCGTAGTATCTTTAGGATCTGCTAAAGAAGGAATAAGATCTCGGAAGAGAAGCACTGTAAGTTCAGCATTGGATGAACGTAACTTGTAAAGAAGGAAGAGTAAGAAAGGAAACTTATAATTGTATCGAGGTGATAACCTATTGACAAACTGAGTAAGATCTGAATAATATTTTAATGAGCCATCTATTAAAGGAGTAGTGAATAATACGGAGAGTATAAGATCAGTATCGTTATTAGGTTTAATAGGCGCTTGATGGGTATATAAGCCATTTAAATAAACAAAGAAATGACCTAATAACCCAACTATTTTGTACTTTTTTGCTATATTCCTTAACTAAAAAAAAAAAAAAAAAAAAAAAAAAAAAAAAAAAAAAAAAGATTAGAAAAGACAAAAAAAGTTTTTTTTTTTTGTTATATGGTAGATAATGTGTGCACTCACTTGTTCTAATTTATATTGACTATCATCAGTAGTTAGATTAGTAATAGTAGAATGATCGAGGTAAGTAATCATATCTAACAGGTCTTGCTTTAGTTTGCATAATTCTTCATTTGTCTTTATATGTCTATCATTTAGCTCTGACAAAACTTGGTATAATGGTAAATAAGCAATACGAAGTACAATTGCATCCTGCTTGTTAAATAAGGATTTCATCAAGTCAATAATCATGCATTGTGCCTTTACAGTGTCAACTCTAACAAGAAGATAAGAAAGAGCTGCCCAGACAAGATCATACGTGACTTCATCTTGTTCAACACTATTTATCAATTGTTGAAGACGCGTTAAATATGCATATAAAGGACAATAGGTGATATCAAATGTCGTCAAAAGACGATCCAGGACATGATACAACAAGACATCAGGTGAATTAAAAGTCATAAAGAAGTCCACAAGCTCAAGATAACGTTGGTGATCATTATAAAGCGGGTACATAAAAAGAATCTCGGACAAGGCTTGATCAATCTCAGCGTTACGGATTGTCATTAAACGGTTCAAAAGAGCACTACTTGATAAATTTATATCCACTAAAAATATGGATTTAAATACTGGCTTCAAGCTAACTATTGTTTCACTATGTTCTAAAAAGTATTCGATTTCTTCTAAAACTGTAAAATATAAATCGGGTTTTTCACGCAAGATGACGATGAATGGATGGATAGGTTTATTAACATGGTGAAATTGAAATTCTTTTTTAGTTGATGAGGAATTGGCAAGTAGTAGACGAGTTAAAGTATGTAAGAGAACATCGAGTTTGGTTGAATGATCAGTGCACGTCAAGATAAGATTTTGGATACCTTGAATGAATTGTGATGGATGATCTTGGTTAAGCACTATTTTTTCACATATATGGGATGCAGCAATCGTAGAACAGTTCTTGAGAAATGACCAAAATTGATTATCCAAATTAGACGATGCTATATTTTCATAGGCGTTATAGACTTGTACAAATCGATGATCGACGATACTATCTGTCATATCATACAACGAAACAAAAAAAAAATAAAAAAAGAAAGAAATAAAAAGCAAAAGAAAACAAAAAAAAAAATAAAAAATAAAAAAAAAATAAAATATTATATAATAAGTTTAGAGATAGCATAAAATAGATTTGTCTTAATACAAGACTTTGATATACCATGATTTAATAAGGATAGCGTCTATAAGCAATGCCTTCCTCTTTTGATGTATTTTCCTGTATAATTTCCATTGAATAAATACGATACTTTCAACATTAGTGCAGAAGAAAGATTTAATAATAATTCCTATTAAGCAAATAGTTTTCTACTCATGTCTTTACTTTTTTTTTTTTTTTTTTTTTGTATACAGGGCAATTGAATTGGCCTGTAGTTTTGCATTAGTAACGACACTCATAGTCACAAAACTATAACACAAGTAATAAGCATGTAAATAATAATAATAATAATAATAATGCCTTTTTCTCTCTCTCTCTCTCTCCTCATGAATAACATATCCAACTGTGTTTTAATTAAAATCTTACTTTATATACCTGAAAAGGAAAGGAGAGAAACTAAAGCATCTCTCAAGTTAACATGCAAACATTTGTATAAAGCAATTCGCTCTATCTTTCCGAACAGAATGGTTAAACTTTCCTCTATTGACGCTATCAATGACTTTTGTAGTTCTCTTCAAAGGGACTCTTCTTGGTGTTTTGAGATTAACGGTTTACAAGTCAACGAAGAATCATCATCACAACTCAGCAAAGCGCAACCTGATCTTAATCTTCGTACTGAATATTCTCATCTTTATAAAAATTTGCCAGCTATTTTTAAGCTTTGCTCAAATCTAAATCACCTGTCAGTGAGTGCTCGAAAAGATGATTGCTTTATTACGTATTTCACAATAGTCAGAGATAACACTTGTTATTTAAAAAACTTGCAAAGACTGGACGCACCTGGATTAGGAAGATGTTCAAAAAGGACAGCTAAATTCTATTTGGATACCATTTTAAATATAAAAGACAATATAACACAACTTGAAATTAATAAAAATACATTATGCAAGGTGATAGTCACTGATTTTGGAAGACTGGATGCATTTACCAAGTTATTCCCGCATTTACACCACTTAAAAATAAGAGCCAATAAAGTATGGAAGAAGGAATCTGTTCATTTTGTAGAGCTGATTGAAAGTAATAAAGAATTGAAGACATTCAGTTTTATCAGTAAAAAAACATTTGAGATTTGCATGGTATCAGATACTGATTTAAAAGAAAAGAGGATAACAAATAGTAATTCACTTGAACGAGTTGTATTAAGTACAGTTTCATTACATATAAATACATTACGGTATATCATAGCTAAATGTAAAAGACTACATCATTTTGAGCTCTATGTTTCTAAAGGCATCGCACCTTTCCAACTACAGCAAACACCTACCACTATGTATCAATTTATTCAACATCATCTTGTGCCTTTTATAGAAGATATTGCTATTGTCAACTTGAACATTCACTTTGGAGGAAGCAATCAAAGAGTAAGTTTATGGTCTTTTTGTATATACATATGTATTTGAATTTAACTCACTTTTTTTTTTAATAAGCTTCAAATGCAAAAAGGTCAAGAGACTAAATTTATTTTAAAAAGTTTACCTTAAATGAATTATTTCTAATACCGTTGACTTCTACACTATATGTATTTAATTATGGAAACCATTTGCTCAGTATTACTCCAACTATAAATATATAACAGTATTAAAAGATAAAACATGTCATATTATATATATTTTTTCAATGATGTATATCTTTATGAGATAAAAAATATAGATATACAGTTATTAATGGGGGGTTTCTTTTATATATTTATATATTTGTATATGTATATATAAAACAGAGAGGGGAGGGGAAAGAGAGAGAGAAGCCCTTTAAGAAAAGGAAAAGAAATAAAGAATAATATAATAACAATACAATAAGCTTATTCAGTCAAGGCATTTTCAGAATGAGGTAATTCCTCAAGTTTTTCTGTTTTTAGTTCTTCATTTTTCTTTGCCAAAGTCATCTCTGCTAATTCTGTACGAAGTTTATCAAGTTCAATTTGAAGAACACGAATCTTTGTATCCTTTAGTGCCAACTGATTCTTTAAGTCTTCATTCTCTTTTGTAAGTTCCTCTGTTGATTTTTCAGCAGACTATATTTATAAAAAATAAATAAATATAAAACGATTCAATATATATATATATATATATATATAACATAAAACAAATAAACTTACATTCTTTTCAATAGTAGAAGAGGATGCTTTTACTTCTTCAACAGGTGCTGAAGGTACAAACTCCTTTTTACTCTTTGCAACAAATCCTGCTTCAAGATCTTTTAGTTTGGGATTAGCGTCTTTACCCTCAAACCATTCATCAGCTGTAAGTGCAGGTTCGTCACTAATACAAGGAGGATAAATATCTGACTGGAATGCATCTGACTATCAAACATAACATATATATAAAAATGAGAAGAATTCCTTGACAAAAATTAGATTTATGATCTTTACCTTTCTAGGAACAGTGAATGAGATAGGTTCAATTAATGATATGCCAACCTTATAAGCTCTAGCAATTTCACATTCATTTGCATGGACAGCACGTTTAGGTAAGAAACCCATACCTCGTTGAGGTTCAATTGTTTTGAACTCAGAAAGGAAATGCAAAGCATCATTATCATATTCATAATAACGAATATTACCATCACTAAGAGAGATTTACAAGTTAATAAATGGATTTAACGCTATTTTTTTTTTCTTCCAAAAAAAAAAAAAGGATCACTTTACCCTTTACCAGCAAGGAACAAAATCTTTGTATCAGGATCATAAAATGGCATAATAACACCAGAGGAAGTATCTAAAAATTCAGATTTGATAGGTTTGGACAAGTCGGTAGCGTTCCAAAGATTCAATTGACGATCACTCATACGAGAAAAGCCAGTGGTAGCAAGACGGTCTGTATCACCAAGCCAAACAACACGGGAACCCTTAATACCTTGATGTCCTGCACCTTCTTGTACGATCTGGTTTGAACGAACATCAAAGACACGTAACTTTTTATCTCGACATGTAGTAGCCATCAAGGAACCATTATAATTCCATGCCATGGATTGAATCAATTCAGTATGACCTGTAATTTCCTGCTTTTCAACTCCCTTTTCAATATCCCATAACTTGATGGTTAAATCTGTACTAGCTGAGGCCAAGACATTTTCTGCTACAGGATGGAAAAGCACGTGCCCCACCTTACTAATAATAATAATAATAATAGTATGAGTATACATGATCTATATCTATATCTATTTCTATCTATTACCGACTATGACCAGATAGTTTTAAAACAGGATTGATTTCTTCTTGGTCTTCAGCATATTGTTCAGGAATATCCCAAATCATAATTTTACTATCTTCAGATCCAGAAGCAATCACATAATCGTTAAAAGGATTAAAATCAGTATCGAGGACAGGACCTGTATGTCCACGGAAAAGAGGATAATTATCTGGTAATTTGCCTATTTTAAGAAATATAATTAGTACGTGCCGGCGCGTTTATTTTATTTTTTTTCCTCTCCTCTTCCCGCCTTTTTTTTTTTTTTTTGCCTCCTTATTACTTATATTAAATCCCCTTTCTCCCTTCCTTCCTCCCTCTCTCTTTTATATATATATAATCAGTATAGCTTACCAACTTGTTCATGAGGAATAACAGCAAAAGTACCACCACCAGCGGATTGCCAGTTGATAGAAATGAAACGCTAAACACACACACACAAAAGACATGTTCGTTATTCATTTATTTTTATTTAAAAACAATATATATTTATATACACATCTGAAACTTACAGGATTAGCTTTCAACATGTTAGTATCCCAAGCATTTGTGCTTACACGAAGGTTATCATAACAAAAATCTCTTTTAGCACAAGTACCATAAACATGGCGATACTTGGAAGGTCGAACAAAGAAAGCCATACTAAAACTATTTATTTATTTATTTTTTAAAAAAATAATAATAATGATAATAATGTAAGGAACAAGAAGACATATTTTGTTTTCGTTATAAGTTTTTTACCTTAATTTTTTAAGGGAAAAATAAATAAATTATACAAAAAAAAAAAAAAAAAAAAAAAAAAAAAAAAAAAAAAAAAAAAAGAAAGAAAAAATCATTTTTTTGAAAGAGAGGAGAAGAGTTTAAAAATAAAGGACTGTGGGTTTTAATTTTATAGTCATAAACGAATGAAAATTAGCCCTTTGTTGTTTCTTATTCTTACAATAATCCATTTTTGGCATTGTTTTTTATTTCAACTCAGTGCAGCAACAACAACAACAACAACAACAACAATAAAAGACGAAGAAAGCATACGATAATATTAGATATCAAGTTTTTTTATATATTTATATAAATAATCAAGGTGTAAATAATCTAATTAAAGTAACCCTTTTTTTTTATTAAATAATATATTACTTCAAATTCAGTGAACGTTAGTTTTTCTTTTGGACGAATCAAAATTTAAATCCAGACGATCTGATTACCTTTTTTTGTATAAAATCAGTTTTAGGCAAGTTAAAAAAAAAATGGATTCTGAGCATCCTAGAGAGAATATGGCTATACATACATACATACATAATAAAAGGATTTTTGAGGGTAATCTGTTACTTGCAATAATGAATCAATCTCGCATATTGAAGATTATCTTACAACTGTATCTAATAATTTTGTAGATATAGATATGCTATTTATGTCAAGAGATGGCTCTCATTAAAGCTATTATCGGTCTTGACAGTATTCTTAACTTTCAACGTTGCAGAATAGTATGGCAGCACGATGTAAATGTTTGTAAAAATATATATATATATCTTCAAAATCCACTAACTTATCATTAGTGGACGCAGTCGTCCTTCAATTTTCATGAGAAAACAATAATACTATCACCATTCACTTTACATGTATATATAAGTGTGTATGATTTCTCTCTTCAAGAAAATTCTGAATTTAAAGTAGAAATACTGTAGTAAACTTCCTTTCTTCTTAACCTGCTACCTCTGAAGAAACCAAAGTCCCCGCAATTAACTTCTCCTTGGTTAGTTTGTTGACCAACGATTTGTATCATTCTACATAAAATGGATTATCTGCTTTATCAAGCACTTCTTGTTAATCCTAGTATCAAGCTGATTGTATTGGTTATCCTCGTAATAGACTAGTATTATATTTATACTGTTTCTGATTTCTTCTTTTCTTCTGCCCTTTTTTTTTTGGAACTAATTAGGGCAAATACAGCATAATAAAATTACTACGTGCTCATTGGACTTTTTTTTTTTTTTTTTTTCATTGTTGTTGCTAAAATAAAAATTGTGACGATGACCATCATCTATACGCACACCCTACAAATTTTCTAATTCTTTTTTCTTTCTTTTTTTTTTTCATTTATTTTACTGTTACTATATGAAGCGATCACACGAAGAAATTAAAGAAGAACAACGTATCAAGTCTCAACAAAGTTACGAAAGTTCTCCTCAAAATGTTGCTTCACCTCATTGGAAAGCATCTTCAGTTTCACCTGCTTATCGTCCTCCTAAACGAAGTCGTCATTTTAAAGGCTGTTCAAAGATTACTGATTATGAATTTCTTGATAAGCTTGGTGAAGGCACTTTTGGGTATTTATGATTGAATTGAATAAAATGAAGAGTGTTTCTTTTCTTTTTTTTTGATGATGATGATGAATAGCTAACAATGGTTAATAGTGAAGTACATAAAGCAAGAGATAAACATACAAATCAATTAGTAGCACTCAAGAGAATTTTGATGCACAATGAAAAAGAAGGAGTAAGTTGATTCCATTTGTAAGGAAACCTTCCATAAAGATGATTATTAATCAATGATCTTGTTTAGATTCCTATTACAGCTATACGAGAAATCAAGATATTAAAACAATTATCACATAAAAATATCGTACCTTTAACAGATATTGCTGTTGAAAGAGGTAACTGTTAAAAGCAACCAAATAGGTCACCACTTTTTCTTGTGTTTTCCTAATTTATAAGTTCTTAGGTGATGCGAGTAGAAAAGAAAAGGGTAGTATTTATATGGTGTTCCCTTACATGGATCATGATTTAGCAGGCTTATTAGATAATCCTAAAGTTAGACTTACTCAACCACAAATTAAAACTTATTTAAAACAATTATTAGAAGGAACAGCTTATCTCCATCATGTAACATACATATTTAACTATTTTTCATATCCTTTTAGCCCTTGACTTATTCTCCCATTTTACCTACATATACAAATGTTAGAATAAGATTCTTCATAGAGATATGAAAGGTAAATGAAAAAGGAAAAAGAAGAGAGAGAGAGAGAATTGTTAGTTTAATTATGACTAATTGTATATTTATATCCATATCCATGTATATGTATATTTTTTGTGATTAGCTGCTAATTTATTAATTAATAATGAAGGCGTATTACAAATTGCAGACTTTGGTTTAGCTCGTGGCATTGAAGATGAAAATAAAGAATATACTAACTGTGTAGTGACAAGATGGTATAGACCACCTGAATTATTTCTTGGTGAAAGAAAATACACAACGGCCATTGATATGTGGGGAGTAGGGTATGTATTCTCTTTCTTTCTCTCTCTCTTTTTTTTTTCTTTACTCTTTATTTTATATAGTGAGGAATTAAATATTTATATCGAGTAGTTGTGTATTTGGAGAATTACTTAAATCAAGACCCATCTTGCAAGGTCAAGATGATTTAGATCAATTAAAAAAAATATTTTATTTGTGTGGATCTCCTACACAAGACAATATGCCAAACTGGGATAAACTACCTGATGCAAACAAAGTGAAATTTGAAACCACACCAAGGCATGTAAGGGATGAATATGGTCATTATGATGCTCTTGCTGGTGATTTGATGGACAAATTGCTCGTCTTAGATCCTGCGAGACGTTTAACGGCATTAGAAGCTTTAGATCATGAATATTTTTATTCTGCACCTTTACCTGCTGAACCATCAGAGTAAAAATACACCAAGTTTATTGATAAAGAAAGGAACCTCTCTAAAATTAACCTTTTTTTGTTATTTGTTTACTTTATAGGCTACCTAAATATGAAGCATCACATGAATTTGATAGAAGAAAGGTGAAGCAATCCCGACATAAATAAATATACACCATATACATCTTCTATATATGTATATGTATATGTATATATCACCATCATCATCGTTATAACATTTATGTAATAATAATAATAGTAGTAGTAGTAATAAACTGGTATATATATATATATATGTATGTGTGTGTGTGTATATGTATGTATGTATCTATCTAGGGTGTTTCTATTTTAAAGACCCATAAAGGATTTCCTTGATCCAAGACATGAGCAGGAGCATGGAAAATCAACATATAACCCCTTTTATAAGTCCATTTTTTTTTTGAAATATTCCTGCGTAGGTAATAAAGAAATTTTTGATAGAGGATGTAAAAGGTAAGTTAGCCCTTATGGATAAGTTGTCTGCTCGTAGGTCGATTGAGACTAAAGATAAAAAAAAAAAAAGGGCAACAGCCATTCCTAGATTGAGTGAAATAGAGTGGTTGAAGAGGCAGAGTAAAGTCATTGGAGAGAGAGAGAGAGAGGTGTCACTCAATAAGGAATAGAGTCAAAGATATCTTTTTTTTTTAAACACGTTCTATCCAATTAGCCTCATTTTTAAATAACTTTCTTTGCATGACAGTAGGTATGTAACCAGCTCCATCAGGGCTGATATTTAAAAAGAAAGTTACCCACCTCTTGAAATAACCCGAAAACGAGTTCTTGAATTTGAAAGAAAGAGTAGATGCGTATTGATTTGGCTGTGTTTGATGGTTAAGTCTGTTTTATATATATATATATATATATAACACATATGATCAACAAAGTAAAATAAAATAAAATAAAATGAAATGAAATGGGGTCTAAACGATGATGTTCTCTACTCTTCTTGCTAATCTGAGTAAGCTAACTGTTGTAGTTATTTATGTACCATCTTTGATAGACAAGGATAATAGATGTCATGAATGGACCATGGTTAGGAGCCCCTAATAAATAGAGAGCCCCTCTCCTCCCAAAAAAAAAAAATGGCTTGTCGACGGGTAAAGGTATAATTTGACCTCGACATATTATATTATCGTGATCGGGTGTGAATGATAAACTAAACTGAATAGCCCCCCCCTCCTTTCTCTCCTAAAGTAAGATGATGATTTATCGAGATTTCTGGGCATTGAAAGTAGTTGCCTATACCGTCAATATCTGAACCTAGTCCTGATGCTCCTTTATTATTTACAAACTGATGGATATGAATATGAATAAAATTGTCTATTGATAATACTAAATGAATTACTGTGAATATAAGTGATAGTATGATACTAATAAAAATCATACAAAAGAAAGAAATTAAAGGGGAGAAAGTAGTAGTAGTAGTAGTATATAATATATCATATTACTATATGCATCTCATAAAGTCACAAGAAATAAACTTCATATTTTATATCAATCTATCTTTTTTTTAATTAATATATATAATAAACCCTAAACTAGTATTTATATTTAATTAAAGCATAAAGATAAAGAAAGGATCTCTCTGCAAAAGAAAACAAAAATGCACTGTTAAGAATATATTAAACTTTATATATTATTCTAGTTCTTTTATTTTTATTTTTCCAGACCGATCTTGTTAATGCACAAGTAACAAATTATGTTATTTAAGAATAGATTATCTCACTACGGCTTAGTTTCGTTTACCTCCTTCTCCTTAAGAAAGGAATACCATTTTATTAATACATGTCGTATATAGATAAAGAGAAATTGTATAAAAGGCTTCAAGGTTTATTTTTTAACTTGAAGTTTCGCCCTTCAAACAATAGATTCAATTGAATTCTGTGTACATATTGATGCATATTTCAGTATATGTAAAATAACGTGTTGTTGGAATTATGTACATATATTTTTTTTTTTTATTATTTTTTCAACACGAAACTTTATCCAATCAGTACGCGTTGTTTATACATCCCGAAGACAAATGAAAAAATTTGCTGTACTGTTTACGCACACAACAAATTTTTTTTTTTTTTTTTCTTATTTCAACATTAGATTAAATCTCTTCATTTCATCATCTTGTGAATCTTTAAATCCATTCCCTTCTATTTTTATAAATAAACTATACAAGTAAATACCAAGGAATCATAAAATGGCTTCAACTCGTTCAACTCGCAGCCAAACAATTGAGAAATCTGCTTTAACTACTGAACGTGGTGAGGGTAGCAGCAGCAGCAGCAGCAGTGCTTCCAATACTCCCTCTCCTGCTTCCACTACTACTACTACTACTACAACAACAACAAAAAAGGTTGTTAAAAAAAAGAGTTCTAATAAAATGATGAGTAGCAGTGCAAAGAGGTAAATAAAAGAGAATATATAATAGATTTATAACTAAATTGATTCAAAAAAATAAATAAATAATTTTATATCTTAGAATCTCAAAAGAATTAGCAGAAATTTCACTTGATCCACCTTCCAATTGCAGGTAGAATCAATCTATTTTTTTTTTTATATATGATTTATAAATTACTGATTTTTTATTATTATTATTATTATTTTTTAGTGCTGGTCCAAAAGGAGATAATTTATATGAATGGGTATCTACTATTGCTGGTCCAAGTGATTCACCTTATGCAGGTGGTATCTTTTTCTTGGATGTCCATTTCCCACAAGATTATCCTTTTAAGCCACCCAAGGTAAATGAGTATATATTATTATTTTACGGTTATTCTAATCATTCATATTATTCTAGGTTGTATTTAGAACTCGTATTTATCATTGTAATATCAATAGTCAAGGTGCCATTTGTCTCGATATTCTTAAAGATAATTGGTCACCTGCCTTGACTATTTCCAAAGTATTATTATCGATCTGTTCCTTATTAACTGATGCTAATCCACGTAAGATAAAATAGATAAAGATTAAAATAGAAATACTAAATAATTAAAATTATAGATGACCCATTGGTTGGATCTATTGCTCATGAATATTTAACAAATAGAGAAGAACATGACAGTATAGCACGAGAATGGACAAAGAGGTAAAAAAAAAAAATAAATAACATGAGCAAATGTATAAATAAGCTAAGAATCTAAATGATGATTATAGATATGCATGTTAAGAAGAAAGTAAAAGAAAAAAAAAAGAAAAAGAAAGAAAAAAAAAGAAAATAAATAAATAAATAATATAAAAAAATAAGCAAAATAAAATAAATAATTACAAAAAAAAAAAATGTAATGATTTCTTTTCTTCTTCTCCAGGGAGAAAGAAATAATTCTATTTAATGTTTAGTGGCTGATTAACTTGACTGATAACGGCAACAACAGCAGTTAGTTGCAATAACAAAAATGGCGGAATTAGAATCTTTTTTCTTTTTTTTTGTTAATCAAAATAGCCCATCTTTTTATCTTTCACAATCAATCGATCAGTCATAATAGTAAAGTGTAGTTAAAAAAAAAAGGAAAAAAAAAAGAGCTTGAGAGAAAGAGAAAAAAAGAGATAAAGAAATTTTCTTTCTTTTTCATATATTTTTCTCTTTTTCTATTTCTTTAAATTGTTTCAATTATTGTTGCTATTATCTACCGAATTTTTTTTTTATATATGTATTAGTGATTATAAAACAACGTGTGTATTATGAAACTGAGTTAATATAGATAACACAGGGGATTCAGATTTTTTTTTTTTTATCATACGAGTTGATCTATAACGGATCACTTGTCAAAAAAAAAAAAAAAGTAAAACCATTTTTAACTAGATTTGGAATAGATGCTAAAATAAATAAATAAAAAAAAAAAAAAGTTATATAAACATGAATTTTAATCTTTATTCTTCTTCTTCTTTTTCTTGTATTAAAACATTTTAATTTAAATAAAAAGTAAAAATGGGTCTTTTGGATATTGTTCCTGCTGGTGTCATTACTGGTGACAACGTTAAGAAGCTCTTCGACTACGGTAAGTCATTTAACATCTATTTCATTTCATTATTTGTGTATTTATTTTACTTATTCAATTAAAATAGCTCACAAGCACAACTTCGCTATCCCTGCTATTAACTGTACTTCTACCAGGTAAATTATCTTTTGAATCAGTTTCTTTTTTTTTCGTGTTTTTTTTTCTATGTAATACACACATATTATATATTCGCATTGTAATTCTCCCCTTTTTGGCTAAAAGGGTAATCTGGGTTAAAGTTTTTTATTTTTTATGTAAAAAAAAAAAAAAAAATTTTTTATCCTGTGTCAAGTAAATTCGGACTTTTCTTATTACATTGCCGTGTGTCATTATTAGAACACAGTGCTTAGGGAAAATAATAGGATAAAAAAAATTTTTTTTTTATACATAAAAAATAATAATAATAATGCAGTTCATGTGAATATGTATACATATTATGTGCATATGTATTTTGCATAATAATGACACGATAATCACATTATTTTTTTTTTTTTGTAAAAAAGTAAACATTTTAACTTACTCATTTTTTTTAATATTTAGCACTGTCAATGCTGCTCTTGAAGCTGCCAGAAAGAACAGATCCCCCATTATCATTCAATTCTCTAACGGTGGTTCTGCTTTCGTTGCTGGTAAGGCCATTGATAACAAGAACCAAGAAGCTTCTATCCTTGGTGCTGTTGCTGGTGCTCAATATGTTCGTTCCGTTGCCAAGGCTTACGGTATCCCCGTCCTTGTCCACTCTGACCACTGTGCCAAGAAGCTCCTTCCTTGGTTCGATGGTATGCTCGCCGCTGATGAAGAATACTTCAAGGCTCACGGTGAACCTCTTTTCTCTTCTCACATGTTGGATCTCTCTGAAGAACCCGTTGAGGAAAACATTGAAATCTGTCTCAAGTACCTCAAGCGTATGGCTCCCATGAAGTGTCTCCTTGAAATGGAAATCGGTATCACTGGTGGTGAAGAAGATGGTGTTGATAACACTGGTGTTGATAACTCTGCTCTTTACACTCAACCCGAAGATATCTGGGAAATCTACCGTCGTTTCTCTGAAGTCTCTGACATGTTCTCCATCGCTGCCGCCTTCGGTAACGTCCACGGTGTCTATGCTCCTGGTAACGTCAAGCTCCACCCTGAATTGCTCGGTAAGCACCAAGCTTATGTTAAGGAACAATTGAAGTGTGAAAACGATAAGCCCGTCTACTTCGTCTTCCACGGTGGTTCTGGTTCCACTCTTGAAGAAATCAAGACTGCCCTTAGCAACGGTGTTGTCAAGATGAACATCGATACTGATACTCAATGGGCTTACTGGAAGGGTCTCCGTGACTTCTACGAAAAGAACAAGGACTACCTTCAAGGTCAAGTTGGTAACCCCGAAGGTGCCAACAAGCCTAACAAGAAGTACTACGATCCTCGTGTCTTCATTCGTGCTGCTGAAACTTCCATGGTTGACCGTATCGTTGAAGCCTTGGACTACTTGAACAACAAGAACGTTTTGTAAATAATTTTCTTTTTATCATTCTCTTTCATTTTTTTTCTTAGAAAAATAAGCATATTTTATTTTCTCATTAATTTAAGCATTTAAAAAGATATAAATAATAAAAAAATTTATATGTTTTTGTGGTAAAAATTAATTTTAATATGCTGTGTGTAGTATTTTTTTTTTTTTTTTTTTTTTTTCTATTGTTTTCCAAGTAAGGTTTAGAAAAGAAAAAACACATTAATTCAGGCACATTATTTTTATTTATCTCGTAGTTATGACTTTGAATCATTTTAATAATTATATCATCAGTCTTATATTTTTTTTTTATCTAGAAAATGAAGGTATCTTAACAAGAGTAATTTCCATATATGGTGTTCTCCTTTATATACCTATTTTGATTATGTTCAAATTGGATATAAATGTTTTATGGACACTGTTAGAAACTGTAAGCATCTATTTGATAAGAAAGCATTTCACTTGATATATTCTCTTATTTTCTTAATTTGTCTAAATCATTTTGGATTTTTTCTATTAATTCTGTTTCGGTTTACTTTTCTTTCTTTTTACTACTTTCAAGTGATGAAATGAAAAAAAAATACGGAAAATCAAAAACAAAAAAAAAAAAAACTTGATAAAGCAAATTTATTATTCTACTCCTTTTTTTTTTATTTATTTATTTATTTATTCTTCTCTCTATTATATACCAAAATGACTCCGAATACCCCACTTTCTAAAAGGCTTTCGCTTCCCGACTTACAAAAACTAAAAGAAGAATGGGATAGACGAGAAGCAATTCAGACAACATCAAATCAAATACCTCCTGGAAAGCTTCAAGTAAATACATGAATAACACATACAATGTAGATTTATAATTAAAATGATGTTTTTTTATTTAGATTGACTTGTTAAATGTTCGAAGTGATGTTCCTGTAAAAAGACCTTTCATAAGACTTCGTATGGGATCTCAACATTATTTTTCTTCAAAGTCAAAAGATCCTAATGGAAATTGGAATGAAGGCTTTTTATTTACTATTTCATACCATAATCAACTATTTGATACGATTGAAGTAAAGTTATACATATATATATATATTGCATGTGTTTTAATATATATTAACGTCTTTCTTTCCCTCTCTATAATGTATATAGCTTGATTTGTATGATAAGGGTAAAACATGGAGATCAAAAACTAAACATATTGGTAAAGCCAAGTTAAAAATTGCTAAACTAAAGAATAGAGATGATGTCTTTATCACGTAAATATCTAATATTGATTCTATTTATGATACCAATACTAATACTAATATGTATATGTACATATATACACACTTACTCACTTACAGCTTTATACCAATGTATGAATATCACGTTAAAAGATATTTACCCGCTCATATTCAATTACCACATACATTCTTAAAATCACATATACCCAACATGTCAAGATATTATCATCATAAAATAAGAAAGGATCATACACCAATCACACCAAATGAAGAAGATGATATACCACCTCCTTATCAATTACATCCAAGTCATAGTCAACATTCAATGACACCTTATATTGGCTCCATTCAAGTTAGAATCCGTTATTCATTTCAATATCCTCAAGAAGATAGTAATCACTCTGATACTTTATCGGCCTTTCATTTTAATCCTATTCTTTCTTCTACTACCTCTTCTTCTTCCTTCCTGACAACATCCACTTCGAGAAAGAGTAGTAGTTGTCGTACAACATCACATGCTGTTTCATCCAATAGTAGCGATATAAGTTGCAGTACAGCAGATGAATGTGAAGGTTATCATGATGCAGTAGAACCTCATTTAATCTTGGTTGATCATCTCACCACCGCAAGTCCTACTACACCTAAGCCTACAAAAACAAATGTAATCCCAGAGGAAACAGTTGAAAATCTCTTTCAGCAGCGTATTGACCTTGATCAACATCATATTTCCTTTCCACGAACAGATGTTGAGACAAAGAAGAAGAAGAAAGGAGGAGATATGGAATCCGATACTGCCAGTATTAAAAGTCATAACTTTGGTGATAAAAACTTTGCCTTCCGTTGGATGAATGAGACATTTGATGAAGTAGCTATTTCGCATCCGAGTTTAGATCGTATGATTGGTATGGTGGTCAGTCAGCAAACAAGAATCTTATTAAGAGCTGTAGTGAAGATATTTAATGCATTTGTAGGATCTGAACTAGAGATTTATAGAGCATTCTTTCATGTTAATAGATATTTATATATATATATATAGGGTCAAGGGTTTAAAATTACAATTTTACAATTAATCTCTTCTTTATCACTTTTGCAACAATTTTATGCTGATATTCCAAGGTAAAATCGAATCAATTTTTATCATCATCATAACCTACTTACCCACCTTTTTTTCTTTTATAATATTTATACAAAGAGCGCCACCTGCTGAAAAGGTGACAGATTTAAAATTCTTGGACGAGGCCTATTATTTTTTAGGACATGCTATTATTGCATATGTAAGATATCATGTTTGCCTTTTTTTTTTTTTTTTTTTTTTTTTACTCACTTATAAATAGGGTTGGCGTGGTATATCTTATTTAGGTGATTATGCGAAATATTTAAAAGGTACAAGAAAAAAAAAAGAAAAAAACTCCTCTATAATAAATAATAACTTACATAGTTTGTTAGATGTCATGAAGACAAAGTCAAATAAAGAAGCCATTGTTAGATACTTGAAAATTCCTCAAAAAGATTTGCTAGGTTATGAATATGGATTACGAAAGGGTGCTGTATTTCAACCTAGTTATTTTATTTCTTATGATCAAGCACATGAAGCAGTTGTATTGGGTATTCGAGGCACTTGGGTAAAATAATGAATGGAAAGGATACTAAAAAGCATTGGGATCTCATTTTTGTTTTTCTTTCCTATTATTATCATCTCCAATTTAGAGTTTATATGACTGTATAACAGATTTAGTATGTGAATATCGACCTTGGAAAGGTGGTCTTGTTCATGCCGGTATGCTTGCCTCTGCACAATGGCTATTTACTACGATTATTCCTCAAATTTATCTTTACGTAAGCGAACAAACAGAAAGAAATAAACGTCGTATCTCTTCCTTTATCATCACAGGTCATTCATTAGGTGCAGGTACAGCAGCGATTTTAACCATGATGGTGGTCGAGCACCTGGATCAACTTCGTGAGCTCTCCCAGAACCCTCACTTTCGAGTTCACTGTTACAGTTATGCACCTGTGGCCAGTGTCTCACATGATCTCTCTGAGAGATACAGTGATTACATTGATAGCTTTGTCTGTCATGATGATCTCGTCGCTCGTCTCTCGTATGGAACCGCTTCCTGTGCCAAAGAGCTCATCATGGACTCTCTTATTGCTGTCGATGGTCTTGGTGGTACGACCAAGGTCACGACGAACGCAAAGACCCGTAAAGAATGTTTCAACATCATTCAGACACGACGTAAAGAAATTTATCATGGTAAAGAGCCACGATATCCATTATTATATGTCCCCGGTACCGTCTACCAATTTCGAAGAGCCTCTAATCAAAAGCGACCTATAGAGAAACAACAACAACAACAGCAAAGACGATTTCCAATACCTCCCTTTTCAAGTCAATCAGAACCTGTCTTATCAACGACACAACATAAAGAAGATCCCTCCTTTAGTTTGCATCGTTCTTCTCCTATGATTTCAGAAGAGGTCTTGATCTCAAAGACTTGCTTAGAAGATCATATGGTCGTCACGTATCTAACAGCCTTTCAAACTGTACGTCAAGATTGTATGCGTCAAAGACAAAAGGCTGAAAGTGTTATTTCCATTTGAATTAAAGTAAAAAAAAAAAAAAAATAAAAGTGTATATTAATTAAAAGTAGTTTGTTTGTTATTAAAAACTATTTATTTTTTTTTATTATTTATATATTTTTTGTATTTATTTCATCTTTCTTTATTTACACATTTATGTTGTTGTTTATACTACATCTTTTGCCATATCTATCTCAATCGTACGAAGCCCTCTCGCTTTACATAACCTATTAAATTCTTCTTGTAATTCTTGTCCCATCTTCGTGACAACATCATCTGGTAAATTAAACAAATAACAATTGATAAAGACTTGTTTCGCGTCCTTTAAGATCTCATCTGTATCTTGGTATTTGCCACTCTCTAATCGTTTTCGAATTGTACCAAAATCCATAGGGTGTTTAATGATGTCATAGTAAGTTGGAATCTGTAACAGTTCAACGTCTACAGGCGCCCCAAATGCATAGTAATGTGGATGATCACGTAACTTATCCAAGACGGATTTGTATTTCTTAAGCTCTGCAAGTTGAGTCGGGGATGCCTTAAGCTGTTCTTCCTTACGTCGTAGATTAGGTATTTCTTTATTCAGAATACCTTCTAAAATTTTTGCATTTTGTGAGAGAAGATGATCAAAGCCATTGAATGTATAGCAGTTGGTGAAAATCAGTCGCATATCACTCTCAAATTCCTTAACTGTCTTGTATTCTCCTTCTTTCGCTTTTGTAAGCATCGTACCAAGATCCATTGGATGTTTAATGATCATAGGATAATGTGGGATATTTAAAGCAATTGGATCCACCTAATAAAGAAGCGAATTAGACATTATTATTATTATTATTATTACCCAAGCAACTTACAGGTTCCAAGAAACCAAAAGATTCCTTACGATTCATCATTCTATGAATCAGTGACTCCATCTTGGCTTGTAAAGTAGGATGTAATTTAGCAGGTGGGCTATTGTCAAGTGACTTGGTTACTGAAGGTGATTTAGAACTAGACGGCGATTTGGCTACCAAAGATGATTTGGTCATTGATGATGACTTTGTCACTGATGGTGATTTGGTCACTGATGGTGATTTGATCATTGATGGTGATTTGGTGGTTACTGATGGCGATTTGATTACTGATGGCGATTTGGTCACTGATGGCGATTTGGTCACTGATGGCGATTTGGTCACTGAAGGTGTTTTAGTTACGGAGGGTACAGAATCTATTTCCATAGGCTCTACTGTTGTATCTATAGTAATTGCTGGCTTTTGACTAGTATGTGATGACTTCACTTTCTTTGCAGGTGGTAAAGTGGCTTCCTCTTCACCGTGGGTTGTTTTCGCAGGTGATGATGAATGAGGTCGTTTCACGACATTAGCGTTACTGATCCGAGCTCTCATCTCTCTTCCAATATTATGATAATATTTCTCTAACTTTTTACCTTGCTCATGTCCAAAAGTACCAGGAGCATTATAAGTAAAGCAATTTTTGAAGACAAGTCGAATATCTTGATCAAGATTCTTCAAAGAGGTATATTTACCACTTTCTAATCGTTCCCAAATGGTACGTAGATCCATTGGTTGCTTAACAACAAGAGCATAATCTGGAAGTGACTCTAAATCAACAGGCTCATTAAAGATAGCAGCAGCATCATGTAAGGTTAGTTTATTAACAACCTTCTGTGCAATTCGTTTCTCTTCTCCCTTGAGTGCATCTGGATTAGCGAATTCTGTAGACCAGATCTGGTTAAAGAATGTTTCGAGTGCTTGACATTGTTTAACAACCCATGAGTTATGATCATTAAAGCCATAACAGTTCCAAAAGATTTGTCGTACATCGCGTTCAAATTCCCAGATCGTTTCATATTTTCCTTGATCCAAATTCTTTCGGATCGTAGACAGGTCCATAGGACGCTTGATGACTTCATAATATTGAGGAATATTCAAGACAACTGCATCAACAGGTTCATAAAAGGGTTGAGACGCTTGATGTGCCCACAGCTTCTTGAAAATTCGATCACATCGTTTGCGATTGTCATCACTCATCGCGGGATTAATGAGAGCTGCAGTTGATTTTAATTTCACCTTTTCTGCATTTGATGGTTTAGTAGCTGTGGATGAAGATGTAGGTGTGACCGTACTTGAGCCCACAGTAAGTTGAATAGATGTCTTTGAAGAGTCAGAAGCACTTGTGGTATTCATATTAGCAGCCTTGACATCATTAACAGCTTTAGAGGACTTTGAAGATGCACTTGTCTTTTCCTGAGGTGCCTTAATTTTTATGGTAGTTGGCACAGTAGGTGTTGTAGGAATAACAGTAGTAGTAGCTTCTTGTTTCTCTTTTGCTTTCGAAAATGATTCTCGTCGAGCATCCGTAGTTGTATTAGTACTGAAATAATATTTCCATTCTTTAGTGTAAGCCTCTTCAAGTTGCTTTGCTTCATTATAGACATATGTATTAGGAAGATTGAAGGTATAACAATTATTAAGCATTAAGCGTACGTCAGAATCCATTGCTTGAGCATTTATATAATGATTATTCTTTAACCGACTTTTAATTGTACCTAAATCCATAGGCGTTTTGATGATTTTTGTATAATGAGGAATTCCCTGTCTTATAGGATCAACAGGACGTAAGAATTCAAATGCATGTGGATTTGTCATTGTCTTTTGAAGTAAAGCCTCCATCTTTTCCTTTTCACTCATACGGGATATATTCTTATTGGCTCCTGCTGATACTGTTGTCGTTAAAGAAGTAGTGCCTGTAATTGTTGTAGTGTCCTCAGATGGAATAGATCCTTTCTTTTCCTCTTTAGAGGGTTTTTCTAAAGGTTTAGATGATACAACAGTAGTAATAGATTTAGTTTTAACAGGTTTAGGCGGTTTAATAACAACAGTCGTTGGTGTTGTAATAGGAGGAGGGCTATGATGGGCATTATTTACAGGGTTTTCAACAATGGTCATATTTTGAGTCTCGTCGTCTTCTTTACCACGCATATTAGCCAGTTCCTTTTCAAAAACTGCTTCTAAAGCCATGCCTTCGTTGTAAACATACGATCCTGGTCCATTATATGTAAAACAATTATTTAACATTAAACGTATATCATCTTCAAACTGATTAAACGAACTATATTCCTTATTTTCCAACCTTCTTTTAATTAAACCTAAATCCATTGGTTTTCTACACATATTAAGATAAAAATTGATAAATAAATGAGTTTTTTTTTTCCCCTAACATTATTACATAATTTAAAACTTACTTAATTATTTCATAATATCCTGGTGCACCATCCAAAACTTCATCTACAGGTTGAGTAAATAATAAGGCAGAAGGGCTCTTGTTTAATTTATTAAAAACACGTCTGCATTTCTTGAGTTCTTCAGCAGTAACATTATCGACTACTTTTTTATATTTCGGTTTAGGTGGTGGAGAAGGAGGTCTTTGTACGACTTTTTCTTCAACTGGCTTTGTTATTACTTGTTCATTATCCATTATATGATTTGCTGAATCAATAGAAATAGGTGAAGAAATAGCTTCTACAGAAGGTTCAGTGGCTGGTATATCTTGTGAAAGATTTTCAGTTTTAATATAAATATTGTTTGTTTTCTTATGAGTCTTGGATTCTATAAATTGTAGGTTTAATTTTTTTTTTTTTGAGAATAAAAAATAGATGTATGCACTATGCCACTTACTTTCTTCTGGTTTCTGTTTGGGTTTGCTAAAACGAATAATAGTATGCGAGGTTGGTGTTGATGGTTCTGATGTATCTTCGGGTATTTCTTGTGTCTTTTTTTTTTTTTTTTTTTTTTTTTTTTTAGAAAAAAAATAAAATAAAACAAAATAAAAATAGTTGTTAGAGGATGTTGTTTCTGATAAACTACTCAAAACAAAAATTACCGATGGCAACGTGGGAACACGAATAGTAACTTTAAGACCAACATCAATAGGTTTGAACATGTATTCACAAAATTGCAGCAAGTATTTTCGTATTGAATGATCAAGCTTAGCATTTTCAGAAGAACTAAATAATAATAATAATTAAATATAACACAGAAAGATAATAAAATAAAATAAAAAGTTTACTTCAATAACTTCCAAAGGCTTTGTTGAAGTTCAGTATCATTTTCAAATCGTTTTCTCAAACTTTCAATATTCATTTGGAATTCTTGTTGAATCGTTTTCTGTGGAGGTGAAGTGCTACGTTCATCGTCAATCACGACTCGTCCCTCTTCTTCAGCAAATTCCTCGACAAATCGATTGGATTCTGCATTATTTTCGTTTGATATACTACTAGTTTCTTTAAGGGCCAAACCTAGCCATGCCAGCATGGCACGAGCAACATAATGCGATACATAAACACATAAATCGTCCTTGATAACACTCAAGAAATAACGATTAAGTGTATGATCTGAAAGTCCACATAATATAAAAAGACTATCAAAGGCAGCAAGACGTACTTCAAGATAGTTGCCATATCGTGTGTATTGTAAGAACATTGGTATATTGACCGGCATTAATTCCTTAAGCATAAGCTTTGTCATCGTTTGAAGACAAGTGACGGTGATAATATTATGATAGCTAGGAATCACGTAATCCAAAGTACGGAATCGCTCAATTTCGGCTTTAGCTGCTGCATTTACTTGCTCACCTTCTAGATCATCTTCTTGTTCTAAGGATGCTATATCGTCAGTTGTTAGCGAGGGTATTATAGCATCACCTAATGAAGATATCAAGGTAGCCACATAATAGCAATCAGAAAACTCATTTCCAACATTGTCATTATATTTTAGTAGGTCCAATAAGAATTGTCTAATACGTACAGGTGTTAAACCACGCTCATCACGGATTTGTGAAAATGCAACAACAGATGCTTTTTGTATAAAGTAATCTGGCAAGTTGGAGAAATTATTTGGCTTAGGAATTGAAACTGTCATAGGTAATTCGTTCTCTTCATTATTTGAATTCGTTACAGGGAAGCAATAACGCTTATTAAACATCTTATTCAATTGATGTAGACCAACCCAATTCAAACTTGGTGTAGCACAAGCTGCTAATCCATAAGCAGCCTCCATACGAATTTTATAAAAGCATTTATTATCAAGCACTGCACGCAACAAGCTTGTTGATGTGGCATAGGAAGGCATATGTTTCAAAGCCTCAATAGCCTCATGCTGAGCTACAACATCACGATCTTTGGTCAATTGAGCAGCCCACATATAATCAGGTTGCTTAAAATCACAAATACAAAGCCATTCAAATTCAGCATCTAATCGAATCCAGTCAAACATTGCACTTGCAGCACCGCTTGTATCCTCTTCGTCTTGACCCCATTCTACGATCCTCCAGGCTTGTTTTTGAGCCGGATCTTCAAATACAGGCATACCAAGACCTAAACTAGGAATAATACCCAGTACCGTTGTGCTCTCTGTTCCTTCTTCGTTTTCTTGTTCTTCTTCAGCTACTGCTGCTGCTGCTGCTGCTTGTTTTGCTAAGAATCTCTTTGTGTTTCGACGAATACGTTTGTATTTCGTATTAAACTGCACCTCAAACTTGTTTGTTGTGGATTGAATGTCAAGAATATGCTCATATGGTGTACCATCTGCTTCATGAATTCGAACAGTTAAATTTCCAGTGAAAACAGGTGACATTAATTCCTGATAATTCGCTATGATTGCACCACCGTTATCCGAGTTTCCCAATGTATCTTGTTGATTAGATAAGAGTGAAGCATTTGTATTTTCTTGGCGCATAAAAATTTCAACAACCATTTTCTTACGATTGAAATGGAATGAAAATGAAAATCGAGGACATCCACTACGATAAATCCATTGTTCTGCAAATATACGCGTATCGAATCCACTCACCTTTCTACAAAGTCGAAGAAAATAATGAGTGCTAATAGCATTTTGTGATAATTCACCACTCATAGCTGAAACAAGAATTTTGGGTAACACTCGAGAGAGGCCTAATGTCCCGCCTCCTTTACACATTCTTTTATCAAGCATATAAATGACAATAGGTGCTTTTAAATCAATGAATTCTAAATCTTCTGGATCTACTGGATAAGGCAACGCTGGGTTATATATGGGAGGTCGATTGATATCTAATTTACAACATAATTCCATATCCTAATAATAATAAAGTTTTTTTTAGCAACCCTTTCTTATATTGTTTTTTTTTTCTTAATTGTCATTACCTTTTTTAATCTTAGACGATATTCATTATTACCCAAATGTCTTTTAATAAATAAAGAACCCATCAAATTAGCTAATCCTCGTACTAGCCAAGTATCAGGCCATGACTTTTGAACAATATAAATACCAAACCATTGCTTAGCAAGTGCTTGACTTAATTCACGTCTAGTAAGATAAATTTGATCTATTACATCTGCTGAATGCAATAATCTTGAGCTACAAATAGCTAAAGAAGCACTTGATGCAGTATCTGCCCAAGCATCTTCTACAAACACAAGCTTGTAATCCGAAAAGGGATATGACCCATACTCTTGTGTATAAAAATGCATAGCCTTTTTTTTTTTTAAAAAAAAAAAAAAAAAAAAAAAAAAAAAAAAAAAGACATTAATAATTATTTAATTTACTATTATAACCTACTTACATGCATTAGAAAACTACATGTAATACTCAACTCCTCTTCCAAACCTGGTAAAGCGAATGCATAAATATTAGACATCATATTAATTTCAGCCATTAAACTTTGTTGCTGATTTTCATCCAAATTAGTTGCTGTCATAACCTCTTCTTGAAGTTGAGAAGGAGATAATTTGATCATCTCAAACGGACCAATGGCAAATCCAATAAAGGGTGCTGGCGTAGGTACGGATAGGTTATAATGAACAATTTTCTTTGATGAATCTGTAGGATGAATTACTTGCTCAAGTACATCTCCACTACATACAACCATTATCCCATCTGTCTCATCAAATGCACCTTCTCCATCGTACTCAGACAAAGGTAATATACTGTTATCGTTTTTACGAGGCACAATAAACTCCATATCCCATGTACATCGTTCAGAAACTCTATCAATACAAGGTAACCAGGATCGTGTTGCACCTGGTAACGGCTGGTGTACTGTATAAACATGGTTAACACGATAAGGTGCTACTTCTTCATCTCTTTGAACGAAAATAACGCCATTCCGTGGATCTTCTAAAGTATATTCGATTTGAATAATGATCGGAGCATAAGTTGGTTGTTCAATAGACTCTTCGGTATTGTTATTATTTACTGGCGTTGTTGCTGCTGATTCTTCTTTACGCTGTGTAGAATATGAATCTAATATACAAATACATATAATGATAAATAAGTCCAGTACTGATACATTCATATTTTATAGTTATGTACCTGACTTTGATTGTAGAAAATCTGCCGTTTTGTTAATAGACTGAGCTTCTGCTTCAGATACCTGTTTTTTTAAAAAAAAAGAAAAAGAAAAGAAAAGAAAAAGAAAAAGAAAAAGAAAAGTTAAACAAAAAAATAAATAATAGGATTCGCTTACTTACTTCTTTTATACAATCAGCAGGTAATTTTATATTCAATTCGCCTTCATCAGCATTCCTTAATGCAGTTAAATATCGATTTTTATAAACTTGATGATGAGCTATTGTTGTATTTGAATCTAGTGCAAGATTATTTACTGCATCAATGTATTCAAATTCAACTGGTTTATCATTAACAAATGCCTTTTTAATTTCTAAAAATAAAATAAATAATAAAAGTTTGTTAAAAGTATTATAAATTAAACAAATGAAAATAAATGCTTACTGCATTGTTGACAGTTGATTCGAACACTTGTAAGTTTATTATTTAAAGGTTGAATCGTAAGTTCTGCTAAACCCTGTTTTATTATTTAAAATGTTAAATCAACATAATATAGCTAATTCTCAACTAATTACCTTTATAAAACATTTACTTGGATCTATCTCAAGCACAAATCGTTCATGACTTGTATAAAAAGAAAGTAAACATGTCAGTACTACGCGAAGCTAACAAAGTTTCATAATTGTTAATCATTGAAAATTGAAATACTTATAATGTAAACGCTTTTTTTAATGCGTCTCTCTGCATGACAATTTAATTTCGTTATATGTGTATTATAAAAAAAAAAGGGTTTTTATTCTTTTTTTTAGTATAAAAGAAGAAGAAATTATGATAAATATTTTTAAGAGTAATAAAAAATGAAGAATTAGTTCTATTTATTATGGAAGTATGAAATGTCTTTTTATTGTAGAACAAGTCACATAGATTAATCTTTTTTTTTTGTTTTTATTTTTTCTTATTCATACGTTTAGTCTCAGTTTTACATTACTATCCAAGTTGTAGAAAACTTTTATTAATTTACTCCTTGAATCAAGCTTTTCGTTTATTTCACATTTTATTTTTATATTAAGCACCATTATTGTGTATTTGAAGACATCTAACATAATTAGTTTAACGTCTTGTAGAAATAATTGTTAGGTTTTATTGATTATCTTTATTCTTTGTTTTCAACATCATTTTACACATATTTTTTTTTCCTTTATACAAATTAAAATAAAATAAAATTTAAACAAGATGTTGTATTAAGTGTAATAATTAATAGGTCCATAAGCCGCAATTCGTTGTTTGTGTTGAGATAGTAGGAATGTCCTCAATTGATTATATTCCATCTCCTTTGCTTCTATCAAGTTTTTTATTTCTTTGATTTTAGCACTCGTTGTTTGTGCTTTTTGGGGACTATAATATTCTCCTCTTTTTTTAAATTCAATGACTCTCGATCTATGGGAGTGCTCTAGACGACATAGATCACTTACACATTCAATGAGTTTGAATTTAATGTTTTTTAGCAAGCTGTCATGTTGATCTTTAGTAAGTAAATGTTCTTCTGTTTCCATTTCGTACTCTTCATCACTATCATCAAAGGAAAAAGGTTCAACTTGTATCAATTGAAATGTGTTTTCCATCTTGTCCTATTCTATTGTAAAAAAGAAACGCATAATTTTGTAACTGAAGTTTGCTGTAAACGTCACCTTTAAATTGAAATTCAGCTAACTTAAGTGGGTTGTTGTTCTCCAGGCTTGTTATTTATTTTCTCCACTTACATTTCCCCACACAAAATAAAATAATGCTTCGACATTCAATTCAACGCATTAGTATAGCTCGACACACTTGCTTAAAGACTTGTATTGCTTCATATACAACTTCTTTGAAACCCTCAGCTAAGACTATTGAAGCCGAACTTCAACAAGCACCGAATCGTACTAATACTTGGTCTGAAAATCAACGTCCAAAGGCAAAAGCTATGGCTGGGCCACGTTTCGAACAAATTGATATGAGTACTCAGGTAAAATAAGAATAAGAATAAGAATAAGAATAAGAATAATATATTTACATTTATAAATATGCGGATAGCCTAACCCTATGGCAGCCATTGAACTTATTGCTGAAGTGCCCATTCAATTTGTGAGCAAGAGAATTGTTCATTGCGATGGTGGTAAGAAAGAAATAGCATAGTTTCTATGATGAGATTACTGACTCTAATTATATCTTAGGCGGTGGGCCTGTAGGTCATCCTAGAGTCTATATCAATTTAGATAAGCCTGGTCCTCATTCTTGCGGCTATTGTAAGTTATAGTGAATTGCATATAGAGTATATTCTTTTAATATTGTTACCTTTTTATTTTATTTTATTTTAGGTGGAATTCGCTTCCAAAAGACAGAAGAACATCATCATTAGATACTATTTTATATTATTATAAAATATTACTACTTGTATTTATTTTTATTTTTATTTTTTGTCATTGAGAGTTTATATTGTATAAGGTTCATAATTATTGTAGATAGTATCTCTTTTATAGTAAGAGTGGATTATTGTTTTTGACTGATCTTCCTATCCCTTACTGTGTTCATATTTAGAAATAAGGCAATTTTGGATTAATTAAAACTATACTTAAGATGATTAAATGCTGTAAAATCAAGCAAAGTAAAAGCTAACTTATGACAAGAAGTGATTCTCTTTATACAAAATGACAATCATTATCGTTGGATATCTTATTTGTAAGTATATAAGTATATTTTATTTTAAAAAAAGAATACAGTGGTTGTTATGGTGATTTAAATAATCCTTTTTTTTTTAGGAAACTACACTATATTTCCAAAGAATCATGTCACAAGCCTTACAAATAAAAGGGACATGAGTGATGCCCTATAATAGCATTACTGTTTGTAGATTAAAAGAGTTGTTTCAAGTATAATTTGAAATAATACGAAGAATTTGACACTTGTAACCTAAAATAGTCTGGCTAATATAGACTTTTTCTTCCTTTTTAATTTGTAATTGAGAAACCTCGCATTGTAGTTTCTAAATATATAACATTTAGTCCTATCCCTCTTATTACTGGATATGTTTTTTTATAGTATTCAGTTATATATTTAAGCTTTAAAAAAAAATACATATATAAAGTGCAGACAGGTAAAGTGGATGAAGTTGACTCAACAGGAGTCAACATTTAAAAACCGAATTCTTTAGTACAAGAAAGAATAACTAGTAAGATATATATATATATATATGCATTATTACTTATATTGAAGGTAATTAGGGAAAAAAAAACATTAAATTATAATGCTAGTGCCTGCTTTGAGTGTGTCCCAATATTTTCTTAAAATAGTGTCATTCATTAAAGATTATGTAAGAATTAAATCAAATGTAAAAAGACTCACTGGTAAATATATATATCACTGAAGAAGCTTGAGGTAACTCTTATCTGTACTTCATTTGAACTATCAAAGTAAAACTTTGAATTATTCTTTGATCTATCCTTAACTTGGACTGTAAAACGAGTCTAAATTTTAAAATAAAATACCTCTTTTCTACAAATAACACACATATATGACGCATAATAAATTTATTGGCCGACAATATTTGAAATAAAATTGCTTGATTTTTATTGTCTTTTTTTTTTCTTCAATCTAAATTTATAAAATGGACGATTTACTCGACCTTAATTGGTCTACACCAACATCTGTTGTAAAACAGCCTATACCAAAAGAAAAACCAAAAGATGCATTTGCTGACCTTTTATCTACACCTCCTAAACCGATTGATATTTCGAAACTTTCTTTAATAGAGCAACAGAAATTAAAGCAACAACAAAATTCGGATTCGTCTTGGCTTACGCCTGCTCAGACAACAATGCTTAATAAAACATCAGAAACGCCTAAAAGTACTTCTACATATACATCTTCTCCTACTTCTTCATTTTCAGAAACACATAAACCGAAGCAACCTAATCTGTCCTTTGATAACTTGCTAGATCCTTTTGGTAATAATGTAAAGAAACAAGATCAAAGTAAAAATACACCTTTAAATCAACTGTAAATATGCATGAAGAAGAAAAAAAAATAATAATAATCAATTTTGTTTTGTTAAAAACTAAATTTAGTTTAATTTTATTAGACGTACTCAACAAGCAGATACACCAAATGAACAGCAATGGGATTTTGATTTATTAGACACAAAATTAACTAATGGTACAACAGCTAGTGTCTCATCTATTGACCCTTTTGATGTAGACTCGCTTATTCAACAATCAAGTAATTCTCCATTATCTCAGTCTATCGTTAATGAAAATTATCCAGAAGATAATCCTTTAGGTATCTTGGCTGAGCCTGCCACAAAGTTATTTCCTAAAGAAGAAGAAACAAAATCATTGCCCACATCGCCCTCACTACAACAGAATCAGTTATTTGACCAAGTTCAATTGGATGAGGATGAAGAAGATGCCATGCTTGCTCAATTAATTGATATGGGATTCAGTCTCCAAGAATCTAAATTTGCCATTGAAGCTACACTTGGTCAAGACCTACAGTCTGCAATTGATTTGCTGGTTCAAAATTCGACTAACACTGTTCAAAGACAACAGTGTTCTTCAAAACAACAAACCTCTTCAAATCAAACAGAACGAACTCGTCGGGCCTTATTTGAAACTAATAATAAATCTAGTTCAGTAAAGCAACATGAGTTGAATAGTGACGTTTTCCAGCCAGAAAAGATTGTAATACAGGCACAAGAGCTAGGTGGAATTTTGTACAAGAATGCTGCATCCTACTTGAAAGCAGGTCGTGATAAAGTTACAAAGGCAGTGGAAGATTGGCAGGAGCAACAACGTACGCATCGTTTGCAGCAGATGCAAGAGGAACAAAAGCGGTCCACGAAACCAAAGTGGATGATGAACAATGATGACATTAAGTTGGATATGTCTACTAATACTAAGGTTGAAAGATTTGTTGATGATGATGATGATGACCTTGAAACAGAAAGAAAAAGAATGGAAGAGTTAAGAAGAAAGCAACAACAACAACAAAAGCAGCAGCTAAAAAAGGAAAGATTGTTGTTAGACGACGATGAGCAAGAAGTTTATGTGTCTCCGTCACGTCGAAGAAATCCTCATAATATCAAATCAATATCTCAATCACCTGTTACAACTCAATTATCACAAACTACTAATATATCTCAGCAACCTTCGCCAGCATTAACATCAGTTAATGTTCGAACAAAATCTGTTATTAATGTATCTCCTAATATTATGGCTCAAGTTAACGAAGCTCGTAATTTGGGCAATGAAAAATTTAAACTGGGACAATTTGGAGAAGCTGAAGAGGCTTATAGTCATGCCATTAGTTTACTTCCTGATGGCCACGATCATCTTGTCTTACTCTGCAATAATCGAGCTGTAACACGCTTAAAAACGGGTCATTATAAACAATGTATTGAAGATTGTGATAAGGCTATCTCTTTAGCAAAGGATAATAGAGATGAGCAAACTGTTTCAGAAGGTATTGTAATTCAATGGCGTGATCAGATTCTTAAATCATTGTACCGTAAAGCAGAAGCATTAGAGAATATTGAGAAATATAGGGAGGCCTTGGCAACTTATGATCTCCTTGTGAAATATGAGGGTACAAATAACTTGAAAATTAATCAAGCTATGTCGAGATGCAGACAAGCACTAAACCCCAAAAAGAGGACTCAACCATCACCAATGCTGCAGAAAAAGGATGATTATATGTCTATGTTTGTGCCTTCAGATAAAGCTACAGTAATTTCGTCATCATCTACAGTCTCGTCCGAAGAATTAGGCAAGAGTAAAGCAGTAGCTGCCATGAGAGCTAGGGCAGCCCAGCAAGAAGCCGAAGATGCTGAAAAACTGAAAAAGACAGATGAAGTTAATGCTCGTTTATTAGCTTGGAAAGCAGGTAAAGAGCAAAACTTACGAGCTCTACTGGCTACCTTAGATACATTATTGTGGCCGGGCGCACAATGGAAAGGGGCACAGATGAGTGAATTGATCAATCCTAAAAAATGCAAAATAATATATATGAAGGCCATTAGTAAAGTTCATCCGGATAAGGTATTTTTTTTTCTTTTTGCTCAATAATACTTAAAAACACTTACCATTATATTTATAAATATATAGCTCCCATCTAATGTTACAGTCGAACAAAGAATGCTTGCAAGTGGTATTTTTGCAACTCTAAATGAGGCTTGGGACTCTTTTAAAGATCAAAATCAATTGTAAAAAGTAGTGTTATAAAATTTTTACTGCACCTAAAAGAAAAAGAAATAAATATGATCCATCTATTTAGAGAATAGAGAGCATCAAAAATATAGAATCTTATTAATAAAAAATGCATGTATACTAGTGTTTCATAAATAATTAGAATGTAATATAAAAATGATGAAAACAAAAGGGGTTTTATTACTCTATTAAGACATTATCTTTGCACAAATGATGTATATTTTTCTATGCTATTTTTTTTTCTCCATTTTTAATGTTGAACTATTCAGTTTATATACAGGCAATATATTATATTAGTTTCTTTATTAATAGAATTCTTCCTATTAAGTTTAGTAGACTTATATCGTCTATACTTTCATTTACTACATTATCTTTATTATTATATCTTTTCTACAAAATTTGTAGTATTGATTTCATCAAAGTAAGCTAGTGGTATAACAAATACTGTGCATCATACCTTTAAATAAATAAATATATATACATATTCAGGTCATTGGCAAGTAATTTAATCTTAATATTATTTTTTTTACATAGTATTATACATTCAATCCATATAAATCATTATGTCCTTAGTTTTATGGACTTTTAGTACATATTTAAATATTGTTGTTCATTTCTAATTTGTTGCTATTTACAGAAAATACTATAATACTTTATTTTTATATTATGAATATACTAAATAAAAAATGATATCTTTTTGTAACGATAATCGTATCTGATCAGAAAGTAATGAAGTAAATTTGTTGGATAATATGTGCCTGTGTAATCGATGATAGCTTCAAATAATAATAAATATTTTTTTTATTCACTAGAAAGAGATGTCACCTTGTTTAAAAATTATATAAAAATTCTTTTTATGATATATTGGCAATAGTGTTATCTTTATATCCAGTCCTTTCTTTAGGTCTGTCAGCTGATCTATTACTTTATAAATTATGCTTGATGTTGACATTATTCTCGACTTTAATTCTAACTTCACTTGTGCTGTTCTTAATACCTCTAGTACCTGGTTATTATATTGTCTGAAGCCTTCACTTTTATTTCTGTTTGTTTTCCCTACTATTAGTTAGCTAAAAAAAAAAAAAAAAAAAAAAAAAACTGTTATTACTGCCACTATTTAGCCTAAAAATATGACAAATATCTAGAGAAAAAAAATAACAAAAATTAAAAAGAAATTCGAAGCTACCAGGGGTCGAACCTGGAATCTCCTGATTCGTAGTCAGACGCCTTATCCATTGGGCCATAGCTCCTTTGGTTGATTAAAATTTATTGAAATAAAATATAGAGATAATCGAATAAAAATTCAATCGCCGATAAATGTTAGCCAATCATATTTGGCGAATATCTAATATGTGAATACCGCAATTTGTTCTTCTTTTTTTTTCAGTACACTTCCAAAATAAATTGGGACAAGGTTGTAAAATTGGGACACCAATGTTATAGAACAAGCTCTGGATATAATTATAAGTAATATTATAGTAGATGAATTACATAAGACAGGATAAATTATAAGCCTGAATATAAAATAAAACTCTGTAGATAACATCTTGTAAATAATATAAAACTTATTGACTGTTATAGAACAAGCTCTGGATATAATCATAAGTAATATTATAATAGATGAATTACATAATACAGGATAAAATATAAGCCTGAATATGAAATAAAACTCTGTATATAACATCTTATAAATAATATAAAACTTATTGACATCCAATTGTCTAGATGTATCAATTATAAGACATCGTATCATTTCTAAATATTTATTTTTATAACCTTGACAAAGGATTCAGGTCGTCTTTGATCCAATAAAATAAAACATAAAAGATATCAGGAACCTATACTCAGATCAAGCAATTTAAATCTTAAATCAGATTATTATAACACCCAATAGATAATCCATATAAATCAGTCTCTTGAGTCAACAAAATGTATATTTGAATACTAACAACGTTTCATGACTCATGTTCTTTGACAGCTATTTTTATTTCTTTGATTTAGGATTCATTAGTATAAATACAGGTAGTTGTGTAGACGCGAAATAATTCTTTATCTTTAATTCTCTTTTTATTACCTTTTTTACATTGAATGTGTTATGATTGTAGTCGTCCTTATAACTAAGTTAATAGAAATGAACCATCAGTTATTACATAATAAAGAAATTATTCATATAAAACTAGTATATTGAACTTCACAGCATAATATTCATTCTACACTCAGTTTTAATAATAGTCATTGTTAGAATGCTCGAGCAATAATAATAATTATATACATAATTCAAACAGGATTATGGCTGGTGTATTCAGTTACATAATTGTTCTTGAGTGATACATATCAGATACACATTGATAATATCGAATATTGTTAAGTAATGAAATCTTATACAATGATAATGATAGTAGCTCATAAATAATTGGTATTGTTGCAGCTAGACATATTCACTGAGAACTAATATTGATATGTCGCAGTGCAATAATAATGATTCATTGTGTTTCTAGGAACAGCAACAACTCAGAAAGAAAGAAAAAAGAATAAAGAAATATCTTATTGATCGCAGAATTATTCGGAGACGATGTTTTATGTAAAACACTTTATTATAGTAAAACTTGCTTATCTGAATCATATTTCCATTGATAACACTTACCTTGTAAAAACATATAAATAACCCTCAATTTTTCCATATAATTTTTCGTGGTACAATTTTTGTATTATCTTTAATAAACTATACAAAGTTTTCACAGACTTGTCTTCTGTTCATTCTTTTTCCATTATCTTTTGCTAATCAAAACACATATAAAAAAAACATGTTAAAACGTATAGAAGCAGTTATACTAGATTTTTAAATAAATATAATAATAGTCGAGAATTAATTTTTGCCAGTTTTGAATTTCATTTTCAAATATAATTTATATTCATATACAAATATATATAATTAAATAGAAGTTATACTGGCAAAAAAAAAAGGGCAGTAGTAGTAGTGTTATCAAAATAAGCAGTAGTTTATAGGGGTTTATAAGTAGCCTAACTGGGCAAGAGATTCAAAATGAGACTAGTAGCTTGAAGAAGAGTTTTATTTAACAAAGATATATAATTTTATACATATGATCATTGTTCATTAAAATAAGAAGAAGTATTCTGTATTTGTATATTTCTTTATAATAATTAGTAATTTCTACTTGGTTGTTGTACAAGTTACCACTGTAACCTCGTTAATATTCTAAGGCCGAGAAATTTGTGACTTACACAACAAAAAAAAAAAAAAGAAGCCTTTTTCAATTTTATCTGTAACTACTAAAAAGTGTTTAGTATGCATAAGACATTATCATTTTCCCCCCATACTGTTTGATTCTACATAGTCTATTTCTCAAAGCTTTTGTAATGTCTTATTAAAATATAGCTTGCAAAAGCGTCGAACGTACAACAATATATACTTCTAGATTGTTGATGACTGCTTATTCAGTCAATACCTGCTAGTAGGCTTGAAACACATTATTCTTACCTAATCTAGTACGTACACTTTATTTTATTTTACGAAATGCTAGAGGTACAAGAACTTGAAAAAAAAAAGAAATTCTGTAATAAGTATTTGATGCTACACAGAAACATAAATCGAGAAGATATGCAATTGTAGGATCATTAGAAGAAAGAAAAAATAGATGTATATGTATATCATATGAAAATAAAGACAAGTCCTTCGATGTACAAACTGATAAATATTTTTCTATTTAACGTTTTCACTGCCTCTACTTGTATAATTTAATAAACTGATTAGCAATATTTTTCTTGTATATAAATAAAATAACTCGACAGAATGAAAGAAATGGATTTAATCTGGAAGCAAAAAAAAAAATAAAAATAAAAAAGGGATATCCCTTTCTCTCCCCCCCTCTTTTCCCCTTTTTCCCCCCTTTTTTTATTTTATTTTATATTTCAAACCTTGGGCTTATATATTGAATAACAAATGTTTTAGTCAGTCCAGTCAATTTGAATAGCAAAATAAAGTTTAATTTTAACTCTAGAATAGTCATCAAGTTATAATAAATATGATGAAATTCAACAAGTAGTAGTTATAAAGGATTCTTCTAATGGAAAAAAAAATATTGCTTTGAAGAAAAAAAAAAGGGGGGGGAGAGAGAGAGAGATAACTATTGACAGTTTTTCTTTCTTTCTTCCTTTTTCTAGTCAGTACAACAAGAAAACTATATTTAATCAAATGTTACACATCAATAAAAATATATTTTGTTGCTCATTCCCACAAAATTTAAGAAGAATAATAGTATCCATAAATAGACATTTCTGTAAGATTTAGATATTCTCTCCTTCTTTTCCTATTTATCAAATGTTTCTATCTTATGCAATAAAATTATCAAAAAGATGGAAAATTATTCTATTTACCTTATGTGCCCTAATATTACTTGGTCACTTATGGATATTAGCCTATCCAAGACCATCCCTGATATCTAATCATAATCCTAATTCACTACCACCAATGGATAAGGTGAATAAAGAAGAAAATGTTATAACTCAAATTGAAGAAGAATTACCAACGCCTGAAAAGAAATCGATTTTATTTGGATTTGGTGGATTTTTATCTAAATTACCTAAACTTCAATATGATTTTGGCCCAGAACCGATAGAATTTACTGAATTTAGAGAGAAAAGAAGAGAAGCCATCAAAAAATCATTTATTCATGGCTGGAAAGGATATAGTAAATATGAATAGTATGTATGTATGAATGTATATAGTTTTATTAAATGATATAGTTTATATTTAGAAACCTATGCTCTAGGTCATGATGAATTAAGACCTTTAAGTAACAAACCAAAGAATCCATTTGGTGGCTGGGGTGCAACTATGATTGATTCACTTAGTACCATGTTGATCATGGAATTAACAGATGAATTCCTTAGCGTTATACCACGTTTACATAAAATCAATTTCAAAGTCGATGAAGAGATTAGTGTTTTTGAATCTACCATCCGATACTTGGGTGGTTTTTTAAGTGCTTATGAATTATCAGATAGAAAACATGATATTCTATTACAAAAGGCCAATAAATTAGCACAAGAACTTTTACCAGCCTTTGATACACCTTCAGGATTACCACATCATCTTTGGAACCCCTTAAAGTAAAATAGAATCGAAATTTGTACAGAGATTTGCAAAAAAAAAAATAATAATAATAATAATAATAATAATAATAACACTGTTATTATATAGAAATAAGCCGAACAATGATGAAACGTTGATTGCAGAAGTGGGTACAATTCAATTAGAATTCATGATGCTTTCTCAACTTACAGGAAATCCTATCTATGGACAAAAGGTGATTTAAAATATACTTATAATAAGAAAGACTCATAGTAAAGAATTGTAGGCACAAGCAATTACTGATTACTTAGACAACATGGGGTATGAACATGGACTTTATATTCAAGGTTTATTTCCTACCGTAATTAATGTTCAAAGGGGTCATTTTAAAGATGGTAAAATAATGATATATACCACATAGTCCTCACATATATATATATATATATATATATATATATCTTACTTTTATTATCAATAGCAATATCTACATTTGGTGCAATGGGCGATAGTGCATTTGAGGTTTATTATCACAATAAAGAAAAAAAAAAAAAAGGAAAAAGGGAAAAAGTCTAAATTAGTTTATTTAATAGTATTTCCTTAAAGAATATTTATTGATGAATGGAGCAGTTCCACAATATGGTCAAATGTGTAATGATAGCAACATCAAATAATAATAATAGTCGTAAATGTTTAATCATGTTTACTTAGATATTCGATCTATTAAAAATATGAAAAAGTATATGCTTCGACAAGTACCAGGCTATGACTTATTGATGTTGCCTCCTTTTGATACACAATATAAAACACATAGAGATGCTATGGATCATTTAGTAAGAATACAATAGAGTAAGAAGAGGGACTCAGTATATTGACTATTTATTATTTTATAGACATGCTTTGTACCAGGAATGCTTGCAATGGGGTCAAAAACATTTAATGAGCCAGAAGATATGGAAATCGCTAAAGGACTTTTAGAGACTTGTGTCTATATGTATCGTATTACAAGTACAGGTTTAAGCCCAGAGAGTTGGGTTATATCTAATACTGAATCATACAATCCACTTACATTCAACAAGACTAAAAATGATCTTGCTAAGCTTCGTGATTGGTGGTATGAGGATAATAAGACAGTGATAAATCAAACATACACAAGTCAAGAAGAAAATAAATCAGGTTACGTTATTGACTATGAATTACCTTTAGTCAGAGAAAGACCAAGATCTTTATATTTCGGTGATAAACGATACATGTTACGTCCAGAGACTATTGAAAGTCTATTTATCTTGTATCGAATGACAGGAGATCAAAAATATCAAGTAAAGCAAACAAAAAAAAAAAAAAAAAAAAGGTGTACATAGTATAGTAAAGTGATTAGACTAATCTGATTTTATTAGGAATATGGTTGGGAGATTTATAAAGCGATTGAGAAATGGTGCAAGACAAAAAGTGCTTATGCTGCTATTCGTAACGTAGATGTGAATTTGACAGCCAATAATACAAATATTGAATTTAATCAAATCGATTCAATGGAAAGCTTTCTTTTTGCAGAAACCTTTAAATATTTATATTTACTCTTTAGTCCACCAGAAATCGTTTCTTTGGATAAATTCATTTTTAATACTGAAGCTCATCCTTTTGTTCGTAAACAATGGAACTGGAGCAGAATCTTAAAGGGGGAAGGAGAATAAATAAAATAAAGGCCTATTTTTTTTTATACATATTTATATAAATACACATATATACATGTATACACAAAATTCTATTCTCTTCAAAAAAAAAAAAAAAAAAAAAAAAATGGATTACGCGTTGTAATAGTCTTATAAATGCTCAGCATTTCCCATACTTTGTTATTAAATCTATTAATATTTGTTGTTGATTTTCATTATTATTCACTAAACTTAACTCATTCCCTTTACTACTATTATTTTCAAGTAAAACATCAATAACGGACATGGATGGCGTGTTCAGTTCTCTAGTAGTAGAATCGATTAATAAAGATGTCTGATAAATGTCATTTAAATTATCTTGTTGTGACTCTGCTGTTGTACCATTATTGGTTTCATCATGATGATTAATTGGTTTGCATGTCATGTTAAAAATCAAATTATCCAGCATGGATGTTGTTGACGATGTTGTAGCAGTAGGAAATAAATGGTTATTATTAACTGTAGTGGTAGATAAATCCTGTATTGTATCTTCTTCACTTGGTGGAGGTGAAAAGCAATAATCATGAAAATCAAGTGTTACAGTTGTACCTGAATAACATGATGGATCTGTTGATGAAGAGTTTCTTCGACGATGTTTATTAATGGGAATAGATGACTCGGAAGATAGTAGTCGCTGTTGATCTGCTAACGCCCTTTCTGTTAAAGGAATATTATAACGCGTATTTTCTTCTTTTACTTGTATTGTCTCTTCTTTCTTTAGTAATGTGGGTATTAAAGGTATACGTGACGCATATTTACGTGGTTTTAATTCAGTTGATGCAAACTGAGCTCGATAGATATCTAAGACACGCTGTAGTAAATTCTTTTTATTGGCTAATTGACGTGGATTTAACCAAGCTAATTTCCAACCAATCTCATTACATTTTGCTTCTTCACGTCTACGTTGAGAGACAGAAGGCGTATCCGATGTAATATGTATGGCTCTAGGGAATACGCAATTATTTTTACGAAAGGTCATGTCAACTGAATCCAAGACAACAGAATCAATATTAATTCGAATTCGACATTTAGAATTAATGGATCCAATAGGATCCTCAATCAAGATGGTCTTTGGAAGAGCCTTCTCTAACTGTTCTTTATGACTGTCTTCATTCATTTCACGATGTTTACGTTTACGTAATGTGCCCTTTAATAACTTTTCTTGTCTTGCTACTCGTCTCGATCGCATACTAGGATAACGATTCCGATATGAGTCGACAGCTCTTTGAATCAAACCTCTCTTTCCTGCAATTTCTTCAGGATTTAAATAAGCTAATTTCCAACCCAAGACATTACATTCAGTTTCATATGTCCATCGATTCCCTTGATAAGCTTCTTTAGGCAAATTAGCTCTCGGATAAACCTATATGTAAAAATGAATCTATTCGTTCCTTTATCTATCTACCTCCTTTCCCTCTTTCTTTTGTTTATTATTATCATAGTAATCTTACACAATTTTCTTGCTTAAATTTGTCATCCAAGATACTTGTATCAACTTTTTCAATGTCTGTTCTGATACAATATCTACGTAACACACGATGATGAGAGTATATAAAGCTAACCCATTCAACGCCTTCTTTTATTTCAGTTGTTGTCTCATGATTTGTCAAGAATGGAGATGTATTAGCAGTAAGAAGAGGCTGTTGTTGTTGTTGCTGTTGTTGTTGCTGTTGCTTAGTTTTTCGTTGCTGTGATAATTTCGAAGTCCTATTGATAGCAGTAGTCATAAGTGCTTGTTGTTGCCGCTTGTTGTTGTTGTTGTTATTGTTATCTCGAGTCCCTTGAGAATGGGTAGCAACAAATGAGTCCTCTAGTCCATTACCCTGTTGTATTTCATCTTTTTGATAAACTAATTTCAAGTTATTCTTTTTTCGTTCCTTTATTTTATGAAGAGCTTGTTCTATAAGATTTAACTGTTCATTCGATAATGTTTCTAGTAGATTTTCCGCTATCTCTGTTGGACATAGAAGATCTTGAATACTAAGTTGAAGCTCAGGATGGTGATTATTGTGGGGTAATAATGTTTCATTGATGATTGCGGCATAATTCATAATATCATCTTTTTGACTATTTGTACCTGACATAGGGAGAGAGAGAGAGAGAATGAATGAATGGAACACAAAGAAAAACAAAGAAAAAAATAAAATAAAATAAAATAGAAATAAGAATAAAAAATAAAAAAATAAAAAAAAAATAATTATTTTATTGCTAAGCTGACTTGTAAAATAAAAGAAAAAGTGTCATTACATAATATCCACATATTTATACGCACACACACGCACACACACATAAATAAATATATAACATTCTTAGTATAAATCATGCATAAACACATTTTATGCTTGCACGTATTTTTCCTTTTCCTTTTACTTTTTCTTCTTTCTTCAAAAGAATGAATCCAATCGTATACAATAGAAAAAGAAAATTACGACAAAAACCAAATATTTTAACAATCAAACAATGCTTAGAGTTAGGACAATTAGTAGGAATTAAAAAGAATTTAAATATTCAACAAGGACTAGTAAAAAAAAAAGTACTTTTTGATTATTATTATTATGTTATATTTATTGAATCATTATCAATTATCATTATGATGGCTATTCTAGATTCCTAATAATTTATTTCGGTTAAGAAAACGAAAACTCGAAGCTATTTACTATTATTTATATCATCATGAATTAACACATAATAAAGAGCCTATAATAGAATCGTTGCAAACACATCAATTGGCTGAATACTTATTGAATACTATCTATCCTGGATATCCTACCTGTAAAGCTAAAAACATAGCTTATACAGACTATAGAGAATGGTATATATGTATATATATATATAATATTTGTCTATTATTTTCATTCTAAATTTCCTTCTACTTCTTCTTCTTCTTATCATCTATTTTATTTTTTTAGTAGAGAGAAAGAAATAGGACATATAAATCCATTAGCTTATGATTATGTACCAACAACGGAAATGTATGAACATTTAGATGAAATCTATAGAATAGACATTGATTGGAATAGTAATTATACTGGAAGCTTATCTATTGATTTATCTTCAACTGAATTAAAAAGGTCTATAGAAAGAATACAGTTCTCTTTTAATGATAAATCAAGTGAGATTATAGAATATCATTTATATTTTTGGAATTCAACTCGTACCTTATTGAAGCCTCTTTGCAAGTCTTTAAAACTAAATTCAAAGGAAATTTGGTCAAATAAAAAGGAAAAGATAGTGGTTGAAGGATTTATGCATGTTAATATAACAAAGAGTCTTAAAGAATGTCTTGTTGATTCTTTATTAAATCACTCTAAAGAAGATTCAAACAAATCAACGACACTTTCATCTGCTCGAGTAATTGCTGTACCTATATTTAAAAAAACAAATCATAATAATTTATTATCCTCCTCTTCTATGGTAGTTAAAGAAGAACAATCTTCTTCTATCAAAGGAGTAAATAATAATAGTCAGAACGAAAAGAAGATTCAACTTGAAATTGAATTACATGATAATGAAGAATATAATATTAATCATATATCAATTTCTGCAGTTATCAAAAAATCAACAGACAAGGTATGTTCATATATAAATAGAGACATAAAGTATAATAATCATAATGATGCCTTGCTATATTCTATTTTTTTTTTTTTTTTTTTTTTTTTAGTTGGTCTCTGAACTTTATCTTCAAGCAACAACAGAAAATATAGCTAAAGCTATAAAGAATAGTTTATCACCTTTAGTGACTCAAAGAACTGCAATTCATCTCCTAAGACAATATTGTACAATATCAGAAAAATTAAAAAATGCAGAAGCATTATTCTTGTCATTTCAAAATCATACTCTATTTTCTTCATCAAATAAAAAAGAAGATCAAATAAGGACCATCTCTCTTGTTGACCTTTCAGTCATAGGTCAAAGAATACGACATCCGATCAAAAGTGTTCATTGTCAACATGATATGTCCTTTGATGCTACTATTTTCTTTGATAAACATGCCCATGTTAAACTTTGGTATTGTCCAATATGCTGTGTACATATCAAAAGTTTCGAGGTAAAAAAAAAAAAAAAAAAAAAAAAAAAAATGTATACAACTAAAGCCTCAAATATATAAAAAAAGTCATTTTTTTTTTTTTTTTTTTTTTTTTAAAAAAAGGAACTACGTATAGATTATACAGCCAAATTAATATTAAATCAATATTCTTCTTCTAATCAACAAAAATGAAATAAAGTATCATTATTATAAGGAAAAAAAAAAAGAAACGGGCAACAAACCCCCTTCCTATAAAAATTATGAATACGACGGGGACGACTAGGCTGCCGATTATTCGGTCATCATCAACTGTTGTATTACCAGCAAACAATGGTAGCGTTGTTCGGAATTATTATAATTTACTACTATTTTAGATTTTATTCATGAGCATCTCTTTTTTATTTTATTTTATTTTATTTTATTTTATTTTTTTTTTTTTATAATAAAATGGCACCTATTCAACTTCCAATGGATAGCGATGAACAACAAAAAGAAACAGGTTGTCTGTCTTCTATTTTTTCTCGGTTTAAAAGTTCGAATACCTTAAATAAGCAAGATAAATTTAATGAGAAATATATTTACTCTGCAGTTGATCCTATAAAAGACGATTTACTGCCACCTTATGAAGATATTATCAAAGTAAATGATTTTATTTTATTTATGCACTGTATTTATTTATTTTCTTTCTTCAATTATAGAACATGAAAAAACTTAATGTCAAATGTGACAATGAAATTGAATCGATTGTCAATAAAGAAATCGATTCTATAAGTTCCGAACTTCGAGATATTAGTTTAGACGTAATAATAGACATGGGGGGGAGGTTTAAATATCGTTATCTATCCTTATCTTACTCAATTTTCTTTCTTTATCTATTTACCTATCTATATACACATAGATTCATAAACATGCAGAGACAAGTATGAAGGAATTTCATGCTCATGATATTTTGACTGCTTATCTCGAAAAAAAGGGTTTCAAAGTGACTCGTCATGCTTATGGTTTACAAACTGCATTTATGGCTGAGTATGATCGTGGTGATGGCAGAAGGGTTGGTATTTGTTCAGAATATGATGCTCTTCCCGGGTATATATCTATCTTATATCATTATCACTCGTTATTATTATTAACAAGCTTTCATATAGTCTTGGACAAGGTTGTGGTCATAATTTGATTGCTATAAGTGGTCTTGCTATCGCTCTTGGAATCAAAGCTGCTTTAGATAGTGGGAAAGCTTCTGGTAAAGTTGTTTTATTTGGTACTCCAGCAGAAGGTATGTAATTAAAAATAGATAGCCTTTTTTTTTTTTTTTTTTTTCTCTTTTTTTAAATAATATGAATACACTATTTATTTAGAATTATCTATTGGTAAGATTGTATTAATCAATAAAGGCGCATTTCAAGAAAATGTAGATGTTTGCTTAATGTTACATCCTGCGTAAGATATATATACATATACAAATATACATATACATATACAAATATATATATATATATACATAAATGTTATACTTTTGAATGATATTATATACTCACTTTTCCTATACAAAAATAGTGCTGTTGATCATCAATATGCTAACTTTATCGCTATTCATGATGTTAAAGTTGAATTCTTTGGTAAAGCTAGTCATGCTTCAGGTAATGTGATAGGAATAGATTTATATTCCTGTTATTTGAGTCACTTATTCATGATTATCTACAGGTTCTCCTTGGGCAGGTATAAATGCGTTGGATGCTCTTGTTCAAGTATGGAATGGTATCAGTATGATGCGACAACAATTATTACCTACTGATAGAGTACATGGTATTGTTACTAATGGTGGACAAGCAGTAAGGATTTTAAAAATATTGAAATATATATGTATATAACATATATCTATTTCTTTTTTTCTTTCTTTCTTTCTTTAGCCTAACGTCATTCCTGAATACACATCTGCTTTCTTCTTTGTTCGTACTACCAAAGCCAATCAAATCGAGCGTTTAATGAAGAAGTTAGAAGCCTGTTTTGAGGCTGCTGCATTAGCAACAGGTTGTAAAGTGAAATACACATGGCGTGAGATTGGCTTAACAAAGGATGTCATTCAAAATCGACCTCTTGCTGATTTTTATGCTCAACACATGAGCCAATATGGTATCAAGTTCCCCTCTGAAGAAGACCAGTTTAGTGCAGGAGGAGGTTCAACTGATATGGGAAATGTGAGTTATGAAATACCTTGCATTCACCCTACTTATGGTATCCATACTACTGCTTCAAACCATACTGTTGAATTTACAAAGGCAGCCAAGACAATGGAAGCACATCAAGATACATTGGTTGCTTCTAAATGCATGGCTTTAACAGGGATTGAAGTACTTTTAAATGACACCTTTTATGATTCTATTCAACGTGACTTTAAAGGAAATCAATTCTTATTCAAGGAAAGAAGTACAGCTTGTCGTTATTATTAAATAATAATAAAAGAAGGTTAATTACTTAGCCATGATTTAATGAATATATAATACGTTCCAAACGTAAAAAAAAAAAAAAAAAAGAAAAGAAAAAAAAAAAGACTCTATATTACTTTTAGAAGGTAACACAGCCCCTGCTAGAGAATTTGATTAGCTCTTCCCGGGGGTGTGAGAGGTAAACTCAAAAAAATTGACTATTTTTTAAGTTCAATTTAATTATTTCATTGGATGAAAGTTTTTGACTAATCATAATAAATGTATTATTATTTAAACAGTATTTTTTTTTTTTATCATCTATCACCTTTTTTTTTCCTCTCTCTCTCTTTATTATTGTAAATAGTTAATAGAAGGAATCAATAGAATGAAATTTTTTAAAACTGTACATACATTTGATTATGAATGGAGTCTAGTGTCTGCTGCACAATGGCAAAAATATCCTAACGATCTTTGTCCTCATGTTCAACATGTTGATGTTTTAAATAGAACTGTAGATCCTAAAACAGGCATTCTTACAACAGAAAGACTTATTACAGTCAAACAAAATGTGCCTAAATTTATTTTAAAGGTAAAAAAAATAAAAAATAAAAAAAGATAGTATTTTTTTGTTGGTTGGTGTAAGTTAATAATAATAAGCAAACATTTTTAATTTTTCAAAGATTATGGGTGCTAATGAAACTCAGTTTGTTCGCGAAGTTTCAACTATTGATCCTAAAGCTAAAACATTCAGATTAACAAGTCAAAACCTTTCCTTACGTAATATCATGAAGTGTAATGAAGAAATCTCATATACCGTCTCTCCCGAGGATTCTGAAAAGTAAGTTTTTTTTTTTAAAAAAAAAGAAAAGGGGGAAAAAAAAAGATGGCTAATATTTTTATGACTGACTCTACAGGACACAATTTACTCAACAAGCCACTTTGACAGTTGGAAGCTTTCTTAAAAGATGGGAAAATGTGATTGAAGATTTCTCTCTCAAACGATTTCAACAAAACGCTCAATCTGGTCGAGAAGGCTTTTTAAATGTATTAGAAAAATTCGTTGTGATGGCTGAAGCTGCTAAACAAGAAAGGCCCAACTCGACAAGTTAAAAGAAAAAGAAAAAATTTCATATGATAATTTACCCCGCCTTTTATTTTTTTTTTTTTTTTTCATTTTTTATTTTTTCCATCTCCACGATTTGACTTATTTATTTTTATTATCATTATTTACTGTGTACCATTTTCTGTTGTTGTGACTTGATCATTTCTTTCAACTTACGGAATTTTAAAATTTGTTTGCATAGAGTTGTAGTTTTATACTTTGTTATAAATCAATAATAAGGAACATTACATGTTTATAAAAAAAAAAAATAGCGTCTTTTCTCCCTTTTAATTTTTATTATTTATCCAATGATTTCGTTTATTTATTTATTTATAAATAGCACATGATATTAGGTAAAAAGTGTGTCCCTGATATGAACTATATTTGTATGTATATTTTTAATCTTTTACGAGCACGTTATCATCTACTACTAGCTTAACCCATTTCACTTTAATAAAATAAAATATACACTAAAAGCCACTGTAAGAGACACAAGATAAAAAGAAAGAAAGAAAGAAAGAAAAAAAAACAAAAGAGCAAGAAGAGGTGAAGGAAAAATAAAAACAAGAAAGTGAAGAGTGATACATTAGCCCCTCAGCTGTTAAAATAAACATTACAACAACTTAGAGCCGGTAATTGTTAATAAGAAGAGGATTGCTTATCAATAAGATAGATAATTTAATTCATCATGGATCAAATGAGTGCCTGTTTATGGCCAGAGGATAATGCATGTAGACAGGAACGATCATGTGAGGGACAGGGCAACTGGCTCTCAATAGAAAAAAGTGATTGAGAAAGAGGAGGAAGTTTATAAATGACGATACTTTGTGTATACAATGAAATTGAATGAGATTTAGTAAACAGTTCGAATAAGAATGGGTAAATACTTGACCGAGGCTACTCACCTGCCTCGTAGCCTAATCCTAGACGTCAATGGAAGATACGACTTTATTTAACAGATGACATAGATAACTAAAGGATTAAGGGTCTATACCTAGATTAGGACGACACGCATATTCAATAATTTGGTATTAGGAGTAGTGATTATTCAAAGGCAATTAATAATGGTAATGCCCTGATAGATGACTGCGACATGGTCTCCCATCTACCTTTACTCCTTTATGAATCAGCTATATAGTACTCTCATTACCAGACAGTGATCTGGTCAATAAGCAACACTAGTTGGAAGCTCACTGTGTGAAGATTAACAACTGCTCTAGTCGTATGGACACTATGAAACGACAAGAAACTACACCAAGTTATAACTGCAATCATCTATAATTATGTTTAAATCGTCAATTCTAGTAGAATTATTTTCGACACTTGAATTCGAATTATGCGATATATAGATGTATATGTAATATAACAAAAAAAAAAAAAATAAAAGTAAACTATGGCTGATAACTCGCTGCAGATTCAGTTTTATAATTAGCAAGTTTTGGGTTGCACCACCAAAAATTTTCAAAAGAACTTGGTCAATCAATTGATAAATGCATAAAGTAGTACATATAACTCATGAAACAATGACGATGATACACACTAATAATAATAATACAAAAAAGTAGTTTTTTCTTTTATTTTTCTTTTCTTTTCTCCTTTCTTCTTTTAATTTATTAAATGAATTATACTACTGCAAATAGTAATCATCATAAAAAGAACTCATCTTCTACATGGTTAATAAACTGGTTTTCACATTTAACAAAGTCACCTGAAGAGTCAGCAAAATCAGTTATTTTACCATGGAAAAAAGAAAATAATATAAAGACTTCTTCTATATTAATGTCAAAGCCATCATCTATCGTCACTACTACTTTAGATAATCGACCCTCTAGTATAAATAATCTCATTTCTTCAGAAAGAAGGAATTCACAACAAAGTAGTAACAGTCACTGTTCATCTATCGTGGATGATCAATATTCAACTAAGGCTACATCCTATTATCAAAGACGTGATAGTTCTGAAAGATCTCTGTTATCTGAACTTTGGTCTAAAGCAAAGAAAAGACATCCAAATTATCCAAGATTTCATTGGCCACATCATCATCGTCGTAGTAGTCAAACTACACTACTAACACCCTCTTCTCAACAACAACTCTTAACCGTCTCTCACTTGGATGATTCAACCAATTATTTCCCAAGAAGACATTTAAAACGTCATTCAGTGAGTTCCTTTATGCAACATCCATCATCGACCGACACTACTCCACCCAGTTCTCTTCTTAATCATTCTCGACCTGATTCACCTTCCGTTAATATAAACCAACAAGATTGGCTATCCTTTTTTAACACTAATCAAGAAGACTATTGTTGTTGTTGTTGTAGTAATAAGAAAGAAGAGGAAGAAGAGAAGGAAGAAGAAGAAAGGCAGCGTTGGATAATACAGCATGAATTAACAAAGCTTGCTGTTGACGGGTATTTTTATGATTTTATATTTATGCATTTAAATAATAATTCTTATTTTTTAGGCTATTTTCTATTCCTGAAATGGTTACACTCTCTTCCTCTATTGAAAAGCATGTGCTACAAATCGGGTAATTATATCTTTATCTTTATATTCACACATACTCATCTGTTATTTATTTATTTTTAGTTGTGGTGATGCAGCTTGGGGTCTTGAATTGGCTTCTCACTATTCAAAATGGACTGTGATAGGCTTAGATCATCAAAGTCATGAAGAAAATAGTAGTCATTTATTATTCTATAATAAACAACAACATCCTCCTATATTACCAAGAAATTTCAAGTGGATTCATTATTCACATTCACTTTTACAAGGATTAAAAAAGATACCAGATATGACCTTTGATTTTATTACAAGTCGTTTTTCAATCCTCTGTCACTCATTTGAACATTACCAAGCGTTAATAACTGAATGTTTAAGGATATGTAAACCAGGTGGTTATATTGAAGTCATGGAAATAGATATGAGAATTTATTATCAAAGATTACTATCTGCTTCAATTACTCAGCAACTAAATAATGAAGGTATCTATCTATCTATCTATCTATCTATCATTTGCTTATATACTCATCATCTCTCTTACAAGTTATCAGCATCATTGAATCGAAATTATTAGATCCAAGATTAGCACGTCGATTACCTGATCTCATCAGGGATAATGTATTACCATTATTAACAACAATAGAGGTCAAATATATTTCTTTGCCTTTAGGTGTCTGGGGTGGAAGGTTAGGTGTCATGTTTCGTGATGATATTCATACTCTTATTGAACTATATCAAATGGACATGGCTGAATTAAATAAAAACTCATATCAAACAGAAGAACAACTTGAAAAGAAATTGGAATTAATGGATAATGAATTAGAAACAAATCGTGCATTTATGAATTTACATTTAATGATGATTCAAAAATAACGTGCGTGACTTGTAAATAAATGAATAACAAAAAGGAAAAGAGGAGAAATTGTAGTAGCTGTAGTGGTAGTAATAGTAGTAGTTTGAAAAAAATAAAAAAAATAAAAAAAAAATAAAAAAAAAAATTAAAATATAGCCCCTTGCTTATAATTGTTTTTATTTATTTTATTTTATTCACTAATTAATAATGTCATTCTTTGGTGGAAGTGGTTATCAACAACAACAACAACAAATCAATCCTCAGAATATTGCTTTAGCAGAGCAAGAGCTTGAGATGGTAACAGACTTGTTTAATAGGTAAAAAATAAATAAATAAATAAAAGGGTCAGCTAGAAGAAAAAAAAAAGCCTGTAATAATCATGTATATTTAATGTTAGAATTGTTGACTCTTGTCATAAGAAATGTATCTCTAAAGAATATAATCAAAACGATTTAAGTCAAGGAGAAGCTGTCTGTATAGATCGTTGTGTTGCAAAGTTTATTGAAGTTAATGCAAAGGTTGGTGAAAAGATGCAACAAGTAGGAGGTCAACAACAACAACAGCAACAATAGTAGTAGTAGTAGTAGTATTTCTCTTTCGTTTTATTTTATACGTGTAAATATTATATAGAAGTTATATATACATACAGATATACGTTTTTTTTTCCCTAAAAACAAAAAAATAACTCCATGTTTTTGTTAACCTTCCAACTTGTAATAAACTGCTGTATAATAGGATAATAAAAGTGACTTTATTATAAATGCCTCATGAAAAAAAAAAGGAAGCATCTTCTTGACATTGTTCATTAAGAATGACCTGTTGCAATGTCATGTTTCTCTTTCAGTAATTAAAATAGAATTATGACTCATTTTTTCTTTTTCTGTCATAGATACCATGTATCCTATTCATTTGTCTCGTATTATATAAAGTAGAGTAGAGTTCCCTTATTCTCTCTTTATACATGTTTGTATAATATTTGGTATAAAAATAAAAGATTTTATATATATTTATATATATGTATGTATGTATGTATGTATGTACGTAAGTAAGTAAGTAAGAATATGTATATAAATTACATTATATGTATATATTATTTTTCTTCGGGACTTTTACATACAACTTTATGACCAGCCTTCCAATGTTCCTTTTGACATTCACGGGAACAATAGGCTACACGTTGACATCGACCACAACGTTTAAATGTATTAGGGGTTTGCTCTTTTTTATCACATGACATATTAGCACATTGACGATGAAGTGTGCTCTCTGGACTAGCTTCCTTTGCCAACTGACGAATCAATTTCTCTTGATCTGCTTGACTTAATTTTTCAAAATTTTCAAAGTTTTCCTTTTCAAGTGCAGCACGTGCCGCCATTTTAGCTCTTAAAATACGAACTAAATAATTATAGGCTTCGAGGTCACCACGAACAAGTGCTAATTCCATATAGTTTTGTGCTTTATCCATATCATAAAGTCCATAATCCTTTGATCCAAAGATTAAACCAAGCATCATCATTGCATCTGCATCACCATTATTAGCTGCATCCTAAATACATATAGAGACATACATTTTAATTTTTAATCTCTTTATCTATATTCTAAACTAACCTCCATAAGCTCGATACCAGTAACAATATAGTCTTCTGGTTCACTACCAGGATTACCTGCTTCTTTAGCCAAATCGGAATTTTTAGACATTAACAAATACATTCTACCCACTATAGTCATAAAATAAGCTTTGTTAAACCAGAACAAAAAATAATTACGGCTATTATTGTCACTTACGAGCATTGCATGACGCAGAGAAACCCCATTGTTTAGCTCTTTCGAAATAATCAATGGATTTCTTAATATCTCTAAAAGATGAAGTATCTTGTGTAAATCCTTGATAAATAAGACCCAAATTATGAGCAGAGTCGGGATAACCTAAAATTTAGTAAAAAAAAAAAAAAAATGTTATCATTATCTCTTCTTTTTTCTTTTCTTTTCTTTTTTCTTTTTCTTCTTCTTTTACCTTGTTCAAAGGCTTTTTCATAATAGTCAATTGCTTTTTTAATATTTTTCTCGCAACCAATACCATTCTCTAAAAAGAAACCAACCTTATGACAAGCCATCTATAAGATAACAAGAATAAAATAGGTAAATAACGAAATAATCAAAAAAAAAAATAATGCTAATAAAATTGACTTTACAGGATTTGATACATCGGCAGCTTTCTTATACCAATTAAAAGATAAAAGCTTTGCATTTTCACCATTCTTCATATTACTACCGCCTGCAATTTTCTCTTCTTGCATATAAATTGAACCAATCTGAACAGCTGCCATTGAATAGCCCTTTTCAAATGCACGTTCTAATAATCGTTTAGCGCCTTCGAAATTAGGGCTAGCAACGGGGCTCATGGAGGCACGATCATTGGGACCTGAGGGTTCACGACGAATACCACCATATAATAAACTACCCAAGATAAGATCATGAATGCTACTGTCTTGATCTTCTTCTAATTGTAAATCAGCAGCTGCTTTATCAATATTCATGTCAGTTGTGGATAATCTTTCTACAGCTTCATGTTGACAATCATCAAATATTTTGAATTCATCAGACCATTTAACATTAGCACGTTCAAGCTAGAACAAAAGAGAGAGAGAGAGAAAGAAAGAAAAGAAAAAAAATTTTTTAGCAAACATAGTATTGTCTTTAACTATTAAAAAAAAAAAAGGGATTTTACCTTTTTACCAACGCTATTGCGTTTTTCATATTCAGTTGCAAGTTGTTGAGCAGCAATGGGTAAGGCAGTTGGCATTTGCTTTGCAAATTCGGGATCTGTTTCGTTATACAAAGCTACCAAAATACGGGATTGTTGTTCTGTCATGCCCAAGAAGGCAGGAACCTCCATGGTAGTAGGCTCTTCAATGACATTGTCATGTACATGGTCTTCACGAACTGGTTCAGACATGGTTCATATGTTGTTGTTGTTGTAATCAAGAAACTATATGTGTATGTATATAAATAAATATATAAATATATTAAAAAATAAAAAATAAAAAAAAAAGCTTTTTGTTGGATCGATTGTTAAAACTGAATTGCTTAAACTCGAAGAAAAAAAAAAAAAAATGCACAAAATTATTATGTGGCTTGTATAAGAAGCTGATAGGCTAGAGACGGAAAAGAAAAAAAAGGGGGAGAGGAAAGCGAAGAAAAGAGATGAATTGTGTGCTGCTGTGGCTTAAAAAGTTGAGACCTCCTTATTAAATCAGTTGTAGTCGTGGAGTTACACAATAATAGGTTTTACTTACAATGCCGTTTTTTTTTAACAATCTTTAAATTAGATTTTAAATGTTAATTAACATTATAAAAATTAATAAAGGACATTAATACTTTACCTTTCATACTATGACAAATGAAATACAATGGAGATATAAATATATGCGTATATGTATATATATGTATACATATAGAGAGAGAGAAAGAAAGAGATGAAAAGTAAAATAAACTTTCTCAAGTACATAATCATATAGATCAACAAAGATTATAAAGACGATGCTTGCTTTGAAAGTTAATGAGAATGCATCTACAAATGCTATTACTTTATATACATATACATGTAAAGTAAATGGTTATCAGTGCTCCTTGTATAAAATGATTTCTATATCAAACATGATAAAAAAAAAAAGACATTATGCAATAAAAAAAAAAATGACTTTGAAAATCAAATAAAATTAGAAAAAGCTCTGCGAAACACTCTAAAGAGAAACTTTTCAATTTTTTTTTCTAAGACATAAAGAAGATTCTTATTTATTTTATAGATAGTAAAGGAGTTATTAAAAGGTCAAAAGTATCTTTTATATTATAATGATTTCCTTTTTTGTTAGACAGAAATATATTTATGATAAAGGATAGGCTTTTCCTATTTATTACAACTATTTCTTGAATGTAGCCTATAAGGCAGTATTTATTATAGTTAGTTTAGATACCATAAAGAAGAAACCCCTTGGATTTTCATATAAAGGGCTTTTATCTATAAAGGAAATAGGATCAATGATAATTGACAGCAGTTATCATTCACCCTAATCACACTCCTTTTTTCTTCTTATTTGAGCACAAGCCATCTCTTTCAAAATGAACGAAAATAATACGGGGAACGGTCTTTAAAATAAAATACTAATGCTGCTATGTAGTAGAGTATACACAAGATATTTGTCTAACGAACGCTCTATTAAAAAGAAAAGATAAGATAGATAACATTTCTGGTATACGAACATAAACTGAAACAAATCATATGATTCGTCTTCCTAATAAGAGTCGTTATAATAAGGTAAGCTGATTTGATATATTCTACTACTGCATGTTATTAGAGGATATAAAAGAGGTTTATCATATTAATTAATCATTAGTCATGATCATAAAGTTTAATTCAATTTTTTATTCACGTATTATTATCCTGCTAATAGAGGAGCTATAAGAACTACTAGCAATACTAAGTCTACTAGGTTTTGAATAAATAGTTGAGTATACTTTTTTTTTATAGTGAGACGATTTTGAATTGATTTAAGATGAATAAAACTTGGCTGGGACAATTTAAGAAAATTTGGGTACAGTTGACGAAAAAAGGTTGGCCCAATAAAAAAAAATAATTGATCAGCTTGAAATGAAAATAGGTCGGCCAATGAAAATGGGTCGCTAAGACAAAAATGGGTCATTGTTTTGAAAAGGGATCATTTAATACGAAAATGGGTCACCAATAAAGAAACGCAATATGAGGACTAGCCAAATTCTCTCTTCTTTTTTCTCTTCTTGAATCTTTTATATTGCTTAACATGAACGAAGAATACAATTTTGACAGTGAGACAGTACCTGTGATGATACAATCATATATGGACTGGGAAGAGACTGCAGCAGTAAATGCAGCACAAAAAGAAGCTAAGAGGAAGACCAAACCTCACTTTGAAGAGACCCCACCCCCTGATGTAGTAAAAAAGGAAAGGGGATCATACATCACCAAGAACGAAGCAAAGGTAGTTAATTTGATCAATTTATTGCAAGAATTTGAGAATATGTCTATCAGTGAAGCGGGTAGAAATGTAGGGCTCTCCAAGTCAACAGCTATTCGTAAATTCAAGCAGTGGAGTCAAATGACAAGCGAAATAGTTGAAAAGGGATTCCCTGATTATATCGCAACCAAAGTAGGAAAGGGACGACCAGCAATACTCAAAGACGAACATACTGTATTTATCATCTTTGAGCTGCTGGCTAATGAGCCAACATTGACAGTCAAAGCTGTTACAGACAACCTGTCAAAAGAATTTAGAGATATACAGATCACCCTTAGATCAGTGGAAGATCATATAAAGAAGAAGTGTCGCCTAACCTACAAGCGTATCATTCCTCTAGATATTATGGCAGGAATATGGATGAGACTGTTGCCAAAAGACGAGATGCGGTAGCATACTGGGTTAGCTAGAACATAGATCTTATGAATGAATGCGTGTTCTTAGATGAAACTGGATTTAATAGGGGTATGCATCGCTCATATGGATGGTCTGAGGCTGGAACACCTTGCAAAATTGATGTTCAAACGAAGGGAGCAAATGTCAGCATCTTGGGTGCTATTTGTAAAATTGACTTAATCACATTATCCAGAAAAGAAGTTATGCTTGGTGCTAGGAGTGGAAAACGAACTTGAACTGGTGAGAAATCTCAGGCCCTCAAGAAAAAGGGTACTACCAGCAGCGACTTCCTTGAATACATAGAGCAAGTCTTCACGACACTTGATACGGCTAACATGAGCTACAAATATCTAGTTCTGGACAACGCATTCATTCACAAGGCTGCACTTATTGAAGATTGGGTTGGTCAATGTGGATATAAACTTCTCTTTTTACCCCCCTTATTCTCCTTTTTTGAATCCAATCGAAGAGTTTTGGTCCAAGCTGAAGACTGTTGTAAATAACGATCCCTCTTCTGTCAGGCAGAATGAAAAAATCTCTGATTGTATTCGCAACGCATCATTTTACAGCAGCAGAGAAGACTGCGAGAATTGGAGAAAGCATTCTTTGACGTTCTGGCAAAGATGCTTGAATTGTGAAAAAAGATTATAAGAGGCAAAATAAAAAGCATGCATTAAATTTCTTTATTGGTGACCCCTTTTCATTGGCCGACCCATTTTCATTTCAAGCTGATCAATTATTTTTTTTTATTGGGCCAACCTTTTTTCGTCGACTGTAGAAACTAAATCTCGAATCCTTTTGATATAGTACGAATTTGGTAGCTTATCGTTCCCTTTAGTTTATTTTCATTTACTTCGAAGTATCGATAGAATAAGACTAACTTGTGCTTTCGATTAAACCGTAGTCAAATTCAACGTCACGATCTCATTGCAAATTTACAGCGTCAAGATATGGTTTTGCTACGTTACAGCGGAACTTAGAAGTTACGGTTTTGTTACAGTTACGTTACAGTTAGGTTACTGATAAACGTAAGTCTATATAACCTTTTAGTTCTTTTCAACTAGAAAAGTTATTAATTTACTGTTAAATAGAATCCCTGTTAACTTCAAAAATTCCATTTATCGAGCGCCCTGGTACTGACAAGACCAGTAAAATTATTTTAAAACATCCTTTCGTAAAAAACATCATCACGGTTGCCATTTTGGATGTTAATGGTGATAATTACAGAGTTGGAGATTCAGAATGGCCTAACGGATCAAGATCAGACGTTTTATATGAACCATTAGATAGATCCTTGAAGCAATCACCTATAATTGTTGAAGTTCAGAGAACAGTTGATGTCAATTTCATGGCAAGAGTTGTTCATTATTGTGTAATGGCTTATCGTCGTTATCAAGTCTTCCCTGTACTACTGGTATTCGCTCCCGAACATGTATCAATACCTACTGAAAATATGCGCCCATCAAATGTTAATGGTGCTTTATCACTTAACTGTGAATATTGGGCCAGAAAAGGATATTTGATTAGACTTAAAAATGTTTCTATGCTTACCAGCTCAACTGATCCATTTGCTGCAGTTTTAAATTTTATACTTCAACAACAGACTAGTTTATTGGAAAATAACTCGTTGGAAAATCTGACTATTAGACAATTATTTTCAATTGCAACAGAAGTCTTACGAGAAAATATTGATCGAGAGCAACAATTACTTAATGCTATCAACTGTGCTTGTGATGTATGTGGGAGTTAAACATTACCAACAAATCCCAGAGATAGCGGAAGGTTTACAATATGATTCCCCCTGTATTCAAAATGAAGCTCTACTTGGAATATCAAAGTTAAAGCAAGTAAAACGATCAGCTGACGATGCGAATATTGATGAGGAGGAGCCAGAAAATACTCAACTGGTTAGCCAAGATGAAGAAAAATTTGAAAACACTACGGATTTTGTTCAGCGGTACAAGGAAACTAGAAATCGAATGAACTGGCGTGGTTGTCATGATATGCTAAAGAAACAAACCAACGTTATCCGTTAAAAAACCTCAGAAGTGTTGCGCACAGTATATAACAGATTCAAGACAAGAAGTTAAAATGTGTCTTTTTTTAACCATCGTATCCACCATAATTATGAATATGTTTGTCATAAACTTGATACCTATAGCAATTCCTTATTTATAATACCGTATACATCATTTAACAAAACTCACATAAAAAAATCCTTTTGTTCTTTACTTGTATTATTTGTTCATATTTCGTACCTGGAATGTGAACTGTAAGAAACATTAAAATTATCTGCTACTATGAATGGTTTTCACCAAACTTTAGAGTCAAAAGTGAATTCTTTGATTGTGCTTTTATTTTCAAATAAGTTCCTTCAATTGAAAAGAAAAGATAAAAATTATTGTTACCATATTCGTTAAAATAAGTTGCAGTTAATGAAGGGATGTTGTATACACAATGCTTAGATAGCTAGATTATAGATCTGATTCATGATCTATATTTAGTGTCATTATCAACACATCTATAATAACTTCATTTTAGCATCGTTGATACAGAGGTCTTTTACATATATAATAACTATTATAACAGACGTTATCTGAGTAGTCAAGTTTAACATCTTTACCATTAATAGAAACTCAAGTCTCAATCAGTGTCTTAATATTGTAAATAAAGATTTCTCTTTTATTCTCTTTAGTTTTACTTTAGAAAACACTTTTACATGACAATTTAACCTGGTTATATAATTGTTTTTTTTAAAGTCTTTATTTTTATTTTTCATTTTTTTATTTTAATTTATAAATACTATCATCCCTGTTAATACAGTGACTCACAAAACTGTGCGAATGTTTGATTAATTTTACAAAGCGTTCGATTTATAAGACAAAAATTACTTGAAGATCTAACATGTAATATATCATTAAAATGCCTGTTTTCTAGGGAATTTGATAATACCTTTAATAATGACATAACTTTATTTTATATGGAGAAAAACGACTTTAACATCAGACTATGCATTCGCTCAGTTTTGTGACCATGTCTAGTTTTCACTTTTGGGCAATACCACAAGTTAGTATTTAAACTCCGAAAGCCTAAACTGACACCATCAACCTACCTAGCGGCACACTCTGCTTACATAATATTTGCGCTTAAATAAATATCGTATATTACATAATACGAGCAATTGTTATTACGTAATGCACTTAATGACCGTTGAACAACTTAACCGTATAGTTTCTCTCTTGCAATCCGGTCAAAGTATTCGAAGTGTTGCAGAACAGACTAAGGTCAGTTACAGTACAGTTGCCAAATACGGAAGGATTCATTGCTCCGACAGAAATGCTGGAAAAGGTGGCCGTCCTAAAAAGTTGTCTGAAGCTGATAAGAGATATTGTATACGTCAGGTTACAAAAGGCCGTATAGAAAATGCCGTTAAGGTTCAAAAGCAATTATAGAAGGATCTTGGTGTCATGGTTAGTGCTCAGACAATTCGTCGTACATTTCAAGAGGGTGGATTGGGATCTATAAAAAAGCCTAAAAAGCCGGCTATTAGTCAAGCTTGTTTTGACAGCAAAAAGTTAAAGAAAGAGAAAAAACAAAAGACAAGTCTGTGAAAACTTCGCGTAGTTTTTTTATTAAGAAAAAAAATACAAAAATTGTACAAGGAAAAATTATGTGAAAAAGTAAAGGGTTATTTATATGTTTTTGCAAGGTAAGTGATATTAATAGAACTATGATTTGGATAAGCAAATATTGCTATAATAAAGCATTAGTCATAAATATTTTCTCCGAATAATTCTGCCTACAATAAGATCTATTTTTATTCTTTTCTGCCTGAGCTGTCGCAGTTACTAAAAATATTAAATTATTGTTTCTGGGGTAAGCGACGCGTCAATATTAATTCACAGTGAATATGTCAGCTATAGCAATACCAATTATTTATATGCTACTATTATTATTATCCTATAAGATATTATTACATAACAATATTTATCTTTATAGCTATCTATATATAATATGTATGACTTATAAATAATTATGTAATTGAATATAACAGTCATAATCCTATTGAATTATTATTATTACATAATATAATGTATATAATTATTTTTAATGCTCGAATACTCAAACAATGACTATTATCAAAACTGAGAGTAGAATGAATATTATGCTGTGAAGCGCGATATATTAGTTTTATTTGAATAACCTCTTTATTATATAATAAATGATGGTTTATTTCTATTAACTTAATTATAAAGGCTACTACAATCACAACAAAGCTAACGCAAAGAAGAGATTAGCATGGTGCATGGCTCATAAAGATCGGACTATAGCCGACTGGAAACGAGTTATTTGGTCCGATGAGATACAACTCAGACGGGCGTGTTTGGGCTTGGATCAGGGACGGTGTGTTATAGAACAAGCTCTGGATATAATTATAATAGATAAATTACATAATAAAGAATAAACTATAAGCCTGAATATAAAATAAAACTCTGTATATAACATATTGTAAATAATATAAAACTTACTGACATCCAATCGTCTAGATGTATCAATTAGAAGACATTGTATCATTTCTAAATATTTATTTTTATAACCTTGACAAAGGATTCAGGTCGTCTTTGATGAAATAAAATAAAATATATAAAAAATATCAGGAACATATACTCAGATCAAACAATAAATTTTTTATTTAAAACTTAATCAGATCATTATAACACCCAATAGATAATCCATAGATCAGTCTCTTGAATCAACAAGATGTATATCCGAATACTAACACTGTTTCATGACTCATGTTCTTTGACGGTTATTTTTATTTCTTTGATTCAGGATTCATTAATATAAATACAAGCATTTGTGTAGACACAAAATAATCTTGAACTTCTTTCCTTAACTTTCTTTTAACCTTCTTTATTTTTTTATTGAATAAAAACAGTCTCAAACTATACTTCCTTTTGTTCCTTTTCTCCCTTTTCTATTTTCTCTTTTATTTACATTCCATCACAGTAAGGTTTATAACTGAATTCAATAAGATAAATAGTCATAATAGAATATATAGTGCATTTGTACAATAATTCTGTCTATAAACATATTTAGTATATTTACCCTTGTATAGAAAAATAATTAATTAATAAAAAGTCCTACATCTAAAAATATACTTTCTTCTATTATTGTTCTGCTGAATACAAATTTATAAAAATAACTTTATACAAGTTAAACTGGGGTAAACTAAGAATAATACAAATACGCGTAATAATTGATTCTACTCAGAAGATACATGTTAGTTATAAAAATATATATAAGAGAAATGAATATATACTTATATCGATAATTATATCATCAGATACAATTTGTTATATTTTTACCTTCTTATTATTCATCATCCTTATTCACAAAATATATAAATACTCTTACATTATTCATCCTTATTTTGTATAACTCATAACACAATAATAACAATACCTGTATTGAACTTAATTCTTAATAAACTTATTGACAAGTCTCAACGCACTTCTTCTTCTGTCTTCTTTTTATTTTATTTCTTTTGTTTATATTTAATCCTTAAACTTACCTAAACCACAACATGGGCTACAAATATCTAGTTCTGGACAATGCATTCATTCACAAGGCTGCACTTATTGAAGATTTTATTGGTCAATGTGGCTATAAACTTCTCTTTTTACCCCACCTTATTCTCCTTTTTTGAATCCAATCGAAGAGTTTTGGTCCAAGCTGAAGACTGTTGTAAATAACGATCCCTCTTCTGTCAGGCAGAATGAAAAAATCTCTGATTGTATTCGCAACGTATCATTTTACAGCAGCAGAGAAGACTACGAGAATTGGAGAAAGCATTCTTTGACGTTCTGGCAAAGATGCTTGAATTGTGAAAAAAGATTATAAGAGGCAAAATAAAAAGCATGCATTAAATTTCTTTATTGGTGGCCCATTTTCATATTAAGTGATCCCTTTTCAAAACAGTGACCCATTTTTGTCTTAGCGACCCACTTTCATTGGCAGACCGATTTTCAAAATCGGTGGCCCATTTTCATTTCAAGCTGAGCAATTATTGTTTTTATTGGGCCAACCTTTTTTTCGTCGACTATACACTTCAGGAACAGACAGAAGACAGATATTAGTAAAATATCAAGATTATTTTAAACTCATTTATTATGATCATGCTCAGTATAGTGCAATGAACGTCGCTGCTAAAGATAGCATGGCTGACAATGAGTTGGAAGAAACAGAAGACAACCTTGTCAACTTGATACTTGAAAAGGGAAGACTTTTAGCTAGTTCAAATAAAGTACGACTGTTACTCTCACGTTCAAATTACTGGCTTCATTCACAGTTTATAGGTGGAGGGTTGCCTTGTACCTGAAGCTGCAAAGAAGGCAAATATTCCTCGTATCACAGCCTATAGAACGAGGAATGAATTTAACGAAAGTGGTGGTAAAGAACTTCCTGGATTAAAAAAAAACCAAAAAAAAAAAAAAAAAAAAAAACGGGAAAAGGAACTAATACAGATCATATTCTTATCTTCTTTTGAAAAAGATGTTGGATGTAATGGTTATAAAGAAGGAATGAAAAAGATATTATGTTGTGATGGACAACATAAGGATCCATGACAATAGTCGAGTACCTGTTTGCATTGAAGTAAGAGGTCATAAACCTTGGTTTTTTGCCCCCCTTCACTCACCATTACTCAATCCAATTAAAGAGTTTGAGTCTAAAGTAAAACAGTATATCAAAAGACATCCTTTAGACTCTCATAATACCTTGACCTCTTGAATAATGGCTGCTTGTCAGACAGTCTCTTGCAAAGACTGTATTAGGTGGATAAGACACGCAAAATACTTCTGGGATCGATGTTTGAACGAAAGAAACATTGTCTTTAATAAATATATAAACTATTTTTTAATCATCTCATACTTTTTATTTTCTGGGAGATCGATTCCAGCAGCTTTCCATTCTGTTATTATTTTGTAATGAAGGCCAATGGTTCTTATGGAATCTCTACTCATTGTGCATATACTTGAATTTTTCAAGGACAGCCTGATTCTCTTTCACGTACTTTTACAGTCCCACTTTCAAATATACAATGTTCTGGAAACATTGTACAAAGCTCTTCTCATTTCATATTAACTGTCATTCATGGATTTTTATCAACCAAATCAATAAAGGAAATACATATGTTCCTATGTAATATTGATATTGTTTGCCTTAGGAAACCTAATATTCTTCTCAGATGACCTTTTTGCATAAGCAACAGGTATGACAGCTCCATTGCTTTTATTCCATTGCTTAAATATTTCATATGCAGTAGACCAAGGAATAAAACAGGCTCTTATGTACTTAGCAACAGAACTACCCTGTTCCTGCATAAGATGAATGAATTGCTTGATATTTACAGAACCATGATATTTGCAGGAAAATTTCTGCTGGTATCATTATATTATGTTTAATCATAAATTATATTTCCTCTGCCTCAACTTCGTCTTTAGGCACAAGGACAACATCGTCCTTTACTTCCATGTTTCGAGGCACATTTTACTCATCAGCTAATAACAGTAATTTGCCATAAGTAATTTGCAGGATTCTTATCAAGATCTATTGCATCAACAATTCCCTCAACTTGGAGTCCATCCATTACTATTTCATCTGCCACTTTATAATGTTCCTCCATGTTAATGTCAAAAAAGAAAGTTAACATCTTTGAAATAATTTTTTTTACAGATGTTTGAAAATAAATTCTTATTTGTTTACACAATTATTAAGAAATGATAACATGTCTTTTATTCTTCAAAACTTTCCAATATGTGGTAATAGCGGTTATTAAGAAGAAATGAAGTTATGTAATAAGACAAGTTAAGAAATGGGACTTTATTAAACTCTTTTTATTAGAAATAAGGAAGAAGAAAAGTATGTTTATAGAAAACGGGGTTACAAATTAATGTAATATATAACTCGACTGAGTATTAAATTAAATATTACGTCATATTAATTCGTCATCAAGTTTTTAACTGATCAGGCTTTGCAAAAAAACAAATTTTTTTTATTTTTTTTATTTTACCTCTTCATCTACAATACACTTTTAGGAAAGTATCAACATTATTATTTGCATCTATTGTAAGACTGTAGCTTGATTGAAAGATGACCAATGCCCTCGTTTGTTGAAGGACTTGAAATTCAAACGACCGGCTAGCTCAGATTGGTGGTGAGAGGCTTGATCGCTATCCTTGCGTTGACCGAGCCCTCATATTGTAGTGGTATTTATACCGTTGCCTTATGACATGCGGCCTCTCCTACCAATATTGCTTACAATGTTAAAGATGCTAAGATGGACTGTGGCTTGATTGAAAGATGACCAATGCCCTCGTTTGTTGAAGGACTTTGAAATTCAAACGACCGGCTAGCTCAGATTGGTGGTGAGAGGCTTGATCGCTATCCTTGCGTTGACCGAGCCCTCATATTGTGGTGGTATTTATACCGTTGCCTTATGACATGCAGCCTCTCCTGCCAATATTGCCATCTTTTTTATTTATTCATTTTTTTATTTTATTTTTTTTTTCTTTTAAATCGCGATTGCTAACACTATTTCTCTTAAAATATACGCGTAGGAAATATCTATCAAAATTTTATTGGTGTGATAATCACGTATAATATTACTTTACTAAAGTCTGTCTAACTGAATAAACGCGGTGTCAAGACTGCTTATAGTACGGTAGCCGACAATCCTTAATGAGCTACATTCACATTTGTGCTTTACACTACTTGTCAATCTTATGTGGTCTCGCAACTCATCTCTACTGATTATTCATGAATCATATACTTAACAATATAGTTCCTTTCGATCTAAATGACTTTAAATCATCAAGTGTTTGACATCTTTTTAAATAAAATTCAATGGCTATTGACAAACAGAGCTCCTGCTTTTGTATTTGAAGCTTATGAAAAGTCATATCAGTTGAACAGTTTGAAGAGAGCTTGTTCAGTGTAACTTGAAGACTAGTATCAATCAAAAATCTTGATCTTAAAATTAGTTCCTTATCTGCTTTCTAAAACTGCTTTGATAATCATGCAGAATCAGACTGCGCTTTAAGTAATTTATGTGATACAGCAGTAGAAAAGGAGGTTGTGATTTTGATAGACATTCCTTGAAGACTTACTTAACGCGCTTGTCCAAAAAAAAAAAGTAGCCTTGTATACCAATAGTACTGCGCAAATAATTGGCGCTAGTCCCTACTTCGTAGTTATCAAAAAAAAAAAAAAAAAAAAAAAAAAAAAAAAAAAAAAAAAAAAAAAACTTACTGGTAATATATTTATTATTTGTTAAAAAGATTTTTGATGTTAAAAAAATAAATAAAACTAAGAATTAGACTGTGGAGTGTACTTGCAACTCTTCATAACCAGCGATATAATCCCCTTTTATCTTCAGAAGACATCCCTTTTCAAATAAAGAGGGGATGGTGTTTGCTGCTGTTTCTTTGGCATCCACAGTTCCCCTGGCAATAGAAACTTCAACAGCTTTATGCTCTTTGTACGATTAAATTCTGAGTTTTATTATTATTATTATTATTATTATTTTTTTAAATTTTTTGGCAATGAGCATGTAGCGACGAAATAAATGCGCAATATTGCCCGAGCCAGTTATAGAGGGGAAATAAGAATAAAAACCTTCCTAAAGGACAAGAAGGGAAAAAGGAAAACGAGAAGGAAAAAGAAAAGAGCAGTATTTTGGAATTAAGAGAAAATATAAGGGGGAAAAAGCGAAAAAGTGAGAAGAAACAATTTAAAAAACAAATAAGACCAAAGTGACCAGGAAGACACACACTATTACTTGGATAACCAATTCAACAGCTTGAGACCAGGATCAACAGGATCAGGAGGAAATTCATCATGGAAGTAGTAATCAAGTTCATGTAGAATTGTACAAAGAATAGGCCATAAAGTATACCAGCTCGTACAATCAGAAGGACGACGAGGTTTATGTAGTGGAAGCAAGTTGAGGAGGAACGAGATGGGATCTTCGACTGAAGTAGGCATGTAGAGACGATGATGTACATGTAGGCACTCAATAGCATGTTGCCGGCTCCAATTATGGGACGGATGAAAGATACATTCTTTAGGTTTACCACCCGGTAGCCAGCCAAGTCGCCAACGAAGCACTCGGCTACGTTCTGAGGTAGTCATTGGTAAGTAAAGGATGGGATCCAATTCAAGAGTGGGGCGTGAGGAAGACAATAGGAGGGTGTTAGTATCTTGACGAAGATTTTGAAATTGATCATCTAGAAACTTAGCACGAAGAGTGTAGAATTGTTTTCCGTCGAGCGTTGAGATATTTGGTGAGCATAGGTGTTCCCACATTGTAGTTTGAGTCAATTTATACCAGTGGGAATGACTATTTGAGAGCTGAACATGAGGCAAAAGATGGGCAAGAAGAGTATCTGCTGGTAATTGGGAAGTTCGAAAGAGGTATTGCGCTTGGAGGACTGCAATACGGGTCTTCATGGATGGTAGGTTGACAAGGTGAAGCATGACTTTCGCCGAAGACCGTGAGTGACCACCAAAGATACGTCGAATACATGAATTTTGAAAGGTATCCAGTGCTTTGGTAAGTTTAGCAGAGAGAGGACTAATTGCAAGACCATAATCTAACTGAGAACGAACCATTTGACTATAAAAACGACATGCAAGCAGAGGTGGAAGACCTTTGGAGTTGAGACCAATAGCAGCAAGTTGATTCATAGTGAGAGAGGCTTTATTGATATTATGTTGGATTAGAGCAGCATAATCAATTAGACCACCAGGTTTTAGAGGAACACCAAGATAAGAAAAGGAGGATTCTTTGGGAATAGCAGTACCATATAATTGATATGGTTGAGGATCATTGGTAGGAGCGACTATGACACATTTTAATGGGTTCCACCGATAACCTAAGGAGTAACTATGAACTTCGCATTGGTGTAGTAAAGAAGCGAGTTTCTCGGGGGAGGCAATAAGGACGACATCATCAGCATAGAGTAGACAATTAAGGGACGGTACAAATGTAGTAACTACATCAGTAGTGGAGGAGTCATTGAGTTGGTGTGGTAACCTCAAACGAGCTGGAAGTTGGTTGATATAGATTGAGTATAGGAACGGAGAGAGAATAGACCCTTGTAAGACGCCAGTGACAGGAGAGAAACGATACGATATATGATTATCAAGAAGAACTTCAATTTGAACCTGATCAAAGAGATTTTTGAGAACTCCAAGCAAAGCCGGGCAGAGATGAGGTTGAAGCACTTCCCAAATATAGGAGCGATCTGTGATGGATGTGATGGAATGTAAATAAAGATAAAAGATAAAATAAAAAGAGAAAAAGAGAACAAAAGGAAGTATAGTTTGAGACTGTTTTTATTCAATAAAAATAAAGAAGGTTAAAAGAAAGTTAAAGAAAGAAGTTCAAGATTATTTTGTGTCTACACAAATGCTTGTATTTATATTAATGAATCCTGAATCAAAGAAATAAAAATAACCGTCAAAGAACATGAGTCATGAAACAGTGTTAGTATTCGGATATACGTCTTGTTGATTCAAGAGACTGATCTATGGATTATCTATTGGGTGTTATAATGATCTGATCAAGTTTTAAATAAAAAATTATTGTTTAATCTGAGTATATGTTCCTGATATCTTTTATGTTTTATTTTATTGGATCAAAGACGACCTGAATCCTTTATCAAGGTTATAAAAATAAATATTTAGAAATGATACGATGTCTTATAATTGATACATCTAAACAATTGGATGTCAATAAGTTTTATATTATTTACAAGATGTTATATACAGAGTTTTATTTCATATTCAGGCTTATATTTTATCCTGTATTATGTAATTCATCTATTATAATATTACTTATGATTATATCCAGAGCTTGTTCTATAACACGATCAACAGTATCATTCGCTGATTTGATATCTAAAAAAGCAAGGGTAGGAAAACAATTGTGGTTACGCCAAAGAATAGAGCAGATCTCGACAAGACAATGAACTTGATCAAGAGAGCTACGAGATTCACGAAATCCGCCTTGAGCAATATCAAGAGTAGGGGATTGATCTAATAGGCTAGGGTACAAGCATTTTTCAAATAATTTACGAAAAATAGATGTCAAGCTAATTGGTCTAAAGTTCCCTGGGTCACTTTTGGAGCCTTTCTTGTGTATCGGTACTACCTGCGCAACTCGCCATGATAGTGGAGTATAGGACCATTGTCAGCAGGTACGAAAGAGATGTAGAAGCTGGGGAACCAAAGTGTGAATTAGGGGTAATAACATTTCCGTCTGTATGTGATCAACACCAGGAGCTTTTTTACGAGGCAGTTGTTTTAGAGTCTCATGAATTTGTTCAGATGAGAAGGGACAAAGATTTAAATTAAAAGGAAGACCACTAGTTATAGGAGAAGATGAACCCAAATTAGATGGTGAAGTGAGGAATTGCCCGGCATAGATACTTTGAAGATGGTCGGCCATAACGTCAGCCGGAGCACGGTTAATATCTGGATCTGGTGAGAAGGAAGGCTTCACCGATCTGTTTTTACGAATTCTGCTGAATCGTGCAATTGCTTTAGTATACTCGCCTTTAGACATCTTGTCGCAAAATTGTCTCCAAGTTTCTCTACGCCGTTGTTGGATTAGTCGTTTTAGTAAAGCAGTAGTTTCTTGATGTTTTAACCAATAAGTTAAGCAATTCAGTCCATTTGCTTTTCGCCATTTCTTGTAATAGAATTGTTTAAGCTCGAAAGCAGATGTCATTTCAGCGGTCCAGAACTGTTTTAAAAATACATCAGCAGTAGTATCCTTTTTTCCACAGATTTGATCCAACGATTCGTAGATAGTTTGGCATAGTGAAGTTGAGAATTGGTCGATGTAAGTACGAGCAGCATCTGTATCTTGAAACGTTGGGGCTGAAGAGTCGACTATACGCATCTTTTTAGCACTATCATTTGCATACTTAGCTTGGTACCTTTCATAGTGATCTAATTTTTTCAGCTTTTTCAATCGCCAGTGTGGACGATGGACCTCAACGGAAAGGTTGTGAGAGGAATGGACTTGGGGTAGATGAAAAGAGAAAGTCATAAAAGTGTGGTTAGAATTTAATGATAGATCGTCGCGGATATTAAGGTCAGGTGTCTCCAAGTCAGTATTGCTAAGGAAATAATCAATGATACTTGTACCATGATAAGTATAACTAGTCGGTTGTCCAAAAGCCAGCCGTTGGTTCCATAGAATCAAACCGTGTGCTTCCATCCAATTGTAAAAGAGACGTCCGCTTGTGTTCCACCGACTGTCACCAACCAACTCGCCAATACGAGAATTGAGGTCACCACATATAATAGTCTTGGTTGTGGAAGGGTAATCCATAGGTAATAGTGAGAGAATTTCTGATATTTGATCTGATTTTAAAGAGGGGGGAAGATATAAGCAATGAATTAATAATTTAGAATTTATAATGATTGATAATGTAAACTTGGCCAATAATGGATTGACATGGTTGATATGATGAATTGGAAGTTTGAAGTCCGGATTAACAAGAAGAGCTAAACCAAGTTGACCACGATGTTGGTTATAGGAGTTTACCGGAATACCGTAGGTATGGAATTGTTTCCAAGTGGGAATTGGATATTTGTTGGGAGATAGTAGCCATGTTTCAGTAATAAAGAGTAGAGATGAATTTTTAGCAGTATTTAATACAGGATAAATAGATTGTTTAGGGAGACCAGTAGCATTAAAAAGTGATATTCTCAATGGAAGACCACTTATTGGTTCAAATTAGTATGGGTTGAGTTCACATCATCTTCATCCATCGCACTTGCGTGAAATTTAGAAGATTCAGAAGCAGTAACGTCAAGCTCGAAGATGTCCTCTTGGGGGCGACTGGAGTAGGGATCAGTAGTCAGTATGTCAGCAAGTTGGTCTTTGGTAATCCAGGTTTTATGGGCAAAGAAACGTGCCACAGCATATTTAGCCGGACCACGGATATGAATAAGAGCTTTTTGGAGACGTTGATTATGAAGATCACGAGCAACCTGTTGACGTTGTTCAGTTGATTCATTGGCATATTTGGGATCTTTGAGTACACTTCCATTACAGGGATCAAAATTAGTATGGAGTTTGATGCCTCGTTTAGTTAACAGTTCTTGAAGTTCAGGAGCATAGTCATTATGGACGAGCACTGCAACAATGTTGCGGTCAGGGTAGTGTAAATCTAGGAGACGACCATTGTTGAATCCTAGTTTCTTGAAAGTAGTTCTTAACTTACCGAGGGGAACGCGTGCCTTGGTAGGTATATATAAGTATTGGAAACCTTGAGTAGCTGAAGGGGCTTGAAAGAAACGAGCAGCAGCAGCTTCGCGTTTCGCATGGTGTTGGACTAGATTCTTTTTGAGAGCTAAGACTCTTTCGGGTTGGTGACAGGGAGCTGAGGAAAATTGTGTATCTGGAAGAGTAGGAAAGTCATCCTCGTCAGTGCTAGGTTGGATGGCGGCAGGAGGTAGTTGTAGTGGAACTGATCTAGAGAGACGGATTTCTTCAGTAAGTTGCACAATTACTTTTTGTTGTTCTGCAAGCTGGGTGGTTAGTTGGGTAATCATTTTAAAAAGTGCTTGTACGTCTGGTGTAGCCCTATTGTCGAATTGGGTTACGGGGACGACAATGGTAGGGGTTGGAGTTGCTGTTGGGGGTACATTGTTAGATATATCTTCTACCATCCTTGAGGGAGCAGTGATGATATCAAGCATTTCAGGTGCATGCATAGTATGAGAGCATAAGGTACACTTGTAACAGGGTTGGTAGTGGTGCGTTTTAGAAGGAGAATCACCCTTACTGTGATAGGTAGTGACTTTTTTGCATTCAGGACATGGTATCGCTTTGCGATATTCAAGGAAGCCTTTTGCAAGGGCTGCCAGTTCTTCTTCAGATAAAACTCGACTAGGAGTCTTATTATATTTATGTCGATTAGGCGGCATTTACCTAGTTATTGCGATGTTTTTCAAGGTGTTAAGAGTTTTGAATGTGTATATAGTGTTGTAAATGACTTTCCAAGTTTAGTAATAGTGTTGGAAAGCGGAAGGAAATTTATGCTCTTTGTACAATTTTTTTATTTTTTTAATAGTCAAATGAAGACCGCACTAAATAAAATAGAATTAGTAGATAGCAAACGCAAGAAATGTTTTATATTACCCTAAATGTCCATAACAATTTGACAAGTTCACGTAAATCAGCCTCGGCATCCTCAACTACGGTTGGAATTGTTGCCGTATGGATCAAATCCATAATACAGACACCAGGTGAAACATGCTCAAGAGACCAAAGACGGATCTTGTTACCTACATAATTGGTATAACTTTAAAAAAGATATCTAAAAATATAGCTAGTATTACTCACCTATTACGTGAACGAAGTAAACCAATATTGAGGAGAAAGTCTCCAATGAACCATAAGAAAAGAGATGGCCAATCTCTTGTAACAGGGCCAAAGCACCAAAACCAGCTTTGATGTGGTCCTTTGTAAATCTAGCTTGACTTTTCTCGAAAAATCCTCCAGAAATCTCAAGAAGCGATATTTCAACGGAATTATTACCAATAGTGACAGTATGGCAACCATCTGCATTATAGCTGAGGTCCTTTAAAGTGTCTTCGTTTCTTCTAACGATTTCGTTATGAATAGCCATTAACTTGTATTCACCGACCTCAAACGAGACAAGACTACTAATATAGTTCATCAAGGGCCAAATCAGATAAAAGCAAAGATTTGATTCCCTCTTGCTTATTAGCTTCAACTTTTTTTCATCCATTGCTACTTTCATGACTAATTTTAAAATTTTGCAAATGAAAGCTGCTTCTTCACTTCCGGCATTTTCCTTTTTAAATGTCTTTAAACAAGACTTGAAATCCTTCACAGATTCAGATTCAAATAGGTCAACCAATTTGTCATTCAAACCCTCACAGGGATCGACGATATTTGGCTTTATCACGAGTAATGGATATAGCTCGGGAATAAGGCAGGACCTCATTTTCACGGTATATCCGCATTGAATAATGCCAATCTTTTCTAGACTATATTTGGTGATTAAAATCATTTATAATATAGTATAAGTGTTAATTCAAAAATACCTGAAGTTATGCATCTTGCTATTGCTTTTGCAGCCGCTGAAAAATTTATACCATAAATTCCAGATATGCTGCTCAGACTCCACATGGTAAAGCGGTTCATCGTTGGTACGAGTTACCTAAAAGTACAGTCAGTATATGTAGGTTATATATAACAATTATCATGAATTGCACCAAGATATCATAGATTATCTTGCTACAGATACATGATTTTAGTTTAAGACTTACTATGGGTGCAGCAGAGGGAGAGATTTTAATTTTTCTCTATTATAAAGCCATATTAGTAAATCTGAAATGACCTTCAACATTTTTAAAATCATACTCTCTTTTGCTAAAATGTAAAAAATTAATTAATATATTGATTATATAATCTAGTAAGTTAGCTTACATGAGCAGATCCTAGAACAATGTTGGAAGAGGGACTGTCGATGATATTATTAAATGAATTTTTAACAATAATATTATCATTTTTCTTTTGCTCTGAAAACATGGTTTTCTACAAAATAAAATTAGTATCTGGGTAATAGTCAACACATACAGATATATTACCTTTGCTTCTTTCCTCAGACGGCCAATCACTTTTAACTCTGATTCCCCAAATACCCGAGGAGATAAGTTTCTCTAATTCGTTGTCGAATTGCACCTTGGCGTCATTGAAGTCACCAAGAGTTTCAGGGTTAAGGACTTCAAGATACTTTTCAAAGGTGCAGTTTTTCAAGTTGTTTAGGTCAAAAAATCTATCCATGTTGTAACTAACGAAGAAATTTTGACCAACATTCTTCAATAGGGTAAATAGGGAGGCATAAACAAAGATTTGTATCCTCTATTAGTTATGACCTCAACTACAAAAGTAGTGTGATGTATATTGTAGTTATCCATGACAATATAAAGCCCATTCTTATCATGTTTATCAAGCATATCCATAACGACTTGAACGAATTTAATAACATGGGAAATTGATTTACCCTTCTTCAAAAGCTTTTTCTTTGTCTCAACTCCGGCCTTTTTTTTTTTCAATTTGGATTTAAAGAATTCTTTTTCGAGTTAATCAACATCACTTTGTTGAAGAGTTTTGACCTTAGAGAGATTAATAATACCAAAGGGAGAGATGCACTTAGTAAGCGATGATTTCACCGTATTTATAGACTTAGTTTATGGCTTCGGTTTCAATTCCAGAATAATACTCCATTAAAGGTCGATAGTTAGTGCAGTTTATTTCCAACTCCATAGTATGTTAAGTTTATGTAATGGTCTCTTGAGAAGGGTTTCATACTAATTTTGCGAAGGTTCACACAAAAATTTAGAAATGATGTGTGCTATTTATATAAAATTGGATTACAATTTTAACACTGCAATCATCTGAGTATATTTTTTACAAGATATAACAAAGGATTTGTTTATATCTTGTAAGATATATGTACAAGATATGTATAAATCCTGCCTCAAAATCATACAAGATATAACCAAGATATAAACAAATCTTGCACTTTTTCTACAGGATATATACAAGTTTTGAACATTTCTTGTACTTTTTTCTACAAGATACACACAGGGTTTACATATTTCATGTACTGTTTTTTACAAGTTTTGATTAAATCCTGTACTTTATAATTGCTTTTCATTTGCTAATATTTTACATACCATGTTGTTTATCATTGGCTTTATGCTTCATGACTCATCAAAACATGGTTATACATTATTGGGTTATATAGATGGTATTTTATTCCCTTTCAGGCTTTATTTATATTAAATAGGCTTCTTTATTGCCTTTCTTTATTGGACATTATTAAATACATTGTTTACAAAAAATGTGGCTTTTTATTTACTTTTTTTTTATTTATTTATTACATAAAAAATTGGTACATATCAAATAATAATAATAACAATAAAATAATAATATAATAATAAAAGAGTATGCTATAAGCATTACATGTAAAATATTACACTTACCTTGAATACGTATTCTATTGATAACATGGTCATTGATTAAAGAACCCTTTGGGAAAAGAAAAAAAAAGAAAAAGAGCCCAGAGATTGCAAGGATTATCATACAGAACAAAAACAAAAAATAGTAGCAATTGAAGTGATCAACAGAAAAGTATTCCATTTACAAAAGAAGCATACACTATTAATAGAATAAATAATTAATAAAAGCTAACATATGATAAAGTATAGAAATATCATATTTACCAAAAAAAAAAAAAAAAAATACAAAAGGCTAGATCTATGTTTGTGCTGCAGAGAAAAGAATATTAGTTAAATCTCGGGTATTATTATTTTTTTTTCCACACTATACCTTTCAATGTTACATTAGAATGATGTACACTTGTACTTGACCTCCCTGTTATATAAAGAATTGTTAATACACATATTGAAATAGTTAAAGATAAAGGTGTTATTTTATATACCTTTTTTCAATAGATAAATAATACAAGTCTTTGTTGTGGATCTGAATCAAATATTGCTACTGCATAATAAAGACCAACACATACCTATTTAATTGTTTCATTTTAGTTGTTTTTGATTTAAGAAAAGAGAAAAATTAAAAAAAAAGATACATATATTTTCAAAATAATGTAAATACTTACCATTTGAAATAATCAACAAAGACCTATAATTTAAATACATATATAAAAAAGAGTAATAGCTATTAATATTAAAATGAACATCTATTACAATAAAATAAAATTAGTAGTTTAACGAATGTATTAAAAAATGAAAAAAAAGGAAAAAAGGATGTGATTACCTCTTTTTTTTTATTTAAAGTTTTTTTTCGGTCCGCTTTTGAAATGAAACGAACTAAATTATTGAATAGCAGCAAACTTTATATATACAATGTAAAAAGTCTTAGCAATACATTTATATTTTTTTGCACTAACTTATTATCTTTTACCTTTCAAAATGTCTGTTACTTTGAACAATAATATCCTTTACTAAAAATATTTGAGAATTGTTAATTACATGTGTTAATTCATTTACCAATGTCATCTTCATTAAACAATGGAGATGTCATTACTCTTGTAATTGTAGTAATTACCTCTTGAAAATATATAGTAAAGTCTTTAAGGCTTTTTTTTTGAGCTGATTGCAGAACATTTGCATTTGTCAATGTCGGTAATGTTGGTCATTGTTAAATAAAGAATAAAAAAAGTAAAATATAAAATAATTTTACTAGGGGGTATTAAATTTGAATTTTTTTTTTTAAAAAAAAAGAAAAAAAAAGGAATTTAATTGAAATGAACACAACTACATTAATTGTATAATTGCTAAATCTTGTTTTTATTTTTCTCTAAATTCACTAATTGTTAACAAATGTATATAATCACTAATAATGGAATTGCTTTAATTAACATTCGCGAATAGTTTTTTTTTTTCTTCATTTCAAAATTAAAGTTAATTAATAAATCAACACATTACATGATCTAATTGAAATGCAAAATAGATTAGATTGAATGCAATTTAATTAAACATCTTTTTTTATATACATATAATAAAAATTCTTTATTTTATTTATATAATTATAATACATATTTTTATTATATTACGTGTACTATTTTTTTTTTTTTTGGTGAGAAAAAAAAACATCAAGTATGATTTGAAACAATTGCAATGTATTTTACATTATTGAAATGTAATTTACATTTTATAAGCCTATAATTAAAGTTACGCATATAAAATTTGTGGGGAATAAAAAAAAAAAATAAAAAATAAAATAAAAAAAATGTTAAAGTACTTTTTCAGAATCCGCAATTTTTATCTTTTTTTTCATTTTATGTAATTTTATTGGCGAAAATGCCGGATAAAGGAAATTCCTGGTCTACAGCCAAAATAGCTGTAAAATTAAAAATTAAATAAAATGATAGAAAATGGCAGTAGAGATACACTTTTTTTTGGATACATGAATACTATTATAACCTCCAAGATATAATATTATTTTTATTTAAACATTTTATAATAAAAAGTGATTAAAATAATAACATTTAAAAATCACTGCTAAAATTGGATTATATCCTGTATTATATTTTTTACAAGATATACTCATTGCTTGCAGTGTAACTTCTGATTAGGGAGTTATTTAGCAATTAGAGAAGCCATTAACATCGGAAAATCGAATAATATTAATTGTTTAAAAGACGTATGTCTATGTAGTCTGATTTTCCATGATTATCAAAGCAGTTTTAGAAAGCAGATAAGGAACTAATTTTAAGATCAAGATTTTTGATTGATACTAGTCTTCAAGTTACACTGAACAAGCTCTCTTCAAACTGTTCAACTGATATGACTTTTCATAAGCTTCAAATACAAAAGCAGGAGCTCTGTTTGTCAATAGCCATTGAATTTTATTTAAAAAGATGTCAAACACTTGATGATTTAAAGTCATTTAGATCGAAAGGAACTATATTGTTAAGTATATGATTCATGAATAATCAGTAGAGATGAGTTGCGAGACCACATAAGATTGACAAGTAGTGTAAAGCACAAATGTGAATGTAGCTCATTAAGGATTGTCGGCTACCGTACTATAAGCAGTCTTGACACCGCGTTTATTCAGTTAGACAGACTTTAGTAAAGTAATATTATACGTGATTATCACACCAATAAAATTTTGATAGATATTTCCTACGCGTATATTTTAAGAGAAATAGTGTTAGCAATCGCGATTTAAAAGAAAAAAAAAATAAAATAAAAAAATGAATAAATAAAAAAGATGGCAATATTGGCAGGAGAGGCTGCATGTCATAAGGCAACGGTATAAATACCACCACAATATGAGGGCTCGGTCAACGCAAGGATAGCGATCAAGCCTCTCACCACCAATCTGAGCTAGCCGGTCGTTTGAATTTCAAAGTCCTTCAACAAACGAGGGCATTGGTCATCTTTCAATCAAGCCACAGTCCATCTTAGCATCTTTAACATTGTAAGCAATATTGGTAGGAGAGGCCGCATGTCATAAGGCAACGGTATAAATACCACTACAATATGAGGGCTCGGTCAACGCAAGGATAGCGATCAAGCCTCTCACCACCAATCTGAGCTAGCCGGTCGTTTGAATTTCAAGTCCTTCAACAAACGAGGGCATTGGTCATCTTTCAATCAAGCTACAGTCTTACAATAGATGCAAATAATAATGTTGATACTTTCCTAAAAGTGTATTGTAGATGAAGAGGTAAAATAAAAAAAATAAAAAAAATTTGTTTTTTTGCAAAGCCTGATCAGTTAAAAACTTGATGACGAATTAATATGACGTAATATTTAATTTAATACTCAGTCGAGTTATATATTACATTAATTTGTAACCCCGTTTTCTATAAACATACTTTTCTTCTTCCTTATTTCTAATAAAAAGAGTTTAATAAAGTCCCATTTCTTAACTTGTCTTATTACATAACTTCATTTCTTCTTAATAACCGCTATTACCACATATTGGAAAGTTTTGAAGAATAAAAGACATGTTATCATTTCTTAATAATTGTGTAAACAAATAAGAATTTATTTTCAAACATCTGTAAAAAAAATTATTTCAAAGATGTTAACTTTCTTTTTTGACATTAACATGGAGGAACATTATAAAGTGGCAGATGAAATAGTAATGGATGGACTCCAAGTTGAGGGAATTGTTGATGCAATAGATCTTGATAAGAATCCTGCAAATTACTTATGGCAAATTACTGTTATTAGCTGATGAGTAAAATGTGCCTCGAAACATGGAAGTAAAGGACGATGTTGTCCTTGTGCCTAAAGACGAAGTTGAGGCAGAGGAAATATAATTTATGATTAAACATAATATAATGATACCAGCAGAAATTTTCCTGCAAATATCATGGTTCTGTAAATATCAAGCAATTCATTCATCTTATGCAGGAACAGGGTAGTTCTGTTGCTAAGTACATAAGAGCCTGTTTTATTCCTTGGTCTACTGCATATGAAATATTTAAGCAATGGAATAAAAGCAATGGAGCTGTCATACCTGTTGCTTATGCAAAAAGGTCATCTGAGAAGAATATTAGGTTTCCTAAGGCAAACAATATCAATATTACATAGGAACATATGTATTTCCTTTATTGATTTGGTTGATAAAAATCCATGAATGACAGTTAATATGAAATGAGAAGAGCTTTGTACAATGTTTCCAGAACATTGTATATTTGAAAGTGGGACTGTAAAAGTACGTGAAAGAGAATCAGGCTGTCCTTGAAAAATTCAAGTATATGCACAATGAGTAGAGATTCCATAAGAACCATTGGCCTTCATTACAAAATAATAACAGAATGGAAAGCTGCTGGAATCGATCTCCCAGAAAATAAAAAGTATGAGATGATTAAAAAATAGTTTATATATTTATTAAAGACAATGTTTCTTTCGTTCAAACATCGATCCCAGAAGTATTTTGCGTGTCTTATCCACCTAATACAGTCTTTGCAAGAGACTGTCTGACAAGCAGCCATTATTCAAGAGGTCAAGGTATTATGAGAGTCTAAAGGATGTCTTTTGATATACTGTTTTACTTTAGACTCAAACTCTTTAATTGGATTGAGTAATGGTGAGTGAAGGGGGGCAAAAAACCAAGGTTTATGACCTCTTACTTCAATGCAAACAGGTACTCGACTATTGTCATGGATCCTTATGTTGTCCATCACAACATAATATCTTTTTCATTCCTTCTTTATAACCATTACATCCAACATCTTTTTCAAAAGAAGATAAGAATATGATCTGTATTAGTTCCTTTTCCCGTTTTTTTTTTTTTTTTTTTTTTTGGTTTTTTTTTAATCCAGGAAGTTCTTTACCACCACTTTCGTTAAATTCATTCCTCGTTCTATAGGCTGTGATACGAGGAATATTTGCCTTCTTTGCAGCTTCAGGTACAAGGCAACCCTCCACCTATAAACTGTGAATGAAGCCAGTAATTTGAACGTGAGAGTAACAGTCGTACTTTATTTGAACTAGCTAAAAGTCTTCCCTTTTCAAGTATCAAGTTGACAAGGTTGTCTTCTGTTTCTTCCAACTCATTGTCAGCCATGCTATCTTTAGCAGCGACGTTCATTGCACTATACTGAGCATGATCATAATAAATGAGTTTAAAATAATCTTGATATTTTACTAATATCTGTCCAGCCAAGTTTTATTCATCTCGGTAGAAAAAAAAAAGTATGTCTAAATATTTATACAAAAACCAGTAGATTTAATAGGTGACTGCTGCTACACAAAATATCTATTTTTTTCGCGTTATTTATTAATAAACTATAGTTATTTCTTGCTTTTAAAGTTGTAGATCAAAAGTTTATATTTCTTTAAACTCTTATTGTCTATAATTGGGTTTATATTTATTTATTTATTTATTTTTTTTTGGGGGGGTAAAGTACAGTTTATAAAGATAGTTAATGAAACTTATTTTGATTGATTAACATTACTGTTATGATTGGATGGTTAAGATAAGATTTGTACCTAATGATCACGGCCGCTTTTTTTCATGTATACGCATACAAGCCTAAGGAATTAAAACTCGCTTCCAATCATTTACTTCAACCATAAATCATTCCCCTAAGAAAATTATGACTCATGATATAAATCAAATTCTAAAACAAATCGGAGCTGGAAAATATCTGTATTACTTTCAACTATAACTACTACTGCTGCTGATGCAACCACTTTACTGGTATAAATTGATTATGTTTTATTTATTTTTTTTGTTTTAAATTCTTTTTCCTTTTTCTTTTTTTTTCTTAAAAAAACCAGAATCGAATTTTTTATTGTAGTAATTGAAGTTTAGTTAGTCGCTTCTTCTTTACAAACCTCCTCCTTTTTCTTTTAAAAACTAAAAAATCGATTTTTTTGTTTTTATATAAACGTTTACTCTTTGTAACGTTTTTATTTTATATTTTTTTTACCACTTTTTTATTTACACGCACACTGAACAATTTGAATTTAATTATGACTGAATCTGACGATTATTTGCTTTTATCTGATTCTCCCAGTATTTTTGGAAAGGATCATTTACTTGCTAGCTTCCTTCAAGATAATCATTGTCAGCAACAGTTTTCACCATCGTCTGTCATCGATACAACTTTTCCTTCTCCTGCTTCATCTACTGATTCTCTTGACAGTCCAGAGACGATCCATTCTAACTTCTCTGTGATTGACCCAACTGTCTTGCAAAATATTCCTATTTCTCTTCTTCAGTCACTTGCTGCCATTTATGACCAGAATAGTAATAGTAATAATAATACTCTAGAGAATTTAGATCAATTTGTAAAGTTTGATGAAGAAAAGAAGAATACAATTTCTTCTACTATGGATGTTATAACAACACCGCCTATTACTCCTTCTTCTGTCCATCAAAAGTTACCTCAGCATAAGTCGAAAGCATATCGACCTCCTCGACAATTAGAGTGTTACAATTGCCATGTTACCAAGACTCCACTTTGGCGACGTACTCCTGATAGAGCTCACTCTCTTTGTAATGCTTGTGGTCTTTATTACAAGCAATATGGTACTCATCGTCCTCTTCATGTTCGTCAAAAGCAACAACAATCCAATAAGCATCAAGCAACTGTTAATGCTACGAGTCCTAACTCTATTGTAAATGCTGCTACTACTGTTGTTGCTTCTGCTTCTGCTTCTGCTGCTACTGCTACTACTACTAACAGTGACTTGATGGCTACTCATTTACTTTCTATCCTTAATCAACAAGAATGCAATCGTTGCCATCAATTGAACGCTCAAAAGAACGATCAAGGTGAATTCGTTTGTCCTGCTTGTGATATTACTATCAAGTTAGAACAAAGTAAACAAACAGCCTTACCTATTGATGTAGCCACTTCAAATAACAAGAAGCGTAGTCGTGAAGAAGAAGAAGAAGATGTAAATAAGCAAGTAAACAAGAAAGTAGCTTTGTTTCCACCTGTTGCGCAACAACCTAAGGAATGGACCGAAATTGATGACAGTCGTTTTAAATCATTGCTCAGTCGTATGAATACGCAACAAATGCATGGATTTTTAGACATGCTTGAACGCCGTTGTGCTATTTTACGTTCCATTCTTCTTTCTCAACAGGAATGATTTTTTATGTACATTTATTTCCTTCCCCTTATATTTTTTACTTTTTAAGGTTTAACCCTTTGGATAAACCTTTTTGTATATGTTCAACACATAAAATTATAGTTATTTGTAATAACTTTAATATTTTTTATATAATTTGTTTTTTTTTATATACGTTACACTTTATTTTTTTTTCTTCTTTTTATACCGTTCAACACTTATTTATAAAATAATAAACCTTTTTTTTTTTTTTGTTATTCAAAGACAAGTTATTCTGCCATTTCACACATTAAAAAGAGAAATTGTTGAGTAATAAAGTTTAATTTGGTAGTCATTTAAGGAAGAAAAAGGCTTTTTATCACGGTTATTTCTTTTTCCCTTTTTAATAGTCATTTTTATCCTCATAGTTTATTTATATAACCTCCCCCATTATATTCTCACGTATTATTATTTCATCTCCTCCACATTTTGAAGGGGATTGAAGCATGCCTTATTAAAGAACCGAACCAATCAGCAAGTGATGTAGTAATTTCTACCTCGTCTTCGTCAACAGCTGGGCTGAAAGTGAATTATTATTGCTTATCCACATTTTCTTTTCTTTTCTTTTTTTTGTATCAAGAACAAGTCTATCTTTTTTTTTTTCCTTTTTTTTTTTCTTTTAGTTCCATGAGTCATTCGTTTCTAATTCATGTATCAAAAACAATCCCTCGATCAAAAGTCAATCAAGCTATTTGGTCACAGTTACAATCACCTGTGACAACGAAACCTTTAAATTTACGTCATTTTTCGACATGTCGCAGTCAACACCCTATTTCTATTTGGGGTGGACAAAACGTAAAAAGAGCTCTTCTTGGAGATAATGCCAATTCATTTTGTATTGGATTATCACCTATTCGACATGCAGCCGTTTTGAAACGTGAAGCTTCTTCTGTTTCAGCATTTGAGTTGAAAGATCGCGATCCTAAAAATAACCCTTCAGATCAAACACCCCCTCCTGCTAACAATGGAGGTCATTCTTCTAATTCAGCAAATGGTGGCGGAAGTAGTAGTAATAATAATAATAACGGTGATGGAAAGTCTTCAAAGAATCATTCTTGGGATGTAGTAGATAATCAACTTCAAAAACCTACTGTACCCGAGGTATATCCTCAGGTTTTAGCATTACCTATCGCGGGTCGTCCTTTATTCCCTGGATTTTATAAGGCGGTCGTGATCAAGGAGCCTACAGTGACAGCTGCTATCAAGGAATTAATGAAACGAGGTCAACCTTATGTTGGCGCATTTCTATTAAAAGATGAGGCATTGGATGTGGATACGATCACGACACTAGACCAGGTTCATAAGGTTGGTGTCTTTGCTCAGATTACAAGTGTTTTCCCCGCATCGGCGGGAAAAGAAGATTCAGGCCTGACGGCTGTCTTGTATCCTCATAGACGAATTAAAATTAATGAATTATTACCCGCTCATCAAAAAAGTGACCCTAGTGTGGCGGCTGTTAAGGAGGTAATCACTACAGAAGAAGTATTGGGAGAGCATGAAGATAAACAACATAATAATTTAGGTAGGTAAGATCAATCATAGCATGATTGTATCTAAGAAAAAGTAAAAAAAAAAAAAAAAAAAAAAAAAAAAAAAAAAAAAAACATAAAAAACAAATCTTTTTTTTTTTTTCTATCATCATCATCTAACTCTTTGGCATGCGTTTTAGAATCGAAACTAGATGAATATGCATCGTCAGATGAAGGGCATCAAAATAATTCACAATATGCTACTTCATTTTTGACTGATCATTATGATGTATCCCTTGTTAATGTTGAGAATTTTGTCGAACCCGAATATTCTAAAAAGAGTCCCTACATTCGTGCTGTCACATCTGAAATTGTATCTGTCTTTAAGGAAATAGCCTCATTAAATCCTTTGTTTAGAGATCAAATTGCAAGCTTTTCCATGTCTCAATCGGCTGGTAACGTCTTTGATGAACCTTCCAAGTTGGCTGATTTTGCTGCTGCTGTCTCTGCTGGTGAGGCACTCGAATTACAAGAGGTACTTGAAACGTTACCAGTAGAAGAAAGATTGCAAAAATCACTCGTTGTCCTCAAGAAGGAACTTATGAATGCTCAACTTCAAAATAAAATTTCTAAAGATGTTGAGAGTAAGATAGCTAAACGTCAACGTGATTATTATTTAATGGAACAATTAAAGGGGATCAAAAAGGAACTTGGTTTAGAAAGTGATGGTAAAGACAAGTTGGTAGAAGGCTTTAAGGAAAAAGCAAATCAACTTGCCATGCCCGCTACTGTCAAGAAAGTATTTGAAGAAGAAATTAATAAATTAGCTCATCTAGAGCCTGCTGCATCTGAGTTTAATGTAACACGGAATTACCTTGATTGGATCACTCAAATTCCATGGGGTCGACGTTCACGAGAAAATTATAATATCCTTCATGCCACTCAGGTATTGGATGAAGATCATTATGGCTTGAAGGATGTAAAGGATCGAATTTTAGAGTTTATTGCCGTTGGTAAATTAAGAGGAACAGTAGAAGGCAAGATTCTTTGTTTGGCTGGTCCTCCAGGTGTAGGTAAAACGTCGATCGGTAAGAGTATCGCACGTGCCCTTGATCGTGAATTCTTTAGATTCTCAGTAGGTGGATTAACTGATGTAGCAGAGATTAAAGGTCATCGACGTACCTATGTGGGTGCCATGCCCGGTAAAGTGATTCAAGCCCTTAAAAAGGTGCAAACAGAGAACCCATTGATCTTGATTGATGAAATTGACAAACTTGGAAGAGGACACCAAGGGGATCCCTCATCTGCTCTCTTGGAATTATTAGATCCTGAACAAAACAGTAGTTTCTTGGATCATTATATGGATGTCCCTGTTGATTTATCCAAGGTACTCTTTGTTTGTACTGCTAATGTCTTGGATACCATTCCTGGTCCCTTATTAGACCGTATGGAGGTCATTCAACTCTCTGGTTATATCGCAGAGGAGAAAGCGGCTATTGCTGAGAAATATCTAGCCCCCGCTGCCAAGGTAGCTGCAGGTCTTGAAAACGTCAATGTTCATTTAACGCAAGAGGCCATCGATTCTTTAATCAAGAACTATTGTCGTGAAAGTGGTGTTCGTAATTTGAAAAAACATATTGATAAAGTGTTTAGAAAGGCTGCCTTTAAGGTTGTACAAGAACTTGGAGAGGACAAAGTGATAGAAAAAGAAGAAAAGAAAGAGAATGAAGAGATGACAAAGGAAACGATGACAAGTGAGCAAGTGATAAATCCTTTAGTTGTACCCAAGGATGTGCATGTAGATATTACAAGTGAAAATTTGAAAGAATATGTTGGTCCTCAAGTCTATCAATCTGAACGTCTTTATGAACAAACACCACCTGGTGTTGTTATGGGTTTAGCTTGGACTAGTATGGGTAAGTGTTTATTCATTCTAAATTGTAATAATGATTTTTATTTATTTATTTATTTATTTGGCTTATTTATATATAAATTAGGCGGTTGCTCTCTTTATATTGAATCTGTACTTGAATCTTCTCTTAATCCTAAATCGACTCCTCATCTTTCAAAGACAGGTCAATTAGGTGATGTAATGAAGGAATCTACTAGTATTGCCTATACCTATGCCAAATCATTATTAGCAACTGAATTTCCTAAGAATAAATTCTTTGATAAAGCTAAAGTTCATTTACATTGCCCAGCTGGTGCAGTGCCAAAGGATGGTAAGTGAAAAAAAGAAAAAGAAAAAAAAAGTCCTGTTTTTTTTTCTTTTATTTATGCTGTTTCTTTTGTGATAGGTCCCTCTGCTGGCGTGACTATGGCAACTGCATTAATTTCATTAGCTCTTAATAAACCAGTTAGTAGCAATATTGCCATGACAGGTGAATTAACAGTAACAGGTAAAGTATTGAAAATTGGTGGATTAAAAGAAAAAACAATCGCAGCCAAACGATCCAAGGTGACTACGATTCTTTTCCCCAAAGATAACCAAGCTGATTGGGATGAATTACCTGAATACATTAAAGAAGGATTAACAGGTATTCCTTGCGATACCTATAAGGACGTTTATAATGCTGTCTTTAAAGATGTTAAAAAAGAAGAAGCCGAAAATGTGTGGAAAGATGTATTGACTGAAAAAGAAGAAACTTCACATAAAAAATAACAGCAACTTTCCCCCCCCCTTTTTTTTTACGAGTCAATTATTAACTATTGATAGAAGATAGACTTGTGTATAATTGCCCTAAAAAAAAAAGCTTATATTTAAATAAATAAATAAAAATACCTTTTTTTATTAGTATTATTCTTTTTTTTCCTGCTCAATATGTATATATGTAGTATGTATAGATGATGTTATTGTAATACATATTCTAATTAAGCACTTTTATTGTCTACTAAAATAGTAGATACTATGATAAAGAGGAAGCACGTATCAATAATTGATTAATTTAAAACTAAGAAATATATTTATTTGTGTGTGTGTGTGTGTGTGTAGGAGTAGCATTGTTATAGGTTGCTACTTACTACCGTCACAAGGGAAGAAATACTCTTTTTGTATATATTGTGTGAACATCGTCCTTTTAATCTAATTTTTTTTTTTATAATGCGGAGTCATGAGAACAAATGACAAGAAGGCAATCATCTTTTTTAAGAAAAAAAAAATGAAGATCTTTTTTGTTAAAAATGAACAATCATATTTCTTATTTTCCCTTTTTTTTTTTTCCCTCTCTCTTTTTACGTATAAATATATAAATATATATTCTTTAAATCATTAACAACTAAGGATTTATATCTTCTTTCATCATTACCAAAGAAGGTTAAATTGTGTGTATATCCTTACTTTATTGCTTTCTTTTTCTTTTCTTTTTTTCTTTTAAACGAAAATTCTGTCAGTCTCAAATTTAATAGTTAAATGAGTGGTATGGGCCATAACCCAAGTATCAACACAGCCAATGAAACCGGTGTAAATAAAGCTCAATATCAAAATGAGACAGAGCTTTTAGAATCAATGGGCTATAAACAAGTAAAGAAGGAAAAAAAAAAGCACAGTATTTTGTTTTCCATTAAATTTATATGTATATATCTAGGAAATGAATAAAACTATGTCTACTATCTCTAACTTTGCAATTGCATTTGGTTGTTGCTCAATTCTTTCTGGTCTCACGCCTGTAAGCTCTACTTCTTAAACCCTCTCCCCTTTCTCTCCCCCCCTCTCTCCCCTTCTCCTTTTTTTTTCCCCTTCTTCTTTCTCTTAAGAGAAGCTTTATTAACGGGGTTCTTTAAAAAAAATTAGTTATGGGGTGATGCTATGCTTGCTGCTGGATCAATTGCTGTTATTTGGGGCTGGATCCTTGTATCTGTCTTTACCTTTATTGTTGGTCTTTCTTTAGCAGAAATTTGTTCTGCTTATCCTATTACAGGTGGTCTTTATATTTGGGTTTCTAAGCTTGCTCCTTCTGAATGGGTTCCTCTAATGTGTTGGTTAACTGGTTGGTGCAATTGGCTAGGATTAGTAAGTAAAAAATAAAAGGAAAAAAGGGAAAAAGGAAAAAAGGGAAAAAGGAAAAAAGGAAAGGCTTCATCGTATATAATATATAATTGTATTCTAAACTTTTTTTTTTTGATATAGACTGGTAGGTTTTTTTTTATTATTATTATTTTGATTTATTTCGAATACTTTATTTATTTGTCAATAATAACATTAGGAAAGATAAAAGATTGACGAGTTATTCTTTTTTTTTATTACTATTATCATCATAATTTGTATATAGTTGCTATAACTTCTGCTGATCTTGGTCTTTCACAATTTATTGCGTCTATCATTCATATCAGTGATTCAAATAATGATCCAAGTATCTATTGGCAATATAGTATTTTTATTGTTATTGCTATAGTTCATGGTATTATCAATTCAGTCAGTGTTAAATATAATGGATTCTTTAATCAGACTTCTCTTTATTGGCATCTTATTGGCACTCTTATCATTGTTATCGTTGGACTCGTTTTAACTCCCAACAAAGCAAGTGGAAAATGGGTGGTAATGTTATATATGTCATATAGTATATATAAAAAAAAACTTCATAATGACACATGATAATAATAATTAGTTTACCTACTTTCATAATGAGACTGGTTTCTCCTCAGGGGTCTATGCTTTTTTAATTGGTCTTTTACAATCTCAATATACACTTTCTGGTTTTGATAGTGCTGCTCATATGTCGGACGAAACTCGTGATGCAGGACGTAGTGCGCCTCGTGGTATACTTTATGCTATTGGAGCTGCAGCTGTTGTAGGATTCATTTTTTTATTGTCTGTTAATTTTTGTGTACAGGACTATCAATCACAAATTATCGATACCACCATTAGTCCCACTATGACCAAGATCTTTTTAGATGGTGTTGGATACCGATGGACAGTTGTCTTTACGACCATCATCATGGGGGCCATGTTTTTCTCCGGCTCTGCTTTAACGTTAGGTAGTTCAAGAATGGTCTATGCCTTTGCTAGAGATGGAGCTGTACCCTTTTCCAAGTATCTTTCAAGAATTAACCCCAAGACGATGACACCTATCTATGCAGTCTGGTTTAATATTATCTTTGCTATCCTCGTCGGTCTACTCTATATTATCAATGAAACTGCCTTTAATGCCATCGTCTCCGTCAATACCATTGCTTCCTCTATGGCTTATTTTATTCCAATCGCTCTTAGATTGACAGTCGCCCGAAAATCCTTTATTCCAGGTCCCTTTCATCTAGGCCCCTTCTCAGACGTGATTAATGTAATTAGTTTGTGTTGGATCTTGTTGACCTCCATTTTATTTGTTTGTCCTACGGAATATCCTGTTACACCTGATAACATGAATTATGCTATTGTTGTCTTTGTAGGTGTGATAGGTGCATCTGTTCTTTACTACTATTTCAAGGCTCGTGAATGGTTCCATGGACCTGGTAAAAGGGGCATCGTAGGGGAAGCATATCATCATCATCATCATGATCATTCTCGATCAGATCATTTCTCTATAGAGACTACTACTGCTGCTACTACTACTACTACGGTAGATTTAAACAAAAAGAATTTTGAAACCCTTAATCAAAGCCAAACTTGTAATAGCTATCATACTTTTAAAAAGACATTTCAAATCAATGAAGTTGAGCGTCTTTCCTAGATAATACCCCTAGATTTATATACACATGTATATACATATATATATGATCATTTATTTCATATTCTAATTCCCTTTTTATATATATATATTTATAAATATTTTTATAATAAATATTATACGATGCTTTCTAGCAAATAACAAATAAAAATGTTATCTTCTACTAGGAATAGAAGATGTACCACTAGTAGTAGTAGTCATAGTTTTCGTAGTAGATGACGGTTTAGCAGGAGAAAGTGATCTTGAACGACGACCCATCTTTTCGAATACAGATAGCTTGTTATGTACCTTTTTCTGAAGCTTTGATACTTCATCGTCATCATCTGATGAACTACTGCTACTCTCAGTCGAAGAAGAATCAGAAGAACCTGAATGGTTACTAATACTACGAAACATACCACTAAGTCGATTCTTGGTCGTCTTCTTTTGATGTTGTTTCTTTACTCTCTCTTCAGGTTGAACAATAACGACAGGTACAGGAGAATGTTGCAAACAATACCTGGATATACTATTGATAAACATACCTTTTAATTCAGACATGCCTCTAGTACCCACAATAAGCATAGAAGGTTGATATATTGAAATCTAGTCATTTACAGTCATTGAGCTTTTTTTTTCTTTCTTTCTTTCTTTCTTTCTTCTTCTTCTTTCCTTACCATATTCTGAATTGTCTCTTGAACTTTACCAATAACGAATTCAATAACAGCACTAATCTAAAATAAATAAATAAAAAAAAAAAAAAGAGTGGAGCGATATGAGTTATTTTTAGTATAGTATCTATCTCTATGTATGTGTATCCATACCTTCATATCTTCATTACCTGCCGCCATAATTCTTTTCATAACTGTATTTGCTATTTCTTTTGATTGTAATTCTTCATGTCTAAGCATAGCTTTTACATTAGGTCGATTATCTATAAAGAGAGACGTAAGTTATAAATCAAATATATATATATATATATTTTTTTCAGTCCATGTACCACTCATATCTATAGTAAGCACTCTCAAAACAATAATTTCATCTCCATGATCCATGACATTCTAATTACATATTTATATATATATATATATAAAAAGACACTATTAAGTTATTATGATTATTATTATTATGATTATTATATGTAGAAACACACTTCAATAGCCCAATCTAAAGCATAATCACTATAGTTTTCTAAATCAGTAGCCACCATAAAAGTTCGGCTTCGTCTTGTACGTTGATAACCTTGAGTCTTTCCTCTCAATGTAAATGAAAAGTCAGGTTGATCTTGATCTGTCATTGTATCAAATGAAACACCACGAATATAATTATCCGGTTGTTCTACAGGAATGTTGGTTGTTGCCATCTTTTTATTTTAATTTACAAAATAATAATAATAGTAAATTGTGTGTGTGCGTGTTTTTTTTTTTTCTATCGAGTAAATGATTCTTCTATTCTGTCTTGTGTAACATATATATCTACAACTATGGTGGCAAGTGACAAATAAGAATAAAGGGCGGGGTGTGTGCATATTCACTTTTGTCAGCGTAAATTAAAAAAAAGTAGTCAGCTTAAAATAATAGGTATCTTTGAGAAAACACTTTTCTTAATTCAACAATACTATTTAGACATGTTTATTCAATTCCGCACAGAAGCATTTAATGGTTATTCGGTAACTTTTATAAACACATGTATAAAGTTTTCTTAAAAATAAAACTAAAGTTTTTTCTTCCTTTCTTTCTTTTTTTTTTTTTAAAAAAAAAATTGGACATTATATAGACGAAATGGAGCCCATTCTTTGAACAAAAGCTTGCAGTTGCAACTGCATCCAACTTTGGTTTAGTTGGTAATGGTAGACTATTTATTATGGGTATTGCAGGTGAAGGGATGATGATCGAAAGAGCGTAAGTTGGAATGTTTTGAAAACGAAAAAAAATAAAATAAAATAAAATAGAGGGCGTTTAAGGAAATGATTTCTTTTTCTTTTTTTTTTAACCAGTTATGACACACAAGATGGATTATATGACGTCGCTTGGAGTGAACTTAACGAAAATCAACTTATTGCATCAAGTGGTGATGGAACTATTAAAATGTGGGATACAACACTTGCAGTAGGTTCATTACGTAATAATTTAGATAATATAGGGAAAATAATGATAAATATTTAGGATTATCCAATTCAAAACTGGCATGAACATCAAAGAGAAGTATTCTCGGTAGATTGGAATTTAATTACAAAGGATGTATTTTCAAGCAGTTCATGGGATCACACAGTTAAAATTGTAAGTCCAGCTTTTTTTCTTTTATATAAGATAAAACCTATAATAGTAGTAGGATGTTTAAAATAGACTTAACTAGTGGAATCCACAAGCACCAAGATCATTGCAAACATATACAGAACATACACATTGTGTTTATAGTACAGCATGGTCTCCTTATCATCCTACAAAGCTTGCCTCAGCATCTGGAGATCAAACAGTCAAGATTTGGGATACAAATAGTCCTCGGTCTATTCAAACTCTTCGAGCCCACAATAATGAAATACTTTCAGTTGATTGGAACAAGTATCAAGATCATATGCTAGCAACAGGTTCTGTTGATAAGACAATCAAGGTATGGGATTTGCGTCGTCCTGATAGAGAAGTAGTCTGTCTTCCTGGACATGAATATGCGGTACGTCGTGTTAAATGGTCTCCGCATAGACCTAATGTTTTAGGTAGTACAGCTTATGATATGAGTGTTCGATTCTGGGACACAGCTGCACCGGCAGGACAGAATTTGATCCATGTACATGATGCACATACAGAGTTTGTTCTCGGTCTTGATTTCAATCTTTATATTGAAGGGCAAGTAGCTACTTGTGCTTGGGATGAAAAAGTGAATGTATTTATGCCTCCTGTCCTTTTACAGAGATAATCCTTCTACACCTTCTTATTTCTTAAAAATAGTGTAGTATTAAATTATAATTACTTGTATTGTGTATGCATTGAAGATAGAATGTAGCATATATATTTATTCATATCTGTATATACATATATATATATACAGATAAATATGTGTATGTAAGTTATATATAGGGTATTATTCTAATGATACACTTTTGATAAGCTATAATTACATATAAATTCGATCCTGCGAAAATGTGTAAAATATGAAACTGTTATATATCTGAGGAGGGAGAGAAAAAAAAATGTCACTTCTTGTGCCTTTTTTCTTTTGGCTTCTGTGCCGTATAGATAACCCAATCAATAGAACAACGTTGTTTGTCAAATTCATCCATAGCAGCATGTATCACTTTATCATATTCTTCTTCTGATATAGCTAACTCTGATATCCACCAAGGCTTCATTGATTTAAACAGGGCTTTAATAACATGCTTATAAAGGAATCCCTTTTCTTTTTCATCTATGTATAGAGAATAATTCATATACAAGTATATATTTGGGAAAATAATAATAAATACAAACCTTCTTCTGTTGGCCATTCACCAATTGGAATAGAGATAATCTTTTGTTCAATATTTTGAAACCCAGCCGAAACTAGCATACTTTTTAAATGCATTATTGTTTTTTTAGAATTAATTCCCACTGAAGTAGAAACGAGTTTATACCATTCATTAATTAATGTTAAAATAGGTCCAGGATTCTTTATATGAAAATCTAAATAGATATGTATATTATTTAATAATTATATATATATATAAGAGAGAATGAATGATTACCGTATTCAACTAGTTCAATAGAACCTCCAGGTTTTGCAACTCTCATTAATTCATTGAGAAGGAACGGCCAGCATTCATGCGGTATACTAGATAATGTATCACGTTGAAAAATGATATCTAAATAATTATCTGGTAGTGATAAATGGGTAGTAGGATCACCGTATTTATATACAATATTCGGGGCACACATAGTAGCAGTAATAGTAGTAGTAGTAGTAGTAGTAGCTGTGTTTGTAGTGTATCTTTTTATTTGTTTGTTATTATTATTAATGGCTGCTGTTGTTGAAGAGAAAGCAGCATCTAATCCGATGACTTTTGCATTTGGAAAACTTTGAGCCATATCTAAAGTCCAAAATCCTGCTCCACAAGCCGAATCCAATATAGTAATAGGCTTATCAGTTGCTATTGGTACGTGAACATTCCCCTGTAATACATGTTTCAATACATAATGCTATCATAAAATATGAGTTTAATATGGGTATATTTATATATGTATATTCTTTGTAAATTCAAGAAAATATTACTTGTCTTAATTGTCTAATTATTAAAATATTATGTTTAGCATCCTATTTGGGATAATACATGTCTATTTATATATATTCATATATATTACCTATCGTATTCTCTTTCATCTCCATTATTATAAGCATGAAATAGTCTTCGAGGATGTTGATTATTCGAAGAAGAGAATTCTTCGTTTGATGTAATTGAAGAAATCTGTGAAGAGTTTATATTATATGCAAATTCAATATCTTTTGGTAATGAAGAAAATGAAGGCTTTTTTTTCCTTTTATGAATATATCCAGTGACTCTTAGGATTGAATAATCTTCATTAGAACCTATTGAAGTTCGAGGTGATATATCATCATCATCATCGTCGTCGTCGTCGTCGTTGTTATCGTCATCAATGTCATCATTATCTTCGAAATAAGAAGTAGAAGAGCTGCTATTGTCATCATCGTTCGATGTTCGAGTTAATATTGCAGTAAAGCTCTTTTTCCATGATAATCTACGTATAGGAGCAGATATAACAGCTGAAAGAGAGGATATAGGGGGTGCATGATTAGAAAGGACGACTTGATGTTTTACAAGCTTAACGAATGAGGACTGACGAGAAGAATGTGAAACATGTGTGTCGATTGAACTCATGTTTGATATTTTATCGTCAATCTCTTTGACTTTTTTTATAAATATATCTGATTTTTTTCTCTGAAAATTATGACGAGTAGAGTGTTCTCTACTTGTCTTTATACCCATTCTATATCTCTACTACTACTTGTAATAAACAATAAGTAAGAAAAGGAAAAGGAGAAAAAGAAAAGGGAAAAAAATAAAATGAAAAAAAAGAAAAGGAATAATAATGCAGGTCCGACTTTTTTTTCTTTTCTTTTTTTTTTTTTTTTTTTTTTTTTTTTTTTTTTTTTTTTTTTTTTTTAGTAATGACAGTGTGATGCCCTAAAAAAAAACAAGGGCTAACTTTAGATTGCCTCTTGTTCACAGAAAAATACTCTATTATAATAAAGTAAAATTACAATGAATAGCATATCTTTTAAAAAAAAAGTCAAGTAAGCTAGCATAACTATTTTTTTGTATCAAAATTTGAATGATAGAGAACTCAATTCTTAAAATCACTTATCAGTGATATGAACAGTTGTTGTATATGAAGATATTAAAACTAAAGAGAGCCCTGAGTCATGTATATATAATATAATCAAATCAAGGTATACAAATAATCTAGCTATTTAATGATAATCATGCACAGAGTTGATTAGACTCTGATTTTAGTATTTCTAATTTCATGATATATATGTCAGGTAATATTCATCTTGACAATGTATAGAAGAATCATTCGCCAATTACTCTTCTACTATATACGGTCCTTTTTTTTTAAGGTTATTAAAGACAAAGAGGAATGTTATATTCGTATACTTCAATTCATACTTATAAACTGACTTTTAATAACAACTGAAAGATAGATGGATTTATTGCGTTGAAACAAAATAAAGGAAATACATATATAAATTCTAGTATTTTGGATAATTCATTCAAGTTATAAAATATTGAGTTCATAATTACTTGCAGCATTAAAGAAATACATCTACTATTTAACAAAGTTTGATTTCGAAAAAAAATATGTTTTCTAAAAATAAAAATAAAAAAGTTTCCGATCGTATTTTTGTTTCTTTAAATGTTAATAATAATCTATCAAAAAGAATGCCAGCTAGAATACAATGACTACAGCTAATATGTACACATTAGGATTCAATGTATCTAATAATCTTGTTCTTCTATATCGATCTTATATTAAAAATAATAAATCACTTTTAGCTTTAGTAAATTTATTTGATTAAACATTAAATAAATATATATTTTTTTTAGTAAGCATTATTAATATTAAATATGATATGTTCACAAAAGACATTTCGCTATTATTACTGGGCTTTTTTTTTTTTTTTTTTTTTTTTTTTTTTTTTTTTTTGTATTATGTGATCCATTCTAATACTTGCATAAAAAACCTTTCAATTTCACTTGTGTTTCTTTAAATTTGACACAGTCTCTTCATAGCCTTTTGTAATTATTATTATACAATAGGTCAACATGAGAAATAATATATTATTTTGAAAGCGTTGTAGGATAAATAAAGAATGATAGTTATAATTCAAGTTTAAAGTCGTGTATTAATTATTATCCGTTAAATTTTGATTTGAATATATGGCATTTTATATATTCATATAACCCGCTCCCCCCCCCTCCCTCAGAATAAATAGTCGATTAGCTTCTTGGATTAATAAAGTCTTTAAATGACTATTAGTATTTTGATATAGTAATATTGATTATGCTACTAGTAGTCTATTCGTCTAATTCTAACGAAGGTTAAAGCTGTACGGTTAACTACTGAATTCACATTTGTTAGAGAGTAGTGCTAACAAATAATAATAATAATAATAATAATAATAATAATAATAATAATAATAATAATAATAACAGAATATGTAAAGCTTTGTTATTATTAGATGTCTTTTTTCTATAAGAGTACTGCTTGTTGCGTCTTGTTTCCCGTTTCACTAATAATGTAAATGAGGATAATAAGGTATTAGTATTGTATGATAAATTGAAAATTAAGCTTCTTTTCTCTTAAACATATTAGTTCATCTTCTCATCAAAATTTGACTTATTTCAACCCTTAAAATGATCGATGCAAGAGGATATTTATCAATATACAAAAAAAAACATGGCTTTTTTTTTTCTGATGACTAGAAATGGAAAGTTTTCACATAATAGTAATTTTTTTTTTAAAAAACAAGATGCTATACACATGACATTTTTTTATTTATTTTATATGAAATAATTTAGAATGCAAAAAAAATAATTTATGAACAATGAGATGAAATTTAAGGAGCAATCAAAACACGGACAGTGTTGGTGTTACCAAGACCACCCTTCCAGCCTTGGACAATGACAACGGGTTCGTTAGACTTGATGAGACCAGCGTTCTTACCTTGTTGAATACCCCACTTGATACGTTGTTCAACATCTTCATCCCACTTGGCAGCAACATCACCAGTGTAGACGAAGGGGAAGACACCACGGTGGAGGTGAGCTTGACGAGCAGTTTGTTCTTCACGGGTAACGAGGATAATGGGTTGAGAGGGTCTGTACTTGGAGGCGAGACGAGCAGAGTGACCAGACTTGGAGAGGACAAGGATGGCACCAGCGGATTGTTCAGCGGCAGCGGTGACAGCAGCACAGGCAACGGTTTCGGTGGTGTCAGTGGGGAAGGGAGTCAAACCACGGATTTGGTTGAAGAGAGGGTTGTAGCAGATGACAGATTCGGCAAGTTCACAAGTGGCAGCCATGGTCTTGACAGCTTCAACGGGGTAAGCACCCTTGGCGGTTTCACCAGAAAGCATGACAAGATCAGCACCATCGAGGACAGCGTTGGCAACATCAGAGACTTCAGCACGAGTGGGACGAGGGTTGTAGGTCATGGATTCGAGCATTTGAGTGGCACAAGCAACAGGCTTACCGACCAAGTTACACTTGGCGATCATCATCTTTTGGGCAATGAAGACACGTTCACAAGGAATTTCAATACCCATATCACCACGAGCAATCATAACACCATCAGTTTCGGCAAGGATTTCATCGAAGTTTTGAATACCTTGGTCGTTTTCGATCTTACAGATGATCTTGATGTTCTTACCCTTTTCACCGAGGACACGACGAATATCCTTAACATCTTGAGCACGACGGATGAAGGAGGCGAAGATCATGTCAACACCATTTTCAACACCGAACTTAAGATCGTTCTTATCCTTTTCAGAGAGAGCAGGGAGATCGACGGGGGTCTTGGGGAGGTTGACACCCTTCTTGGAGCAGAGCTTACCATTGTTTTGGGCAACAACACGAACATAGTCTTCACCCTTGGCAATGACCTTGAAGGTAAGGACACCATCATCAACATAGATGTTCTTACCGATTTCAATAACCTTAGGCAAGTTCTTGTAATCAACATACATGTTTTCACCGTCACAAGCAGTAGCATACTTTTCGTTGGTGGTAATGTTCATTTCATGACCCTTTTGGATGGGGACTTCAACATCATTAGCCATCATACCAGTACGGATCTCAGGACCCTTAGTATCAAGAGCGATGGCAATGACCTTGTCAGGACGAGCTATTTATTTTTTAATAAACATTATATTAGCATTTTTCTTCTTATTATCATTATCTATTTTTTTTTTCAAAGGAAAAAAAAAAGATCTTCCTCTACTCCAAAGTTTATTCTTGTTTTAATTCTAGATATAACTTACCAGCAGCAGCAGCACGAGCGTTGTCAAGGACAGACTTGTGGTAGCTGTAGTCACCGTGAGAGAAGTTCATACGAACAATGTTCATACCAGCATCGATCAATTCAGTGAGCTTTTCGACGTTGTTGGTCTTGGGACCAATGGTACAGATGATGGAGGTCTTACGAGTGGCCTTGGGCTCGATATCAACATCCATGTTGGCAATCCATTGCATGGGGAATTGAACAGTAGCTTGACTTTGCTTCTTGTCGGTGAACATTTTGTTTGATTATGATAAGCAGAAGAAGAAAAGGAAAAAAAAAAAAAAAAAAGAAAAAGAATTTTCAATTGTTCAACAATAAAATTATAACAAAAAAAAAATTAATTTTAAAAATTCCGCATGTAAAACCATCTTATCTTAACACAGGGGTTTTACATCAAATGGCTATTTCAATCTCCAATTGATCATACGATGGAATTAAAAGAAAGGGAAGCGCGTTGTATTATTAAAATAAAAAGGGTTGCTGATATTTGATTTTCTTTTTTCTATTTATCATTTTATCACTTGTACCACATAAATGCTGGGAAAATATTAAATAAAATTGGGTAAAATATGAATTAATTTTACTTTTACTTCAAAAAAGTTACATAACAATTAATTTTAAATATTGACAGTCCCGAAACAAGAAAAAAAAAATTATCGCCATACCTAAAATGAAGTCTATAGAAAATTTAGGCTAAAAGTTGGGTTTTACATTTTTTTTTTTTTTATGAAAAGCCTTTACGTGTATATTAAGAGATGTACATTCATAATTGTAAAAAAGAAAAATAAATAAAAAAACTCAGAAGGTCCGCACTAAAAAAAAAAAAAGCAAAACGATTATGTCTGATAAAACATACTTTTTTTTTTGACAAATCCGATAGCGTGGCCACAAAAATATAATTCGACTTTTCCTAATTTAGTGTCGAAATTGTATAAACTTTACGCGTTTAAGGTTTAATAAAAATGCAATTGTTCATCTATTACTGGTAACTATATATTTATCACTATGTTGTTACTATGACGATTGATAATACACTAAATCAAGTAAGCGCGTATCCTCCTTCTTTTATTTTCAAATCTGTATATTTTTATTACTTTTAATTTTTAATTTATTTCGTAGCAATAAAATATTTATATAGTATCTAAACAAACATCGGTATTTAAACCAATGTCTTAGTTTAATATCCACCTGCTTATCTTTTTTATCACAGCAACTATTTAAACTTTTTTTTTTTTTTTTTTTTTAAAAAAAAATAGATAATAAAATTGCTATTAGTATAAGCTACTATTGCTATAGTATTTAAGAAATAATAAAAATAATAAACATTAATGTTATCTTATTTATATTTACAAATCAATATTTCGATATTTTTATATATAACATCGTTTGTAACCATGATATGTAATATTCTGAAATGAAATTATTTGTTTGACATACGGGTCGATTAGATAGTATTATGCATGTAGTAAGGATATCGTAGGACATACATTATTATGATTCCTTAGAAAGAAGTTAAGGGACAAAAAGAATCAATAACTTTTGAAATAGCAAACAACAATCATTAGTCAAATTTCTTAAACTTTTTCTTATAAACGTGAATTTTTATTATGCAAGTCTTTAATACTCTGTTTTATTCATGCAGAGTTTATAAAAATGGCTTCGCTTGTAATCTTAACTCTATAAGTTTAGTTGATTTAGCAATTTGTTGTTTAGTTTGTAAATTTTATAAGAACAACTATTTCATGCTGTATGTCCATTATTAAAATAAAGTTAGCAACACAAGAAATAGCTTTGGCATCAGAGCTCTTAATTTTATTCCATTTACTAATAGTTAAAATTTTCCTTTTATTCCTTTTGCATACTTGTTGCTTGAATTAAAGATAACGATAAATATAAATGAATTTTTATTCTCTAAATCATAATGGCTTTTTTTTTCTTCATTTTTTTCAAAATATATTCAAAATATCTTCATTTATGTTAGTGTTATTTATAGTAAGTATTACTTCACTATTATTAAAAAAAATCTTCTTAAGAAAAATAAGATCTTTCAAGCTTTATTTTACAATTAATATTTCGAATTTTGAAAATTAATGGTTTAGGCATTCTATAAAGCTTAATAAAACAAATGAATAACATAAATGCCTAAAAATAATATTTAATGGTCTTTTTTTTTATGATAATGAAGAATTTATAAAAAACACACACACACATATAGTCCGGCTACATAGTCACGTGACTATAATCACCGGACAATTCACTTCTTCATTGCTGAAGTTTGGATGGATGGGAATAGATTGAAAGATAGCAAGGAAGAACAGCTGAAGTCTTGTTCCCCCCCTCTTTCATCATATATACAATGGTTGCATCCAAGTCTGGTATCGCTGTTGGTCTCAACAAGGGTCACATCACCACTCGTCGTGAGCTCAAGCCTAAGCCTTCTAACAAGATTGGTGTATGTATTTATGGATGGATAGGAGAAAAGGACGAAAAAGATGGATTAAGGATATAATAACAATAAGGGAGAAAAAAAAAATGTCAATGATTGAAATCAACATTTCACTTACAAAATGATTTCTTTTTGCTCTTGAAAGTTGAAGCGATAATTTTGAATTAGCTTTATTTTATTTTTTAAATTATGCTCGACATGCATTGTATTTTACTGCTTGTAGTTATTTCTTGATCCGTCAAAATCGTCCTCATCGATCCAGTCCATTGTTGAAGATTATAAAGTCCCAGAGTTAATAACTTTATTATTTTTGTATTTGTTAGGCTGCTTCCAAGCGTACCGTTTTCGTTAAGAGCATTATCCGTGAAGTTGCCGGTTTCGCTCCTTACGAACGTCGTCTTATGGAATTGATCAAGAACTCCAAGGATAAGCGTGCCAAGAAGCTTTGCAAGAACAAGGTAAAATTTCGATAGTTCATAAACTATCAATTATAAAGTTATTAACATACAAATATATTTTTTGTGATAGCTCGGTTCTTTCCTCCGTGCTAAGAAGAAGATTGAAGAACTTCAAGCTGTCATTGCTTCTACTCGTCGTCATTAAGTACTTGTTTCACTTCAGTAATGACAAGAAAAATATAGATTTTCTTTTTTTGTAACCATTGTGTGAATTTCTTTGTAATAAAAGAAATATAAAATATACATAAACACAGCTCTTTTTTTTAAAGCTAAATTTTGTTAATGTGGAGATTATCTGCATCTTTGTTATAAAATTGTTAATTTTGAATCATTACATAATTTATTTAGTGGTATCTCTTAAAGGAAATCGTGACCGTGATACGAAATAACTTAATTTCCATCTTTCTATTTTAAAACATTCACTTTGTTTTTTTTTTTTTTTTTTTTTTTTTTTTAATTATTTGAAATGAATGCAATTACTCCAGCTGAAAGACAAAAATATGCCGAAATTTTTCAAGCAAGAGGACAAGTGAATGGCTACATGAGTGGTAAATAATTGACATTAAGAATGAGAAAAGATTTCTAAACAGTACTTTAGGCGCCATTGCTCGTGATGTACTTTTAAAATCAAACTTACCACCTAACCGTTTAGAGCGCATTTGGTAATTATTATCTATATTATACCAAAAGTTATCTATGTTTTAATTGACGTATATATTTATATGTATATATTAATAAGGGATCTTTCTGATATCGATAAAGATGGCAATCTTGACTTTGAAGAGTTTTGTATTGCAATGCATTTAACTTTTGACTGTATTAATGGTGCAGAAATACCCATCTCGCTTCCTCCTTCTTTAATTCCTCCAATGAAGGCACATCTCCTTCCTTCTCAACCTCAACACTATTTAACAGGTGGTTATCAACAACCTCAACCTACGGGTTATCAAGGCTATCAGCAACCTCAGCCCACTGGCTACCAGCAGCCTCAACCGACGGGTTATCAGCAATCTCAACTTACAAATTATCAACAGCCTCAGCCTACTGGGTATCAACAGTTTCAGCCTACAGGTTATCAGCAACCCCAACCTACTGGCTATTTTGGTCAACAACAACAACAACAACAAACAGAACTTGAATTCAGTTGGGATATGACACCAGATGAAATGACATCTTATCAAAATATATATTCCAAGTACGCTAATGATACTGGAAAAGTCAAATGTAGGTTAATAGTGAAGGATAATTATGACAATACCCTAACCACTCACTCTTATATATATATATAGTTAGTCAAATGGACGATTTTTATAATACTTTAGGACTTTCACGCACTGATTTAACAAACGCATGGTAAATATTTTATAAAGCGAGAAAGTTTCTTTCTTTTTTTTTTTTTTGTTTTGTTTTATTGATTTGTTTAATAGGACCCTTATTGATGTGAATCATACGAATGCTCTTACACAAGATCAATGCTTAATGTTTTATCATATCCTTAACCAACGCACGCGTGGTATTCGTATCCCTAAAGAGCTTCCACCTGATCTTCATGCTGCCTTTGCAGGCGAATATGCCGCTGATTTTGGGGAGCGTCCTGGATCTGGTACAGGTGCACGTAAAGGAACAAATCAATCCATGTCAAGCAGCGCCAAATTAGCGGATAGTTATGTTAATCGTTTAGGTGCAGCTAATACTTCATTAAGTAGTAAAGGATCAACGACTTCTAATAATAAATATGATGAAGAGGATATGCTTAGAAGAGAGCTTGCAGAGTTAAAGGAGCGGGTTAAGGAAGCAGAACAGAAGGCAGCTGAAGCTAAAGAAAGTGATCGTCATACTTCCTTCGCCTCTCGTCCTTTACGTGATCAATTCCAAGCACTTTATGACTATAAATTACGTCAATTAACTGATCAGAATGATATTGAGGATAAAGTTCGTAAACAAGAAAGAGATATTGAAGCTGCTCGTGATGCCATTCGTCGCTTAAATCGTATTTTGGATGATGTTAGAGGAAAGAAGAGAGAACTGGAAGGATTATTAGAGGAAAGAAGATTAGAAGTACAAAAGGTTTTACGAGCATCTGAATAAATTTATATATGATATGAATTTACATCCTTTAATTAGAAATATTTATAAGTTACAAAATCTTTAAAATTTGTTTGCGGTAAGCAATGAAGAGTATTATTAGTGTTATTATCGCTATTATCGGTACTGTCGTTGTTATTATTACTATTATAATATAAAGTCCCAAAATGCGGTAATATGAGTGCTTCATTATTATTATTTACAAAGGAATCTGATTCTGTACCAAAAGCAGTGTTTGTATTGTTAGATTTGCTATAATTATTATTAATTAAAAACAGTCTCACTTTTATGTTAAGTATCATTATATGTACAAGAGTAGTAGTTATATATGTATATGTGTGTGTGTGTGTGTGTACATATTTATATAACTATTGTATTTACTTTATGTAATATTTTACCTTATGTTGCTTTGCTGCACTTCTTCCACAATATCATCATCACTATCAAGAGTTAAATCGATAACTTCTGTTGTTTTTTGCTTCTTTCGTATTGGTTCTCCTTCTTTTGAATTGTTACTATTATTCGTTGTTGTATTAGGTTTATATGATGATATTGAAATGGGTATATTATCACCATATTTAGGTGTTGTTTCTGTAATAGTATTATGATTTACTGATGATATATGCTGATCATCATTACTACTACTATTACTACTACTCTGCTCTCTTTCTATTCTCTTTTCGACAGCAGTTGTACCATTAGCATTTGTTGTATTATTATCATTATTCAGTTGCTGTACGTTTTCTTCTTCTCCTTCTTCTTCATCATCATCGTCTAATAAGATAGTTGTCACCTCTTTCTCTTCGTTTTTGACATTCCTTAACAATCGTGATTCTTCTTCATCATTATCATCATCTGAATCATTAGCCAAAGCTGGATCTTCATCAATGATTGTAATATGACCATTAGGTTCAACTCGTACACTATCAACATGTTTAGGTGTATTCTTTAACATTTCTGTAAAATATCCATCCACAAATAAATCTTCCCAGCTTTCTATCCGTCGATAACAAACTGGACAAGTCCAGGTAGGTGTCTGTTCATTCATTATAAGATAAATGGATGCATCAAAGCATTGAAGATGCTGACATTTATTAGATCGAATAGGTGTAACAATGCGTGAAAATGCAAGCTATAGAAAAAAAAAAAGACTTAGTGTATTATGTACTATTTATACGATAATATATTATTTATAAACTTACAGGGTCTTTTGTCGATAATGTTTCTGATTCCATAATAATTTCAGCATCTTCTTGTGTTTGTTGTACTATAAATCACACAAAATAAGCCAACAAAGTTTATTATATAGAATTCTTTTACTAACTTACGTTTTTCTAATATTTTTTCCTTAGTGACAAATCTTTTTTCTTTCATGATATCAATCAAAGTAGGAACAGGTGTTCTTTCTACGATATATATACTAGCAATATATGGAGTATCACTATTAATATACACTAATTCCACATTATTTATCGCTTGTTTTCTCATCATAACTGAAAGATCAGGTGGATTCACCGTGCCTGGTTTTCCTTTCAAGCAACGTAAATGCTAATAGTCATGCTAAGTACAACACAATACTATATACATATATATTCTTACTTACATTGCCTTGAATAACACCATCATTCACCCTCAATTCACAAACTGGCGGAAATTCAACTAATAAATTAGAATAACTGCCTGTATATTTAGAGCAGTAAAATCTTATTTGAATGGGTGGTCGATTATCAACTGTATTAGGTGTAGATAATAATTGTCTATTCACGTCAGTAAGTACAAATTGAAACAATTTCGACTTGCGTTCGTCAACTGAAGCTACACATGTATATATGTTAATAGGATCAAAATAGACTTTTTTTTTTCCCTCCCCTTTTTCTTTAATATCTACCTGGACATATTTTAACACTAGTTAATCTTTCTATAGGTTTCAAAAAGGGACTTGGATGAAAGCTTAGATCTTCTGAGAGTGCTAACTTTTTATTTATTTCTGCTGTAGGTTTTGCAAAAACATTATTTATAATGACTTCATCTCCATTAAGTTGCCAATGAAATCTAATACGTTTTTTTGATAAATTATATAAGCAGATGTACATGTATATAATTTAAACAAAAATAAATAATAATAATTACTTGTTTGGAGCTGACTTATTAACAATAGACACAAGATTGGCAAGTGCAGTTCTATTCTTATTATTTATTAAAGCCGTGATAAAATTGGAAACTCTATTAATTTTTTCTTCTTTTCTACCAGACATTGACAGTTTTGATCGTGTGTTAAGTGACTTGTTCAATTCTTTTATACAATCATTGATCTCCTTTACGGTTGCAATTTTCAGGCTATTTTGCACAGTCTATTTTTTTTTATAGTAGAATTAAAAAAAAAGAAAAAGAAAAAAAGTTGAATACTGATTTTTAATTGCAACGTTATTTATGACTGATCTCACCTCCAAATTAGCAGTTGTACTCATTTATTAAAAGTTATTTAGAGGTAATAAAGATGAATATAGACTGCAAAAAAAAAAAAAAAAAAAAAAAAAAAAAAAAAAAAAAAAAAAAAAAAATTGAAAAAATTTCTTGCTTATTTGGGAATCAAGTTAATAAACGAGAAATTGAAGCTCAGAAATTATGAAGAAATGGCAAGTTGAAATGGCTTCTTTGTCCTTTTTACAGTGCAAATTACAAGAATGATTTTACTCTATTCATGACGTAATAAAATAATACATATTTTTTCATTTTGGTATGTAAGTATGCGTTAAATAATGAAACTTGTCAATGAAAAAAAAAAAAAAAAAAAAGACGACAAAAGTATCCAGTCTGTTGACGGAAATTAGCAATTCAAACTACTACGACTACCTGCTTATTATTGACTCGGTTCAGCCAGGAGGAAGATTAAGCAACTCTCTTTACGAAAAGTAAAAGTCTTGGTCATTTGATGCAATCTTACTAGGATTCATTATATAGAACTACTTTATTATAGATTTGTATATTTCGTATCAGCTATTTTTTATTCCGATAAACAACTAAGCTTGAGTAAAAATAAAAAAATAAATAAATAAATAAAAAGAATTTATATAGACTTGAGTAATTTCCCTTATACAAGCTTCATAGATATTAAAAATGCCTTACTTCATTGAAGTTTATACTGATTCTTATAGAGAATAGAAAACAAAATGATGGCCTTTAGAAGATAATAACGTGTTAGAATTATAACAACTCGTTAAAAATTATACTTTGCTTGACTCGTACTTTTTTTTTTTAGATAGATTAGCAAGTAACTGTTTCATCCTTAATATCACAAATATATTATAACCAACTTCAAAAGGATTCCATAATCCTCTTTTATATCTTGTATTTCCATCTTGTCTTAAACTACAGCTTATTATATTTTTTTGAGCATTTTAAAATGTAAAATAGTATCAAATTCTTAAGCTTGTCTTTTGATAATATACTTTTTTTGTTTTACTTCCCTCTTTTAGAATAACGGGATTGATATTTAAAACTTGATAGACGGAGATAGTGGTGATCAATATTAGAAAAGTATTTTGTTTGATGGAGACGAGGCCTTTTCTTTATTGACTATATTATAATTATATATACCACGATGATTAAGCTTAAAAATCAGAAGCAAGAGGAAATATCAGTATCCAATGCCAAATTGTATGCATAGATGATCCTCAATCTCAAGGTTTAAGAGAAGATAATTACACACTTATACAATAGGGTTTAATTATGTACAGTTCTACAATAAGGATTATTCATCATCTGGTCAAAGTCACAAGCCTTTTACCTAAGAGCATTCATTTATATCAATTTAGATATTTGTATTACTCTAGATTCTTCATTATTAATAATAAGGAATAGAGTGAATGTAACGTCACACCAAAGGACATATTTGTCGTTGACATCGTAGTGCACGTAGTATACTTCCCCCCCTTTTTTTTTGTTTCATTGACTTATTTGAATCTATGACAGAAAACAACATGTATATAAAAGTGAATCGCATAGCGTGATACTACTAAGAAGTCCTTGTAATTTAGTAAACTTTGCAAATGTTATAAAGATATTTAGCTATACAATCTACATTTACATAGTATTACTTTATTACATAATGGCGAAAAAAAAAGGAAAGGAAAGAAAACAAGAGATTCAAATAATCCCATCTAGTAAATCCAAGATAACGTTAATAAATTCTGGCATAGAATAGAAAGCTCATTGTGTATTTACAGAGATACTTGACTGTATAATAAACAGAAAATTAAAGCTCGTTATATTTAATTGTTTTTCTTCCCTTTTGGAAATGATATAAATTTATTAAGAAAAAAAAAAAAGATATATTCTAAAATAATAAAAAAAACATTTATATATAATAAGCGTATTTATAATTTAATTTATGAGAAAGAAGGGAAATCATATTCGATACCAGCATCAGCAATTCGTTGACGTAATCTCTTTTCAGCTTGGATAAGTTTGTTTTTCTTTGCTTCAAATTCATCAGGAGTTCTCTTTTTATTATGGATTCGACGGTTACGAAGTTCATAGTTAAAAGGCTTATATACCTTATCAGCACCCTTAAACAAATTTTCATGAACATTCTCAGAAGGTATCAATTTACATTGAAGCAAATGACCCATTAAAAGATAGTTATGCATAGTTTCAGCAACAATTTCAGCAACGTCCTTAGATGCAAATTCAATAAAGGCATAATGCTTTGATTTACCGGTTTTCTTATTACGAGAAAGACGAAGTCTAGTAATGTCACCAAATTGTCTGAAATATCCATTCATTTCTTTTTCATAGAAACCATGAGGAATACGACCAAGATAAATAACACCCTTTTCTTCTGACTTTGTTGCCTAATGACGTATACATATAGATTAGCATATCTTATTTTAATTTCTTTTATTTATTTATGTGAAATTACCTTGGATTGGGAAGCTTTCTTGTCAAAAGTTTTCTTTGTTTCAGCCTTACTTTCTTCTAATTTTTTACCATCCAATTTAACAATATCTTCATTTGCATCAATATCATCACTATCATCGTCAGAAGAATCCTCACCCTCACTACTACTAACTAAATCGCCCAAAATCTCTTTTCTAAGAGCCTCTTCTTGCTCTTCAGTGAGTTCTTCTTCATCAGCTTGCTCAACTTCTTCTTCATCGTCATCCTTTACAATCATTTCTTCATCACTGCTATCGTCTTCTTTTGTTACAGCCTTTTTATTATTTTCTTTCTTTGCTTTCTTTTTAGTAGCTGGTTCTTCTACAGCATCCTTTTTAGGTGCTTCCTCAACAGCATTGCTTTCTGATCTTTCTGATTCAGTAAATGAAACGCGTTTTCTCTTAGATCCAGCATCATTATTCTTTTGTTTTTTATCAACGTTTTTCTCTGTAGTTGCTACTTTAACTGAAGTTTCTGTAGAAGGTGTTGCCTTTTTATTATTTGGTTTCTTTGCAGGTACTTCTTTAGTCATCTTTTTCTCCATGACAGGCTTTTCTTCTTTAACAGGTTTTTCTTCCTTAACAGGTGCTTTCTTAACAGGTGCTTTCTTTACAGGTGCTTTCTTTACAGGTGCTTTTTTAACTGCAGTTTTGGTATCCTTTTTTGATTTGATAGCAGCCATGATCTAATGTATATGTACAATAAGATTTTTTAAAGATAAAAAATAAAAAAAAATAAAAAATAAAAAAAAAAAGTTTATATGAAAAAAAAAACAATTGAATGGCTTATTTTATAAAGGCCGTCACAAGGCTTGTGACCGCGCTTTATTTATTTAATTATTTATTTATTTTATCCTATAAAGATTCTTAAAATTAAATATAAAATGGCACCTATAAAACGAATAGCTGATAAGCCAGCAACAGACCAAAGAATGAATCCAAGATAAGCAGTTGCTCTATCATTATAGTTTCCAAACCATTTCAATACCTCCTGACCTTTTGTAATAATAACAACAAGAATTAAATTAGAGATAATCCAAAATATGACTAATCTAGTTCTAAAAGAACGGTAGTAATCTTCCTGTTTTGTTTTCGCATCTCTCTTATTCACTTCAGGTGTAGCTGTTGTTTTCAATTCTAGACATGCCTCATCATATTGCTCATTAAGATCCTTTTGTTCAGTAGGAGCAGAGATCTCTACTTCATGTTCACCATCTTTGCTCTTTATTCCTTTAACAACACCTAAATCGGTTGAGACACCATTATCTCCTTTTGTACCCCATGACACATCATGTGTATTACAGAATGCGTAGATATTAAGTACGTTGATATAACTAGGTGACATAAAGATATAAGGGATTAAACTTGTAAACATATGCCAAGGATCCAAGAATAGGATACTGGCTACAAAATACATAACATAAGTTGAACATACAGAGATGATCACGTTTCGAAACGTACTCTGTCGAATGAGGGCAAGGACTTGCTCACTCAGGCTTTCACCTTTTGCCAGTGCAGCTGCCTCGAATGCCCCCTGTACACCCCTGACAGTAATCCAACAGGTACAAAACAGAATATAACCCATCATGAGTGCGAAGAAGATGATGATAAGTGTATAAGCCCACTTGAGACCTTGAGGGCGATTGCCCATGGCAATAATGAACTGAATAAGAAGTAATAAGATATAGACATAATTAAGCACAGTATGGGTTATGTTTCCTATATTGACGCTAAAGGGGGGATCAGGTACGGTTGTGATAGAGGTGGTCATGATATAGAAGACTAAATAAAAATTACCAATCGCAAACCAGGAGAAAATAAGATTATAGAGTTGATAAAGATCATTGATCATGAAAAGGAGTTTACGGAAGATATTGTGATTAGAGCCCCAGACCTTACGCCAATGCACGATGGAGTAAATACCAGCAAAGAAGGAGCCATTAAGCCATCGACGACGTTGTGATATAAATTCTGAGATCGTGTCAGGTACATCCGTCTCCCCTGAAGCATTTGAACAATAGTGGAGCACCCAAGCAGCATTCTTCTTGGCAACAAGCTCATAACATAAGATACGATCCTCAGCGAGATACATATTGGCTGTAAAGATATCAGCATCACTTCCATGCATTTTTTCACCTAAAAAATACTTTTCAAGTGGTCCCTGTCCATGTACATCATTCTGTAATGCAGAATAACGATAAGCGGAGAAGGCACCAGGTAAAACAGAGATATGACCAAAGACAGATTCAAGTGGCTTATCAAGGATATTCGACATCTTGTATTCAAAGTTTTGTGAAGCCACTAAAGGGTTTAAAAGCTGTACACCGGCAGTACCCAACATAGCCTTAATCTCACCACAGGCACCTGCTACATTACGATTGATATCAAATGATTTCCAAAGATGATAGATAGACCTGCTACCTGGCTTTGTTCCTACATCTAATAGTACACATACATTGGGCCGTAAAAGTGGACCAAATGCTTGAAAGAACCAACGATGAGAATTGATTTTCTTTTGATTCTTTTCCTTGAGACAAAATAATATTTGAACAGGAACAACCCCCTTTTCCGATCCTCTAAAATTCATATCTGAATCAATAGCTAATTGAGTTGTATGCTATCGTTATTCATATTAGTATCATGACATACGTATATATAGATATAGATGGCTTTGGGTAATTCATTGTATATCTACCTCATAAATATGCGCGGTTACTGGTTTACCATTTACAATATTTTTCGCTAAACCATCTTGGTATACACCCATCGCTGCTAACACTGATAATGTACGAGGGTGAATCTTGGTACGACCATCTGACACAATACATACAACTACTTTTTTCCATCCTGAAGCACCCCAAATCTTTGATCTATCCCGAGAGCAAAGATGAGATATATTCTTCATTACACCATTCATCGTTCTGCAAAACAAAACTTCATCTTCCTAATTATGTATGTATATAAGTATATATAATAGTCTATATGTATATAAAAATATATATTATCATATCATCTTACGTTGTACATGGTTAATACAATAAACAGTTCAGTCTCTCTATGCATTATATTTTGTCTTAGTTTGTAATCATCCTTTTTAAAATCAGCAGGATCACAAGTAGCGGCAGTATATCTCATGTGCGTAAATTCCATTTCATCACGACGTTTTACTCGTTGAAGATACTTGTTTGGAACTGGATTATCTAATACTAAATTACCACCTGTCAATTTAACCTTTCGTACTAGTAAATAGATGAATAAATAAAAATACGTATTAATATATGTCAAAAAATAAATAAAATAAAATAAAGCCTCCATATCCTAATTATATACATTACTTGTTTTATATCGTCTCTGTTGTCTTCTTGGAGCAATACCAAAATCTTCTGGACCACCCCCAATCATGTTGGATAATCCAAATCGTTGTTGTGAATGTGTATTTTCATAGTGAAAGGAAGGAGGATGATTGCTATCTGGAGTTCCTAAGAATGGCTGCTTCATTGTATTTGAGCCTGGTATACTAGACTCATAATAACCAAATGGATCATTTTGGGGTATATAACCAGGACTATACTGATTACTTTTAAAAGAATTCTGTTGCATTACATATTCTTCACCTTGATTAAACCTTGGTCTTAAGGGCATTTTTGTAGAAGGGATTGGACTATAGTTTTTGTTTTGTTCATTGTCATATGAATACATTTGTTTTATTATTACTAGTGTGTGTGTGTATGCGTGTGTGTGTGTGTGTGCTTTTCCCTTTTTCTGTTGTATAGATGAAAAAGAAAATAAAATATGAATAAAATGCTGTTTTATTTTGTTGAAAAGAAAAGAAAAAAGGAGGAGGAGGAGGAGGAGAAGAAGGAAAGGATACTAATGAAATAATAAATAAATAAATAAATAAATAGAAAGGGAGAAAGAAAGGAGCACGAAAAAGCAGTGTTTTATACAATAATTAAAAAAAAATATATGTAGATAAATAGGCACATATATGAACAAGCAGTAGGACAAGAATAAAGTATTATTATTGTCTGTGTACCTGAATCAAATTTAGACTATTATTACTAAATTTAGGAGAAGTTAATAATAGTTGAATCCTATTTCTCTTTTATCTGTAATTTATTTTTTAAAGCATCAAATATATTTGCATTATCAGAGATATTAAACAAGCTGTTATTTACACATAAAAATATGTCAGTCATTTTGACATTTATTTATAAGAAAAGAAATGGCATTATTTGTTTCAAAGTCTTTGCTCTTCTTACACATATAGCGTTCAAGTTTGTTAAATAATAATAATAATATATAAAAGCAATAGTAATCAATGTTTATAACGTTTATCGTCTAGATGTTATTTATAATTAATAGACACAAAATAATGGTAATAAAGTGCAATCGTAATTAAATATTGATTGTACATAATACTTTTTATGTATGTTTCATTTTCTCTTCTTATTGAATTAATTGCACATGAAAATCTATAATGGGCAAATAAAGCTAATTCTGGTGGTGGTAATTTATGATACATATTTTAAGCTCCACATATTATTTTATAAGAATACAGAGAACATAACTTATAAAATTACTAAACTATCTCAGTCAGTTTTTAAAAAAAAAAAAAAATAAATGATCAACTCAAGTATTAGAAAGAAATGAAGTGTTTGGAAGGAGGAAGTTTGAGTAAGCCAGTCTATCAAGAATAAGCCAGAATTGGGAAGAGGCGGAGAAATGAAGTTGTAAACTAGACAATCCATCTCATATAACATAGAACATATAGAAGACTATAGAAAAGCTGACATTATAGTAGAAGTGTGTTTTTTTTTTGTATATGTTGGAATGACTGTTTTTGTACTTGTTCTGTTGTGTTGTAGCATGGTTAGTATTGTCTGCTATGTAGAAGAAGGAAGAAGCATATTATCAAAGCAAACATTCGAGAACTGTATTTTCTTTAAATAAGTCAATTGTGTATTTAATCAAAAGACATAATGTATTGCTTATATACACTCTTTGTTCATTATCTATTTTCCTTTTTTTCTTTGCACTTTAAATATCTTATGAATTAACAGCCTCTACTTTATTATCTACTAAATTAAGTGTAGTAAAAGAGTATATCCATATGCCTGCCTGTAGCCATTGACTAGGAATACTTTCTTTTTATCCTATTGAAGAAACAGTAGAGAGCATAAATCTATAAGATACCTAATAAGCTTAGTCATTTATTACCTGGTTGGCCCTATTTCTTTTTTGATGAGGTTGCTTCTGATTCAATCAGTTTAGTAAAGGATATTATTTTGTGTCATATAGAAAGAGCATTATAAATTCATTCAAGTGATAAAATCGTTGAATATTTTACTTCAGTTATCTAAAAATCAATTTTGTGTCGTCTTAAATTTTCATAAAAAAAAAAAAAAAAAAATTGGACGCTGTCTGGATTTCAGCAGAAAATGCTGTAAAAAAAAAAAAAAGGCATTTGTTTACTTTTTTTTTAGTGTATTGTAAAATGGGTAATTAAAAAAAAACATTAACTTATAAACTATTGTTAATTTCAAATTAATTTAGGTGCACTTTTTAGTAGCCTTTTCAGTAAACTTTGGGGAGAAAAGGAAGTTCGTATTTTAATTCTTGGTCTCGACGGTGCCGGTAAAACTACCATTCTATATAGACTTCAAGTAAGAAGATAGATGTACATCAGATGATAGAATTTTCTAATTTAATTTTCAATCTTATAGATTGGTGAAGTTGTTTCTACTATTCCAAGTAAATTCCCATTTTTTTTCATATATATATATATATATATATATAGAGTTGAACACTTAAAATAGAAATACTTAATACTCATGTACTTTTTTTTTATGATGATTAGCCATTGGATTTAATGTCGAAACTGTCACATATAAAAATATTAAATTTCAAGTATGGGATTTAGGCGGGCAGACTAGTATAAGGTGAATAATAATAACATAAAGATTACGTTTTATGCGCACGTTCTGGACTAACAAAGATTAAATACAAATTAGACCTTATTGGAGATGTTATTATTCTAATACAGATGCAGTAATTTATGTAGTTGATAGTGTGGATAAGGATCGTATGCAGACATCAAGGGAAGAATTACATGCCATGTTAGAGGAAGAAGAATTAAAAGATGCAGCCCTTCTTGTGTTTGCAAATAAACAAGATATGGAAGGCGCTTTATCTGCTGCAGAAGTTGCTGATGCTCTTGGTTTATCAACTTTAAAAAATAGACAATATTCTATCTACAAAACAAGTGCATTAAAGGGAGAAGGTTTAACGGAAGGTTTAGATTGGTAGGCAATTCAGATATATAAAAAAAGAAAAAATGATAACTATAAAACTTAATGCTTATTTTTTTTCTTTTTTGTTTTTTGTTTTAGGCTTGTTAATATTATTCAAGAGAATAAGAAATAAATTATAATTTTTGACCCTGCTTTTCCATACGAATAATGAAAAAAAAAAAAGCGCATAAAAAGCTCTTCATATCTATTAGCCTTGGTAACCTTGTACAATAAAAAATGATCGGCTCTTTCTTCTGGTAACACATTCATAAATGATGAACAAACGTTATTTTACTGTATAATCAGAGTCATATAAATGTTAATAATAATATTGATTCCGAATAGTCTTTATGCTTATTAGATAAGATTTGAATCCAATAAGCTCCAGTAGCTAACATGAAGTTATTACTGAGAATATTAAAATATTCGTAATGAGACCTTTCCTCAAAACAAAAAGTTATTAAATGGGAAGAAATGTTTATGAAATATACAAAATTGTAACCAAGTGCATTTTTATATGATAGCTTATTATATCTAGAATTATAAAGTCTTTTCTCTACCATGAATAGTTATATATTTATATAATACATGTATATACATTTATATAAAAATAGTGTCGATGAATTCCGGAAGAATGATCTCAGATAATGAAACAAAACATTCTTTCATACTACTTTTTTTATTCTCATCGTAATAGTGGTTTCAGACTTATTTTAATAACATAGCCGCAATACATAAAAATTCTGTCAAAATAAAAATATAAAAAATTTTTCTGTTCTTTTTTTATTATTATTATTATTTCCTTGGGATAAATTTGCATAAGACAACATGAGCGACCAATATCTTACTTTAAACCGTACCAATGATAAGATGCCTATTGTTGGTTTTGGTTGTTGGAAGGTTGAAGAAAATACTGAAGAAATTGTTTATACTGCTATTAAGAATGGTTATCGTCTTATTGATGGTGCTGCTGTTTATGATAATGAAGTTGGTGTTGGTCGTGGTATTAACAGAGCTATCAAGGAAGGTATTGTTAGACGTGAAGATTTGTTTGGTAAATAAATAAATAAATAAATATATATGTATATAAAAGTAAAAAAAGAGGAAAGGCTTCAAGACTTGGAAGAATAATACTTACGAAAATATATGTATAGTTGTATCCAAGTTATGGAATAACTATCACAACAAGGCTCATGTCCGTCCAGCTATCGAAAAAACACTCGAAGATATGAATTTGGATTATATTGATCTCTATATCGTTCATTGTAAGTGATATCGATAATATTAAGACTTATATATAGGTTTATAAGCTAAGTTCATCTGTTATGCGCAGTCCCTGTTCCTCTTCAATATGTAGATCCTGCAGTTCAATATCCCGGCCCTTGGAAAATTAACGGTGAGGTTGCTCTTGAGAAATCACCTATGCATGAACTCTGGCCCGAGATGGAAAAATTAGTTGATGCTGGTTTAACTCGTAACATTGGTATTTCTAACTTTAACTGTCAACTTATTATGGATTTATTAACATATGCTAAATATAAGCCTGCTACTTTACAAAGTAAATAACAATTAAGATATATATATATGTATATGCATATATATAGTTATTAACAAAAAAAAAAATAGTTGAACTTCATCCTTACTTACAACAAGAAGCACTTGTCAAGTGGGCTCAAGAACAAGGAATCCAAGTAACAGCCTATTCTTCATTTGGTCCTAATTCTTACTTTGTCTTTTCTGAAGATGTCAAGTCTGTTCCTACATTATTTGATCACGATGTTATCAAGTCTATTGCTGCCAAACATAATAAAACACCTGCACAAGTTCTCTTGCGTTGGTCTATTGAAAGAAAAGTGGCTGTTCTTCCCAAGAGTATGAATGAGGAACGTATCAAGTCCAACTTTGATGTTTTCTCCTTTAAGCTTGATGAAAAGGATCTTCAAGCAATTAAGAAACTTGACCAAAATCTTCGCTTTAATTCTCTCTTCACATATGGCATTAATATTCCTCTTTTTGATTAATTTTTTTTTATCTATTACGTTTATTCTGTTCATTTTATGGATGATATGAAAGAGCAAAATATAATAAAGTCACATAAAGTGGTAGTGAAAATATTAAATCGAAAAAATCAAGAACACAGATTGGAGCTTCAAATGGATTTTTTTTTCTTTTTTTTAGGAAAGATACTTCACAAATGTAATATTGAGAATAGCTGTAACAAATAACACTTTATATAGTAGGATAAACAAGTATATAGCTTGTTTTTCTTAAACCCCTAGTTATTTCATCACTTATTATAGCTGTGCAACATGTACATGTTAAAACTAACAATTTTTTTTTTTTTTTTTTTTTTTTTTTTTTTTTTTTACTATTTATAGGTTTTCTATCTATTATTATTGAATAAAAATTCGTTCATTGACTAAGATATTATATAAATCAGAATTATTTCTTAACTTGAAAAAAAAAACATGCATGGAAGACCTCTCAATCTTGACCTATTAAACTATGTAATAATATTTTTTTTAATTCTTATTGTACATACATGAACAAAGAGAAAAAAAAAATTTTTTTATTATGGTTATTTATGATTGACAGAAGAATAATGCAAAATAAAGTAAAATTAAAATTAAAAAATAAAATAAAAATTAACGGTTTTCAGAAGTTTCAACTTGAAGAATTAATTCACGAGGGGCATCGAAACGAGGCATGACGACTTCGATAAGATGAATTCTATCACGTTGAGAGTGAACCTCCTTCATGGCAGCTTCAAATTCAGAACGATTTGTAACTTTACCTTGATAACCAACGTTAGAGGAGCCCAATTTGATGTTACGTTCAAGAGGAGCTCCGAAATAGTCAAGAGATTTACCATATTGCCACATCTGGAAGTTATTATAATCCCGATGAGGACCATGGATCAACTTTTCAATCAGATAGCCATCATTGTTCAAGATAAAGAGAACGGGAGTGAGACCATGACGAAGCATGACAGAGACCTCTTGACAAGTTAATTGGAAGGAGCCATCACCGCAGAAGAGATAGACACGACGTTGGCGAGCAGCCATAGCAGCACCAAGAGCAGCACCGACAGAGTAACCAATGGAGCCCCAAAGGACTTGAGCAATAAAGAAGGCATTCTTTGAGGCCCTCATATTAAAGGAAGCAAACTCAGAGGTACCGGTTTCAGCAACGATGATTGAGTTATCATCAATATAGTCGGGAACTTTATTCCAGAAATAGTTATGAGTGATCTCAGTGCCCTCACTAATAGGAGCGGGCTCACAACGAGGACCAAGTTCAAAATGACGAGGTTGTTGAGGAAGATGACTGGTGAGGAGAGGAAGGAATTCGGTCATGTTAACCTTATCATAATCAGCATAGAATACATTAGTAGCAAATGAGTGAAGGGAGATGGTCTTGTCACGATCTAAGCCATATGTAAATCCACCTGTGTTGAAATCAGACTTGATTGAACCAAGTTCAATAATCAAGTCAGCCAACTGAACTTCCTTAGCGATACCTTCAAGAGTAATAGTGCCTGCATAACAGCCACGATAGTTTGCGTATTCCTCTGGAACGAGACCTTTACCCATGGGGGCAACATAAGTAGGGAAACCAGAACGCTTGATAAAGGCGGCAGCTTCCTTTTGAAGGTTATGACGTTGAATACAAGCATCTACGATAATAATAGGATGCTGGGCTCTGTTAATGGCCTCTAAAACGACCTTAAGACAGACATCTTGAGTCTTGGCAGGGTTCTTGGGAAGACTAAGATCAAGAGGTCTGATATCGGGAATGTTGACTTCATAGTTGATTAAATCAATTGGAATACCAATATAACCAGTACGCTTACGAACAATAGATTCTTGAATGACACGATCAATTTCCTTAATGGCCGTATCACGAGTTAAATGAGTAGATGCACAACAAATCTTGGCAAACATGTCAACAAAGACTTGGAAGTTACCATTACCAAGAGTATGATGAAGGATAGCTCCTTCAGCTTGAGACTTAGTATTGGGTGTACCCACAATATGAATGACAGGAAGCATTTCAGAATAAGAACCAGCAATACCAGCAGCAGCAGAAAGCTCACCAACACCAAAGGTAGTAACAACGGCACCGACACCTCTAATACGAGCATAACCATCTGCTGCATATGAAGCATTTAATTCATTTGCGTTATTACCCCAAATAAGTTGTTTATCATCTTCAATCATATCTAATAATGGCTTTTTTTTTTCAAACAAAAGATTTAATTATCTTGTCTATTATTAAAATCTCCCTCCCTCTCTCTTTTTTTTTATTTATTTATACTTACCATATTATAATCACCAGGAACACCAAAAATAGTTTCAATGCCAACCTCCTTGAGGCGTTGAATAAGGTATTGACCAACTTTGACAGCAACCATTATTATTTCTTTAAAAAATAAAAAATAAAAATATTTATATATAAAGAAAAGAAATAAGAAAAAAAATTATGCAAAAAATATATATTTACTTATATTTATATAAAAACAACCTAATAAGTCTTTATATAATTATGAAAAAAAAAAAAAAAAAAAAAAAGATTGTAAACCCCATGCTAAACAAAAGCAATGAGCTTTTTTTTTTCTTTTTTTTCCTCCCTAGTATATGTTCACTAATCTTTATATGGAATTTGATTTCTATCGTGAGGGACTAACGCCTAATCATTATTTAGTTTTTTGAATTTAATTGACAAATAAACGGTTTCTCGTCAAAATCTATAGTTGTAGTAGAAGAACAAGCATGATTCTGTGCTGAAGTATATAATTGATATGTTTCATAAGCTTATTGCATTAAGTAGTGTAAAAAAAAAAAAAAATTCTCATATAATACCACATGTAACAGATTTATCTCTCTTATTTAGTTAAACTATCATCTAAATTAAAGTTTGCAAATAATAAACCTTAAAAAAGAACAAGCATTAGCATCATTAACATAATAGCTTTTCTTTTTTCTTAAAAAAAAAAAAAAAAAAAAAAAAAAAAGACTCATATATTACATAAATACTCATAAATAACTGCGTTAAGTATGCAGTGAAAATAAAGATAAATGAATAAAAAAGATCATCAGTTACAATTCGAACTCATTTCCTGGTAAGTCTAAAAAAAAAATATATATTATAAAATAAAGATGACGTTAAGAGTCACATCATTACCAGTTATTATCTTTTTATTTTCATTTTTTAATCCGCCGAGATATAAAATGACAGTAAGATTATATCAACAAACAATAACAATAATATCATTATTTAGACACAAATAAAAAAAAAAATATCTGTATATAAAATATAATTATGCTTGATTTGATAAAAAGATAAGAAAAAAAAAAAAGGAAAGTCGGTTTGTTTGTTTAACAAACAACATATAAAGAGATTTATCTAAGAACTAGCAGATAAAATAACTTTAAATCTATTTATGTTTGTTCGGGAAAAAAAAGCTATAAATAAATGTATACACTTAAATTTGAATATTATTATTAATCTGATAAGAGATATATAATATGCTCATATAATGTTAGCAGTAACATTTCCCACATTTTATATTTTTACTAAAAATAGACAGCTATTATTAACTTGAAAGTAGGAAAAATCAAATTTTTAATAGCAATAAGTATAACTAAATCTCTATATCTTATTTATTGTAACATTCATGCTATTATTAATAAAGTATAAGCTCATCAACAAAAGAAAAGGAAAAACAGGATAATTACTAGATCTACGATATGTATTTATGTGATTAGATCTGAGACATTCATTTAAGAATCAGAGAAGCTTAATTTTATATTAAATTGCTAGTACAAAAGAAAAAAGGAAAAAAAAAGTTTCTAATTTAGTATAACAATTTTTCTCTATAAAAAAAAACTACTACTATTTTATAAAAGGGTACAATGGCATATAATCAAAAGGCATACTATGACCCACCGTTCTAATAAAATCTATTATGTTTCTTATTTGTAAGGCTTGAGTATGTTTAAAGTATAATATTATAGTCATTGCTTCTACAGGATTATGTATAACTAATATATATCTTTGTATTGATTCATATTTTCTTGCAAATAAAAAGGTTGTATTTTCTTATTTGTATAAACTACTATTTAATAATAATAGCTATTGCTGCATAGTTAATGCGCCACTACGCCACAAAATGACTATACTAGTTACTTATTATTTTAAACTCAGCTTATAATCCTTTATTGGAAAACACACTTTCAGTATCCAATCTGTTAAATCTGGCAGCATTTACTTATTGTTTTTTTTTTGGGGGAGGAGGTCTATTCTTTTTTATTATGATTCAAGCATGAAAAAGAAGTTACAGTAACTTGAACATTATCGATGATGATTATGTTTCTTAGTTTTTTTTTTATTTTTATTTTTATTTTTCAAAAAGAACTTGGGAATGATTATATAATACATGAAAAGATGTTTATAATTATTTAAAAGAAAAGAAAAAAAAAAAAGAACAGCTGAAAAGGAATTTCTTCTATTTATTTATTGTAATAAACTACTTCAAATATTGATTATAATAAAAACTAATAGTAATTGTTCAAAGAAAGTTGTATATTTTATCCCAAATTAGAAAATTAAAAAAAAGGCCCCCCATCATTTTTGTATTAAAAAAGATCAAATAATAACAATTTATACATATATGGTAGTTAATGACGTCGCCTTTTTTTTATTAAATTTGTTTACAATAAACAAAATCAATTAATACAATATTATTTTATTCAAACAGCTCCCCACATAATTGTTGACAGAATGATATGATATTTGCTGTCATTGACTTTAGATGGCACTTGAAGCCAGTCATGAAATTCCTCATTCTTTCTTTTCAATCAGTTTCTTGCACAGCATATATTAATCTCTTTTCTTTTACTCTGTCAATTATCTGTATAAAGTCAATTACCTTTTTTTTTTGGTTCTTTCAAATAATATAATAAAAATCTGCCTTCTGTACCGTCATAGTCTAGACAAGGAACCCTTAATTGACTCCTCTCTCAACTCCCTTAATAATTATGTCATAGCTACACTTTTTTTTCTCATTTTGCCTGTCTTTTTTATTTTTGCTACCCTTGATCTTAAAGGGTCTTTTTTTTTTTTTTTCTTTGGTGATCTAATCCGGGCAATTTTCATGTATATACTATTTTGTAACCAATTGACAAGCTTTTCTGTTTAAGAAGAAAAAACAAAAAGATCAAACTAAATTAAGTTATGAATAACAAAAGCATCATTTAATCTTAATAATGCTGTATGCTTACTATGATGAAAATAAAGGGAGTCTGTTAACTGCTATTTTGATCTATTAAATAAAGACGCCGTCTTAATACAATAATCACGTTATGTTCTGCTTGCGGTGTTTAAAAAATGCTGTCAGGCACGCCACTTTTTTCTGGTTTTTTTTTTTAATAAATATTAACAGCGCCATTCTTTGTGTTACAGAAGAATAGAAAATGTATTAGAATATTTTTTTCAAAAAAAAAAAATGAATTGATAAATATTTCATTACATTTTAAAATTGATAAATATAATCAAAATAAAAAAATAAAATAAAATAAACATGATTCTCATAGAATAAACGGTAGGATTAATGGTAAATATTATTATGTTTCAAAATATAAATAATGAAATCATAATTTTATAATAGATTAAGCTTCTGAATAATGACCTGATAAATGTCCAAACGTGTATATTTAGAAATTCTCTGTGGACTTGCAGTTTTGAATATTCAAATATACAAATTTGACTTTTTAAAAGATAAAATAACAATAAAAATAACAATAAAAAAAAAGCACGTACTTAATAAATGTATTCATCCAAGCAATTTTATAGTGAGACGTTTTGATTAAAGAGAAAATAAAATAAAAGAAAATAAATAAGCTTTGCTATTATCACTATGAATTCTTAATAATTAAGTTGTATATTATTGTTCATAATGAATGGAGAAAAAAACCTGTTTTGTATCAATTGAAACTTTTACACGAATTAAACTTTTTATATTTGCTAAATTTATCAATTTAATATATTCTTTGATTCATGCGATTTATCTTTACTAGGACCCTATTCACGCTATCTATCTTCTTCTTTATGACAAGTAAATACACAAATTATCATAGGAAAAAAAAACTTCTTCTTCCTTTTAAGCAATAAGTTAAAGAAAAGAAAAAAAAACTTCTATGTCATATATCATGTTGAATCCCTTTTCGGTCTTTCCTTCTTATTAAAGCTTTGAATATAATTTACTTTGGTCAGCACATATCTATTATTGTCCTATTTTAATTGTTAAAGTTCTTAAACTTAATTGACTTGAAGATTTTTTTTTTTTTGCTGGTTGCCATAATGGTCTTCTATTACAGTCTTGCGTTGATCTTTCTATACTGCAATTATCTACTACTTGTCCATAATAATTTATAAAAGGAAACAAACACACACACACACATGTCAATCACAAAAAGGTCTTTATTTTCTCTTTAAACTAATTATTGTCTATATATTAAAATAAGGGCTATTCTAATAACGACTTTGTTACTTTTTTTTTTTTTTTTTTTTTTTTGTTTGTTTCGTATTATTATAATTGTAATAATAATAATAATCCTTCGGTCGTTTAATTTTCTATTTATGCATTTTTAATATATGACAGACAATAATAGTAACTTTGTTAAAGTTCAGCTTCAGGGTGAACAATAGCAACAACAACAACAACAACAAACATGAACAATTGAGCGAAAACATATAAATATAAATTAGTTTTTTTTTCCCCCTTGTTCCTTTCTTCTGATCAAGTCTCTACTTATTTATATCTTCTTTACTATTAACACCTCTCTTACATTAATATCTTCTTCCTTCAATCATTAAAGAATGTCTGAAGTCAATAATTTCCCCATCAAGAATGCTTTCATTCCTATTGAAGATGAATTCCTTGATCAACATGATGGTCGTGTCATGTGGATTGCTGTCACTCTCTTATGGGTCTTTTGGGGTCTTATTTCAGTTGTTCGTGCATTCTTCTCTGAAGAAACGATGTCGAATGGTACTGGGCCATCAGATAACGAGTCAAATGCTGAAAAATCACAAGGGAGAAAATTCATTGCCGCCCCCTCTCTTAATGGTACATTGGCCCCTCGTTTAGAGAAGGGCCATCAGATCATTTCAAATAATTTATTCGCTCTTATTAGTTTGGATGTCATAAATACATTTGGTCGCGGCTCAGTTCGTGGTGCGATGATTATCAATTGGTGTGTTACTGCTTTATCTATTTTCTTTTTCGTTGCTGAGCTTGTTACAGACAGCAGATATATCCGTATCTTATATACAACTATCTTTTATTGTCTTGGTATTGCTACTATTGGTCTTATTTGGGGAGAAGGTTTCAAATAAGATTTCTTTATATCTCCTGCTTGCCATCTTTTTATTTTTATTTTTTATTTTTATGTATGAAGTAAGCTTTGTTTAATCTATCTTCTCTTTTATCTGTATTTTTATTGTCAATAAATAGTGTATATTATTATTATTATTATTATTATTATTATTTAAAGAAAAAAAAAAGTAATCTATTTCCTTTTGTTATTGAGACAGTTCTCCTTACAACGATGGGTGTCATGGATGTAGATAGATAGATAGATATATTTTTATATATACATATCTGCACTTGTTACCGTACATACTACTTTTTTGAAACCCCATATATTCTTTCTTTTTTCGGACATAATAAGAACCTCGCGTTTGGAAGTGTACTTGCATCTTATGTTGCTTTAACACTTTGAAATATAGCATAGGGCTTATATTATTACTTTGCTCGAATATAATATAATCATTCGTATATGACGATAAAAAGAGGATGCGAAGGGAAAGTAACATCTTGACTTGAAGCAATCACTATACTACAAAAGCCAAAAAAAAAAAAAAAAAAAAAAAACAGAGGAGTTTGGGCTATTATTGTCTTTGCCTATTTCTTATTTATTGTTTGTTTGTTTGTTAATAATAATAATAAGGAAGAAAGTTGTTGTTATTATTATTATTCTTGTTGCATCAAAATACAGTCATAACGTATTATTGAAAGTTTAAATGTTATTCTTCCTCCCCTCATATAATAACATGCTGTCAATTATTAAAAGAAGATACATACATATACGCTTTTCTTTTATTTATTTATTTATTTTAGAAAAGAAAGGGACTTTATAAAATGAATTATACATATACATTTATAAATATAAAATAAGAGGGTGGTTATATGTATATTACTTTTCTGCGTGTAATAATTGACTATTTTGATCATCATGAAGTATGCCGTTCGATTTGGGTACCATTGAAGTCGTTTTTCGTAAATCAACTGCTGAATGAGATGCTCGATCATTATTTGTGTATTTAAAAGATGACATGGCTTCTCGAAATCCAAAATCTAATGAGCTTGAAGGGGAAGCATTATGTTGTTTATCGAATACAAAAAGACGTAATGCTGTTACTGCCTGCACACTTTGTCTATCAACCGCTAAATCCAATGGTGACTTTATTAAAAAAAAAATTAATATAGAATAAATATTTCAATACATTTATACATTTACCATGTTTGAATTATCTTTTATATCTGCTTTTGCATGTCTCTTTAATAAGGCCAAGACAAGTTGAACATTATTATTAACAGCAGCATAATGAAGTGCAGTCCAACCTCGAGCATCTTGCTGATTTATATCGCTTAGACGTTGTAATAGAAATTCAACAAGGACTTGGTCATCTTTATCTACTATTTTATGTAAAGCTGTCTTGAGACCATCATCTGGATTTTTGTAATCAACATGAGCACCCTGAGCAAGACATTTGAGTGATCTATCTAGTCTTCCCTCAATCACTGCATTCCAAAACTCCTACATAGGTATTATATATATATATATATCTTTATCTATTGTATAACGGTTTACCTTATCTAAAGATTCTTGATCCAAAATACTAGGTGTTACAAATGTTTTCTTGACATATTTTTCAGTAATCCATAAATCGCGATCCATTCTATAAGATACATGAATACAAACTATATATTATTTTACAAAAAAAAAAAAAAAAAAAAAAATACCTATTTGAATTAGTCTGAATTCGAAGAGATTCCATATTTTCAGGAACTAAAGCTTCATAAATACTATTCCCTATCTTGTTACCCAACTTTAACATTACCTTTTTTTTTATATATAATATATTTATATATAAAATAGATCAATAAATATAAATAATTTGATTTTCGACACTATGTATTACCTCGATTGAATTTGAATCCCATTTATCTAAAACAATAGATCGAACCTTACTGACATGAACACCCAAGCTTCTATGAATACCTGAGCATTCAATACATACAATGATACCTAGATTTGTACATGCCCACTCTGGATCCTTGGCACCACAATCAGCACATACATCATTTCCTTCTACTTTTCGAATCATCTTGAGAGATTCTTTATTACTTTGTTCTTCATCTTTGTCCTCTTCTACATGTGATTTATTCAAAGATATTTCTAAAATACTCTGTAAAAAAAAATAAAATAAAAAGTCAGTTATGTGTACATGCGTTATGCAATAAGGAATTACTTTTCGAAGATTAGGTGCTTGTTGAGCATATCTTGGTGCTTTATCAGAATTTAATGCCATTTGACTTGCAGTACGTATACTGGTAATCCATTCATTCATGTCTTGTTCATTTTCAGCTTGTAATACTAAAACTCTTACATATATAAAATTGTATTAGTTTGGATCTTCCTCTACATTTCCATGCAGTGTATTACTTGTTTGGGGAAATAAGTTCAAAACAAAATCTTCTATCATAACTATCTGCCAACTTTACACTACATACACGCAAATTATAGACTTGACATCCATCATCTTCTTTAGACGAAGACTACAAAAAAAAAAGGAAACATAATAAGCATATATTTGTATATATACAATTTTTTTTTGTACCTTTGAATTACGGGTTGTACACATTAATTCACCATCAACAATACTATAATATTTTCTGGACCAACTTTGATACACGCGTCCATGCTTTCTTTCAAAAAGATAACCTGATTTATGAGCATTAGGTGTTTCTTCAGTTGCCATACTTCCATTCACTTGCATTGGGTTATATTCTTCAATTGTATTCTTAAAAAAAAAAAAAAAAAAAAAAAAAAAGTAAACATACATATCATCATCTATTCTTCTTTAATTCTTTTTTGTACCTGTTCACAAATTTGTTGATAAACAAGACATTCTCGAGAATCTTCCTCATATCTTTCCCTTGACTAAAGAGGCACATGTTAATAATATGCATATAAATATTATATAATTTATAAAATAAATCATACATCATGTAACAATCCTAAAAAGTAAATAAATAAATTCATATTAGTAGAGAGGAATAAAATACGTTAAATGTATAAATATAGGATATAGCTCACCTGTCAAATCACGCATATAAGGTTCTAGATCTTTTAAAACTTCATAGCATTGATGATGAAATGCTGATTCAGTATACATGTATGCAAGTACCTTTAATTACAAGAAGTATATGAGTTTTTTTTTTTTTTTTTTTTGCTATATTTGTAAAGAAAAATTTAACTTATTACATTTTCCATATAATCAATTTTTTTCTTTGCTTCTATATCATTTAATTTTAATACATAATCCATATATACTTTATGAAACGCTTTTCTACTATCGGCTAATTCAATTGCAGACTATATGGATAACGGTATTATTATCTTCTTTAGTTATATATAATACATGTCATATCCATATATCTATTTTACCTCCTGTAAAGTCGGATCTTTGGGTTTCTTACTCATATATCTCGATAAAGCCAAGTCAACATCATCACTTGACTTTTCAAATCTCTTTCTTAATTCCTAACAATTATTGAACATGAGAGATTCTGTAAATATTTGCCTCTCTCTCTCTCTCTCTCTCTGTATAATTGTATATATATATATATGTGTGTGTGTGGGTACTTTACTTTTAAAGGTCCAATGGTGCTCTTCACAAACTCATTAAGTGGCTCGATAAAAGTGTCAACTATATGTGTATTCTTAAAACCGGTAATAGAGAGAGAGAAAGAGATAAAGAAAGAAAAAAACCCTGCAAATGAATACTACTAATCATACAAATATAAAAAAAAAACACACATCATCGTCTTACATGCATATGTCGGCTCTTTTCTACTTCAAAAATTGATTTACCAAACTTATCTAAAGCTTGAGCTAATAACAAGTAGATGAGTCTTTTTTCTTTTTTTCTTTTTTTCCCCAAGAGTTACAATTGTGTTTTTACCAACGATAGGATCATCTTGAGCTTGTGCAAAAGATAAAAATTCACGAGCTAAATCGTTTTGTTGTTGACTATAAGCTAGATGAAAAAAAAAAAAAAAGAAAGGATTAAAGAAAAGCAAAGAAGAGATGATGAAGAAGATTTACCAGTGGATATTTCAACTTGTGAACGAGCGAGTTTAATTAAAGTTTTCAAGGATTGCTCAAAACTATGAATGGAATCTTCATGAGAATGGATGCGTTTTCTGAATATAGGAGAATCTTCTAAGCATCCTCTTATATCAAGTGTTGGCATAATATTAATTCTATTTAAATAATAATAAAAAAGAGGAGGAGATTATTTTTTTTTTTTTATTTTTTTTTATTATGTTCGCTTTCCAAATTTGTTTGTAATGATCAATCAGAGACAGTTCGTTTTCGAAAACTCCTTTTTTTTCTCTCTCTAAAAAGGAAAAAGGAGAAAAAGAGTGTAAAGATATGATTTATATACTGCAGAAAGATTGTAAATATATGATTTATATACTACAGAAAGATATTTAATGACACTGTAAACTTGGTTAAAAAAAAGAAGGCTTTAATTCCAATATGGCCCGTACTTTATCTAAATGAAGAATGGCAGGTCCTTTTTTTTTAGTTAGCATAGTATTTAAATGAACAACAAAGAAACATGTCCATCCATAAATGTTGTTTAAGAGAGGAGTTTATTTAAAAAAGAAAAGACGGGCTTAGAAGAAACCTTTTCTTTTTTTGATTATAGCAACGATCTAATTTGAAGCAAATTCATCTAAATTGTAATATTCGGGGTATTTCTTTATCAATTCTTCAAGTTCCTTTTGCTGTTGAATAAGATTTGGAGTTAATTCATCATAAACATCTGTAAAGAGATGTTTGATAGCAGGCTTCTTTCTCTTTTCAGCGGCACTGAAGCTTTTTAAAATATCCTTTTTAATTTGTTTACGATAATCATCTTCTTCTTCTTGAGTCCACCAATCCTTCAATTCCATGTAACGTCTTAGACGAGTGATTGGATTATCAAATTTAGCTCTTTCTTCAACTTCCTTTCGATCACGATATTTTGTAGAATCATCTGAGGTACTATGATGACCAATACGATAGGTCATGGCTTCAATCAGGACAGGTCTTTGTTCCTTGATAGCCATTTCTCTAGCTGTCTTTGTAGCATTATAAATAGCCCAGATATCATTACCATCTACTCGAATGGTATCCATACCATAGCCAATACCACGACTAGCAATGCCATCCCCTTTATATTGTTCAGAAGAAGGTGTAGAGATAGCATACCCATTATTACGACTAGAATAGACATAAAATAAATAAATATGAACATATATATAGAAAGAGTTGAATTCAATTCATTCAATCATTTTTTTACCAAAAGAAAACAACAGGACATTTCAAGGTAGCAGCCATATTAAGGCCTGCATGGAAATCACCTTCTGAAGCAGCACCTTCTCCAAAGAAACAAAGTGTGCATGCATTTGTACCAGACATTTTTAATGCATAAGCAGCACCAGCAGCTTGAGGGATTTGAGTTCCCAAAGGAGATGAAATGGTCTGAAAGTTTAAACGTTTTGAGCCATAATGAACAGGCATTTGTCTGCCTTTACCAAGATCTAATTCATTTGAAAAGCATTGACTAAGAAATTCATCCAAAGTAAAACCACGATGAACCAGCATAAAAGCCTCACGATACTTGAGTGTATATAAATGATTTAAATAAATAAGTATATAAATAAGTATATATGTATATGTAGATATATAAGTATGTATGTAGATATATATATATATATGTAGATATACAAGTATATAAATATGCATATATATCTACATATATACATCTGTCTATTATAATAATAAAAATTCTTACTTGTCCAAAAACAACATCTTCAGGTGATAAAGCAGCTGCACTGCCAATCATAGCTTCTTCACCATAATGCGTCATATAGAAACTAATACGACCCTGACGTTGAGCATCATAAAGAATACCATCCATTGTATGTAAGAATAACATGTTTTTATAACATTGAATGACTTGATCCTTGGACAGATTAGGATCATGTTCAGGTATCAACACAGTTCCTGTATGATCCATCACACGATATGCTTTAAGAACATCTTGATTTTTAAAGAATGTCAACTCGTTTGTAAATCTATCAGCAGAAGACCATATACTAGCAGACGATTGAATGATATGCTCTCTGCTATTATTCTCATTATCCGATAGCCTTCTAGACTCTGCCACATTCGTTACATTCAATAACTATTCAATAAAATTCGGGGAAGAAGAAAGAAGCTATTATGATTATGACAGAACCAAAAAAAAAAAAAAGTCTAATTTACTATGACATACCTTTGAAGTAACCGTAAGCCATCTTTTTGGTTGTTGTTGTTGTAGTAAAATTGGGCTTTTTAGAAGCAATGATTTAGTTCTATTAAGCATACTTTTTATGAATGGATAAATAAATAGATAAAAAAAAAGATAAAAAAAAAAGATAAAATAAATAAATAAATAGATCGTTTGGAAGCCGTGTGAAAAATAACTTTGATTTCCTCTTTTATTTTTTATTTTCGTGGGAAAAATCGTTCATGTCAAAAAAAAGAAAAAAAAATAAAAAGTCGTTACATAATATTTCCTTTTTTCATTTTATAATATCTTTATTAAAAAAAAAAAAAAAAAAAAAAGTATCTATAGCTTGTTTTATTAGGATATTCTATATTTTATTCTATTTTTTAAATATATGTGTAATTTATTGCATTTTTTTAAAATTAAACTTATTAATAATAATAAAAAAAGTTATTAAAAAAAAAAAAAAAGAGAGAGAAAAAGAAAAATTCTAAATGTGTATTATAAAATGTAATATTATAAAAAAAGAAAATAAAAAGAAGAGGGAAGGGAGAGATTAATTATTTTAGTTATTATTACCGCCAGAGAGGACACGAGCAGCATGAGAGGTTTGTACAGAGGAAAGACGACGCATTTCCTTGGGATCAAGTTTCTTTCCGGATTGACCCATGACCTTTTGAACAAGGTTTTGAGGACGTTCAAGAGACTTGAGAGATTTAGTACGGTTAGCATAGTAACGACCAGAGGAAGAAGAGACAGCTGAGGCACGACGAGTGGCAGCAGCCTTATTAGCTTCGAGGTCACCTCCTGTCTTGGGTTCGAATAATCTTTGCATAGCGAATTTGATAAGATCCATAGGAGCGAACCAAACAAAGTTCCTATTTAAAATGAAATAAATAAAAAATAAGAGTGAGTTGTTGTTTTGTTTGATGATGAATGGAAAAAAAAAAATATGAATAAGAAAACTTACCAAATCCAAGCAATACCAGCCCAGCTCCAACCACAACCTTGAATGTCAGTAAAGCCCCAGTTGGCGTAAACAGCAATAAAGGTAGCAACCAATTGAGCAACAATGAAAGCACAAATAAGGAAGAGAGAAGGACGTTCAAGGAAGAACCAAGTACGAGAACGAGTAATGAAAATCAAACCTTGAGAGATGGTAGAGACTTGAAGGTAAACAGCAGAGTGAAGAACGAAATGGTTGGGGTTATGAATGACTTCAACACCAAACTTACGATGGAACCAAGTGGACTTGAGAGCAACTGCAACAAAGACAACAGTAGAGGCAGTAAGGTAAAGACCATAGACGATGGCATAGGAGAAAATTTCACGTAAATTCCAAGAGTTAGGGAAAGGTGAAGGCCGGACACGATCCTTAGAGATAGTCATGATAGTACCATCATTAAGCATAGCAATAATCAAAACCATGAAGGGAGGGAAATCGAATTCGAAAGCCCAGATAAGGATAGAGAAACCAACGACGATACGAATGGTAACAGAACATGTATAAATAGAATAGTTACGCATACGTTGGAAAATTTGACGTGAACCAATGATGGCTTCGACAATAGTGGAGAGACCGGGGGCAGTCAAGACGATATCAGCAGCAGAACGAGCAGCATCAGAGGCATCAGCAACAGCGACACCGACATTAGCCTTTGAAAGAGCGGGGGCATCATTAACACCATCACCAGTCATGGCAACCATGTGTCCCATATTTTGAAGACGTTCGACAATTTCATACTTGTGTTCAGGATAGACACCAGCGAAACCATCAGCATGAAGAACCATTTGATCAGTATCAGTATAACCAGATCCAGCAGGGGGACCATCCTTCAAGGTCTTTGACAAGAACATGTTATCACCCATACCAAGACGACGACCTGTTTCCTTAGCGATAGCAAGTTGATCACCAGTGATCATCTTAACAGAGACACCAAGAGCGATAGCACGATCAATTGTTTCCTTAGTATCAGAACGAGGAGGATCATAAATGGGCAAAAGACCGACAAGCTTGAAACCATTACCTTCATCTTCAAAGTTACCGGAGGGTACCTCTTCAATAGCGACAGCAAGAGCACGAAGACCACGACGAGCGAATTCATCGACATCATCGTTAAGAGCTTGAATAACGGCTTCGGTCTTATCACGAGTACAGAGATCCAAAATCTTGTGTGACATACCCTTTGTGACACGGATCACCTTACCATCTGCATTTTGCTTATAAGTAATTTCAGTACGCTTAATGACAGGATTGAAGGGCTTGAATTGCAATTCAGTGATACCATCACGAGCCTTAGAGGGATCAGGTAAGGAATTGACAATACAGAAATCGATAGCATCTTGGTTTTCAGTACGAGAGGCATAAGCAGACAAACGAATGACATAATCACCGTCGTATTCAGGAGAATAAGTCTTGATGGTAGGCTTATCAACAATAAGCTTGTTCAATGTAAGAGTACCTGTCTTATCAGAACACAAAATTGTGACAGCGGCCATTTCTTCAATAGCTGTAATACGAGTGACGATAGCCATGTGTTCAGCAAGTTGCTTAGCACCAATAGCCAAAGTAACGGAAAGTACAGTAGGCATAGCAATTGGAATACCACCAATGAGCAAGACAAGAACGTTGTTAATACCACGTCTGTAAGCATAGTGGAAACCAGCATATTGAACAATAATGACAATAACCATGAAAAGACCAATAACACAAAGACAGAAGTTACCAATCTTGGCCAAAATGGTTTGCAAGTGACCAGTATCATCACCAGCTTCACCAACAAGTTTAGCAGCACGACCGAAGAAAGTATTAGTACCAGTACCAATAATGACAGCTTCGGCTTCACCTTGCTTTACAGTAGAACCTGAGAAAATTTCGTCACCAACATCTTTACCAACAGGTAAGGATTCACCAGTAAGAGCAGCTTGATCAATAGATACATCACCATGAGCCTATTACATATATGAAACAAATTATAAAAAAAATAATAATTAGAACATGGGTTTTGAATAGCAAAAATAAGATTTTTTTTTGCGGTCTTTTTTTTTTAAAAAAAAAATAGTCCGCATCATTTAATTTCTGATTTAGAAAAAAAAAACTTACAGAAAGTAAACGACCATCAGCAGGAACGACATCACCAAGCTTAATACTAATGATATCACCGGGAACAAGTTCAGAAGCTTCAAGAGTCTTCCATTCACCATCACGCTTTACTTTACATTCAGGAGCAAGAGAATCCATAAGAGCCTTGACAGCATTACCAGCTTGACGTTCTTCCAAGAAACCAATAGTAGCGTTAGCAAACAACAAAATAATAATACCAATAAAATCTGGGTAATCTGGTGGTTGACCGCCACCGTTAGACACAGCAATAGCGACAAGAGCAGCAGCTTCCATAACCCAAGAAAGGGGATTCCACATAAAGCCCAAGAATTGAAGGAAAGGGTTAACTTCCTTTGTCTCGAGTTTGTTATAACCAAACTTTTCATGACGCTTTTGGGCTTCAGATGATGTTAAACCTTCAGGTTGTGTTCTACATAATTTAAAAATTAATTTAATCTAAACAAAAAAAAAATGTACAAAACAATTTCAATAGGAATACGTACTGTAAAAGTTGCATAACATCTTGATGCTCCATAGTAGAGAGATCATATTTGTCTTTATCATAGAGGTCTTCTACAGTGATTGTGTTGATATCACCAGTGACCTTGGCGCGAGGATGTTCGTCAGCCATGATCAATTAAGATTAATATAAAAAAAAAGTAATTAAATAATAATAAAAGGTATTTATAAATAAATTAAAATAAAAAAAAATGTATGAAACTACAAAAGTTTAGTTTATACGAAGTCTAATATTAAAATAATATCGGCTATTATAAAATGATTGTATACAACAAAAGGATATATTTTTTATATAACAAAGTTAAAAAAAAAAAATAAAAAAAGAGAAAAGTTTCAGAAATGAATGAAATCTTCTTTTATTTATATATTCTTTCTCAAAAAAAAAAAAAAAAAAAAAAAAAAGTGTGTCTATAAAGAAGAACAAAATCTTTGGTTAGATTTTTTTTTTGTCTTAGAGAGCACCCGAGCAAGGGAGAAATGTTTTATCTATCATTTGCCTATAAATGAGTATATTGTGTCCCCTAAAAATGGTAAGATCTTTTATGAAGAAACAGGTTTCATTTCTTACTATAATGAATGAAAATATACAAAAAAAAAAAAGATTTTTAATCGCCGAAAGATAACATGCAAATGATAAGTGACATTTAAAAAATAAAAATTCCTCCCCGCACAACTGCGACATTCGATTTGTGAGTCCGTTACATACATTGCCAACAAATGAACGTTTATAGGTTTTCCCCCTCTCCGATTTTGCTTCGTTCACCCCTCTTGTTCTTTATAATAAATGAATAATAGAAGTTGACTTTTTGTTCTTTACTTGTCATACATGAAAAGTAAACAAGTTGTACCACGTAATGTCGTTAGTGGTCTGTGCTTTTAAAAAGGTAAATAAGGGCTTTTATTATCCCTTTAAGGAAAAAGAAAAATTGTGACAACAGATTATATAAATAACACAAGCCTATTTTTTTTGAGTAAGAATTGAACTCGTGATACTTTATTCAAAAAAAAAAAAATGACAAAAGTATTATCCATGGTACATTGTAGGCTAAATTAGGAAATAAGATGTTTTACCTCATTTTGTACCAATCGTTGTTTTTTAATAGTAGTAGTAGTAATAGTCGTAGTAGTAGTATTTGTTGTTGTTGTTGTTGTTGTTATTGTTGTTGTTGTTGTAGAAGTAATGATAGTCGTAGTAGTAGTGATATTAGTAACAAAAACAAGGGTTCCTCTTCCATAATATTACCTAATACATATATACATATATAAATTTATATCTTTTTTTTTTTACTACTCTATTATTTGATATCTGTCTATAAAATGTAAAAAAAGCTTTATTGATATTAAATGTACATAGATGGACAAGCCTCTTGACAGTAGTATTTTATTTTCTGTATAAAAAAGAAAATCGAATCTCCGGTTTTTTGATTATCCGCCCTCGAATGAATATGTGGTCGTTTTGATCAAACTATAATTTTATCCAATCGGGCAAATAGATTTCATGATCTTATTCCTATATTTGGGCCCTGATTGATAATAATGTTTACGAAATATAACATAATGTAGTAAACTATAAGCTTGGCTGATAACGGATGATGATAGTAAAGACGCTAATAATTGTTATTTGCTAGCTATTATATTCAATTGCTAATAATTAACAAAACAAAACAAAAAAAAAGAGTAGAGAAAAAGGAGATTGCCTATTTTTCAATCATTATCAGATGTTTCAATTAATCAATCGAACAGAAATTACATAATAATACATTACTTATTTATTTTCAAGTATAAAATAATGAATAACAAGAAAGAATGATTTTCAGTTATTATACGCTGTTGTTGTTATCACTCTATCTTTGTTAATTTAATAAAATTAACTCTCCGTTTACTATTAAAGAAAAAAAAATTTTTTCTTGTAGTAAAGCGAAGTTATTAGATACGGTTTCATTTAACGAAAAAGGGATAGTCATGTTGATCTTGATCTTGTATATCTTCTTTTACTACAAGACTTTATTCTTTTGATTTATTAAGAAATCATTGTTGTCAAAGACTATCAATCATTATCTTTTTTTTAAAAAAAAAAAATAGTGTGGAGCTTATTTTTCTTCTACATCGTTTCTTTCTCTCTCTTTTTTTCTTCTTTTTTTCTTCTTTTTTTTTGTAAAATTTTGTTCATTACAGAAAATGACACTAGTTGAAAATAAAGTATTATCAAGTGCAAAGTTTATTGCAGAGGTAATAACATTGAGATACTTGCTCAGTTCTGATTTAAGAATTTTAAAATGATTCAATAAAATAAAACTAAATTCTTTAATGTCGTGTTCCTCCACATTATGTATATATATGAAAAAAAAAATAGCATAGTAAAAACGTGTCTATTCCTAAAGAAAACTTGGAGAAAGCAGCTAAAACAGTAATGTTCCTGAAAAAAAAAATCAAAAAAAAAAAGTTTTTAAACAATATCATGTTTATAATCTTAGATTTTGGATAACATTAAGAAAAAGCATTATAGCACTAAAACTTGGAATGAACATCCATTGCATCCTAAAATAGCAAATCGTAATACTGTCGATTGGTAATCATCGAGTTTCTTGAATCTTTTTTTATATAATAATATTAATGGATCATCTCCATTTGTAATTTAGGATATTTCTTGTTGATCTGCTTAACTTTTCATTTTGGAGTGATTTAGACGTATCTGATAAAAAAACTCCTCACCCAGACCGCTATGCTATTTATTATGGAGGTAAAAAATACACAGGTTATTGGTCATTATGTGCTGCTATCAATCGTGGTAAGGATTAAAAAAAAAAAGGAGGAGGAGCATGATTACAAATAGAATTTTAATTCATCTTCTATAATTATCAACGCGTAAAAAGCACTTGATAACCAAATCCCAATAACAAATCCTGCTTTTTATGGTAATGAGGCTACTGATAGAGAACTTGCCGATATTTTTAACTCTGATACGAAAGAAGAAGCTCCGATGCTTAACGAAAGAATAAGAGTAATGAGAGAAGCAGGCAAAGTCTTATGTGAGGTTTGATAATATGCTCCTTTTGTTGTTGCAATTATAATAACTCTTTTTTTTTTCTTTATTTACTTTTTTTAGAAATTTGATGGTTCGTTTGTAAATTGTATAATTCAAGCCAATCATTCAGCTTCGAAATTGTTAGATATCATTGTTGACAATTTTTCTTCTTTTAACGATGTTCACGATTTTCATGGTAAAAAAGGTAACATTTTTTTTTTTTTAGCCAACAAATCAGACCATGCTTATTTTTTCTTTTTTTATTAGTTTACATTTTGAAGAGAGCTCAAATTTTAATTGCCGATTTATGGTAAACAAGATACATGCAATAAGCCATACATATACGCACATGGCAAAATTCACATGATATTATATTTATATGGATGTATAAAAATATATATCTCACCTTTTTTTTTTGTTAGGGCTTGCTTCGATGGACAAAGTTATGGTCAATTTGATGATATAGACTCTATTACTATGTTTGCAGATTATAGGTAATTAATTTTATTTTATTTTATTTTATTTTGCATGCATATATTTATTTATTAACATAATTTTTTAATGTATTATTAAAAGAGTCCCTCAGGTATTTTACATTCTGTATTTTAAAATTCTAAAAACACATATTTTCTTCTCCCCTCAAATTATTTATATTTAGTATCATGTAATAGGCATTATATCAACTTGGTTTATTATCTTATTCCCCAGCATTAATCGATAAATTACATAACAGAGAATATTTCCCCTCAGGTAGTGAGGACGAAGTGGAGATACGTGGAAATTCGATTTGGGCAGTAGAATTAGTTCGCGAAAGAATTAACCAAATTGAACCCACTCTTCATATAAATGCCATTTTAATTGATTTTTATATTTGGGATATGGCAAAAGAAATTCAAGATCAAATGACTGTACCAACTCACTGTACAAGAAGTTGTTTTTATTAATAATCATGGTGTACCTTGATCCTTGTTCTTTTTATTTTTTTTTTTTTTCAAAGATCTGCTTTATTATGGACTTTCTACTATTATTGAAAAAAAAAAATCTTTGAATTCAATAAAGATGATGTCATATTGAATTATTTTCCAAAAAAGTATATATTATAAAGGACTTTTATTTGAGTTAATTTTGCCTAAAAAAAATCATTATTTCGGAGTATATGGCTCTATTACGGCTTTAACCGTGTGATTGCTTTTTTATCATCTCATCATCTTAAATGTCACTATTTAATTTATTTATTTCATCACATAAAATATAAATAAATTAGATATAGAGTTTTTTTTTTTGGTTTATTAGCTTTGATTCGCTCTATTTATTTGTTTATTTATTTTACAAGTGATGAATTATGACAACATTAAGGATTTCCCCTTTTCCCCTCCTTTTTTTTTTTGTATTGTTGTCAATATATGACTTGTTTCCAAGGAATAGAGTGACACGGTTAACGTAACAACAAAATGAAAGGGGTAGTAGTACTTGTTCACTGTTATTATTTAATTTCAGACTGGGTTAGAATTTGGAAAGCTTTAATGTAGATCTTTTTTTTTTTTGAAATACATAATACTGCATTTGTTCATTTGTTTATTTATTGGGTTTCTATTGTCTAATAATGACTTAAATATTTGACCAGGTTAACCTAATAACATGATCTGTCTTTCTTTGAGTAGGTTTAATAAATCCTAAAAACTGAAGTTCTGCAACAGATCGAATAAATCTTGCCCTGTAAAAAAAAAAGAGAGAAAAAGAAAAAGAAATAAAAAAAAAAAAAAGTTAAACAAATCTATACGTGGTATTACTTTGTTTCAGATAATAAACTTACTGAACTTCATTTTCTTCTAATTTTTGATTCGCCGCTCTTTTCTCTCTTTCAATTACACAGCCAAAGGCTACAAACCAGTCATAAAGATTAATCATTCGACCACATTCAAGGTAAAGTTTATATAGAATGCAGGTATCATGTTCTGAAGGAATAATTTCGTCACTCTTTTCTGTATCACAACATGAGCAGTTGATATAGTGTTGTGGTTGGGTTAGAGCAGTTTGAATTGAAGCTCGTGGTTGTGATGCAAATGACTAAAAAATGTAAAGGATTCAATTTTATGTATACAACAATAAAAGGCACTTTACCTTTTCATGTAATGTTATATTTGTATAATAAACTAATTCATGTAAAGGAACTTTGTTGAATGTTTTTAAACAATCTCTATAGTTAAATTATTTAGCTCTTGTTTGAAAAAAAAAAAAAATATTCATATACATGTATTATATTTCCTTACGTAAGCATTTTTTCAAACCATTCAGCAATACTCATGGCAATCTTGGAAGCCTCAGTTCCCTTTCTTTTCAAGTGCTCAATTGATTCGGTTTGTACTTTCCTTGCTGTTTCTGTATGTCTGCCTTTTTCAGTCTGTGCCTCAGGTAAGACCATACCTTCTAGTAATTTAGCTTTTCGAGACATCTTTGCTACAAATGTCTCATCTGCCTCTGATAATTGTTTGTAACGACTATCCCAGATATCTAATTGTGCTAACGTAGGCTGACTGATATCCTTATAATCATCTTGCTCAAAGAAATCGCGCAATTCATTCAATAATTTCCCAATATGTTCCTCATCAATCTTTCTTGTTAAAATGACCAATGATTTAATTAATTCACCCTTTTCTGCAAAATCCTTTTGTGTTTCAAGCGCTTCAAGTAACAATATTCGCTTTGATTTTTTAAGACTTGTAAAGGAGGTAAATGAAGGAAATTGAGCCTGAAGTAGTGTTAGTAAATGTATACCCATTTTAAATTTTTTCTGATATATCTTGATGTCATCTAAAAGGTCGGCTGCAACTTCTGTTATTAAATATCGATCATCTTCTAAAAGTCGTAGGGCCTTTTTTGGATCAGTTGAAGCAAGGTCTTCAATATAGTTTTTAAAAGAATTAAGCATACGTATAAAAGTGATATGATGTTCATTCAACATATTATTATCTAACCATTCACTTAAAATACTCTTTGTCTTTGTTTTTTCAAATCCAAGTAAAGGTAAGAAGATTGAAAGTGGGTTGCCATAAAAATGATGCATTAATGCGTACTATACAATCATATTAGCTACAATCCATATCATATAAACAAAAACAAAAAAAAAAGATGATGCTGCTCTAAATCACATGCATTCCATTACCTTGATACTCGCTGTTACTTTACTTATAGAGAAATCATACAAATAAAAATGATCTAGTAAGAACTTATAAGGACGTGCGCCAAATTTTAATGTATGTAATGAATCCAAAAATATCTATTAAAACAAATTATAAATGTATAAACATATATTTTTCCCTTTTTCTCATTACCTTTTCAATCACTCTATTGAACCAAACTTCACTTTGTTCTAATCTAAACTTTTCAATTCTTAACAATTCAATGGTTGATTTACTAAGAGATTGATGCAAAATCTCAGTAGATGTAGCAATACCCATGATACAAACAATAGGTAGACTTGATCTATATTCACTACAAATGGTAAAGAAATCCTGAAGAACTGCAGGCTCAAAAGATTCAAAATCTTGTAAAATAATGACTAAATTTGGATTTGAGGGACTATGAACACATTGATGTCTGTACCATCCCTCCAATAGCTGCATGTCATATGGTAAACATTTACTAGGCTTCGCTGTTACTTTTCCAAGATAATATCCTGTTTTAGGACGCTTTGAAAAAAAAAATACATACATGTATATATATGCATTTAATAAATATTCCAACTATTAACTGTCAAACACTTACAGACTCTGTTCGAATAATATCTTCATCTTCTTCTTCATTAAATTCGTTCTCTTCTTCTTCAAGGACTTCAGGATCAAAATCTCTAGGTGCATTAGCTAAAAACCTTTCAATCATTGCTTTCATCATATTTTTAATATTTAAACACTCTTTTGCTTGTAATAATGCTACGTAGTTTATCTTTTTATGTGATTCTTGTAATTTTTTTGCAATATGGGCGAATTGCATATCATGATCAGGTGTATTAATGCCTGCAAAAACAAGGCCGGTAGGAATTTCATGAAACGGTAGTGATATTAAGCTGTATTACCTTGAATTAATATTTTCTTTTTCTTTTTGCATACAATATATAACTTACTCACCTTTTGTCGGCATTGTGGTCCTTATCCACAAAATCACAAATTTCTTGTATCGTTGCCTGGTTCATGTCCAATAATATATCCTAACATTTTTTTTAAAAAAAAAAAATAAGTAACATTTTATATGTTAATTCCATTAAGGAAAATAAAATAAAAAATTACAGTAATGATTTTATTCGTGTCATCCCAACATTCTTTAAATGACTTTTTTCTATACAACATCGCGTCTAAAGGCTCTTCTCCGTTAAATAATTGTTGAAAACCTTCATGTAAAATGGGTTGATTATCACTCTCAGTGCGATGAGCAACTTTAATGTCTATCATAAATCCAAGCAAGTAAATTAATATATACATGTATTATATATATATATATTGTTAAAAAAAAAAGACTAAAATGTTTAATTTACTTTTCGATCTTAATTTTGATCTTTTCACTTTCGTAGGTTGATCATTCTTTCTTTGTCTTTTTTTTTCAGGTATTATTAAAAAACAACCCTAAATTATTGAATTAAGGACAAATAATTAGGACATGCTTAAGGTAATACCTCTGATATAGAGTCAAAGTTGTCTCTTATGAATGTTTCTGTAGTATTAGTCATTACTCGATCTATTCTAAATTTTAAAGGTTCAAAAGAAAGGTTAAAAACCTTTTTTTTTTTTTTTTTTTTTTTTTTTGAATCAATTATAATTTAATCTCATTTTTTTCCAAATGTGTGTAAGATTTTTAACAGAAATTCTTAGCACTACTAAATTATTTTTCTTATGAAAGTTCAGATAATTTTTTTTTTTTTTTATTTCAAACCTTAGAAATCAATTCTACAAATAGATTATTTTGGAGGTTATATGGCATCTCTGCTTTAATTAAAATAATAGTGCTACAGTTCAGGAACAAAAGCATAGCGTAGAGAAATTAAACGAAATGGCTTATTATTCCAGAATATAAACAATACAGTGAGATACATTAAAGCTATTAGCTTGGTATTTTTTTTTAGAAGAATGTTTATATGTTAGTAGTTTGACATGAGGAAAAAAGAGGATTTGCGTTCAACTGGTGGCCATCAGTTAAATATGTGCTGTCTAAAACAAAAAGGGGATTTGTATCCTTTAAGGATTTGAAAATCTATTCCCTTTATTATTCACCGCCTCATTAAAAAAAAAAAAAAAAAAAAAAAAAAAAAAAAAAAAAAGAGAGAGAGAGAGAGAGAGAGAGACTCTTTTTGTCTTGGCTGATATTGATTTATTTGGTTTATTGTAGACATAATTTAATAAAATACTAAAATTAATTATAAATTCGCTTTTCTCTTAAGAGCAAAATAGTACCATTCACTTTTTATTGGTAAAAAGACAAGTAGAAGGCTGTATTAGTTTGAAAATAATCGTGACTTTGTTTTTTTTTCAAGAGGGCAGCAATAATTTAATGACAGGCCTTCGTTTCTCCACTTTTTTTTTCTGTATAGGTTGATTAGCTTTATAATGGTATTAATTGATGTAAAAATAATTCATGCAAAGAAATACTAACTTTTTTCACTTCATTTAAAAGTTTACCACCCGTTCTATTGTGCAATCAGCTCACCATAACATCAAGCGATACTATTCTGCACCTGCTTATTTTGTATCACGAACTGTAAACAAGGGTATTCCTGTTTATACTGACTACAAAAATGGAGGAACTCGTCTTTTGACTGTTATTCGTAAAGTTCAAGGTGATTCTTTAGCATTGATGGAAGACTTACAGGCCGATTTTCCTGAAGCTGAAATTACCCGTAATTATAGAACACGACATGTCCTCATTAAGGGTAACCATGTTAACGAAATTAAAGAATGGTTAATTGCTAAAGGATTTTAAGAAAAGGGGCAATAAAGAAAAAAAAAGAGAGAGAGAGAGAGAGAAAGAAAAAGTACTAGGTGCCAAAAAAATAGCTAAATGTATCTGCTTTTATCTTTTTTTTTTTTTGAAATACCATAAAAAAAAGGAATGTAAATATAATAAAATCACAAAAGTAATAAAGAACGTTTTTAGACATATTATAGTGATTTCAAGTTTTTTTTTTATTTTTGTGATTCATATTAACAGCCGCTTGGTATTCAAAACATTTTACAATAGACAGGTTTAATCAAATGTTGTTATATAAAAGTATAATATATAAGACATATTAGCTTGTTGCTGCAACCCTCTAAATAGTGTAATAAAAAATTATATATGAGACTAATCTACTTGATTTTTAATAAAGCTTATTTGAAATAGATAGATTGAAAGATACACCAACAGCTAATATTACAATAATTAATAAATGTAATTGTAAGAATACATATACTTAACAATATACTACGAGCTTAAATGCGTCTAACACATGTGTTGAGAGTAATTAACATGCTATAATAAACAAAACAAAAAGAGAGAGTGAGACAAAAAGTAGTCATATTAAAGCTAAGAGATAAACTACGCACTATAATATAAAGTTATAAAATATTAGCAATAATTTTACTTAACGTAGTGTTATAACTCAAAAGCATTAAGTTAACTAAGAAATGATTCAAAGAGAAAAAGGAATTCTTTATATCACGAATAATATATAAGCATCTGCTAAAAATTGTTTAAGAGCTTATGTTCTTTAGTTTAATAAGTAAGTCTTTAAAAAGGGTTATTTTATTTTATAATTTATTTTTATCCCCCTCAGTCCATTACGATTACAGAAAATAATTGAAAAAAAAAGGCTACAACTAAAGTACTTCAGATATCACATATTATATGCATTTACGACAGATCAAAGAACATGGTACCATTTCAATATAATAGTCTTATTTGACTGTTTTTTATTAGATGTACTATAAAAAAAAAATTACAATTTTTTCAAAAATTAAAGAATGAAATTCCCAAAATATGCTAGCAACTATCACGTGTAATGATTTCTATTGGTGCTGATTTTGAATTTTTTGTTTTGTAAAGCCTATATAATTTCAATTTTTTATAAATTTTCAAGTTCCGCCTTCTTGGCTCAGTTGGCAGAGCGTCTGCCTAGTAAGCAGAAGGTCGCCAGTTCGATTCTGGCAGAAGGCATATTTTTTGTATTTTTTTATGTCGGATTTTTATCATTTTTTTTGTAAGTTACTGTCCGGACTGTTATATTGTCTACAGTTCCGGATGGTATATTTTTTAATTTCAAGTGGAAAAAAAAGTTATATTGTCTAAAAATTATATACAGTGTTTGCCAAAATGATGTCGCACTAAAAAAAATTTAAGTTGTCGCACAGTTCGAAAAAATAATGACGCATCAAAAAAATAAAGAGTATCTATTGATAAGATAAAGATAACAAAAGAATAAGACAGAATAAATCTGTGAAAACTTTATAAAATGAAGAAGTTGAATAAGAATAAATTTAATTGAATTTCTCAAAAAATGAGTGCAAAATGGATCTTGTGGAGAACAGGGTTACTTCGCGACAGGAACAGAATGAAGATATCTTGAAAGAAGAATATTTTTCCATAGAATAATTAAAGTTATTGTGTTTGAACTTTCTAGTCTTTGCCCTGACTGAGAATTAATCTCAATTAACTCTAATAAATATTAAATTATTGGTGCTTGATCTAGCCGGTCATTTTTCTTGAAACCAAATAATGAAATCTCGTTTGTTCATACTTGTGAATGATACAGGAAAGATATTTTTGACATTTTGATTTATATTCCAACCAATTTCTTTGTATCATATTCATTCCTCAATGTACTACTTGAATGAATTTCATTATAGTGTATAGTGTATAGATAGTATATGATTGTATTCATAAATTAGTATATTAGATAATATTATTATTATAATATATATATAACTAATACGTATAATCTATAATTCATATATCTTTATCATTAATAACCCCTTACACTTTGTTTTGCTTATCATTATTTCGTACAGTTAGTATTTATTATAATATTATTTTTCTCATCACAAGAATGTCTTTGTGATATTTCTTTTAAAATATCGAATAAAAATATTAGAAAATAAAAAAATAATATTAAGACAAAAAGAGTCAACGAGACCGAACAATAGTTCTAAAGTCAATTATTTTATTTATGAATTTAACTTGATAGAGGTATTTATAAGAATTGTTAAAGAGGTCTGAGGATAAGATGTGAATTAGAAAAGTGTTAGTTACGACCGAATAAGGTATTTTGTTGACAATGAAGTGTTAGTGATTTTAATATTATTAGATGGAGCGGATCAAGAGAGATTTAGGATAGAATTTCTTAAATAAAATTATGATCCTCATATTTAATCATGAAACATGACATTATAAGTCAGCTCATGACAAAAGGTCTGCTTGAGGAAGCCTGTTCCTCCTCCAAGTTCCAAGAAACGAAAGCTGGCAGGAAGTACTAGGAAACAAACGAAAGGTACAAATACTAATCATTATGTTAACTTCATCAGCGATATTCTTGTGGAGATGAACAAGCCCCCTGAGATGAAAGGATATTTCTTGATTATGGATAATGCGCTTATACATACGAACAAGATAATCAGAGCTACAATTGAAGAGTGCGGTTATAGATGTGTTTATCTTCCACCTTATTCTCCTGAACTAAACCCCATTGAACAGTTTTGGTCGGTCGTTAAGAGTGGAGTGAAAAGAGAATTCGTTCTCAAAAAAAAACACGCTTCCTAAAATGATCACTACTGCTTGTAATGGAGTTTTAGCCTCTTCTTTCGAGGGATTTGCTCGGTATTCTGTTAAACGTTTTGCTGACTGTTTAGCGAGCTGTCCCTTCTAATAAACAAGTAATATACTACATATATGAATACAACAACTTTTTCTAATGGTTATGCGACACTCTTTATTTTTTTGATGCGTTGAAATGTGCGACAACTTAAATTTTTTTTAGTGCGACATCATTTTGGCAAACACTGTACTTGCAAAATGATATTTAAGAGGTTGAAACAATATAACCAAATAAAGTATATCTTATTTTACATTTTATTTTTTTTATGTAAAATATAACTTAAGCTCTTGTTTTGTAAGGAGAGTAAGTTCTAGAAATTTGTAAGTAGTCAGAAGTAATACGAACAATTATTTGGATTTTAAAATAAGGATCTTGATGACTAAAATTGGGTTAAAAGGTATCTATTGGAAGATAAAAATCTAAGAGGCTCATCCTATGTTAATACCCAGTGGTATGTAGACGAATAGCCGGTCGAACCGAAAATGAAGGAAATAATACATGGACAAATGGTGTAGATGTATTGAGTTGATGAAAAAAAAGAAGGAGTACCAGTTTTTTTTACCTTTGATCCTTAAGAGTATTTTTATTCATTGTTTATCAAATAAAAATCATTTTTTTAAACGTAACTACTCATATTAGGAAATTTATTAATTATATTCTTTAAAATGCCTGTTATATCAGACTTAACTAATAAAAGTTTGCCCAACAAAGATTATAAAAAAAATCTTATTTTTTTTTTATTATTCCATGATAATATTATAACACGCATTCATTCTAATATCGCCTCAACATCCTCGAGAATTTATATATTAGGTGAAATTGATAAAAGAATTTATTTCAAGTTTAAATGGTATCTAAAAGAAAAAAAAAAGTGTCAAAATTGAACTTGGAATAAGATGAAAATTTTGGAAATCCTACTTGATACTTTCAGGAACGAAGAGAGCTAATTAATCTTGATTTACTAACTGATTGCTTGGTAGAAATGATGTTTTGTATATTTGACTGGGTAAATATCACATTTTATTTATATCTAAAATTGATATGGATCTTTACTTAGTATATGCGCTTATATTAGAAAAGAGAATTCATCATGAGGACATAATTTACATTTTATTCAATATTTTCTGCATCATGCAGAAAAGATAAAAATGTTATACAAAGCTTATTCAATATAAAGTTGACATAGCATGCACCATTTTTTGTGTCAATGATATAATTTATTATTATTTTTTATCATAGTTCATATACTTGGAGAAACTAATATTCAAAATTTAATACCAGTAAATGATACAGCACATTTAAGCATAGCTAATCAGAATAACTATGTATAGCATTTAACTGATAACATTATCATCAATATTATAATATTTTGATCACGTTAATCTAAGAACATGTTAAAAATTTCTAACAAAGGAATTATTAACAACTAAATAACAAATTTTCATGAACCTTTATTTTTGTTTTTATTGTTTCTTTTTCTTCCTTCGCAGATCCAGCAGATACCATAAAGTTGGATGAAGTGGCATCCAATATTATATGTGGCGGTATTACCTACGTGAAAGGAGCTTCTAAAAAGGTAGAAGTGCTTTTTTAAAGACCATGTTGATGTTAAACGCAGACTTTATACCAAAAATACACTTCTCGAGAAAATTCATGTCTGTTATAACTCAATTCATAACAGACGCTAAATGATTAGCAATTATTGTTGGGTTTTTTATTTTATTTTTACAACTGAATAAATAATTATATTCTTGAAGGAAATACTGCACCCCTTTTTTTTCCAAAAAAAAAGATATGAAAACTACTCTTTTTTAAAGTGAAGTTTGCAAATTGTTTGGTAAGAAGAGAATATACTGCATCAATTAAACGAGCTTGTAGATTCTAGTTTTAGAAGTCAAAAAGGTGAATGAGGAGTTTACTTGCTAACAAAATTAGTTTGCTTTTTAACTTTTTTTTTTGGATTTCATCTATAGCAGTTCCTAGCTCAGCAATCTCTTTGTCTTGTTGTTTTTCCTGTGCCTCATAATAGAGTTTGACGCAAGTCAAAGTCTTCATAATGGAAAAGCTGAAGTTCGGTGTCTCAATTTATTGTGCTGTTGCCTTCTTCATCAAAAATTTTTTATTGTCTCTCTTAGCAGAAAAAAAAACATGTGCTCATTTCTAAGTGTATTTATTAGTAACAGTAACAATAAGAAGCGCTTTGGGAAAAACTAACTGTCCTTTTAAATCATCCTTTAGGTTATAGGAAACCGCCCTTTTGAGATTTAAAAACCCGCCTTTTGAACAAATTTATTACCCGTCCTTGATTGTGTAAAAATAAAATATTATTTTATAAATATATTTTATTTTTTCCTTTTTAAAAGAAATAAAAGAGCAACTTTATAATCTTGTACAAATAAAATTTAACATTCATAGACCTTAACAATAAATTGATTTATAGAAAAGACCATCAGCTTATTTTCTCTTCAAGATGATGAACAGTATTAATAAAATTTCGCAAGAAATTCTTGCGAAATTACCTCTTTTCAGACTAAAAGGTAACATCTAAAGAACCATGTCTACTTATTCTTTTTTTTTTCTTCATCCCCTCTTTCTTTTTTCTTTTCTTTTCTTTTCTTTTTCTTTTTTGTACCATGTTGAAGCTAACTTTTTCATGTTTTTCATAATATAGACCTTATTAGAGCCGTTAGAGCCTGTAAAACAGCAGCAGAAGAAAGAGCTGTAATTCAAAAAGAAAGTGCTAACATTAGAACAGCATTTAAGAATGAAAATGCGGATACGCGTCATACAAATGTTGCAAAACTGTTATACATTCACATGCTTGGTTACCCCGCTCATTTTGGTCAGATGGAATGTTTAAAATTAGTCGCTAGCCCTAAATATGCCGACAAACGTTTAGGATATTTGGGTATTATGCTTCTGATTGACGAAAAAACCGAAGTGCTTACATTGGTTACCAACAGTTTGAAAAAGTATGCACATTGAGTTTTGGAATTTATCATGACTAACAACTTTAAAGTGATTTAAACCATAGCAACATGTACATTGTGGGTTTAGCTCTTTGTACAATGGGTAATATTTCTTCATCAGAAATGGCTCGTGATTTATGTTCTGAGGTTGAGAAATTAATGGGTAGCTCAAATACATATATTCGCAAAAAGGTAAATTGCATAATTTTGTTTTATCTTGAAATACTAAAATGTATGAATTTAGGCTGCATTATGTGCCTTGAGAATTATATCTCGAGTACCCGAACTACACGAAAATTTCATTTCAAGAGCTAAATCACTTTTGAATGATCGAAGTCATGGTGTTCTGATCACCGGTATCACTTTGGTGACCGAAATGTGCCAAAAAGATCCCGAAAATGTGAAAATATTTAGAAAGGTAAATAGTATAACCATGTTTATGAATCTTTATATACTAAAATGGAGTTATCAAGGCTGTTCCTCTCTTGGTTAGACATCTTAAAAATCTTACAAGCACAGGATTTTCTCCAGAGCATGATGTTACAGGTGTTACAGATCCTTTCCTTCAAATCAAAATTCTTCGTCTTTTGCGTATTCTTGCTAAAAATGATCGTGAAGCATCTGAAGCTATGAATGATATCCTTGCTCAAGTTGCAACTAATACCAAGAATAATAAAAACGTTGGAAATTCAATTTTATATGAGACTGTATTAACTATTATGGATATTCAGAGTGAAGCTGGTTTACGTGTATTAGCTGTAAACATTCTTGGTAAATTTTTAAGTAACAGAGATAATAACATTAGGTATACTGCTTTTTTCTTTATTTTTATTATTTTTTGGCTTTATATTGACTACTAAGCATAGATATGTTGCATTGGAAACGTTGAACAAGACAATAGGTATTGAAACTCAAGCAGTTCAAAGACATCGTAATATTATTCTTGACTGTCTTCGTGATGGTGATATCTCTATCCGTCGTCGTGCTTTAGAATTGAGTTTTGCTTTGATCAATGAAGGCAATGTTCGTGTTCTTACTCGTGAGTTACTTGCTTTCTTGGAAATCGCCGATACAGAATTCAAGCAAGGTATGACGACAAAGATCTCACTTGCAGCCGAGCGTTTTGCTCCTAATCAAAGATGGCATATTGACACCATGTTGCGTATGCTCAAATTGGCTGGAAATTATGTTCGAGAAGAGGTATTAGCAGGGTTTATTCGTCTTGTAGCTCAAACGTCAGATTTACAACAATACACTGTACAAAAATTATATGCTGCTTTAAAACAGGATATTTCTCAGGTAAGAAAAAAAAAAGGAGCTATACATATCTATACAGTTCTTATATATATATATATATATATATACGTTTTAAATAGGAAGGTCTAGTTTTAGCAGGTGTTTGGGTTATTGGTGAATATGGAGATATATTAGTTAGTAGTGGAAATTTTGAAGAAGAAGAGGGGGTTATGATTGAAGTATCAGACTACTCAGTTGTCAACTTGATGGAATCTATTTTACAAGGTCCTTACGCCAATCAAGTCACCCGCGAGTACGTTATCACAGCTCTTATGAAACTTTCTTCGCGCCTTACCGACAGCAGTGCTCAAACTAAAATTAAAGAAATACTGAATGAATATACTATCAGTATGGAGGTCGAAATCCAACAACGTGCTGTTGAGTACACTAATCTCTTTTCTTATAACTCCATTCGTCCTGCTGTTTTAGAACGTATGCCTATTCCTGAGTCTCGTACAATAATTCAAAATAATGCTTCTACTGATAGTATTGATCGTTCATCTACTGAGGCCAGAACTGGACCAAGTGATCAGGATTTATTATTGGATCTTATGGGTGTTGGCACAAGTGGTGGAAATGGTGCTATCGAGCAAGTTGATGTCATACCACAAAGTCCTGTTAATTCATCTTCTGCTTCTACTGCACCATCCAAATCATCTAATGCAGATCTTTTAGCTGATTTGTTTGGAACTGGACCCTCCTCTCAACCACCTTCACAACAAGCTGCACCTCTTATATCATCAACGACCCCAGCATCATCAGTAGTAACCAATAATAATAATTTAATGGACCTTTTGGGTGGTAGCAGTATTAATACTACTACTACTACTACATCAAATGTACAAACTTCAAGTCCTACCACATCAAATTATGGATTGAATTCACTTGCTGAATTAGGACAGGTATTACAAAATAGTCCATCTACAGTAGCAAGCACAACAACTGCGAAGACAAATTCAGCAGCAGCAGGTTATGAAGCATACTCAAAGAATGGACTCACCATTCGACTTTTACCCTCAAGAGATAGAAATAATTCCTCTATCATCAATATTCAAGCCTTATTTTCCAATAATGGATCCTCTGGTGTCATTCATCAATTACAGTTCCAAGCTGCTGTGCCCAAGAGTCAAAAATTACAGATGAATGCACCTAGTAGCCATACAGTTCAACCCAACACAACTGAAAAGCAACTCTTGAGAATTAGTAATCCACAACAGGTAAGGATATGTGTTTATTTCTAATGTTTATCTAATATAACTTTTACATAGACTATTGTTAAACTCCGTTTACGTATATCCTATGAAGTTGGAGGTGAAAAGAAAGATGATATTGCTCAGTATGGTCCTTTCCCAGAAGGAGCATTCTAAATTTATTAAAATAAAATAAAATAAAATAAAATATGCACCTTGTTTATTAATATTATAAATAAAGATATTTATTATATAAAAAGATCCACTTTCTTTGTCTGATATAAGGGGAGGGGGTATTTTATTTATTTATACTTGATGGTATTATCACTGTTATCAGTCAAAATCCTCATGATCATTTTCGCAGCAGTAGTAGCTGGTGGGCTTTGAATAGAAGATTTTTTTTCAAAGGAAATAGACAAAGATGGAGGATTTATTATAGAAAATTATCATTGCTATTGAATGAATTGGATTTCATTTGATTTACATAAAGTAGCAGTGGTTTTTAAAGAAGAAGATACTGTTCAGTTATTATTTTCCAATCTTTCAGTCAGAGCAATAGCATAAGAGAGAAAATCTAATGAGTTTTGAACTGGAGGATGTATGGATGCCTCTTTAGTATCTTTGTCCTTTTCAGCAGAATGATAGTGAAAAGAAAGATTTTTTTTCCTATCATCTTTCTTCTTCTTATCAAAGAAGATAGTCTTTGTAGTAGTAGTAGTAGTAGTAGTAGGAGGAGGAGGAGGAGGAGGAGGAGGCCAATCAACAGGACCAGAAGACGTACTACTACGTATTAATTTCGACTTTTTTTTATGCGAGCAACGTTTGTCAATGATATCTCTTTGAGTGAACCGAGGCTTAGGTAAATCGTTTATCATTTTTTGCTGTTTCTGTTTCCATAACTGCTCAACATCCATTAAAGTTGATTTCTCCCAACCTTGATTCATTTTAAATCGGGCAAATTCAAGTCTTGCTCGAAGTAAGTTTAGGTACTAATAGTAATAAGATTTTTTTAAATTCTCTTTCTAGAAAAAAAAAAAAGTGTCTGCTTTACTTTAAAAATTTCTTGATCAGATGGAATAGCTAGGTTTGTTTGATAAGGAATTGATGATAAAGGGCTATATGAATTTGGTAAGCTTGTTTGTTTATTACTGCTGTTTTCATTTCCAACAAAAGAAATAGGAGGTATGTTATGATATGTCATTTTCTTTGTTAAAATAGAATAAAGGAAAAAGAAAAAGGCGGAGTAAATGAGCCCCTGATCACTGTAACCTGCATGTTTTTTTTTAAGAAAAAAAAAAAAACGCGTTTCTGGCATCAAATTACGGAAGTTAAATACACGTAGCGCGCTTTTTTTTTTTTTTTTTTAAGATATAACCATTATGTAATAAATATGATTTCGAGTCAATTGCAATTTTGCTTTAATTATTAAAAACTACTAGTAAAGAAGTCAACAAGCTGTAGAAAAAAAAAAGAATAAAATTAATTAATATAAGAACAAGTATTTTATTAGACACAAACTCATGCTGTTAGTCCTTATCCTGCATATGCTCATAGAATATTTTCAGGATGTTGGTATGCTTTAGCTACAAACTTATTATGCCTGCCTAGTGCGACTTATTATAGAATATATCAACTACTGTTTATATTAAATCTACAACTTATTAACTGTTACCTAAGCGACCCTCACAATACATTTCTACAGTTGTGAATGCTAAAGTTTTTCCTAATTTATCAACACGAGCTTCAATAGTAATTGTTTCACCACGTTTTGCACTTTGTATATAACTAATATTAATATCAGTGCTTATACCTGTAGCATATAAGCCCTTTGTTGCAATTGCCAATGAACCTGCAACGTCAACCTATGTTGTAGTCTTGAGTAAATATTATCCTATTATTTATGCTTATTATTTAATACAATTTACAGCAGTTGCTAACAAACCACCATGAACTGTTCCAAGTCTATTCTATATAAATGTTATTATTAATGATTATTATTACATACAAATGCATACCAAGTGTTTATTTTCTACTTGAAATTCAGCAGAAAGTTTGCCATTTTCACTATGTAATATTTTAAGCTACATATTTTATTACTGTTAATTTTTATTTTTGATGCTTAATATTGTTATTATCAACAGTTGTTACCCCTGACAATACAAGAGAGTCATATCCGCCTACAGACATAAAACTCTATATGTATACAAATGTTGTAGACATGTATATATTTATATATATCTTGTTTCTATTTTGACTTTACATCTAGTACTTTTTGTACAAATTTTGGTGATCTTGTCGCAATGGAAGGAATCATTATTAAAGTAAACAAAAAAAAAAGTGGGGTTGTTAACTCAGAAAATATGAAGGAATTCTGGGATTATTTATTCAAAATTGCCCGGGTGAGATCATCGATAAAAAAAATATACATGTATTCCATATATTACAGTAGTTTAATTATCCTTTTTATTATCAAGTATTATTAATTTCAAACATCCAAATCATCATCAGTTTCTCTGCCAGCAGAGCTCTTCTTCTTTTTTATCGTACCATCATGTTTAAATTTTCGTTTTTTTTCTTTTCGTAATATTGAACCAGAAGATGATCTATCATCTTGACTGGAATCTTGATCTTTTTCTTCTTTTTGTGCAAGTGCCTATTAACAAACATTAGTTTAAGACCCATTTCATTTACAATAATTATATACTTTTTGATAAGTAGATGAAGATAATGAAAATAATCGATCTAGCTCTGTAAATTTTGGTTTTCTACGATCAGGTCTATTTGTTAAATAACCATCAAATCCACGAATGATATTTCCATTCTGTTGTGTGTCTTCTAAATAAGATCCTTCAAATAAATAAATGGCATTTTCTAAATTAATCTGTTTTTTTTTATCAAACAATTAAGTTAAATTGAATAAACCATCATTTACTATGTTTACCAGATTTGTATCGACTTGCTTTTTTCTGGCTAATAATGCTTGTAATTCTTGCTTCGTTTCTTCATATTTTTGACGTGTTACTTGCGGTGGTTCAGCGGGTGTATTTGTTGTTGAAGTTGACTGACTATTTGCTATTGCTGTCAATGTTTGATTACTATTGTTTGTTGTTGTCTAAATAATTGAATCACATAAAATTATAACGTAAATTTTTAGTTACGCGTCTTCTTAATCTAAACTGTATGTATGTTTATATCTTTCAACTATATTACCTCCTGTTTAGTGGTGTTTGTTTTGTTATTTTCCTTTGCTATTTCTGACATTGTTTTCACAAAAAAAAAAATAAAATAAAATAAATAAATAAAAAATATCAATGTCGAAAAAGAGGTAAAAAATTCAGTGATCAATAATTTTGGAAAATCCCTAGGTGCACACAAATATGTGAATCACTCTGGAAGATTAGCTCGATTGTTTTATATATTATCAACGATACATTGCATTTAATACATATTATAGTTTGTAGAAAACCAATTAAATCCTTTATTAGTTCATATAATTACAAATAAGAGCAGCTATTAATAATATAATCCTGTTTCTAACATATTACGCTTCATAAGCATAGTCGTGAGCGAAACTTATATTCTGTTCTCCTCTTTTTAATATAGTCTGTATTACGTCTTTATCTATAAAGCTTTACCAGACCTTTCATTTCCTTTATCCATATTTGTTACACTTTTTTTTTTAAAATCAATGAACCTATTTAATGCTTACCTGTTAGTTCTTAAATAAATAAAAATTGAAAAGTTGTTATTCAAATTCGTATAAAAATTGCTATTCGAGTCATTTGAAATTTGCCACCGATGGGTTCACAGGCAAACTTGCTAATTGAGGTTTTAAAGTTTGCCAATTGAAGTTAAACATTTTACCATTTGATTCTGTGAGCATTGAAAAATCTAATTTGTCTAATTTACTTTTTTTTTTTTTAAAAAAAAACCCGTATCAATCTCATCATAAGATTGATATTTAATTTTATAATAATCGGACTACAAAATAAAATTCTGATGCGCCAAAATCATTAAGCCAATAAATTAACTTTTCCCTTTTTTATTCTTTAGAAAACTTACTCATATTTGGCTTTAGGTAAACTAAATCTTCTAAAATATTTATTGGGAATTATGAAAATTAATGACTTTGTTCATTTCAAAAAAAAAACATAGACTTGGGTGATGGAACAAAGAGAAGAAATAAATCATCAAACTGATGTTGAGCCAACATTAGAACAAACCTCATTACTCAATTCTAATAACATACAAGACGAAGAGCAAAATAGTCTCTCAGAAGATATTAAAGAAGAGGAGCCAAGCAGACAGGAAGGATCCGATAAAAACATCCCTGAAGTTATCATGAACGATAGTGATAAACTACAAACTGAGACAGTAGCGATACCTGAGCTAACTATCAACGGTGAATCTGTCATGGATAACGAACCTCAAACACCTATACCACCGAAAGATAATACTACTTTAGATGATATTGCATCTGATGAAAAACCACAAAATTATACTGATACTGATTTTAAGGGTCCTGTTATTGATTATTATAAACATAAAAATATATTAATGACAGGCGTTACTGGTTTTATTGGAAAAGCTATTTTATGGAAATTGATTCAGGCACTACAACAAGATATAGGCACCATTTATATCTTAATTCGAAGTGGTAGTATTAAACGTAGCAAAATTGGTAGACCATCTGAAAGACTTCTTAATGAAATATTTAATAACAAGGTAAATACTCACAATGTTTGTAGTAGTTTTACTTATTTTATGCTATTAGGCATTTCTAATCTTGAGACGTATGATGGGGAAAGAGATATTTGATACTATTGTTAAAAATAAGATTATCCCTGTTGCTGGTGATCTTATTTCTCCAGATTTGTCTATGTCTGAGCCAGACAGGGAGAAAATTACTGAAAATGTAAATGTGGTGATACACTGCGCAGCCACATTAAATTATAATGAAAGATTGGACTTGGCTTTGGAGGTAATAGGAAAATAAATTCAACAAGACGTTATTTGTAATGATCTAAATGAATAAAATAAATAAATAAATAGACAAACACACTAGGTACACTTAGAATGATGGATTTAGCCGATGAATGTAAACATATGGGTAAAGCAGATAAACATACGTTATATAATATGTTTAACTAATATTTTATTGGGATCTAGAGGCCTTTGTTCATATGTCTTTAGCTTACACAGATCCAAATCTTCCTGATGGCCATATACAAGAAAGAGTTTATCCTATGCAAGTAGGTGACCCAGAAGAACTTTTAAGAGAAATTGTAGACCTTGAACTTCAAGATATTCCTAAAATGACACAGCGTATCCTTGCTCATTATCCAAATACTTATACATTTACAAAATCTCTTACTGAGCATTTAATTTTAAAACGTGTTGATTTGAATCGAATTGAAGAAGCTCAAGGTGGTAAGAAACAATGGCCTATTGCTATCATTAGAACAACACAAGTGGGCGCAGGTGCATTTGAACCTTTACCTGGCTGGGTAATTTGTTACAAAAAAAAAAAAATAAAAATAAAAATAAAAAAAAAAGACAAAGCCTCATTTTAATTGTTTTTTTTTAATAGGTAGATGGTGTTACCGGAGCAAATGGTCTAATATTTTTAATGGGAAAAGGAGCACAGGTATTGCAACCTGAAATGGCCAGTATGTTGGCAAATATAGTGCCTGTCGATTATTTGGTTAGAGTAGTGCTGGGTAGTGCTGCATTTATGACACAACCCGGTTATCGTTTCCTATTACCTTATAATGAAGTCCTCGAGCAAGATACGGATGGTGTCAATATCCCTCATGTGCATTACTTTCCTTACATATATCAAGTCACTGCATGTGGGTTTGATGAAACAAGTTGGCTACAAATCTACAATGCTATTCGCTCTTATTGGCTTCGTAATATAAAACTTGGACTCCCTACAGCTGAAGAGTACTTTGCCATTAATAGGTCCATTTTCAAGGCTAAATTCTTTATGAAATATGGTTTACCACAGTCTTTATCATCAGCTATTACTGGTAAATCAGGTAATGATGCTAATTCATTAAATCGTGTCTTGGAATTGGCTTCTCGTGTTGTTGTTGCCGTTCAGCCATTTTTACGACATCGTTGGGTCTTTGATCATCCTAATGTTAAACAAATTGAACAAGATATGTCAAACGATAAACAATTTAATCTAGCTCGTTTTAAACATATGGATTGGTATACCTATATTGTGAACTTTTCTTTTGGTATCCACAGTTACATTACACCTTCACCCCCTCTAGGATTAAGAAACATCACTGTCCCACAAGGTTGGGCTTGTTCACTTTATTTGCATCCTGGAGCAGGTCAACACTCAATTATTGACCAACAAATTGAATCTGTTGTTTTTAGTGCTTCTGATATTCAAAAGAGAACAGAGCGCATGCTGACTGAATTAGTAGCATCACTTGAAAAGCCAGGACAGGAACTTAAAGATAAAAAAAAGATGGAAGAATGGATTAATGACTTTGATGCTAGTTTAGATGACTGGTGTCATGATGATTCAAATCTTTTAAAGAACAAAGAAAATATGACTCATTTAGGGCACTGGCTTAATCCTTCTGAGTCTTATGAGGAGCATATTCGAATTGAAGTACTAAATGATAATAGAGTAGGCCAGAATATACGCCAGGTAAGGGTGTCATTAAATAATGAGTAATCTATACTAATGCCTTTTTTTTTTTTTTTTCTCAAGATTATTGAAACCTCAGGTGTGCCTCAAAATACTGTTGTTGGAGAAGCATTAAAGATTCTTCAACGTATGAAGGAACGAACTCAACTCCCCTATATTTGGTCTGCAGGTGCCTTTCTTAATACATTATTTAAACGTCTTTTTACCAGTGTTCGTATCAATGAATTAGATATTGCTCAGCTTAAAGAACAAATCATGGACAAAAATGTAGTTTATGTTCCTGTTTCAAAAACTATTCTTGACCAATTGATAATTTGGTACATTTGTTTGCGATACAATTTACCTGTACCTGCTATAGCATGTGATGAAGGTAGAATTATTATTATTTTCTGTCAATGTAACTAATAAACTTTTTATTTTATTTTATTTTTATTTAGCCTTGGCGTTATTGGGGCCTATATCAGATATTCTTCGTATAACGGGTGCTTACTTTGTTCGACGTGATCTCGCAACACGATCACCATTAAATACAGCTGTAACTGCTGCTTATACAGAGGTCCTTTTGAGAGAGCATGGCGCATTATCATTAGTCGTTGAACGTGCTCGTTCACGTACAGGCAGATTACAGACTGCCTACCATGATGGTTTAATGAACATGATTATTGATGGTACTTTGAGTCATAATCAGCAATTTTCTACAAATGAGCCTCTTTCACCTACACCAACAGATTCATTTTCTTCCATATCATCTAATCAGAAAGAAACAGTGCTGGTGCCTATCAACATTACTTATGAAAAAATTCCAGAATTGCGCACTTTGATTGACCAAGTCTTAGATCAAAAGCCTCGAAGCATCACTGTATCCACCTCTTTTCTTCGTCCTAGCGCCACATATGCCGATCGAGCTGCTACAAAAGACAATGGAACATTTGAAAAGGGTAAATATGGACGTGTTTTTGTTGGATTTGGGCAAGTGATTGATGTGCGACAAACTGTACAAGAAGCTAAATTACCTGCAAATAAGATAAAGAGATTAAGGTACACATTATAACAAACACACACACAAAAAAAAAAAGAAATAGAGCTAAATATATTTATACGTATATATATTCTTGAATAGTACAATTGCTGTCAATGATAATGATGTAATTGCCGACTATATAATACGTAAGGTTCAACGTGGGCAACATAAGGCAGCTGTTGTGAGTCCAGTTACATTGGTAGCTGCTACTTTATTATTTGGACGTGTGTCAGGAGGCATTACGATGGGCAAGATTAATCAACATGTATCTTGGTTACGTCAAGAGATATTAGAGAAACATATCAAAATTGATTGGCAACCAGATGAGGATGTTTCAACAATTGTAGCTTATTCGATGAACCTTTTAGACGCACGCAATAATGTTACAATGGATGGTGGTAAACGCATTACAGACCAAACGCTGGTACGCGTTGTAGAGCATGCTGACAATGTCATGAGTCTTTCTTATATGGCTAGTCAATTAATCGAAATATTCTTACCAGAGGCTCTCTTTTCTGTAGTTTACCTTTCAAATAACACAGCTAAATCAATAAGCAAATCAGATCTTTTTGCACAATTTACGTTTTTGGTTCAGTTATTTAAGCATGAGTTTATTTACCCCTGGAGTAGGGTAGAGAAATTCAATGTACTTTTAGATTGGTTTATTAAAAAGGATCTTCTCTTGATGGATGAAAACGGACTTTATACCAAGGTAGTAACAATTGAAAATAACGAGACCGAGTATACCCGTGTATGTTTGTTAGCTTCATTTATATATCCAACGTTAGATGCCTATTGGATCACGTCTTGTTCATTATCAGCATTGCGTAATCTACCTTATATGCCACGTAAGATTGTTCCTGTGCTTTCCCAATGGATAGCTGCTCATTTGATTACCGGTAGACGCACCATTTATCGAGAGGTCTTATCAACAGAGGCAAGTCAAAATGCGGTTGATAACTTCTTAGCTATTGGTTTTATTGAAGCAGTTCATCCCAAGACCAAGCTTTCTCCTGATGCACAAATTTTATTACTTGAACTAGGAGTTACAACGAACGAAGATCTAGTGATGGTTTTTAACCAAAAGAATATTGAAGAAGAAGACCTGGTAGGTGTTATAAATGAATGAATGAATGAATAAAATAAGTTAATTGAATGTAGGATTAACACTGTTTTGTTATAGCCCTCTGATATGCACGAAAGTGAAAATATTCTGTCACGACTTGAAGATATTGCATCTCTTTGTCATGAAATTGAAAAATACCGATATGTCAATGATAACATGCGCCACAATGCTCAAGTCTTTGAAAAATGCCAGAATCAAATTAAATCAATTCTAAGAGCTGATCAAAGTTATGCTTTACAACATGGAATGAAACTTGAAAGAGATGAAGATCAAATGATTCAATTAGTTTATTCTCTTAAAGCTGCTTCAAGTACGCCTGTTTCTTCAGACGATGGATTTGGAAAGCATCCAAGAAGAGTATCTCAAGCCTATAATTTAAAGTCATAATTCAAATAAAAGAAATGCATAATAAAAAGATTTTCCATATCCCTTATCTTGGATCTGATGAGCAAAATAGAACTTAGAGTCAGGGATATGCAAATGTCACTAAATATGATTATTGTGTATATCTATAAATAAATAAATAAAAAGCTGTAACATATATAAATAGATAGATAGATAATTATCGATACAAATTTTTATTATGTAAAGTGCTGAAGAATTAGAATGATTAAAGAGCGTCTCTTTGGATACTTGCTTTTTTCTTTTCTTTTGAATTATTTTCTATTTGTCGTTGAAAGGGAAAGTTTGCAACACTATTCAAAATAGGATAGAATGATTGTATTTGATAAAATGTATTCTTAGCTATAAACTCTTGTTTATTATAAAGATGATGATAGAGACAAGTACAGTTAATAAAGAAATTTGACAAGCAAAGTGATGTTTTCGATTTTTAGAATCATTATATAACCATTTTTCAAAGCTTTTTTTATTTTATTTTATTTTATTATTATTATTATTATTATTATTAGAAAGCTATCTTAAAAATCTTCATAATCATCTATAACAAAGCATATATAAGTATTAAATAAATGTTTAATATCTTATTTTACCTTCAATTCCATTAATAGCATGCAAAAAGAATAATACAATATTTGATGTACATTGCATATTAAAGCCGTGATATAATCCTCTTAAACTCCAGTCTGTTAGAATATTTTTTCTCTGTAATCTATTGCTCTTCTTTGGTCGTCCACCTTCTTCTTTGATTATACAATAAATAGCATTTGCAACACCTGTATAAGGTACAGGTCTGAGTGCGACAACAGGTTCAAAACGTTTATTGCCAGGAGTTCTCGTTCTAATCTGACACTGAAGTCGCTTACGAATTGTATCCAATGGCAAAGTAACAAGAATTTCTAATGTATTAAGGCCTAACTCTGCAAGACTATATAAAAAGGGTGATTCAGTTGCACTGATTCGGAAGACACGATCGATAATCAAAGGTGTTACGTTTTGTAGTAAAGGTGTAATAGAGTGATAAAGAAGAGTAGGCACAAGGTTATGAGAAAAATAAAGTCCTTTAATACCACCTTCTTCTTGAATAATTGTTCTTAGTGCATGAAATGGGCCTTTATATTTTCTTCGTAAAGGTGAAGCTGATTGAACCTGTAATCTAAAGACTCAAGCCCATAAAATAAATAACCCACGTCATCATTAGATTTTTTTTTTTTTATTTATTACTAACCTTGTTCGTATAAGCTCTAAAGGACTTAATAAAAATCCTACAATTAGATTACTTGCTACTAACGTAGCTAAATTAGGACCAACACGATCCAAATGAACAAGGGGAATAGTGTCATCATAAAGATCAAACATGTCATTTAATGTGCCTTCAAGTGTAGGTTGAAGAAACAGATGTGAAATTTCATAAAGCCAATTTGTGTACTGCCCCTTAAATAATGAACGCCAACCTTCATGAGGCTGCTTTAATAATTCACCAATACCTTTCCAAACACCTCCTTCGATAGGTTTGAGCTGATGAGGTGGTCGAGTTGGATCATCATAAACACTGGGACGAACAATGTAGCCGCTAGCATCAACAGGAACTCTTTTTTTAAATACTGGATCGTTCACATCTAGTGTTCCCGAATTAAGATCTACTGAGTGGCGTCTTCTGCGTCTTGAGTTATGTTCATCATAAAAGTCTTCTTCCTCCTCCTCTTCTTCTTCCTCAGTAAACTCATTATACTATATAACATTAATGAATGAAAACGTAAAAAGAACCTGCAAATTTACCTCCTCTTGTTCATCGTCTGAGCCATCTTCTACTTTAGTTCTAGTAATAGATGTTACCTCTGCGTCTTCACGAGGCATATATTGTACTTGTAAAAGTGTTTTAGATACTTCAAATGGACTACTAACAGCAGTTGTAAGGTATTTTAAAAGGGTAAAGTTGATGAGTTCTCTTGCAGCTGTTTTGGAGTCGATTAAATCGTCATATTCATTAGCATAATATGGGGTAGTTTGTTGTGATGCATCAGGTACAATAGTGTAATTGCCATTGTTGAGCCCAGGAGTATAGTAGGGCCTTAAACCATTGATGCCTTTGCTAGTAGGAAAAGGATGATTATGATCTGTAGACATTTTTTTTTGATTTATTTTTTCTTTTTATTTTATTTTATTTTATTTTTTTTTTTTTAAAAAAAAAAAAGAAAACTAGGGTTAAAGAATAATATATTTTAGTATAATATTGAGGGTACACAGATTTTTAGAAGAACAAATCGCAGTCTTAAAAAGGCATTTTAAAGCAACTCTATTTACCTGAAAGTAAATGTAAATATTAATCCAAAAAAAAAAAAAGAGGAGGCTAGACAAAACAGTGTTGTTGAATTTGTCTATGTTGTTGATATTCTTGTGTAATGACTATGAGACTATAAACTTGAGTAATCGAAAATTATTTAGAAAACGTTGTTTTATATATATATATATTTATACAGAGCTCTAGATAGTATTCACGGTACAAAATGAAAACTTCAGACTGTAACAAATCAATCATTAAAACTAAACTAAAAATGAGTAATAATAGTATAGAGAAAATATAATTAATACTTACCATTTAAAGCACTTAATAAATGTTATATTAACAAGAAGCATAAGGTAGAAATATCGAACACTTTGAACAAAAAGTTACTATTTTGAAATTTAGAAAAGATATCTAATAGTTTCTCTATTTTATTTTTTTTAAAAAAAAAAGCTCGTCGTTCAGTATTATAAGCACCGAAATACTTGAAATATCCACACACAAATAAACAAATAATAATACATACTGAGAAAAGGGTTTTGTACAACTATTTATCTTGTATTACTCCTTATTTACAAATAATACGATCATGCAGATACTTGTATGAATATGTATTTATATTTCATATATAAAATATGCATTTAAGCATATGAGTGGTATGTATATGTAGATTAAAAGAAAAATTCTAATAAGTCTAAGAGCGTCTAGTTAATAGCTTATCTGTAATTTGAACTAAAGCTGCACGAGCATCAGATGGTGGAAGTTTATACAACGCATCTTTAGCTAATTTACAATGATGTTCTGCCAATTCTAAAGTCTTTTTTAATCCCTCACTTTGATATACAAGATCTCTTGCCTACAAACATATCTTTTAGTAAAAATATATTATATATAAGTGTTTATATTTCAACTTACTTTTTCTTCATCTCCCTTTTGCGAAAACTTTCTTTTGATCAATGGTTCCAACTCTGGATATTCCTCCCAAGCAAATAATACAGGTGCGGTTGCTAATCCTAGCTTTAAATCTGCACCAGCAGGTTTTCCAAGTTCTGCAGCTGTCACAGTAAAGTCAAGCATATCATCTACAAGCTATAATTAAATGTTAATGATATATACCTGTATATAAAAGTTTTTTTTTTTTTTTTTTTTTTTTTTTTTTTTTTTTTTTTTTTTTGCTATACCTGAAAAGCCAAACCTAAATTTCTTCCAAAATCATGTACAATGGATGCAATTTCTTTTGTTGCACCGCCTAGAACTGCAGATGCTTTACAACTCTGAGCAATCAAACTACCTGTTTTCATATACGTCTTTTCCATATAATGATCAAATGTACTTAACTTTTTTACATGATTATTTGATTCTTCGTTTGTATTTCTGAGTTGCATAAATTCTCCTTCTACCAAATTGGCAATACACGTCGTCATCAGTTCTGTACATTCAGTATTCCTTAAGCGCGCTAAGGCTAATGATGCTCGTGCTAATAAAAAGTCGCCACCCAAGACAGCCATTTTATTACCAAACGAGGCATTTGCTGAAGGCAAATTTCTACGTGTCATAGACGCATCAATCACATCATCATGCAATAAAGAAGCTGTATGGATCATTTCTGAAATCTCTGCTAAGCGTCTTTGAGTAGGCAAGATAACACAGCCCTGCTCAGTTATTGAAGGTGTATAATGTAATTTACGGTCAAATACACCGCTTTGGGTGATATTTTGAAGACCATGTGAAATCGGGGTATCAATAGATTCATAATTTATTTGTGCTGGTGATTGTTTTTTCACAGTTATGCTTGTTGCTTGTGCAATTAAAAGCACTAGTAAAGGTCGTACGTGTTTACCTTCGCCATGAAAATAATGCCGAGCAACTCTATTCAAAAAGGGGTGTCCGCTATATAACAGCTTTGAAATATTTTCTTTCAATTCTTTTAGATCGTCGCCTACTAAACGCACAGGATCAATTATGCGTTCATTGTCCTTTTCTTTAACAAGACTTTGGGCTTCACTGAGTGCTTGATTCCAATTTGAAGCTGATCCTGTAAAAGGTGTATCTGCTGGTTTAGTAACATTACGGAGTAGTGAAGAACTTAAAATGCTGCTTTTCAAGGAATCAATACTATGTGCAATCTTCCCTATAGGTGATAAATCCGTAGCCTCCTTTATTGGTGATGCCAAAACTTTTCTTGTTGTGTGTAAACCAGCGTTTAGTACATAAGACTGAGGATTGATGAGTCTTGAATGACGAACGATTTTGTACATGATTTAAAAGATAAACAAGTACTCCTGGGGAAATTGTTGAACAAGGGCATAAAATCCAATGATTATGTGGCTGAGATTAATACAATAATAGCCCTTTTTTTTTATATGTATTTATTTATACATGTACGGTTAAATATTTGGGCATCCAGGGATACTTTTTAATTGCCGCATTAAATTAGATAAAATATATAAAAAAAAAAAGGTAAAGTTTGTCCCTGTTTTTTTTTTTATTCTCTTTCCTTTCCTTTCCCTTTTTTTTTTAGTTTTTTTTAAAAGAAAAAACAGGAAGACAAGTAAATGTCGAATCTTGAATTTAGTATAGAAAGACCTTTTGGTGTATATTTATTTGACTACTTTAACCAATTCTATACTAAAGCTGTTGGTCAATCAGCCAAAGACTTTCGTTTCGTTGAAGGTGTTACTCCTCTTTCCACTTTAAATGAAGGTAAAGTATCTAAACTCGTTTAATGAGTACTTTGTTTAAATAACGTTGACTTTAATAGTTATTATTGGATGCATTACATATTTTATCGTTATTTTTGGTGGCCAATATTTACTTAAGAACGCGTCGCCTGTCAAATGCAAATTCCTTTTTCAACTTCATAACGCCTTTTTGACCGTTATCTCTTTTGTACTTCTTGTCTTATTAGTTGAACAGCTTCTACCCAAGTTGGTCAAACATGGTTTGTATTATACAATTTGTTCTGAAGAGGCATATACACAAGAATTGGAATTATTGTATTACCTTAATTATTTGGTTAAGTATTATGAGCTTTTGGATACTGTTTTCTTGGTTATTAAGAAGAAGAAGTTAGGTAAGGATTATAGGGAGAGGGGGAGGGGAGGGAAAAGATAGATAGAGGAGAGAATTATAACTGATTCATGTCCTTTTGTGTTTTGGGTTAGAATTTTTGCACTATTTCCATCATAGCATGACGATGGCTTTATGTTACACTCAATTAGTTGGTAAAACTACTGTGGTAAAGTATGATAAGAAAAAAAGGAAAGGAATATGCAAGTTAATGTATCATTTAATTAGTCATGGGTTCCTATTGTTCTTAATTTGACTGTTCATGTGCTTATGTATTACTACTACTTCCGTACATCTTCTGGAGCAAAGATCTGGTGGAAACAATACTTGACTACTATGCAAATTATTCAATTTATCATTGATCTTATTGTTATCTATAGTTGCACCTACTCTTACTATGCTTATACCTATACAAGCTCTATGCCAAACTTTGGTGATTGTCATGGCACTGAAACTGCAGCTGCCTTTGGTTGTGCTATCTTAACATCTTATCTTTTCTTGTTTATTAACTTTTATAGAATTACTTATAACAAGAAGAAGGCTCTTGCTGCACAACAAAAGAAAAAAGAACCCATGAAGAGTAAGAAGATTTAAACAAAACAAAAAAAAAAGATAATAGATGCTTCTTTATTTTTTATTATATTGTAGACTTAGAAAGTATTAATAAAATCGTGTTAATAATTATTTTTTTTTTCTTCCAAAAAAAAAAAAAAGGATTCCTCGGATTTACGTTTTAACCTTTGTACCATTTTTTAATATATTTAACCAACTGCTTCATGCTATCGGTAATTTTAACCGAAAACTTTTATTATTATTTAATACTTTAAAAAACCGACTTCTTGTCTAATACTTAGTATCGCTACTAATAAGCTTATCTATTTCGACTGGAAATATAAAAAAGGGAAAAAAAAATAAAATAAAAAATAGGACGATAATTTACCTCAATGAAAATAAATAAGGACATGCTTATCATCAAGTTACATGTATTAGTTTTTTTCTTTTCTGTAAAACATGTTCATGTTTATATGTTATATTTATGAAAAGAAATTAGCAGAATACTGTACAAAAATTAAGTCTGCTTTTTTAGATGTCAAAAGTTCATAGAACACACATCTTGTACTAGTCACCAGTCACCTAATTGAAGGAAATTACTGCTGTTTAATCGTTTAATTTTTTTTTTATTATTATTTAAAAATTATTTTTACCGCTGCAGATAAAAAAAAAAGAAAAGAAAAGAAAGAAAGAAAGAAAGAAAGAAAGAAAGCAACTTTCATCTTCTGCTTATTTAAAATTATATAGAAGGAAAAAAAAAGCCAAGTAGCAACAGCCAATATTCCTTTCTTTATCATAATTATACCTCTATTCATTATTGTATTACATAATACAACAGTATGTTATAAAATTTGATTTTAATATCGGAATAGAGAAAAGATATAAAGATATGAACAAAGTGCTTATAACTCCGTCTTTCAGTATGATGGATCTTTATAACACATATTTATCATAAGGTAGATTTTTTTTTATGATGTTGTAATATATAAAAGAAAAGCAAGGAAGGGAAAGGTACTCAAGACCAATGCCTTTTCTTTTCTATTATTATTTTTTTTTAAGCAACCAAAACTTCTTTAAAATGTCTTGGAGAAACAATATCAATCACTTTATAAGCTGATATTATTGATATAAGGACTGTCACTGAAATATAAATCAAATAAATTGAAAGACACTATATTGTTTATAAGTGCTTCCATTAAATCCATTATTAGACTTGTTACAAATATTACCAGAAAAAAAATTTTTTTTTCCTTTTCATCGTCTATAAAGTGGTTCTGTTCTATACAACTTGTTACGAATTGAGAATGTTCTGTAATTAAAAATATATATATATATATATGTATATACATATTTATACATATAATACATCTTGAAGTTTTTTTTTATTTCATAGAGACTATTATATAACGCAAATAATCTCATTTAAATTGTCTTATCTAATGAATACAGAGTAATCACCACCACCACCTCTTCTTCTTCCTCCCCACCTTCTCTTTAGGGTATAGATAACATACAGTTTAATCTTATCCTTTATATTCAAATTTATGTGTTGTTCGAAAAAAAAAGGGAATTTATTAGGCAAATAATTGAGAAAAGAAAAATATTTTATTGTAATAAATATTAAAAAAAAAAATGCATTGTAGGAGATTATCAGATAGATATATATGATGCATATTTAAAGATCGTTCAATTGAACCGTTGTATTTGGTTTATAGGGTGTATGTTGTTGCTGCTGCTGCTGCTGCTGCTGCTGTTGTTGTTGTTGTTGCTGTTGCTGTTGTTGTGTTAATGGAATATGAGACACAGAACTTGTATCTGTATCAAGTCTTGAAAATTGAGAAAAACTTTCATTTGGTTTACTTACGAATGCGTCTAACTTTTCTGTTCTAGGATTTGATGTTGGAAAACGAGAGGGCGGGAATCGACTGTGATCAAGCCTTGGGCTCATCTGCTTAAGATGAATATCTTTATTAGCATCATCTAATGATCTAAAGACTTCATCATCTACATAATAGGCCTTGAAAAGAGTTTCCAACATTTGCATACGTTCTTCTACACGCGTGATACGTTGTGTCTCAGGCTCATCATAATCGAGATCATTCAAGTTGGTCATACTGAATCGATGATGGACGGGGTGTACGAGTGGAATACCTGAATCAGTAATTTTGAATTTTGCATGAAGGCTACGTAACAGACTACGCTTCATATCACCCACAGACCATCGATGAACGACACCCCAGGGGGATCTTGGACGATAACCAAAGAGCCAAGCCTGTATAGCCACCAGTAGACCAAAGACACCACCCACAAAGCCAAGCGCATTGACTAATGTGTATACCTTGATTTCACGTTCGATCGTATTCACAAAGGCACTAGGGAAGACAGTGATGAGGCCCAAGTCTGCGTGTGTACGGACATAGTTGGGATTAGGGGCCTCCTCACGGAAGTTCGTAACGACCTCAGGGGTTGAGTTTGTAATGGGCAAGAAGCCAACATAGTTCCAGCCAACGTGTTGTAGATAACGATGATCAATTAAATTATAGGATAGAGCACTGTAGGTATAAGGTTCGATGGTATAGACATTTGTCACTTCGATATCATTTCTCTCATTAATTTGCCAATTCAACACATCAGATTCTCTCATCAGTGTATCTACAGGACTGTTGAGGTTATAAACAAGTACATTAGGATCCATCGATTTAGGATAAACAGAGGTATGAATACGACCATAACTGATACTTTGATCCCCCCAGAAATAAAACAAGAGTCTTGAGCCATTATTAGCACCAGATGTAGACGTAAGAACAAAATCGGTAGGAGCTAAAAATAAGAAACAGTTGACAGCACCTAAATTGTCAGCAAAGGTAGGTTGAAAGACAGACATATTTAATGGTTGAATGAATTTGGAACATGAGTAGCCATTGTCTGTTTGACAGGTGATACCTAAGGATCGAGGATCTGTTTCTGGATAATTTGGAAAACCATCAAAACAGAAACGAATATCTAAAAATAATATATGTTCAAAATAAACATATGGATGACTATAAATATATGTATATGTATTTATAGATTTTCTGAACATACCTGGAACTTGAACTTCTGCTGCTGATTCCTCAATTGTTTGAGTGACGTTCGGGCTTTTAATTGCTTGGCGAATAACAAACACAAGAAATAGAGAAAAGATGAACAATAAAAAGATTTGAAAAATAATACGAGCTGTTTCTGCCCAAACAGGTTCACCAGTACTAAGTGTAAAGCAATCGAAGTTAATGAACATTCTTTACTTTTTTTTTTTTTTTGTTATAGAGACTTACCGTGGCTTCCAAATGTCACGATGAATACGTTTAATAAGCCAACGAAAGTAACTTTGAAATCTCCAGAGTAAGAATAAGAGAATGACGAAAATGATAATGCAAGCGATAGTTACACCAGCAATGGCACCTCCTGATAGCTTGGAATTTGAAGATTCGTTTTTCTGTTCAAAAGTTTGAAGCCATGAAAGCGAATTGATATCCAATACATTAATATCATTATAGTAAGTGTTAAGTGCAGAACCTATTATAATAATAATAATTAATTACATGTTCACATGATATTTTATTTTTATAAACTGACCAAAAGCGACAGTAAAATAATTTGGAGACAGAATACCACCAGCAGCGTAAGAACGTCTAGAAGGTGGAATACCTGATATAGTTGGTACTGTCCATGTCCAAGTCTTTGTGTCTAAAATACCAATTGCATTCAAATAAACTCTTTGTCTTTCAGGAGCACCATTATCACCTAAATATAATAAATTAATAATTATTTTATTTTATATGTTTACTATATTTAGGACATACCACCAAAAATAATAATTCTATCGTCCGAAGCTAATAAAAAAAAAAAAAAAAAGATTAATTATGACATACAGTCCTATAACACGCACACACGAAACAAAAAAAAAAAAAAAAAAAAAAAAAAAAAAAAAAAAAGAAAAAAAAAGATATTTACTAACTACTGCTGTGTGCGATGTTCTTGTTGAAGGTAGAATATTGTGTACACCTGTAGCCTTTTTAAGTTCCCATTTATTTGTAGTTGTATCGTAGACGTAAATTTCATTCATGGGTGCTAAAATATTTTCAATGACTCCACTATTGTTTACTTGTGCTACACCACCAAGTATCACCAGCTGTCCATTACTTAAAAGAGAGGCAGTATGACCGTAACGAGGTATATAGGCAGAGGGTAAAGGAGTAAAATGCTGAGTAGCGACATCCATAACCCATAAATCAGAAAAGATGGCAGTTTCATTTAAAGCGCCACCATAGACATAAATTTTATTATTGGTTTCATCATAAGTTGCACTAAACAGTTTTCTATTATAAGGAAATGGTGCAGAAGCATTTTTGTTTGTTGAAGGTGCAGTCCATGTATTAGTATCAAAGGCATATTGGTAATATTGTAAAGGAACTAACTGATTATTTGTTGCATTTGTCATGCCACCTAACAGATAAAAGTGATTATTGTCTTTTGTGATTACGGCTTGTCCATAAATATTGCCTGGAGGCGGATTGTTTTGTGGTAAAGATTGCCAACTGAATGTATCTGGTAACTGAGAGAGTGAGTAAAGAGTATTGGTATATGTATTAGTAGCATTTTCGCCACCAAATATAATTAAAGAGTTATTTCTAGTTGCTGATGCCATGCCACCTTGAAAAGGTAGATTTGCCATAAAGTTTGGCACATAAAAATAAGCATTTGTAAACGTTACTGATAAGAGTAATGTTATTAAGAATAACTTTATTATCATTATTTTTTCTTGTAAAGAAAAATATTTGAAAATAAAAGTAAAAAATAAAATAAATTAAATTAAAATAAAATGAAAAATAAAATAAAATAAAAATGTTAAAGAAAAAAAAAAAAGGAAATCAAAATTGAAGAACTTCTTCAGAAAGTTATAAAGAAGAATAGATTTTTTTTTCCAAATATAAAAAGCGCGGCTCGGAAGGTTCTTTTTTATTACTACATCTTCCATATTCATCGTTTTATCGTTGACTATTTGCTGCCATATTATTTTAAATAGTCTTAAAAAAGAAACTCATTTTAGTCTAAAACATTGCAATAAAAGATTGCCAAATAGGGAAACTATTTATAATTAGAAGATTATGTATCTGTGCTTTATTAAGGGATGCGTGGAGAACATTTCAGGCACATTATATTGTTGTAACGATAAACCATTACCTGAAATTAAAGATGCACGCGCTTTTTCCCTTATTTCTTGATCTTAACTTTATTTTGACATATTCCTAATTTGATTTTATATGCAAGAAATGACTTTATTTGTAATAGAATAGAATCTCGTGTAATTATAACCTTAAATGTACTCTTATTATGATACTAAATTTACTAATACATTGTTAAAAAAAGAAAGAAAATTAGATAATAGATAACAATTTATGAATTTGTGCTTCTATCATTACTTTTAAGAAATGAATAATGGTTTCTCAAAAATCCCTATTTCTTCACAAAAAGAGTTAAATTCTTTCATTTTGATCTCTTACTATTATTTTTTTTTCGATATTGATTGTTATATTTGATAGAAAAAAAAAATGAAATTTAGTCTTAATGAGCAATTTCTGACGTTTTTTTTTTTCTATTTTTGTTTTATTTTTTTACAAAGAGAAGATTTATAATAAAAGGGATCCTTTTTTTTTTCTTCCTTCACATGGTTTAAATAGTTGTGTACTACAAAGTAAAAAAAAAAAAAAAATCACTAGGAATAAAAATAAAATTGCTGAGAAATAAAAAAATAAAATAAAATAATAAAAAATCTTTTATTTTTTTTTTTAATTTGACAAGGTTAATCGATCAAGGATGCCTAAATGGAAAAATGAGGATCTTGTTAACATCAAGTTACCAAACTTAAACAGTCATCCTATATCATCTAAGCAATTCCTAATACCGACACATAATACTTATTCTAGACTTCGTTTTTCTAGTGACTGCTTTGAATTAAGATCAGGCCAGAAGATCAAACAACAGCAAAATAAACGTACTCAATCGGAAAATAACATTTATGAGCAAACAAAGTCTTCTCTAAGAAGAGCACATACTGATATACAAGATGAGCCACAAAATACAAAAGCTGTTACTAAACAAGATACAGCCCAACTCTATCACTTTACTCAAGATCAAATAAAAAAATACAAAGCACAGAGACGAAAATTATTGTATCAGTTTTCATCCGGCTCTTCTTCAGATTCATCAGCCCAGGGGTATTCTTCATCACCAAACCATCCAGTAAAGATTGTATCCAGAAAGCATTCATTGGATGTTATTTCTATTGAATCTAAATTGAATTCGCCCGAAAATTTATTTGGAAGTGATTCAAGTAATCAAGATACAGCCGCATTCGAACCACTTGCATTTTCTATTAATGATGAATTTCAGTCTACATCAGAAGAAGAATTTACTACTGAAGGACTTAAAAAAGTAGACAAGGTTGAAACAATAGAAAATATTGAAACAGTGGAGAAGATTGAAACGGTGGAGAAAGTTGAAACGGTGGAGAAAGTTGAAATGATTGAAAAAATGGACAAAGTTGGAACGACCAAAACATTGAAGATAGTCAAGTAATTAAACGCTTGTTTATTTATTTTTAAAGAGTAAAGAAAAAAAATACCCCCCAATTTTAAAAGGAAAATTCCAATAAAAATAGATTGTAAAAGATTATTTTATTATACAAGTAGCTTTGAGATTATTTTTTTTTTTTTTTCGAGTGAAATAAAAGGGAGCAAATTATTTATGTCCAGAGGCGAGGTTTTCACCCTCAATAACCTTGGCTTCATTACCAGTAACCTTACCAGCGATTTTTTCGAGATTTCCTTTAACCTTATCACCAAATGATGGCTTATTATGAGCAGTAGTATCCTTAGAGGCACTATGTTTATATCCAGCAACTTTGGGTTCACCTGCATGTCGTTGACCATCGTGTAAACCAGTATGAGCTGCATCTCCAGCTGGACCTTGATCAATGGTTACATTATTAGGAGCACCTCCATTATTTTTGTTATGTTGTGAAGCACCATGATCACCTAAAGCAGCAGTAGCACCATGAAGATCATGCTTTCGTTCACCAGTATTGAGATGGGAAGGCTCCTTTTGATGTGTGGTGTCTGGTGTATGACCAATACCTGTAGTTGTATTTGTAGGATGTGTAGCAGTATTGCCAGAACCAGCAGTATGATGATGATTAGAAGCGGCAGTTGCACCAGCGGCAGTTGCACCAGCAGCAGTTGCACCTACGTGATGCATGCCAGATGTTGTAGCACGATTAGCATCGGAAGGATTGTGATGGCCAGTTGTATTCATCTTATCATGAAGTCCATGATGAGCACCTGTAGAGGGTGCATTACGAGGATCAGTAGGATCAAGTCCAGTGTTGTAGTTAGCCATATTATCTCTATCATGAAGTCCATGATGAGCACCTGTAGAGGGTGCATTACGAGGATCAGTAGGATCAATTCCAGTGTTGTAGTTAGACATGTTACTTCTATCATGTTGAGCACGACCAGTCATATCAGTTAGATTATGCTTATCATGATGTTTCTTGCCCATATCCATCATACCAGTTGAGTGATCCTTATTGTGATGCTTCTTCTTACCCATACCCATCAAACCATGATGATGACTTGAGTTATCAGAACTAGAAGAGCTAGAGGAACTAGAAGAACTAGAGCGAGACAAACGAGTTGTGCCAGGAGCATTGGTAATGCCATGCTTATTCTTATGATGATGATGACCAGTAAGTCCGGTAGCGGCAGCCATGCCAGCTGCACCAGCCATACCACGATGATCTTTACCGTGTCGTCCTTCCATAGCACCATCAGTAATTATATTTTGAGAATTACCAGTATCAAGATTAGGATTATAAGAGTTGTTATTATTGTGAACATGAGAACTATCAGTAGGACCAGTGGAAGTTATTGTACCTGTAGGGCCACCATAGCTATCCTTATTAGGATGACCAATACCTCTGTTACCTTGAGTATCTCTTAATTCGTTGTATCCAGGTTGACGATGAGAGGCATCAGTTACTCCAGTAGAAGGAATATTACGAGGATTGTTAGCATCAAGTCCAGTATTATAAGAAAGATTATTGTCATTTTGGAGACCAGTAGTAGCCATGTTACCATAGTTATCACTTTGACGTTCAGGATTATAAGTGGCAAAGTTATCATTATTACGTTGTTGAGTATTAGAGAGACCACGATCATTGTAGTTATTATTATGTTGATTACCCATCAAACCAGTAGTAGCCATATTACCATAATTATCTGTATTACGATCGGTATAAGTGTTATCCTTATTACGATAAGTATGAAGTCCAGTATCGTAATTAGTGTTGTTATCATTTTGAGCAGTGCCATTGTTAGAAGGATAGTTATTGCCAGCACCAATGGAAGCTACATTACCTGGGTTATTAAGTCCTGTTTCATAAGTAGCCATATTTCCTTTGTTTGTATTGTTAGACATTTTGATTTAGATAATTGATATATAAGTTTTTTCTTGAAAAAAATAAACAAAATAAATAAAAATTATATCACTTTTTTGCTTCTTTTTATATGAATTCATATAGCAAGAAAAAAAAAGTATGATGACTGGTTTTATACGTCAAACTAGTAAAGAAGAAATTTGCATAAAAAGAGTTAAAATTTAAAATCATAATGACGTACGTAAAAATAAAAAATAAAATAATAATAATAATACAAATTACAGTAAGTGCAACACTAATGGGCGGTTTTTTTTTAAAAAAAAAAAAGGCAACTCTAGAAAATTTCCTTTGGGGGCGACTTTCCAAATCTCAAAGGGCGGCTTTAAATAACTGCATACAAATAAATATTTATTTTTTTTATGAGGATGGGCAGGGAAGAATTGTTGACGAAGAGGGAGCGCGATACGATGGATTGGGAAGAAGAAATAGACCCATATTATTTATAAACGTTAATCCGTCTTAGGCTCTATTGTGAAAAGCAAGGCTCAGAGGGAAAAATTAACTGGTGAAGACTTAGATATTGAAATGGAAGAAGCTAATATGAAATATTCACATGACCATCGTTGCCTTTTTTTTTTTTTTTTTTTTTTTTTTTTTTTTTTTTATTCGTTAGAACAAGTTTAAACATAGTCCAATATTAGTTCAAATAACATAGGTATAGAAGCTAATACATTTACTAATTTTGAAACTCTTCCAGGTATCTCAACTTTTTTTTTTGTAATCTTGAAATTTCCTCAATTTTTCGATTTCCTTTATTTTTCTTTTTAACTTTTTTGTTATTTTGAGTTTTGCAGTCTCAATATTAATATTCAATTCATCATCAGATGTATTTTGTGTGAAACTGGCATTGATAGTAATATCGGTATTGGCATTAGTGGGGATTATTTCGCTTGGATCGCCACGGTAACGGTATAACACTTTTGTAGAACTGATGATTCTTGGCTATATTTGGAATTTAGATTAAGAAAAAAACACAAGATTATGGCTTATATTTCATTATTTTGTCATGATATAAAACATTTACATAATTGATAGACAGATTCCCAATTAAGCTGGGATTTACTATCACGTCTTCAATTCGTATGCATACAACTTTTTTCTGTACGCAATAAATGTGATGAAATTTAGCAGCATCAATTTCAGTTGCAAAATGTACTAAAGCGAAGCTATTTCAAGCTAGATCTATGTAAAGGCTTTATATTAATTAGTTTTAGCTTTTTATCAACTAGCTTCTTTTTTAATAACATGTAAATGTTTCACTAAAGAGCATTTGATTAAATATTTTTTTAACACCTCGTCACTCATACTTTTCAAGGAATTACCAGCTAATTAGACATGACAATGTTTGTTTGGACAAGTAGAACACATAATAAAATTGAATTATTTTATAAAAAGCTAAGCAACCAATAATATCGTAATATTTAATATTTGCTTTGGGAGAAAATGGCCGTACTGATTAGTTATCTAGACTACAATTCATAGAAATTTTAACAGTATACGTCAGCTTTCAGGTACAAAATTTTTATTTTCTGGTATTTTTTTTTTCTTTTGGTCATTTCTTGTAGATGGTATTTGGTCTGCTTTAGTGGTAGGCAATTTTTTTTATTTGGTCATTTTTTGTGGATGGAATTTGGCCTACTTTCGTGGTGGACATTTTTTTTTTATTATTATTTGGTCATCTCTTGTGGATGGCTTTTTGGATGTGGATAGCTAATTACCTCCTTGTGGTCTCATCCGGACAACCACTATTTCTATGAATGTGGGCAAAAAGTTAGCCATTTCATATGTTCAGTTTTTCTTTCTAAATAGATATTGTTGTTCATTGTAAAAATATAATAAAGTTTTATTTGTATTTACTTTGACACAGTCCATTAAATATCAAACAGTTGATACCAGAATAATACAGCAGTACAATCATTTAGTGTTAAAATGCATTCTATTTTTCCTAGTTTGTTTGCTCTACGTTGAATTGAAACAGCAATTATTGTTGTCGACTATTTAAAACGATAAATACTTGAAAGCCGACAATATTTATCAGTCGCATTGTATAACGAATGCGAGCCTTAATTATATGGCTTAGTTTATTGCTTTGTTTTAAGTGTAAGTTCTTGTATTTCAACATCTAAGTCTTCATCAGTTAATTTTTCCCTCTGAGCCTTGCTTTTCACAATAGAGCCTAAGACGGATTAACGTTTATAAATAATATGGGTCTATTTCTTCTTTTCAATCCATCGTATTGCGCTCCCTCTTCGTCAACAATTCTTCCCTGCCCATCCTCATAAAAAAAATAATAATAATAGTATATGCAGTCATTTAAAGTCGCTTTTTGGTGTACATATCCAGCCAACTGATAGTAGTTTCCAAAAATAAATGATCTAAGCTTAAACAAGTAATTTCTAAGAAGTTTTTTCTTTATATTCAAGCGAATATTCTTTTATAGCGTCATTTTCTTAAAAAAAAAAAGAAAAAAGAAAATAGTAATAATGGCGATTTAAAATAGTAACTAAAAAAAGATTAGACTTAAGCTATTTATTAAAATAGTCCCCTTCTTTATATATGACAGTGGTGATGAAATATATTTATTTATTTAAAAGGACTCAAGATGTCAAATATTTGATCCATTTCCTCTATTACAAGTACGAATGAATGACAGCATCTGTAAGCAAAAATTTGGATGTTAAATGGTAATAAATAAAGTGCTTCAACTATGAAGAAGATCGAATTAAGCATCTTAATGAAATAAATTTTGATTATTTAAGGGTAGCACGTTGTGTTCCCTAAATTTTGTATATCTTTCATTCTTGCTTTGTTCCTTTGACTTCTGTTCAAAAACAACTCTTTAATAATTGCTATACCCTAGAAGCATTTAGCAATATTTATTATTAAGAATTGTGGCTCAATCCTATTACTACTAGAGGACAGGATATTATAGCATTCGTTGTTTCAGGCTAACGCCTGCTTATCTTTTATCATATTAATAATAGGTAAATTTTAATCTAGATTAAACGTAGTATGTATTGAATCCATTTTATGCAGCAAACACGTCTTTTCTTTAACATTATAAAAACGTTGAAGAATTTGTAGAAACATTTTACTTGAAGAAAATAAATAATAAAAAAAAAGGTATATAAAATAAAGGTCTAAAAAAAAAAAAGCAAAGATAAATGGACAGATTATTAAGCCTCCATCCTTTTCACTATCAATGCTAGTTTAATATTGGACATAATTTTAACTTAAAATATAAGTAATAGAAATGATTTCCTTGAGAAAGAGAGAGGTTACTTCAATGAAAATAAACAAGTTATTTTTTGTTTCTTTTTCAGAGCCTTATTTACTTCTCCTAATCTTTGTTCTACCATCACATAAATAGCTGGTTCTAGACTACAGCAGCTTTATTCTTATGGATTTATGATACAAATTCTCCTAGATTGCATATTGATTGCAAACCCTTCAAACTTAGGAAAAATATATAAACTTTAAAATTCTTTGCTAATATAAGAAGAAGCTTGAGTAGACTAAAAAAAAAAAGAAAAAGATCTAGTAGCTTAAAATACTTATTTTATCTTTAAAATGTATTTGTGTAACACTCCTAGAAATCATATAATAGAGAAAAAGTACTGATTTGTTTTCAATTAGTAGCTAATACAAGAGTTAAGTATAAGAATAGATTTTCGTACACCAATAATAATAATAAACCAACTTGTATTTACCTTTTTAAACATAATTAAAAATGCATTATTTTTCTTTTATAGTAAAAGTGAGAATCTAACTATGTTTATTTGCCTCTTAAAGTTAAGTTATTACTTGAATAAGATACATTGCATAAAAATAATAATAATAATCTAATCGTTAAGAGTGATTTTGAAGGATTTAACATGTCAGTTATAAAAATAAATACGGAATATTGATTGGTGAAAAAAATTTAAATAACGCAAACTTGAAATGAAATTTTTGATTGGACAAATAGTATTTATGTAAGAAAAAAAAAATACAATAAATGCCTCAACAGGTTACAATCCCTTTTTCTATTTCACTATTCAACCCGCGCCTTCTTAAAAATGTACAACAATTGTTGTTGATCAAAAAGTTACTTTGAAGTACAAGGATTTAATTGGTTGCTATACTAATAAAAATTACCAATTTTTGTTCTTTATTCAATGATCATGAATATGAAGAATCACGTTTAAGGGAATTGATAAGTTATTTTTATAAATATCGAGACTGCTTTTCTCCAAATTATTATATTTATAAAGCGAAAAAAAAACACACACAAAAAAAATTATTTTTTATTCTTTTTTTTTATTATTTTATTTTTTTTTTTCAAAAAAATACCTTCTTTAACTGTAATACTTTATCTTTAAAAAAAGTTTTACAGTTTATATTCTTTTGTCACTTCCAAGCTCTTATTTGATATCTCGGACTGCAACACAGCTCAGTCCGTCTTTGCCCATCACGGCCTCAGAAACCAAACTAGCAGACAGTTTATTTGACCGGCGAGGCTTTCCTCCTTGGCTTTCCTGAAATTTTTTTTAATTAATTAATTTTTTGAAAGGGAACTCTTTAACGCGAAACTTTTGTATCCTCAATATTTTTCTTTTTCTTTTCTTTTTCTTTACCTTTCTTCTTCGTCCCCTACACACATCACCTTCTTCAATCAGGAAAGAATTAACTCTTTTTTTCTTTTATAAACTCTCCTAATTTATTATTCTTTTTGTTATATATATACATACACACACACATATATATATATCCTACAATTACATTGATTATTATGCGCACTGATCTTGAAACTCTCACCATTAACCCTCCTTTTAATACTCTTGAACTTTTCAAATCAGGTGTTCCTTCACCTGATATGGAGATTCAAAACAAAACAATCCCTGAAATAATTCAAAATAAGCTTCAATCGATTTCTAATCAGAAATATGATTATGAACAAGAAAATGCCTTTTTTGTTGGTGATTTGGGTGAAGTTTTCCGTCAACATTTGCGTTGGAAAGCTTTACTTCCAAGAATCGAGCCCTTTTTTGGTAAGTACGACGATAATGAATGATAAAACATTGATTTCTTTTTTTTTTTTAATGTATCATTTTTTTTTTAGCGGTTAAATGTAATCCTGACCCAATGGTTGTAAGACTCTTGGAATCTTTGGGATGTGGATTTGATTGTGCCTCAAAGCAAGAAATTCAACAAGTCTTGGATCTTGGTGTTGATCCTAGTCGTATCATCTATGCCAATCCATGTAAACAGGCTTCCTTTATTCGTTATGCTGCTCAACATAATGTGAGCCGTATGACATTTGATAATGCAGAAGAACTTCACAAGATTAAGAAGCTTTATCCTGACGCTGAACTTGTCTTGCGTATTTTGACAGACGATTCCATGTCATTATGTCAATTAGGTCTTAAGTTTGGTGCACCTTTACATACCGTTCAACACTTGTTGCAAACGGCTAAAGAATTAGAGTTGAATGTAATTGGTGTGAGGTAATAAGGCGATATACATATATATATAATTTAATTTAATCTAATCTAATCTACTTTAATCAAAAATCAAAAAAAAAACAATTTTTATTTATCCTACATATAGCTTTCACGTTGGTAGCGGATGTCTGGACGAAAGTGCATTTGGAGATGCAGTCATTCGAGCTAAAAACGTATTTGATCAAGCAAAGGAAATGGGGTTCAATTTCTCTCTTTTGGATGTTGGTGGAGGTTTCCCTGGTGCCGATGTAAAAGATGGTATCACGTTTGAAAAGGTAGCTGCCATCTTGGGCCCGATTGTGGACCGTTTATTCCCCCCCGAAATTCGCGTTATTGCAGAACCTGGTCGTTATTATGTTGCTTCTGCTTTTACAATCTGTACAAACATCATCAGTAGACGTACAACGATGCCTGTTGATGAAGATGTAGAGCAAAACCCAGAATTCATGTACTATGTGAATGATGGTGTCTATGGTTCTTTTAACTGTATCATCTTTGACCATCAAGTCGTACACCCAAGGGTGTTGGTCAAGAAAGAAGAATTCTTGTATGGTAAAGAACTGGATGAGGCTTATTTTGAAAGTAGTGTTTGGGGACCTACTTGTGATTCAATTGATTGCTTAAATAAGTCTAGCCGTTTGCCAATGCTCGAGCCTGGAGATTGGCTTTATTATGAAAATATGGGAGCTTATACTATTTGTGCTGCTTCTCAATTTAATGGATTTAGAAAATCAGATGTTATTTACACAAACACATATTGCTGAACTTTTTATAATAAACTGTGTTCATTTTAAACTACTCATTCAATGTTTATGTTTTAGCACTTTATATATCATTGTGCTACCTACGTATATCTATATCTATACCTATATATCCATATATCTATATGCTTTATGAAAGTGATGATAATATCATTCAAAGATGGAAACAGGCATAATGATAACGATCTAGAAAAGAGTACACCTTCCAAAGAATAACTAACTGCATCATCTCTAACCAACATGTAGCATAATTAAACGAAAAAGTATAAAGTGGATATAGTTAACCTTTTTATTTATTTATTTAGGATATGAAGCAATCATTGATGCTTTAGAAATTAATAAATAAAGATTAAAAAAGAGTTCATGAAGAAAGAATGCAGTCTTAGCATCAAGTTTGGAAATTATCCTTCTACCACAAAAAAAAAAAAAAAGTAGAAGAAAATGGCTTTTTTTTTTTTCTTCAAAATGTTTTTGCTTTTGTTGGTTAATGATTTCTAAAAACATAATGTAATTAATATACGCATATAAAAGATATATTCATAATTCAAATATGAAAGTATAAATATGTAGCCAATATGCCTAGCAGTAAGCTTCGTTATTATTAAACAGCATTTATTTCTAAAAATAGCGTTGATACATTGACTGCCCTGAAACATACTTTTTTTTTTTTTTTTTTTTTTTTTTTTTTTTTTTTGGAAAATCTTTTTTAATCTCTCTAAACATTGCAAAATTAACAGCATGCCGCATGACAGTTATGAGCTACCTTCCATTTATTCTAGAAAAACTGAACTCAATAGTACCAATTATGATGAATCTGATTCTGAAGAAGAAATAATATTAAGCAATAATAATAATGATGTTAGCATCGGCATTGTGTCCCAAACTTCCGTTCTACCTTCAAGACAAGAAGTTTATCGGAATGGACATGCACAGGATAATCAACTTGCATGGCTTATGTTAGGGGCTTCTTTCTTTACACTCTTTATGACACTTATACCAGTTGTTTGTGATTTACCGAATATAACACCTTGGTTTACAGGTGATACTTTATGGCGTTTCTTTGACCCACCTATTACTTTACCGCTTAATTTATTTATCATCACAAGAGCTGATATTATGAAAACTGGAAAATCAAATTACTGTAAGCAATCCTTCTTCTAATGATAATGATACACATTGTTTTTTTTTTAACTGATTTATATATAGGGGGAGCATTAAGTGAAGCAAGTGTAGTATGGTTATTATGGTCTATTGGTGCTGCTATTTATGTTCAATTCCATGGCGTACATGCAGCCGCCGCGTTATTTAAGGTAAATAAATAAATAAAATTTAAGGATTGTGTCTAATACACCCACCCTATATAATAGCATCCTGTTGAAGACTTTAACTTGGAACATCCTGAACTCGTTGTTCAGTATCCAGTACTGCATGATATATATTTGTATATGGAAAATTTATGGGAACACTATATTGCTCATTATTTATATGCAGCTGGTGCCATGATAATGAGTTGGGTACAATTATTTGCTTTCAGAAATCAAATCCATGGTCCATTGTCTAGAATGACCAAAATTGTGTGGTGCATAGGATCCATCATTTATGGCTTATTATTAGCTGCTGTAGCCATTGAATTTCCTCATGGTACCTTAGTTGGCTTAATCTATACTATTGTTATTGGACTCATATGTGTCTCAATGATACTCTTTAATAGAAAAAATTTGTCAAAAGGTGGACTATTCACGATGGGAAGACGTATGGTTATTCAATTTTATTTGGGAGCTTGTATTCTTGCCCTCATCATTATCGTTATTTGGATAGGCAAGTATGGATTTTTAAACAGAAAAGCAGCTGGCATTGCTTAATGACCCAAAATATCTAATTTATACAATGTAATACGGCCATAAAAATCTGTACTTTCTTCAAAAATGATCTTAATTCGCTTTAATGGTTGAGTTGGCTCGAAACTAAATGTTTGAATAGAATTGACATCTTCAGGATATAATGTATCAACTGGTACGTTATAATCGTTCGGAGACTCTACTATGCTTCCTACCACGACACATTTTTTTCCTACAAATCCACCTTGAAATTGAAACACGATGGCTTGTACAGAAGCAGGTGAAGAAAAATCTAATAAAATATGTTGAGGAAGGCCCTATTATATATAAATATATATTTAATACTTGTGTATTGTGTCCCATTGTAATGGTTTTTTTTTTTTTTTTTTTTTTTTTTTACCTGTTCTGAATTCCAACAGGTTTCAACTTGACCATCAACTAAATTTTGTTTCCCAAAATTTGTTGAATCTCGATTAAGCACAGAGCTAACTCTAAAACAATATTAGAACTGAATCAGGCATACATCTACTTTAATCATTTACTTGATGCGTGTATTTTCGTTAATCAAACTAGACATTCTACACAATAAAAAAAAAAAAAAAAAAAAGGGAAAAAGAAAAAGAATAACGTTTTAGGTGACTGTGTCTATATTGTCTGAATTTGAAGTACGAAAACTTTAAAGCACTTCTTCAACTTTACCTTTTTTTTTTTCGTTTTGTGAAAACAGTACAACATCTCCCTCTTCCCCCCCCTCCCATAATATACTACTGTAGTTAGAGTTGTCTTTTTTAATAAATGTATTGGCTGAATGGAATTGCAAATGAGCTTTCATTAAATTGTACTATAAATAATATACAAGATGAAAAAACAAACTCTTTTCCACAATCTTCAAATATTGTTTGTATTCGACCTTCTTATTACACGTCTCTATACATTACTTGTACTCGAAATGCCATTTATTTATGGTCAGTCAAGGTAAATGAAGGACTATTAACTCACTTTTTTAATTATTAACTCTTTTTTTTTTCTGTATAGCCAAACGTTGTTCTTTCATTTGTGGAGCGTTCAGAGAAACATGTAGAAGAATTCGGTGAAAATGTAGAGATTATATGGAAACCTGATGCTTCAGCCCTTGCTATCCAAGTAAATAAGAAAGAAAGAAAAAAAAATAAATATAATTTTAAAAAAGATGCATATTAATGTATCTTATTTGTAGACAAGTAAAAATTATTTACTTTTATATGCTATTAATTCATATGAACAACATTCTTTTGAATTCAATTTTCCAAACTCTTCAACGCATGCAATAGTATCAGGCCCTGGTGAAGGAAAGGGTCCACGAACAATGCTTATAAAGTTCAAAGTAGCTATTAGGATAGATGCGGGTATTGCATGGTAAAACAGTATACACATATTTATATGAAGCTTTTTTTTTAATTGGTTTCTGATTGATATTTTATAGCGAAACTTGTTCAGATGATATGTTGATTATAGTGACAAAGTCTCCCATAGCCCTTCAGCGTGTTTCATGGAACCCTCATCAAATAAATACAACGCGAACTACTATATTAAACGATTTAGTATCAGGTAAAAACCAACATTTATACTCTTTTCTTTCTTTAATACTAATGACTTACCTAATACAAGAAATAATATCATATATTGTTTATGATAAAACAATGAATATGTTTATATGTTTATCTAATGAGGGACGAGTGTATGCTCTTCAAAACAGTAATCTAGCTGAAGAACAGAACACTGAAAGTAAAATAGATTGGCAAGATATCTGTTTTCATTCAACTGTCGATAAAGCCACAGCCATTGATATCAATCCAAAGTTTTCATTCATCGCTGTAGGCACGCATAAAGGCATTGTATATATTTATTCAACAGACACAAAGCCTGTTTTATCACATAAATTAGAATTACCATTATGGTCTTCTAAAATTCCAGAAGATGAAAACTCGATTGAATCAATAGAATGGACATCGGATGGATATGCTATTGCGGTTGGATATAAAAAGCATGGCTTAGCAGTTTATAGTGTATATGGAAGTTTATTATGTTCTTCAAGTGAAATGGATGATAATCTTAATAATGAAAGGTAAGTATTTTTAATTTTATTATAAATGAATATGCTAATCGCATGCGTAGATTAAAGGATACATACGTTAAAGGCATTCGTAGATTGGTAAAGTATTATAAAAAATAGGTGAGTTATATTATCATGATTACTTATTACTTGTCTAGTTTTGGGGCCCTGGAAATTATCAATTATTTGTCTTGTCTGAAGAAAAATCTGCAAAATTATTCAGTATTCCTTTTGTAAAGTCTGCGTTAACTTCATATTTACATTCTGTAAGTTTTTTTTTTTTTTTTTTTTTTTTTTTTTTTTTTTTTTTCCTGAAAATATAAAGTTGAGGAAAGCAAAGCTAACTAACATGTATATATGTAAGGATAATATTAGAAGAGGCTTACTACAAACGGATGATAGAATCTTACTATATAATAATTGGGGGGATTACCAAGAGAATAATACCACTATTGATCCTGCGGCTGTAGCATGGACACATATTCAATATCCCAATCTATATATTACAGATCATTGGCCAATAAGATATACATCCATTAGTACTGACGGGAAGTATATTGCTATAGCTGGTAAACGAGGATTTGCACATTATAATGCTGTCTCAAACAGATGGAAATTATTTGGGAATCAACAACAGGAACAAAGCTTTTTGGTTAGAGGTGGAATGGTATGGTACAAAGATATATTAATTGTAGCTTGTGAATCAATTCAGCAAAAGGGTTATCAGGTAATCGAAAAATATACAAATATAATAAAATTCAATGGCAGTAAACTAATGCGTAATTTAGATTCGCATGTATTCGCGTGATAGTAATCTTGATAATACGTTTATATTACATACAGAACCTTTATTAAATGTTCCAGTCTATGTAACACTTTGCGGGAATTATTTATTAGTATATACATCCGAGAATGTCATTAATATTTATAACGTAAATGTGAATGCTTTATCTACTAATAAAGGTGAATGGGCGAGATTAGATTTAGTGAGAAGAATTTCTTTGATGGGTATTGTCAGTCATGTTTTGAAAGTTCGAAGCATCAATTTATTCAGCCCAATACAAGGTGAATACATCAATACAAATGAAAGCATGATTTCAGCCAATATAATTTTACTTGTGAAAGACAAATTGATCCTCCTTCGTCCAAAAACTGCTGTAAAGTCTTATATTTCATTCATATTTACAAACCTGCAAAAAATAACGCTTTACTTTACATTTATATACAGGATGAAGAAACTACAACGTCACCATTTCATATGTATATAATTCATGAGAAGACAGAGTATTATTGGATAGGGAAAAAGAGTATAGAAAACATGATTACGTCTTTATGGATTACAGATGGGAAAGGACTAAAGGTAATAAAAAATCTTTTTTTTTTCTTTATATATCATCATATATGCGTATATAGATAAAACTAAATAGCACAGGTATTTACAAATGTTTTGTTGGGACCTGACTTTGATTTTAATACATACAACAATGATATACCTGAAAGTGAGCCAACAACACCTATTACACCATGTTTTATGAAAAATGAGATAGGGAAACCCTTTTCCCTTGGTTCAGAGTCTATGATCAATATGAACAGTTGTCGTAAATGGAATACAAATAATTTTAATCAAGCTATTTATATCCCACTTGATTTTTACCCTATATGTAAGTTATAGTAATGATATTAGTCATGTATAGATACTAAAGTAAGTATTAGCTATCCTATTGGATAAAGGTATTATTATTGGTATAGAACAAAATATATCCTATAAAGATTCACTTGGTTTAATTTTATTCAAAATGAGTCCAAAGGTAAATTAAAAAGAACACCAGCTTGAATATTATATTTATGTATTAATTTTATTTATTTATTTATTAGATGCACTTGTTTTTACATCATATTCTTAGATATTTATTACAACAAGGATTAGAAGAGGATGCTGTTATATTCGCTAAAGTTTATGAACGGTTTGTATATTTTAGTCATGCGCTTGAGATTTTACTTCATACTGTATTAGAAGAAGAAGCAGGGCAAGATTTGGGAGAAGGTAAAATACACACTAAATCACATAGGGATATTCTAAATATGTATATGTATTTTTTATAGATGCCATTTTACCTCTTGTAATTAAATTTTTGGACCAATTTCCTCATGCATTGGATGTCATTGTGAGCTGTGCTCGTAAAACAGAAGTAGCTTTATGGGATCATTTGTTCTCAGTAGTGGGGAAGCCGAAGGATCTATTTGAATTTTGTTTAAGCGAGGGTCGATTACGTACAGCAACGTCTTATCTTATTATTCTTCAAACACTGCAGCCACTTGAAGTTGGAGGAAAAGATACGGTTCGTCTTTTAGAAAAGGCTATGGATGAACATGATTATGAACTCTGTAAAGAACTTGTTCGATTCCTTAGTTCAATTGACAGTTAGTATTTTATAGTTTTATATTCATGGTATATTTTAATAATCCTTTAATTCTTAGGTACGGGGAAAACGTTACAAGAAACGTTAATTACGATCAAATCACGAATGGATGATCCTTTATCACCAAGTAGTCAAGAAGCTCAAATAGATAAAGTTGTAGAAAGTATGAGCAACTTAGATACAGTATAAATAATAAAATAAATATACCCCCTTTTTATTTAAAAAATATATATATTCATTGTTGCAAGTTGATTAATAAATAATATTATACTCCTGCTTAATGAATCAATCTTTAGACTGTAGTTAATTACAAAGGAAATAAATTTATTTATTTACTAGAACAGAATAGCGAACTTTTTTTTTTTTTTTTTTTTTTCGTAAGCACATACAGTGTTGGCTTAAAGAATTTTTCTCTTCATCGTATAGTGAATTGAAGAGAAAATGGCGACTTTATATAGAATAATTCATTCATAAGTCTTCTGCAACCCAAGAGAGAAGAAGAAGAAGAAAAAAAAAACGCGTAAATATAAACACATAGAAATATGTATAGATACACCAAAAATACAATACCCAGCAACATTCTATCATTAGTTAATATCATTTAGATGAAATATAATCACTTACACATTATGCATAAAGAACCAAATCAGACACCTATTATTAACCTAACCTTAAAGAAGCAAAACTATACTTTTTATTAGATTTAAGCATTAATCAAATTCAGAATATCATGTTTAATGAAACTTGATAAAAGTCTTGATTTTTTTTTTTTTTTTTTTTTTTTTTTAGCTATAAGAATCAATGCTTATGCTTTTAAAGACTTAATTATGCTATAATAGTGCTTTTAACTTTAGGTCAATATAATATTCTATACAGATATGTACATTAAAAGAGATCAAAATAGATGTCAATTTATTATGTGTATAAAATATCATAAAATCTATTACTGCTATTGGCTTAGGCAGCTATAATGCCACCAACCATAATCGTTAAGCGTTTGCGGTCACGTGTTTTTTCCTTCGCCTTTTTTTTTTTTTTTTTTTTTTTTTTTTTTTTTTTTTTTTTTTTTTTAAAAAAAAAATTGCTGCTAATTTTTCTCGGTGAAAGCACTTTCTTTTTTTTTATAAAAATATTGTTTAAAAAAAGAGGCTATATTTATATTTATTAATTTGTTAGCCTATTATCATTTTTTTTATAAACAGAGAGAGTGTGTAAAATTATAAATACTTAGCTATATTCAAAATATAAAATGTCTTCAGATGAAGAGGATTCCGACTGCCCTTTGTGCATGGAGGAATTGGATATTGCTGATCGTAATTTCAGACCTTGTCCTTGCGGTTACCAGGTTAGCAAAAAGTACGTTTGATTTAGATTCTGCTACTGACATTTTATCTATAGATCTGTCGTTTTTGCTGGCATCATATTAAAACTAATCTAAATGGTCGTTGTCCAGCTTGTCGAAGATTATATAGCGAGCAAATTGTCGAGTTTATTCCTGTAAGCGCAGAAGAAATCATGCGTCTTAAAAAAGAAAAGAAGGAAAAGGATCGTCAAACACGAGAAATGCGAGACCCTAGTCGAAGACAGCTGTCAAATGTCAGAGTTGTTCAAAAGAATCTTGTCTATATTCTTGGTTTAAGCTCAAAATACGCAAGTGTAGACGTAAGATATAATTTAATAATTTAAAAAGATTAAAGTTTTTAACTTTTTTTTTGTTTTTTTTTTGTTTTGTTTTGTTTTATAGAATGAATTGTTTAGGAAATTTGGTCGTATTGACAAAGTTGTCGTCAGTAAGAGGTCTAATCCTTCATCCAGTTCTAATTTGTCTGTAGGAATTTATGTTACATACGCCCGAAAGGAAGATGCTAGTCGAGCCATTGAAGAAATTAATGGAATGGAAATAGATGGTAGAACTATAAGGTAAAGAAAAATACTAGTGTGTTATATAAATAACTAACAAACTTATCATATAGAGCTTCATATGGTACAACAAAATACTGTACCTATTATTTGAGGCACATGTCATGTCCAAACCCTAATTGCATGTACTTGCATGAACCGGGAGATGATGTTGATAGTTATAATAAGGACAACATGACTATTGGGTAAGTATACATGTTTTGATATTAAATTAGAAAAGTGATTTATTTATTCTTTTTTTTTTCTTTTTCATAAGCAAACATGCCACGTCAACTTCTACAACTACATCAACATATCCCAACAAGCGTCCTGCAACTACCGTTAAACCAGCACCTGTAGTTTCTTCAGAACCCCCTAAACCAACTACTACGCCACGCACTTGGGCGCCTATACCTAAGGTTGTTCCTGTTCCACCTGTTGTAGTTGAAGAACCTTCTACTGCTTCACCACCTTCTCCTGTTTTCAAGGAGGTCACTAGCAAACAGTCACCTATTAAAACTCCAAAACCTAGTTCTAAGGCTCCTAAGCTTGTTAAGAAGCCTTCAGGTGCAGAAAAACTACAATCTACTAAAAAAATTGTGCCTGAAGAAGACGAAAAACCTGCATTACCTGCATCTGCATCATGGGCAACTTCTCAACCTATCATTAATCATGACAGCGTCATTACACCTGCTAACTTTGGGCCTTCTTTAACAGATGCCTTAAATGCCCCTCAAAAGCCTAAACATTCGCCTTCTCTTAAAGTGAAGAAGGAAAAGAAGAGTAAGGCAAAAATGATTCGTTTGGAAGAGTTTGAGGAAGCTGAAAGAGCTAAGGCAAGAGCGGTGAATAATAAAATTGATGCCTCTTCTGTATCTGTTTCTAATAGCTCTGTTAAATCCATATTAACTGTTGAAGAAAAACCATGGGTACAGCCTATAGAAAAAACACTTGACGATACACATCCTGAGGAATCAGCTCCACAACTTGTGAAAGAGGAGGAGACTAAAGTTTCTGAAAATACAGTTGAAGAATCTAATATCGTTTCTCAAGATGATGTTACTAAAGAGCATATTGCTAAGGAACTTGAACAGTCTACTGTAAGTGATGAATCATCTATCAAAGAAGAACAAGAAAATAAGGAGGAAGAGGTTATGATGGAAGAGGATAATCAATTTAAAGAACAAGAAGCTCAAGATGGGAAAACTGAATCTATACAGAAAGAAACACCAAAACAAGAAATGGTTGAAGTCAAAATGGCTGAGGATTCTAAAGAACAAGAAAAGATTCAACCTATTGAAAAGGTTCAAGATAATAAAAATGAAGTTATAGAAGTTGAAACAATTCCTTCTAAAGAATTAGAATCTGAAAACAACATGGTAGAAGAGGAAGTCGATTCCAGTAATGAACAACAACAGATTACAGAAGATACTGGGACAAAGCTCGGTGAATTAGATTCGTTAAATAATAATATAATTAGAGCGTTTGATGAAGCTGCTGTAAAGAAAACACATGAAAAAGTACAAGATGAAGAGACTCAAGAAGAACCTGAACCTGTATTAGACAATGACAATGACAATGATAATGAGGAACAAGCTATTCAAGAGGCTCAAACTATTTCATCTCCTTTAGCCGCTATGGATCGATTATCCGCTCTCGTTCAGCAGGAAATTATGACTGAATTACCTGAACAGCTCTCTGAAGAACTTAGCCAACTTCCTCCTCCATCTGAAGCACAACAGTTTGAAAACCATCATCCTATACCTCCACCAGGACTTAGTGGTCCACCACGACCAGAATGGATAAACCGTGGATTTGATCCATTTAATGGACAGGATCCCTCAGTTATTGCAGCTCGTCGCTTACAGCACTCACAACGTATGTTAGAGGCGAGTGGATTAATGGCTAGTCTAGGGTTTGCACAACCAATTCCTCGTTTTGGCTTCTCTGCTAATGGTTTCCTTCCTCGTCAACAGCCTCCTATGGGTATGTTCCCACCACCCATGATGAGACCACCACCACCTCCTCCACCTCCTGAATTGATGAATATGCAATCTCACTTTGGTCCACCTCCAGCAATGCAAATAGATAATCTGAGAAATGAATTTGATGCTATGATGATTAACAATCAAGCACGTGAAGATTTTAGAACCCTTTTACCTAATATGAATGTTAGTTTTAATAATCTAGAAAAGAGAAGAGCGGAGGAAATGTATCAGCAGCAACTTATGATGCGACGTCAGCAACAACAGCATCAAATACAACAGAAAGATATACCCGTTCGTATGGATAATCATCCTTTAAAGCAACAATATCCAGCTTATACAGAAGCGTCTCAGCAAGAAAAAGTTCTATTAAAATCTCCCATTGTAGATCAAAGCAATCATTCGGACGTTCGTGTTGAGGCACAGAACTTTTTTGGTGAGTTCCTACGTAAAGCAGCAAATCAACAAGAAGTATCTCCAAAGAATCAATCTCCACAAGCTGGTATGTTATTATTTTATAACCATATACATAATTTGCTAATTATTTTATATAGTTAATTCATTACCTTTCCAAGATCCAGCCATTATGTCTGTTCGTATCGCTGATAATGAAACACCTCATATTTCTAACTCTTCCCAAAATACTATACTTCAAATCCTAGGTGGACATCCATCTCAGTCTTCATCCATGATGTCAATTGATCAGCAAATGCAACAACACCAACAGCAAATGCAGCAACAACAACAACAAATGCAACAACAACAACAAATGCAACAGCAGCAACAAATGCAGCAGCAGCAACAAATGCAGCAACAACAACAACAAATGCAGCAGCAACAACAACAGCAAATGCAACAACAGCATATGAATCAACAAATGCATCCAATGAATCAACAGATGCATCCAATGCAACAACAACAAATGCAGCAAATGCAAATGCAACAACAAATGCAGCAACATCAAATGAATCAACAGCAGATGCAACAAATGCAAAGACCAATGGATCCTAGATTTATGATGGAATTTCAACAAGAAAGAATGATGACTCATGAAAGAAATTTAAATAACGAGCCTTTTAATAATATGTTCATGAGACCTCCTCCACCTAATTTCCAACAACAAAATCCCCTTCCTCCTTCGTTTATGCCACCTGGGTTTAGAGAACCACAGATGATGAATCGTATGCCACCTCCACCTCCTGGTATGATGGGTCCACCACATATGCCACCTCTTAATGACATGAGATTTAATGGGCCACCTAGCATGTTCTCTCCTATTAATGAAGAAAGTCGTCAGTAATTTAACTGTTTTGCTATTTTTTTTTAATTGTCATAAAATTCGCTTTTCCTTTTTTTTTTTAAAAAAAAACACATATATAAATAAATAAATAAAAATACATAAAATACATTATTGTTTATTATTATTATTTACAAAGTTTACAGAGTAGCCGCCACTACCATTAGGATCTTGTTGTAATTGAAAGTTGTCTGTGGAAAGACCAAATTTACCCAATAGAGTGTTACCTAAATCTTTTAATTTACCTAACATTTCTTCTTTCTCTTTTTCCATTTTTATTTTCGCTTTTATCGGCAATTCTTTTTCAGCACGTTGACATTGACGCAAACTATAAGGATCCTTTGTAATCTTGTGTAATTTTTTATAATCTTCTAATGCTTCATTAAGTGAAGTATACGTATCTATTTTTTCATTGGATTGGGCTTTTCTCAATAATGCTTTTTGATAGGTTGGATCAAGTTTCAATGCTTGCACACACATATCTCGAGCCTCTTTATATTCGTTCTAAAATGAAATAAAACACGTTAGTTGAATGATGGTGTACTATGTTTGACTATAAACTTGCCTGTTTTAAATGACATGCAGCTATATTTGCAAAATAGATGGCTCGATCTTTTTGTAAAGATTCAGGACATACAAACAAAGCATTTTCGTATTCTTCAATAGCCTTTTTATATTCTTCTTGACCGAAATACGTATTTCCTCTAGTTTTATATTCTGTTGCCTCTTTAATTAATCTCTAAACATGAAAATTAGTTATTTGGCTACAATATTGGCTTTTTGAGTATATTTTACTTGAAGTTCTTCAGGTTGGTAATCTACACTATCATAAAAAATGTCACCATCTTGATCGGGTTCAATCTGTTTCTCTTCTTTTGGAATGTCTATAAAAGAGAAAAAAGAGGTTAAACATACCCAAACTTTATATGTATATATAATTATACCTTTTGATGATTGGATCTCTTCGGGAATTTCCTCAATAATAGCCATTTTAAAATATTTGTAGACTGATAAAAGAGAATAATATATATTTTTTTTTTCCAAGTACAAATAATAATACGCGGAGTTTTTGTTATTCTAAAAGAAAAGACAAAGAAGACAGGAAGTGGCGATTATCATTTCTTTTGGTTTAATAGCGACTGCAATATTATCACTCAAAGTCATCCACGTCTTCACTGTTCCTCATAATAGCGATATTTGATTGCTTAACCTTCTTTTATTTACAAGTCAGCGAAAATTTAACCTTTTGAGGAAGGGAATTGCATGTATTTTCATGTAATATCGTTTTGACAAATAGTGTGTATATTTAAAATGAAAGGCAGGTTTTCGCTTATGTTAGTTAAATAAGTGTTACTATGCGATAGATTCATTTTCCTATTCTAGGTATTTTATAACACAAAGCCTTTTATCCTCCTAGTTAGTTAGTTAATTAGTTTGTTTGTTAGTTAGTAAAGTCTAGCTTTAGTCTTATATTAAAAGTTATACAAGTTAACAGAAGATGAAACTGTTAAACTTAGCACATGAGATCAAATTTGTCTCTCCTCATAGAAAAATTAAAGTGGATATGGCTTAAATAAAAGCTTTCTATTATAGCTTTCTTTTAATTTTAAGCTAAGGAAGCTAATCATCCTTGACAGAAATAGTTTATCTTTTATCCATGAAGCAAGTACATGCTGCATTGCTTTAAATTACCGCTGACAGTTCAACAGTATTTCATATATTAATATCGGTTACCCAATTTATAGATCGACACCTTTTTCTTTTCTTTTTTTTTTCTTTTTCTTTATTTTTAACTACTTTATATAGATACATTATATAGATACATATTTATATATTTATACGTATATATTTACTTCAGATGGCATTACCAAAGGCAGTACATTATGTTATTGCCATTTATCTTGTTTGCTCTATTTTGTATACTTCCTTATATTTATTAGGCTTTCGAAAAGATGTGTCGCATAAAGAATTATCATATGGCTCAACTGTTGCTAGCTTACAACAAAATTATCTTAGTAAACAGATGGTCGAGTGGACTAATTCAGATGGTAAAGTGACAAAATAAACCAAAAGAAGGAAAAACAACAACAAAAACAAAAAAAAACTTCTCATCTAACAATATTTGTTATTTTAGGCAAGGTTGTAGAATTAACTTCAGAAGATCTTGTATTAAACAAGGTCTTTTCTGAAGCAATGGGCCCCTCTAAAGTCATTCCATATTATTTCAAAGCAACAGAAAATTTTGATAAAGAAGAGATTACGATGGCTACCCTGGTCACCTATAACCGATTTAAGGTACTTAGTCGACTTGCTTCCCATTACAAAGGACCTATATCTGTCGCTATTCACATCAATGATGATGGCTCTAAAGAAAACATAATAAATGATTTACATAAACTCTATGATGAAAACGAAAACATGAGACGTTATGTAGACCTGCATTTAGTTATCGACAAGTTTGATCGTCAATTCAACATGTGGCGTAATGTTGCTAAATTCTTTGCACGTACTGATTATATTATGATGCTCGATGTCGATTTTTATCTTTGCACTGATTTTAGGAAATCTCTTAAAAAGGAACCTGAATTGATGGAATTGTTAAAAGCTGGAAAGGCAGCCATTGTGGTACCAGCATTTGAGTATGTGGATGAGAATGATGGCGAAGACTGGAACGATTTCCCAAAGACCAAACAGGATTTATTGGTAGATGTAAATACAAATAAACTTGACATGTTCCACAGAGGATGGAAGCGTGGTCATGGCTCAACCAATTATGAAAAATGGTATAAACAAACAAGGCCTTACAAAGTGACAGATTATAATTACTCTTATGAGCCTTATGTTATTTTCAAGAAGGAAGGAACACCTTGGTGTGATGAACGATTTGTAGGTTATGGTGCTAATAAGGCCGCTTGTTTATTTGAAATTTATTTGGCTGGCATTGATTATTGGGTTTTGCCAAATGATTTCTTGATTCATCAAACTCATCATTATCCGGAAGATACAAGAGCAAAAGAGGTATTGTATATTTCTAATATTTTAAATAATTAACTCCATTGATATTCATTTTTTTTTTATTTAGCGTACGTACAATAAAAAATTGTATGATTACTACAGAGAAGAAATATGTCTTCGTTATGCACGTACGATGATTGCCGCAAATGAATGGAATACTTCTAAAGCTACTAATCTCAAAAAGGAGTGTGGTAGAATTCGTGGCTTCAATGACGTTATTGGAAAGGTTGCTGCAGAACATAATGAATTATAGAATAACATCTTTTTTTTTTTTGCAATAGTCATGTTTTCATATAAAATATATTCCCTTTTTTTTTCTTTTTTTATGTTCTCTTTAGTATATTTATAGACTTTATATTTAAGTACAAGTTGCTTTTATAACAAAGTTTATGAAAATAGAAACTAACACAAGTATGACTGTTACATCAAAATCATTCGGTTAAGTATTAAACTTATGTCTTCCTTTCTTAAATGTTTTAGCTGTCTATCCAATACAGTATTTTGCGTTTGAAAATGGATTTTTTTTTTGTTTAGCAAACAGTAGGAACTCTTGATCGTCAGTAGAAATGTTTGACCATCAATAGACACATCACAAAACTAATAGAAGAAGAAGAAAAAGGAACTTATAGTAGTTCTAACAAAACTAAATTTATTAGCTATAAACTTATATTCTTTCCATATTTATACAATTCTCGTGAGTGACGGATCTAATCTTGACAGTCTTTAGGTGTCACTTTCTTGACTGCCTCTTCAATTCTGTCAGCAATCATTTCGTTCTTCCCAAAAGGTATATTACGTACCTCGTCTTTAATTTTTGACCAGTATCCTTCTGTTGGATTCAAAAAAAAAAAAAAAGCGAGTGAGGCAGTAAAAAGAAAAAAAAAAGAATTCAGGCTTGTTTTAAGTGCAAAATGATAAAGAAAGAGAAAATAGAAAAGACAAGTCTGAAGAACCAGGGAATTTTTCATGGGATGAGTGTTACAAAGAAGGTAGAAGTCAAAATTTGTTCGAACGCTACAAGTCTCCCTTAACATTGAAAGATGCATTTCATAAGAATACCTTATGATCATGATCCTTCTCTCCTCTCATATATTATAAATACAAGTAACCTTTAAAAGATTGTTCCTTGTAGTAAAAAGGCTTCTCAACGGGTCAATTATCATAAATTTTAAAAGAGGTTGTAATAACATGAGAAGCCAAAGGTCATATTTTAACCTTGCTTTTATCCTATTGCGTATGTACCACAATAGAACAGCTAGAATTTAATTTGATTCGTTTCAAGTATCTTTATCCATAACGTATATCTCATGAAGGTAATAAAAATAGCAACTGCATCAGGAATCTGCAGTGACGATTAAGCTTACAGTTCTTGAGAAACTAAGTTGGCCTAAACTGACAACTATTTCAGTATGAGCTGACAAATACATTTTATGTACAGAAGCACCCAGATTCTATATTATTAATGTCTATAAATGGTAATACTAAAATATAATGTATCTATGTAAAAGAATGGATTACATATAATACTATATAGCGATATTTTTTGTTATTTACTTTATTATTATATCAATATACTATCTCACATTCAAAATATTAAAATTAGACAAAGACAACATACATGACCACATATACAAACTCTTTCTCAACTACAACCTATTTCAACAAATTAATACTTAAGATTTATACTTGATAAATATATAGTGTTTTTTTTTATAGAAATCTTCAAGAATCTTTGATTATTAATAAATGTTTGATTATAAGGAGTATGATTAATAGGGTTTTATTAACAAAAGATGTCATCTATATTCATTTTTCCCATTAAGATTATTATAATTTTTGTCTCATTTCGGGCTACTTCGGTAATTTTTATAATCTGATAAGAACTTAATAATTCAGCCGTAACTTAGAGTAAAAAAAAAATTATCAGATCTTTTGATAATAATTAAAAAAAAAAGATCAAACTTTATTTTAAATATGGTAAATAATAAATTAATACATTAATAACTAGATCAACCAACCATACATGGTACCCCCCGAGGCTAGAAGCAGGAATCTCCTTTGTACGAAATGAATCTTGTTGATAAAATGCATTTGTATAGTACTGCCCTCGAGGGGGAAAGGATCGATTCCATGTACTGGAAAAGGGGCTTCATCGAGGTTGCACTGGAAAGAGACACCAGAGGCATTGCTTGTCTTCTCAGCCTTACCTTCCTCTTCACTCCAAAAATATGGAAAGAAGAAGAAGAAGAGGAGAGTGTTTTGATTATAAAGAATTTTGATTTCAATAAGAAGTGCCAGCCTTTTTATTGGCCGTCACTTGAGCAGCAGAGGTTTCCTCCTCAGTTTTCTTATCAGATGATTCTTCATTTTCTTCTTCATCATTTTCCTCCTCTTCCTCAGCAGGTTCAGGTTCACCACGAAGCTTACGGTTAATTTCCTCAAGAGAAGTATTATAAGAATATACATTAGATTGATTGAAAGGATTTTCAGGAGACTTTTGGAACTCCTTGTACATAATTTCTTTAAGTTGACTTAAACGAAGACCAGGATATTGGGCTCTAAAGTTCTTGAGTTCTCTTTCTTCAAATGCCTTTAAAGCATTCTTGAAACGACGTTCAGGATGCTTCTCAATATCCTTTTCAGTAAGGATGGGCTTAGTAGCCTGAGATTGTTGCTCTTCTTCATTAGTCAAGCTAGTAGGAATATTGGATTTCTTGGCAGTCGTTCTCTCCGTAGTATAGATAGATGTCTTTTTCATGTAGTTTGGCTTAGGCGCCTTGGGCTTATTCAAAGCCTTCTCTTCTTCAGCCTAATACAATATATAAGGTTAGATAACTTACACTATTCGCTTTTCTCTCTCTCTCTTTTTTTTTGCGCATAGATATTTACCAATTGCTTTTGGGCCTCTAACTTTCTTTGTAAAGCAGCGGCCTTTTTTGCAGCTTCGGCTTCCTTCTTATCGTTCTTCTTTGCACCCTTAGACCATTTAGCATCCTCTAAAGCTTCTAGTTCAGCTCTCTTTGCCTTATCCTTTTCAGCCTTAGCTTGTGCTTTACGATTATTAGCAGCTTCAACTTTAGTATTAACACCTTTTCTAGCCATTATTAAAAAAAAAAAAAAATTAAAATTATCTGATAGATATAAAAAAAAAAAAAAAAGATTTTATCAGATCTAAATAATTTTAAGCTCTTTTATATTTTTTTTTATGATTATCGGAAGATATAATTATCGTAGTTTCACGCTCATCATTTAACTCCGTTTCAAAAGAAATAATTCAAGATGAGTAGTAATATTATAAAAAAAATTTATTATCTATTTAAATTTTTGATATTTGTAAGCAACAGATGATGTGTGAATAATACTGGATTGTCTAGATCAGCTCAATAAAATACGAGTGAAAAAAAAGAAACTAAAAATCCCTTGTAAGAGATGCAAGGTAAAAAGGAAAAAGAATGGTATATTAGCTTTGGATTGTCAAATCACTATCACATCAATTCAAACCAGAATTTTTGATAGAAGAGAGGAGCTAATCATGAGGTATATAAGCTAATTTGTGAAGAATATGCATATATCTCAGGTTAGCGGATAATCTAGCCAGGTATCATAATGTAAGAGACGAGGCAGTTTAACAGGTAACTGGTTTAATATAAAAGTAAAGAAGTATTATTACCGTATTTTCGACTGAAATCTAAGCGATGTTATTTTTTTTTTTTCAAACAATTTTTTTTTTTATTACGAGCTTTCATTTTATAATCTTTTGAAAATAAGAAGATATTGGATATTATGTTAGGCAGTGTGGATGAAAGCACCGAAAATATTTTCACGAACACTACATCATAGTTCCATATTGTTATGCAATTTTTTATGCTTGCACTTGAGAACAGTATGTATTATCCGCTTTAACGTAGAGAGCAAACCATTTCTGACATTTCTTGTTCTTACAGGTGTTCTATACCTGACTTATGAGATATTTATCAATCATAACAAGTTTGATCTTACCTTCATAGGTCAGATACTCGATAGCTTTCTTCTTATTATTTTTTTTTTTACTAGTGCTAATATTTTCCTCTCATTGTAGCTGCAAAAGTTCTGTCTCCAAAAGCAATTGCTGGTTATTTGTCTTTTTTTTTTTTGATGACTTGGGAGGGGGGGTGTCTGTTTTGGTTGACGTCTTTACACTTGTTTTTGCGGCTTTATCTATACTTGTTACTGTTGGTAGTTAACTGCTTTAGAATTTTACATATTTCCTTTTATTTGCCTATATTTATTTTTATAAAAACCAAATTTAATGAGTCCATCATAGAGAAAAATTAGCTCTATTGCTAGTTAGTTAATGACATCTTTAAAATATATTAGTTGTTTGTCTAGTAGAGGCCATACATTTTAATCAGACATTGTTAGTCTCTCTATTGCAGTCTTAGAAAAGTCAGTTATATCATGTTTGCATTCTGGTAATTTTTTTTTTTTTTTTGTGTATGTCTCTGTGCTTAATTCGACGAGCTGCGGCATAATTATTTCTTGATATGTGATAGTATTTCTCAAAGGGATATTTATTAAACTCATATGAACTAGGGCTTACAGCAGTTTAAAAATGATACTATTCCTAGGTCAATGACTTAAACTGTGCTTTCCCTCCCCTCCCCCTCTATTATTTCCGTCTTTGAGATAGTCAGCAGGCAATGCTTTTGACAGTACAAACTTTTTCTTCTTGATTTACAAGAATAAATATGATATCAAATACCCGTTTGTAGTGAAAACGTTCCTATACTAGAAGTTTCTTCTTCAAAAGTTAAAAATTATGTGTCTAACGTCTGAACATTGTTGCTTTGCAAGTAGTTTCAATAATAATAAATAAATTCTTCTTATACTGTTATATATGTGTATTATAGTCATGTTTTATTTTATTATTATTATTATTATTATTATATTGTAAAAGGGAGATGAAGAAGGGAAAAGATTTATTAAATTATAGTAAGTTTTTTTTTTCTTTCTTTCTTTACATGGATAACAAATATTCAACGGCTGCTTGAACATTTCCTCCTGTAGCTAATAATGCTCGAATATTAGCTGATTTGTCAGTAAATCCCATTTCTTCTAATTGTGCTAATTGTTCTCTAAAACGAACTTCGGGAGGTTCAGTAGATGTAGCAGGTTGTGTAGTGGGGAAACTATTAAAGATATATCAAATCAATACAAATAATAATAATATAGGCTCTTTTTTATTTACCCAAAACCATTGTTTGAAGGAAATCCTCCCATAAACATTTGTTGAAATAAGTTTGGCTGTTGCTGTGAATTATTATTATTATTATTTTGTGCTGACATCATGGCTTGCTGTAATCTAAGACTCGCTTGAATAAAATTAGGATCTGCCCAAAATGGTGTTTGTTGCTGTTGTTGCTGCTGTTGTTGCTGACTAAGTGGGAATGCATTACCTGCACCAAATAAAGCTACAAATAAATATGAATGAATTGTCATCTTAACTATTATCTTTATATTGAATTTACCTGCAAATGGATTTTCCATTGCTCCTGTATTATTAGCACTACCACTAAATGCAGCTCCAAAAGGATTAGTTGTAGCAGCAGCAGCAGCAGCAGTAGTAGTAGTAGTAGTAGAACTACTATCGTTATTGCTTCTATTAGAAGGAGCAGCCCAAGGATTAGGTAGGGCTTGTGTATTTAATGAATTCTCTGGTACACTTTCTACATTTAATTCTCTAGCCAAACGCTCATTAATTGCTTCATCATTTGTGTTGCTCTCACGTGGGCTCATAGCAGACTCGAGTGGTCCTTGAAAGGTATTATACATACGACGTAAATGATTAAATCCTCCTGGAATAGCTTCAATATTCGATAGAGCACGATCATTATTTCTTTGCATTTCTCTCATCAAATTAGGATTTCTAATAATGCAATTTAGAAAAAAAAAAAGTTACCCATTAAACACATGCACACATACCTCATCATTTCCATAGATTGTCTTAAAAAGGCTGGATCACTAATAACATGACCAAGTTCAGGGTTTTGTTCGACTAATGCCTTCATTTGAGGATTACTCATTATGATAGAACGAACAAATTCTGTAAAAAAAAAAAAAAAAAAAAAAAAAAAAAAAAAAAATATTAATGTGATATATAGATATAATGTATAATATATAATCTTACCAGGATTGTTCAAAATATTTTGCATAAAAGGTGAATCCATCATTTGTCGCATAAGTTCTGGATCCATGTTTGGCATTTGCATATCACCTAAAGCGCCAAAAGGTGATGATGCACCCAACAAACCACTAGAAGGGTTAGATGTAGTTGATTGTTGTCCACTAGTTATATTAGCAGCACTATTTGTCGAAGTAGTATTTTCCAAAGTATTTGTTGCTGTTGTTGCTGTGCTGTTACTATTATTATTCTTTGCTGCTGGTGCTTTATTAGTCCCTGTACGAACGACATGAACCGTACATCCGGAAACGATTTCTATATATTATATATATATGAGTGAATATGTTACTACTATATATTACTTTTTAAATTTTACTGCAGTCGCCAACCAAGTCTTCGTTTTTTAAAATTCTACCAGAAAATACTAGTTTTAAATTAGAGGCCTCAACATTTTCCATCTTTTGGGCAATGAGTTGTTTAAGCTCCTCAATTGTTGCTTCCGTTCCAACATCTAATTTAAATATTTGTCCTGTAGACGGTCTAACGTTAATGTTTATTGTTGACATGGCTTAAAAAAAAAAAAAAAAAAGGGAAGAAGCTAAATTATATATCTATAAAATAAAAGAAAATTTTATTATTAGAGGACGTGTGGCAGTAGTAAACCACGAGTCAATTCATAAATATACACAGCAAATAAGTAGACAAAATAAAATAAAAAAAATTCAAACACCGAAGATTTTTATATATTATTTTATGTTCGAATTCGGACATTATTATTAAATTTTCAGATGATTAACTTCACATTCTAAAAAGAAAAAAAAAAGGACAGTTTGATTTATTGAAGATATAGACTTTAATGTTAAACGAGATTAAAAGTCATATTTTATGTGTGTGTGCAGTTAGGAGTAATTATTATTATATATTTTAGTTGACTAGGGATTTGATTTATTAATGCTAATATGGATAGTTGTACTGAACACATATTTCATAATACAACAGCTTGCCACGTATATGAATTAATCACAGTTGTAGGTCTTCATTCATATACCAGTTATAAATCGATATTATATGCATTTATGTTTCTCTGCAATAATCTAAATGTAAGCACTGATAATGGATAGTATAGTGTGAACAGGACCCACATTTCTTAATCGATATAAGCTTGTACATCATACTTGGAGTAATCATTGTTCACAGACGGCACAGAATACTATAATAAACGATATACTACAATGTTTCTTTTCTTCTTATATAGCAAAATCTAATTAAAATACATTTGTTTACTGGTTGATCCATTCAATGGATATGCTCCTTAGCCTCAAATAAAATTCCTCAAGTGCTAGGTTTAATAATCGATAATGAACACGATTAATGAAAAGGTATATTATGCTTAATTGTGGCAATATTTATACAAGTCAAATGTGATTAAGAGCATAAAACTCTACTTTCATTCTATCCTTTTTTTTTTTTTGACAAGTGATATATCCTCTTTATTCAGTTTATAGCTATTTATAATATGGATCATTACATCTCTTTTGAAATATCCTTTTGCAGAACAATAAGATTTCTCTTGAAATATGTCATGACGTTTGCCTTATGCAATTGTTTGGATTCATCACTATTCTGATCTTTATCATGTAGATCAAATTATTGAACAAATATGAAATGAAGTTCCTGAATAGATTGCGTAACTTGTAGAATGTTTGAATTTTCATTAGTATTACAAGGCATAAAAATTCGACTATAAAGTAGAGATATCAGTGTAAGCAGAAATATGATCGACAATTCATATTCTAACCCAGGGCAATAAAAAACGCGTCAGATATCTTTTCTTATTAGAGAGAATAGCTGTAATATGAGTCACTTTTTTTTTTATTATCCTTAATAGTTGTGATGTAATAAAACATACATGTGTAACTCTTACACAAATCATGACTATTTCGACTTTATCATCCATAATAGGGAAAAGCTTTCTTTTTTTTTCTTAAAGAGAAATAAAATAAAATAAGAAAATGTTATATAAGCCATTTGATATCACTTCCATTTTCTTTTTCTTTCTACTATTCTTAAAATTATTATTTAAAAAAAAATGCATGACAATCATAATCCACCACCAACACCTGTTATCATGCTTCCCATGACAGAAGCTGATAAACAACGTCTTGGTATACCAAATAACCATCCTCATCCTCAGCATCCTCATCATCATGGTGCTGAAATGCATATGATGGCAGCTCCAATGGGTGCAATAAACAATAGACCTCCAAATGTAGGCGGTATGGGTCCTAATTTTGTATTTAATTTTAGTCAACCTCCTGGATATGGTCCTATACCGATGCCTGTAGCTATAGCCGAGACCAGTCCTCCAGAAGAAAAGGTAGTTCTAGTTCAAGGTGAGCCTACATGGAGAAATCCACGTAGAGTTGCAAAACAGGGAGAACCATTAAAGCCAGAACCATGTATCATTCAATAATACAAAAAAAAAAAAAGAAAAAGAAAAGAAACTTAATTCTAATTTATAGATGCATACCCTCTTATTTAATAAAATATATACACTTATATACACTTATATTTATATATAACTTGTTTATTAAGACATACTTAACGTATAATATTCTAAATAATCAGTAACAGCCATTCGTACTATTTGGCGGAAAAATCCCATTTCCATAGGTATTTCATTAAATACTATATATGAGTCTAATTTATCCATTGGCTTTAATTCTAATGTAGCATAGTTTTCATTGATAACAGCTATATATACGTGTACATATATTCAAAACAAATTCTCTATTAGTCTATACGTATCTCATGTTATAAAAAGTGACATGTAAATACTTACACATTACTTGTTCCGGTGTAGGGAATTTAATATTTTTAATTGTTTGCCATTCATCTAAAGCAGGCTTAAAGTGTTTACAAATCAATTTAATATTATGAAATTCGTTTAATGTAATGGATGGTGTAGCTCTTTCGTTATTAGGCATAGTTATTGAATCATTCACTACTATCTTGGTTAGTTACATATCATATAAATACAGTTTCCCATATTTTACCGTATTCAGATAACTTCAAAAAATCTTCTGTCGCTCGAATGATTTCATAATATAAGCTATCATAACTTTTGGTATCTGTCAAAAATCTTTCTCCATGGGTCACACACATGTTAAATACACTGATAAGCTACAAATAAAAAATAAAATCAAATAAATATACATCAATGGCGTAAAAAAAAATAGAATAATTCTTTACTGTTGAGATATACGTGTTGAATCCTTCCCTGTCTTTAATGATATCTAAATGAAGTATAGTAAAATGTAATGTTGAAGCCAACGTTGGCCATAATTCAATCCAATGATATTCTATCATGATCATTAGTAAGATATTCATGCACATATTTATATATAATCTATATTCTATATTCATCTTTACCTAATCTAATTTTATGCTTATTTAAAAAGCATAGTATACGATGAATGACGGACAAAGCAAGTCTAAATAGATATTCATCAGAATGGGCTCTGTAATGTCAAATAGAACTTACTTGTATGAAGATAATTCGAGTTTTTTTCGAATATTATGTCTTATAAATATCAACATGTCATCCAAGATAACACTAAACATCGATCTTTTTGTTTTGATAAATGGCAGCTGTGGCGATCTTTGTCGACACAATCGAACAACTGCATTTGTACTTTCTTTTGCTATGTAATCCATGATGGTATTTTCTTCAGTTAGTCTCAAAATGATAGTCAAAAGAAGTCTTGAATAAAGATGGGTTCTTTCATTACGATTATTTTCAAACAAATAAGAAGCAAATGATAAGAGAGAAGATAAAAAAGTGAAAGACTCTTCTCCTCGGTTATTTTCTTGTTGGTTATTTCTGTCCATGTCTATTTTTGTACACGTTTTAGTCAGGGTGCTTATAAAATAGCTATTCACATTGATCAAATCGAAGAGAGGCAGAATTAAGGCTATCTGTGCGGAGGGTCTAATATATAGAACAAAGTAGTGAGCAAACAAGCAAGCGAGCAAGCGAGCAAGCAAACAAAGAAACAAACAAACAAACAAACATTTTTGTACACACTACTTACAAAGTAGAAAATGATTGACTATTCTCGGTCTCAGATGGAACAGCGGACGCATAAGAGAAAAACCATTTCGACATATAGGTAACCAATGTTTTTGAAAAAGTGTCTTCATCGTTATTAATTTCTATATATCGACTATTAATGAACATCAGTACATTGCACAACGAGCATAGTAAATGTTACATACTTCCTTAGACTAATAAACAACGCTGTGTACATTTGAATAATGTTCTATTAAAAAATAAAATAAAATAATGTAAGCTTATATATTCTATATTTTAATTTATTATACTACCTCAAATGCCTTTTCTTGCTTTAACTTTCTGATATAAGATAAATAAGGGTTTTTGAATTCATATTTGTTATAATTCGAAAGCATACCAATTAACATGATAACATCACGACAATCGTTTTCGTTTATTTCGTTCATTGTTAGTACCTGATTTTATACACATATATAGAAAAAAAAAATAAGTCATGAAATAATGTGCATTTTTTCTACAACATACATTACATTAAATAAACTGGAAGATATATCATTCATCATAAAATAGCTATTTAAGCCATTTTGATTGATGTTATCATTTCCTGCAGAAAGTACTAAAGCAAGCTGTAACGCACTTGACCGTATTGAGGGATTTTGGATAAGTTTTTGGACTGCTTTAATAAGCTTAGAAAACAACACATCAGCTTCGTCAAGACCAGTTAAAATTGAAATAATGTTAAAGTGTGTTAAACGTCTTTTTGAAAACAAGTTGCGAATGAGGACAGTTAAGATGGCAATAGCGTTTAGTTGACGTGTTTGCTCATTTTTAGAGCACTCATCTGAAAGATCGAGTTGATTTAAACAAGCGATAAAAAGCTGTTTCAAATTCTGTCGAATATCTAATAGACTTTCTTCTGATTTGCTTTGAATTATTCTAGTAATGCATTTAAGATTGGGAGGTAAGATGAGGTAATCGTCCCAAAATAGACTTGAAGTAGATGAATTAATAGTAATTGTCGCTCCCTTTTTATTATATTTTAAGTAAGTCAGTGAATGATTCTATTGTGTATCTAAATACTAGCATAGTTTTACTTTGAATACTTCTTCACTAATTTCAACAAATTTCTCCTTAAACTCTGGTTTCTTGTTCATAGAATGTTCACCTAAAAGCACTTTAATAAAAAAAAAAAAAAAAAAAAAAAAAAAAAAAAAAAATAGAATTTAATAATAAGGAACTTAAATTTTAAGGTTATGCATTCCTTTTTTATTATTATTATTATTATTATTTATTTGTATCAGGAATAAAAAAAAAATGCGAATTTTCTTCTTCAATACAGACAAACGAGACAACCCTTTAACTTTGCTTTATGATGCAGAACAAACATTACCATCACATCCGCTTAATTTTCCTTTGGAAATTATACAAAAAATTGTAGATTATCTTCCTCGATCATCATTACCTGCTGTAGCTTCTATTAATCATGCATGGTATAATATCACCATGCCTGTATTATATCGACATATCTATATTCGAACTTTACCTCATTGGAATATGCTAGTTAAAACGTTTAGTCAAATAGAATTCTCAGCACAATTTGGTCCTTGTGTGAATTCACTTGTATTAAAGCCCTCACCACGTTTAATTTCGTCTCAGTTAACAAGTTTATTAAATTATAACGTCATTGAAAATGACAATGACCTTCAACCTTCTTTAAAAGGTTATGTACGTATAGAGCGTGTTGATTATGACAGAACTGGGTTAGAAGGAATAGATACAGCTATGACTGAGGATAATATGTCACTAGACGATGTAACCCATGAAAATTATAATGAGATGGATACAACGCAAAAGGAATCAGAATGGTTAGCAAGTGTGACAAACCAACAAATGATGACAGTTTTAAGATATTGTTCACAACTAGAGTATCTTCATATCTCTGGTTGTGAAAATTTAGATGATCAAGTCTTGTTGACGTTAGCCGCAGCCAAAAAAGAAAAAAAAAGTAAACCAATAATTGGGTTATGGATGAGTCTATTAAGAAGTGCAACACATGCAGGCATCACTGGATTAATTCATGCCGAGAAACAGAACAGTTTACCTCAAAAACTAAAATATTTGGATTTGGGCTTTCAAGTGTTGCTAACAGACGATGCCATTAAGGAAATAGTAACTTATTGGGGAAAATCATTAACACATGTGCGTTTGAATTCAATCTATCAAATTACAGACACATCTATAATATATATTGCAAAACATTGCCCAAATCTACGATTAATACATTTAGTTCGTTGCTGGCAAGTTAATAATACCGCATTACGCATCTTGGCTAGTCATTGTAAGCGGCTTGTCTATATTTCAGTTTCTTTTCTTAGTCGAGCAAATGAAGAAGGAGTAAGACATCTCATCCAAAGTTGCCCGGAGCTTATTTGGTTAGACATTACTGGATGTGGAATTAATTCGTTATTTAAGTCCGTCATTTTAGAAGGTTGGGCGAATTATAGAAGAGAGCATCATTTACCACCAATCCACATACAAGATAGTTCAATCAATTTATTGTAAATTTGTATTATGTTTTTTTTATTTTTATTTTTTTTTTATTTTTATTTTTATTTTTTAAAAACCCGTCAATAAAGTTCATTAATATTCACGCCCATTGTGATATTTATTACCAAGGTTGAATTTTTACATACTTTTTTTTTTCATAATTTAACTTTCCTCATCTTTTTAAATAGATAAACATGGCTTCAGCAAGTATGTCAATTTATAATGCTCTATTTTAAAACTAAACGTATGCTTTTTTTCTTCTTCTAATAGTCTTCATTTTGGACCTTAAGGGCAAAGTTCTCATTTCTCGTAATTATAGAGGTGATATTCCTATGAGTGCAGTAGAGAAATTCATGCCTTTGGTAAATAGCATTATTAGACAACTAAAGAAAAAAAAAAAAAGAAAGAAAGATTCTAAACAAGTTTTGTAGATTTCTGAAGCTGAAGATGAACAAATTCCATTACCTTGTTTCACACATGAAGGCATCAATTATTTATATCTCAAACATAGCAATCTTTATCGTAAGTTAACATATGACCATCCACTACTTTAAAACTAACATAAAATTAGTCTTGGCTATCACTCGAAAAAATACAAATGCGGCCTCCATCATGCTTTACCTTCACAAATTGACAGAAGTCTTTACAGAATATTTTAAAGAGCTAGAGGAGGAATCGATTCGAGATAATTTTGTTATTGTTTATGAACTTTTAGATGAAATGATGGATTTCGGTTATCCTCAAACGACAGAAACAAAGATTTTACAAGAGTAAGACTTGTATATACATCAAGTAATGATAGTAACTGTTGTTGTTGCTTTTTTTTTGTTAGATATATTACTCAAGATGCGCATAAACTGGAAGTGCAAGTACGCCCACCTATGGCTGTTACAAATGCTGTATCATGGCGTTCAGAAGGTATTAAATATAAAAAGAATGAAGTCTTCTTGGATGTTATTGAGAGTGTTAATCTATTGGTAAATAACATAAACAAAAAACATGTATACATATATGTATATAATATATACTAATTAACTGACAAATGTTTATAAAGGTGAATGCCAATGGCAATGTATTAAGAAGTGAAGTTTTGGGTGCTATAAAAATGAGATGTTATTTATCTGGTATGCCTGAATTACGTTTAGGTCTTAATGATAAAGTTATGTTTGAGGCAACTGGAAGAGGTAGATAAGAATGACGATGACGATTTTTATATGATATTGATATTGATTTTATTAGGTAATTCATCTACAAAGGCTATTGAGATGGAGGATGTTAAGTTTCATCAATGTGTTCGTCTATCTCGTTTCGAAAATGATCGTACTATTAGTTTTATTCCGCCAGATGGTGATTTTGAATTGATGAGCTATCGTCTCCAGACAACGGTTAAACCACTTATTTGGGTAGAGGCAGTTGTCGAGACCTATTCAGGATCCCGTGTTGAATACCTTGTGAAAGCTAAAGCTCAATTTAAACGTAAAAGCAGTGCTAATAATGTTGAAATAGCAGTGCCTGTTCCTGATGATGCAGATACACCTAAATTCAAGGTAAATCATTTTTTTTCTATATGTGTGTATGGATCCGTACATTTAAATGACTAAATAACTCAATATAGTGTAGTAATGGTTCAGTATCCTATAAACCAGAAAGATCATGTTTAGTTTGGAAAATTAAACAATTCCAAGGAGGAAAAGAATTTATTATGCGTGCACATTTTGGTTTACCATCTGTTCAAGCAGGTAAGAACACGACTTGATATAAAGTAATTAAAATAATATTCATCATCATGATATTTAGCTGAGGATACTGAAAAGAAGCCGCCTATCAATATTAAGTTTGAAATCCCATATTTCACTGTATCCGGTATTCAAGTTCGATATTTAAAGATCGTTGAAAAGAGCGGATATCAAGCCTTGCCATGGGTTAGATACATTACTCAAAATGGAGGTAAGTCTTCTTTAGGATTCCCCTTTTATAAAACCAATATTTACAAAACTGATTTTTTTTTTTTTTAGATTACCAAATGAGAATGCCTGAATCTATCAAAGCAGCTAAACATAATTCTATGAATGATTATTAAACTTTGCCTATTTGATAGCATTATTATTATTATTATTATTATTATATGCAGCATATAACCATTTACATACGCTCACTGATTCTTAAAAGATGAGAAAGAAAAGTAAATAAAAAAAGTACATGAAACATAATCTGATATATAACCAGGAATTAGATATAACACACACATTTGTTTTATTAATATTCTTTGTATGCTGTTTAATATTTAAATTGTTTACTTTTTCTCCTGACTATTGCTGCTGTCTTGGAAAAAAATAATCATTCCATTCATTCATTTCCATACTGCTTGGTATTCCCCAGAATGGATTCTCTGGATTAAGTCGAAAGTTTGCAGAAAGATCGTTATTATCATTTCTTACAGTATTGTTGTTATAGGCATGAGTCTCATTTATGCTACCCGTCTGAGTATGATTAAAATTATTCCAAAAGTTAGTTTCTTCTATATTAGATGCTCCTTCAAAATAGAAATTAGGAATTTCAAAACCTAATGAATACATAGGAAACAATGCTGCTTTATCTGTTGGGGTCATAGTAAGAGTAGGGTAATATGCTGAGTTATTACCACTGGTAGTAAAAGTGGGTTGCATACTAAAATCTATCTCTTGTTGTTCATCATTATTTAATAGTGTATTAAACCCAAATTGACGAATCGAATAGGCATCTACTTTATTTGGTATTTGTTGGTATTGCTGTTGAGCTGTATAATTTATGATTGAAGGTGTTTGCGTTAAGATAGGTGTATTTTGTTGATTTACTTTTTTTTTTTTTTTTATTCATTATAGGCTCATAAGTTTGTATCATTTACTCATGCATATCTAAAATAAAATAAATAGAGTTACCTGTACTAGCAGTAAAACTTTGTTGTTGAACAATACTAGGAGTGTACAATTGACTTAACCAATCTTCATTCCATAAGGGTGATCCCATATCCTTTGTTTGTAAATGTCCGTTTCCAGAGACCCATGATTTTTGAAAGGCCTCGCTGAATTGCTCTAAAAATGAATATTGATGGGTTTCTCTGGTATTCGAATCATGTTCATCGTCATCATAATCATTTCTATCTTGACTATTGGAAGAAGTATGGCATTGATCCTTTGAACAGCCAATATTGATATTTTCAAATTCTGGGTCATTCTCAAAAATTGAACTTAACATAATCATTTTCCTCAAAATATTGACCATATTCTTTGTGGTAGGTAATAACAAACATAATTTATCGACTAAAGCTAGAGCGCGTATAAGATGCGACTTGGCAACATCAGCAATGATAGCATCTGAATTTGAACAATTATAGATATGGATTAGAGTTGCAGTAAATACAGGATAAAATGCAAACCCCAGGAAATCATGAAAAAGTCTTGATAATGCATCTTTTCAAAGACTTCAATGATACGAATAGCTGCACTCGTACAGATTGTGTGTGAGCTTTGTGAAGATAACTTTGATTTTCCATTGTTTTCAATAAATGGACGATGTAAGAGAATAAGAACTGTACAATAAGAAATACAGATAAGTCCTATAATAAGAAGGTAAGAAAAAAAAAATAGACTGAAGATTAAGTATTATAAGAATTCCCCTTCCCCCCCTTTTTTTTTCTTACCCTTTTCTTACCTGACATTGTCAATAATGGTATATGTTCTTTGCCTTGCTTTTCTCCAGCAGTTGAGATTTCAAGTAAAGGAGGGAGAGATGCTCGCCACTTGGATAATGCATCATCCAGATAGGCTATAATGGCATCACTACCATATTTAGCACTATGCTTTTTAGCCATCGGTGTGTAGATTCCTTGTAGAATACGTCCTAGAATCTCAGATAATTTTAAAAGTTGAATAATTGGCTGATACATTGGGATAACATTTCCAGTTGCCTTTTCAGCGATATACTCATCTAAAGAAGGAAAACGAGGTAAATATCTATCTGTTTCAGTCATCCTATCCATAACTTCATCCAAGTTAACATTCTCGGAAGGATACATTTCATCACAGTCCTAGATGAATAAGGGGAAAAAACATTATTGATTATGTAAATGGTTGTTCCTTATATACCTCATCGAAAATAGTTAACGGACGGCCTGTGCCTGCACAGGACCATCTATCTATTATGTATGTAAACCAAAAAACCATTCGACGAGTCTCTTTCTCTTCTTGAGAAATATTCCAGTCCTTTGTAGATCTATGCAAGCCTAAATCTTGGCTCTTATTATTATAGTTTAATATATATTAACAACAACCAAAGAAAAAATCAACTTGATGATTAACATTATATGGAATACAACGTACCATTCTAACGATCTATGATATATTTATTCAATGTAAAAATTATCAGCAGGCTTATTATATATATATATATTAACAAACTTACAATACAATTAAAAAGCCATCCTTTTGTTAAACTATCAACATTAGCATAATAACTATGTGTAATGATAGCAGCTTGAATGGAGGATAAACGAGGGACATATTTTAGTTTCAAAAATGAAAATAAATTCTTAAATAGCTTGTCTACACTATTTTTAGGTAAATCCCATGGATAGCCATTATCTAGACTTTCTGTACCATTAAATTTTTGACAATTTTCAATGTAACGAATAGAAGCACCATAAATAGCATTTAATATGGGACCAGCAGGAAATGTAACTCGAATGCCTCGATATTCTTCTAAAAATTCCTTTTTATTCACAATAGGTAACAATGGGTGAATATAAGCAAAATAACTAATAAAAAGAAATATATATGAGAGGATATTATGTTCAATATGATAACAATCTCTATATTACACTCGAAGTAATTGATCACTTGGATATCTTTTTATTCCTGTAACTCTATATATCCAATCGTCTACATCTTTAATCGTTTCATGTGGCTGGATGACACCAATTTCAATTAATTCTTGAATTTGTTCTTTGCGACGGTCGTTAAATGAGTTTTCTTTCTTTAAAAGAAGATGATCCCCATTTGGATTATATTGTAATTCAATACCATATTGAGATAACAATTCCTTTGTCTTGAGAGTATTTATTTTTCTTGCTGCAATAAAGCTAATCAAACTGTATTCACTCAAGAAATGGCCTTCGTTCGATAAATAATTTTGTCGAACCTTATTCAAGAACCATTCAACTCTTGCTCTAGGATGCCTATCGTTATAGATTTTTACTTTTTTGTTTTCTACATAAGTAGTTTCAATATGATTATGATCTTTTCGATTGATTGATTCCTTTGTTTTCATCAGTTCATTATTTGAGTTAGTATTCAAACTGCCAAGTAGTTTTTCAATACGTTTAAGTCTATTCTCTAAAATGCCTATATATCTATAAGCGTATCAAAATGAATTAATTTGATAACTATAGGCTGTTTCTTACTGATGAAACTCATCTTTATTTACCCTCTTCTAGGTCCTCTTTTTTTAGATCTAAACATTAAAAATAATAGTAAAAAGAATAAGTTTTTGTTTGTTATTGGTCAGTTACATTTCAAAAAAAAAAAAAAAAATGAAAAGAAAAAGAAACCTTGTATTATAAGTACATCCTTTTTTGCTAGCTATACAATTTTTACATATTTCCAAAGTATTTAATCTTTGACATTTAACTTTTTTACGTCGACATTCATCACTGGCATACAACAAAAGATATATTTATATAAAAGAGCATAAGATAAGTATTATCACACAAAATAATGAATTGCTCCTATAATGTACCAGGCTCGATTGACTCTTTGCCTTTGATCTTCTACTGTTGGATTATTGTTCATTTCGGAAGGAATTATAGGTCGAAAAATTGTCATTGATTTATTCTGCAAAGTCATATTTTCAGGGCAAGATTGATTTGCAGAATTATTTTCAGAATTTTCTGTGCTTGACATTTTTTTTTTCTTTTTTTTTTAAAAAAAAAAAGAAAAAAAAAATGAATTTTACAATTTTATGTATTTTTATGTTCAGAAAACTATTATTGTAAAGTGCTATAACGTATTATATTACGGATAAAACCCTGCCGTTGGAAAGAAATAGAATGGTATGATATTCGGGGAAAGTTTTACCGGTAAATATAATAGGACTAAAATCTATTCTAGAAATTTGTAGTATAGCTCTATTGTTTTTTATTCTTTTACTTCATAAATAGGTAATACGACTAAAATTATGTTGTATTTTTTCTGTAACCAATGAGCCTGGAGCTATAAAAGCGGATTTTGCCCTAGTAGCCAGTTCAAAAAGAAAACACTGATAGAAACTGATAATCCTTTGGAAGACGAAAAAAAAAAAGTGAAGGTTAAAAATAAAAGGAAATGATTTCACAAAAAGGAAGGCTGAACTAACTTTATTTAATCAAGAGAGAACTAACATTGGAGAGAGAAGTAAGCCAGATAATGTATTCTATGCAAGATGGAACATATGGATGCTTAATGGATGAGCCAAGAAGAAGCTAAGTTAAAGGACTTTTTTTTTTTTTTTTTTTTTTTTTTTTTTTTTTTTTTTTGTAAAAAAAATTGTTAAGTAAAGGAAAGAGGATCGTCAATTGGTTAAGGCATTTGCAATCATTGGTACTTATGTAAACAGTAAGTGGGATGAGACCAGTTGACCAAATGGTCAGGATAAAAAGAATAGAGCTAATGGTGGCCATATGTTAACCAGTCAAGACATTAATGTATACAACGGCCGCCGTCAAAGTTTGTCATAGATAACCATAGTAAATAATTAATTGTCAAAATATTTAGAATACAAATCTGAACGTCTTTTAGCCAAATTGTTTAAAAAAGAAGAAGAATTGAGTAGACTTAAAGAGAAGCTGGTCAAGATTACCAAGTAAAAGAAAACATCTTTTCCAAAGAGGAGTTTTAGACAAACAGTACCACTGCGAGTGAGTAGTAGAGTATTGAAGATGAGGCAATAACCTAGTAAACAAAGCATCCTTTAGGAGATACAAAGAGCAGTAGATGCGTTAAATTTGAAGGATGCTTATACGTTCGTATATACGAATCAGCATACTGATATGCAGCATCACTTTAATATTTCGGAATAGAAGTAAATATAAATGAAATAAAAGCCATTAGATTGTATCTTTTTCTACTATCGTTGTTGATAGTAGAGCACATTAATGATCGTATGTATCAAGAACCCTTTAGTAATTTTTCATAATTTATACCAAGTTTTAACATATCTTCAATTGCCATTTTGTATAGCATCTACTGTTAACTCGTACATTATATAAACACCATCATTGAGTAAGGGCATAATATATAAAAAAAAAATTATGCTTCTTCTTATAAAATATATTGATATGTTTAAACGTATACATATATGTTTATATGTGTGGGTTTATCCAGCTTATCAATAATATAGTAGATCATGACACGTCTCATATTATTCTCATCTATTTTATTTTTAGAATAGGACGAAAAATAAGAAATGAGTCTTCTTGACGCCTTTTATTAATATAACGTGTTCGCAAATGAGTTTCATCACTTATAAAGAAAATGAATAGACTAGAACAAATTTATTGCTATAAAGTAGTTCAAGTCATATTGTCAACTGTACAACATGCACTGATTTCGCAGAAGTAATGCGATTTCGTATTGTGGGTCATCATTCTATAAAATGTGAGTATAATAGAATCTCGCATTGCATACAAAGCCCACTTGCATAGTACAAGATGCAGCTGCATTGTACGCCAAAATCTTAATTAAAATACAACATCGAATATTCACTTGCTTCTATAAAATACATATTCCTTTTAACTGGCCTTGCTTTTTACAAGTCATATTCATTGTTATAGAATAAGCTCCGGATATGAGCATAAGTAATATGATAAAAGATGAATTACATTATACAGGATTAACTATAAACTTGTACATAAAGTGAAACATCATCGTAATCATACTGCATATAAAATCTTTTTTTTTTTAAAAAAAAAATATAAAACTTCTGACATCCAATCATCTAGACGTGTCAACTAAATAAGACATCGTATCAGTTCTAAGTATTTATTTATTTATTATTATTTATAACCTTGATACAGGATTCAGGTCGTCTTTGATGTAAAAGACATCAGGAACTTATACTCAGATCAAATAATTTAAAACTTAAACTAGACCATTATATAGCGCCTAATAGATCAGCACCTTGAATCAACAAGATGCATGTATTTGAATATTAACATTGTTTCATGACTCTTGTACTTTTCTACTTATTTTTATTTCTTTGATTCAGGATTCATTAATGTAAATACAAGCAGTTGTGTAGACGCGAAATAATTCTTTATCTTCTTTACATTGAATGAACAGTTTCAGACTGCACTTCTTTTTATATCTTTTAGTTTGTTTATTCTTTAAATATAATCCATATCACTCTACTAAATACTCGACTTGTCAAGGTTGCGAATCATCTTATACAGACCGGATTTATGAGAGATAAATTTATTGGTAAAAAAATGATTTACTTCTTCATCTAGTTCTACAACAAGTTTTCTATTATGCCTATTCTAGCGTCGACCTGTTCCTGGACCAAGAGAAGGCATACGATCGAGTAAATCCCTAATCTTTAGTGAAGGTAATCGCGTCTTCTAGTTTTAATTCCAGCTTCATTCGCTGTATCAAACAATTTTTTTTTTTTTTTTGGGAAATTTGGTTCAAGTAAATGCTAACGGTTTTTTCTCTTCTAATTTTTTTGCAAGTGTTTTTTATTTATTTTTTTTATTTTTTGCGCTTCCTTCTCCTATGTGACTTTGTTTTTTCACCGAAAAAGCTGGGGATTCATCGGCGAACAAGGGACACTTGTACCCCTCTTTTTTTTTTCTTTTTCCAATAAAGCTCAAAAGATGGTTGTTCGCATTCGTCTTGCACGCTATGGTCGTCGTAATTTACCATTCTACCACATTGTAGTTGCTAATGCACGTACAGCTCGTAATAGTAGACCCATTGAAAAGATTGGAACATATAACCCCATTGCTGATGCATCAGGCAACAAATTAATCAATTTAAATTTTGAACGTGCTAAGTATTGGTTAACTGTTGGTGCTCAGCCTTCAGAAACTGTTGAGAAAATATTAGTCAAGGTAATGACAAATATAAAGGTTGATCGAATATTTATTAATTATACATACATACATATATAAATATAAATATATATACATGTATTATAGGCTGATTTAATACCACAAGCACCTAAACCTTGGATGGAAAAAACATTAAACACATTAAAGGAATCCAAAGAAACCCTTGAATGAATTAATGATTTAGACACCTCTAGTAAACCATGTACAGACCATTAAAGAAAAAAAAATTGAATTTTAGCTTTTAGAAATCATGATCAATTAAAAGTATTTTTTTTTATCAATTCCAAAAGATGGCAGAAAATTCAAAAAAAAATAATAATAGCAAAGTCATAGATTACTCTATTTGTTAGCTTGATAAAAAAAAAGGCCAAAACAGAATAAACCCCCTTTTTAATGTTATGCGTTCGCTTAATTATTACGCAGACAAAAAAAAATGTATCTTGAAGACGTAGAAAAAATGTTGAATCATATTTATTTTATTTAATTGATACATGCATAATCAAGACTATGTGCTCGGTAATATTGAATTAAGAAACCTTAATAATTGATTTTATATATGACTTTATTTAATGTCAATAATATATGGTCAAGCCTTTTTTTTTTCAGAAAGGTTTCACTTAAAAACCATATCTTTTTGTTTTCTTATATTTACAAGTAGATAGGTTGTTACTAAGCATTTACAATTATAATAAAATACTTGTATCTATGTATACATAATGCAATTAAGCGAAAATATCTTTATAAGGCAGAAATCAATAAGCTAGTAACAAAATACATGAATATAAAATAATATTATTATATGTTTATAGACCCGTATTTAATACTCCCTTCTGTTTTGTTTGTAATATACTACTTTATATTTGATAAGATATATCGAAAATATAAATAATACAATGGGAGTGAAACAATCAATTATTGCATGCATGCATGAAACAGCATAATTCATGATAGGCTGTTTAATTTTTATTTTATTTTTATTTTTTTTACACAAACAAAAAGGCAGATTGTTTTTTAAAGTTAGATTAAATAATAAAAAAAAAAAAGTTTACTACAACATGTGTCTATTAAATTAGTTTACATAGGAATGGTATAAATTTCTATGTATGTATATAGATTTGTAAAAGAATAAATAATACAAAACTGACAAAGAAGCTCTAATTTACTCAAATCCCTTTTCGATTTGAAAATGAAGAATTTCTTCGTTTGGCTGGTGTAAGTCCATATGCAAAATTTGTAATGTTATAATCTTCTAGAGTTGAAATAGAGGAATTGGAATAACTACGGGGATAATGATAATATTCTTCTACTAATAGTAAATCAGATGAGATTGATTCATTATTAAATAAAAGGTGGGGTTCCTTTGTAGGATGTAGTGTCTCTTTTTCGGGCATAAAGTACCATCTTTGCTGCTGATCTGGATGATAGGGGAATAAAACCAATTTTGTGTCGTCGTCAGGACTAATATCAAGAACCCAATCGCTATTGTAAAGGGAATAAATAATGACTTCAAAGAAGGATGTTTTTTCAGATAATGGATGAGGGTATTCATTTATAACTGTAATATCTGTTTGAACTGCCCATAGTTGGTTTTTTGCTTTGTCGAGAGGCTTTTGATTATACAAGCAAATTTCGGTATCTTCGATTAAACGAAGTTTACCTAATAAAATAAGTCAATATTCAAAGAAAAATAATTCAATAAAATAAAAGATGATTACCTTTGCGAATATCTAATACAAGCCCTGTCTTTTTGTTCTTTAAATAATTGCTTTCCCAACACCATAACTCATCTTCAGTATAATTAGGATCTTTAACAATGACTTGTGATCTAATATAATCACCATTATTTGAACAAATTGATATCACTTTTTGAGTAGAAACATGCTTTATATAAAACCATTTTGAAGTATTATCCATGATATATAAAAAGGGATAAATAGAAGTAAAAAAAAAAAGAAAAAGAAAAGAAAAAGAAAAAGAAAAAGAAAAAGAAAAGAAAAAGAAAAAGAAAAAGAAAAAGAAAAAGAAAAAGAAAAAGAAAAAGAAAAAGAAAAAGAAAAAGAAAAAAAAAAAGAGAGAGAGAGGAAAAAGAATGAGAGAGAAACAAATGAAGAAAGGGATTTTATAATACTGTTTTTTTTAAAAAAAAAAAAAATGCATAAATCTGGAAAAAAAAATCCTATTTTTTTTTCTCCTTGCAGTCATTGAAAGAACAAAGTTTATTTACTCTTCTTTTTGCTCTCTCAGGAAAATTTAAACATTACTTTTAAACAAGATTATTTTGCTTGTATGTTAGAAGGAAAACTTTTAGTTAAGTATCCTTTTTTTTTTTTGCTATTGTACAATAAAGGGCAATTAGATAATCATATGCAGGGTAAAATATGCCTATATGCAGGCTCACTTTATTTTTTATTTTTTTTATAAATTATCATTTGTTTAAATAAAACTTTATTATAGAATGTTAATATTTGTTATTTAAAATGCCTAATAAAACTAGTTAGGTCATTAATGAAGATCTAGTTGCATGCATCACATGCTTTAGAATTTAAAATCGTATTTTCTAAAAGCTTTTCTCTTTTCGATTTCTATTTTACTAAATATCAGAATAGCTTAATAGGACTTAAATCAGGGGGAGTAAAGAGAGAGAGATCCAAATGACTTTATAACCAGGGCTTTCTATTTTTGTAACCATAAATGAAGATGTACGAATAGAAGCATGGTCTATTACTAGAATGCTATTATCTACTTTATCCATAATACAAAGAAGGTTTTTAATAAATATTGATGTAATAAGTGTCCCTATCGTCTTTTGATGGTAGTCTTTCATTTTATTAATATCCTTTTTTTTTTATTTCCTCGCTCTATCTTTAGAATTATGAAGAGGAAACTTCCTTAAATTGGCGTGAAGAACACTTACTGTACAAACTGCGCCTAAAAAAAAATAAAAAAAAAGTACATGTATCATTGTTCAGTTTTAACTATTACCAGCATATCTTTCTTAAATTAAGTCTAACTATCATTCATATTAATATGAAAACTATACTTATTTTGTAAAAATATGGTTTTCATATCTTAACTTGTTTATAAATTTTATTCCATATTTTTTCAACGTAATAATGAGCGATAGTCTCAAAGATGGAGTATGTAGCTATACAATTCTTCATATAATAATGAAGCTATATTCCAAAAATGGATAGATCCTCAAACGTTGCTATGGAATTTGATAATACAGTATTGATATAGATTTACGTGCGCTCCTCTAAAAGTTAACTTTTACGCTTGCGCGTTATTCTACATTATTGCTAAGAGAAAAAAAAAAGGAAGGGAAGGGGAGGGGAGAGGCTTTTTTCGAGTTTGAACATAATTTTTCTATCACTTCATTATAGTTCTTTCATTTCATACATAGCTTGTAACTAATTTTTTACTATTTAAAGATAGCTCAATAATATCTGTTTATAAAATTGTTTCTTGGATTGTCGCTATACAAATTATAAAACAACTTGTTAGTATTTTCCACATTTTTTGTTAGCCTTTTTTTTTTTCTTTTCTTTTTTATCAAATTGAATGTATCAAATTGCTTATTACAGTTTGGTATAAAAAGTTTGAAATAGGAGTACTATACTGAAGCTATATCAGCAAATCTTATTATTATGCAACATGCATTATCCGAATTAAGGATATTCAATGAATACAGTCACATCATGTGCCTTTCCCACTACTTACACTTTCATTTTTATTTAATGCCGAAAAAAAAAAAAAAAAAAAAAAAAAGTTTAAGTAGTACTATAAGAAAAAGAAAAAGGCGTCTATTTTTCATTTTTCATCTTTTATTCTTTATTATTATAAATATGGCTCGCCAAGATCGTCCAGTTCGTATTGGTTGTTATTCAGCATTTTGGGGAGATTCTACTGCAGCTGCAGTTCAATTAGTTCAACATGAAGGAGAGAACTTGGATTATCTTGTAGCAGATTATTTAGCTGGTAAAAAAAAAAAAAAAAAAAAAAAAAAAAAAAAAAAAAAAAAAAAAAAAAAAAAAAGAATGAATAATAATAACATGCTTTTATACAGAAATTACAATGGGTATTCTTGCTGCTCGTCGTCAACGTCGTCTTATGACTGGAAAATTAGATAAAGGCACCGACTACATTGCTGAGTTTTTAACACTTGTATTGAGTAAAATTTTACCAGATTTGATCAAGAACGGTACAAAAGTGGTGACAAATGCAGGTGGATTAGATCCTATCGGTTGTAAGGAGGCCATCGAGGCTCTATTAGAAGAGTTGAATATACAAGGTGTAACAGTAGCAGCTGTTGTAGGGGATGATTTACTAAAGAGCAATGAAGAAGGCGGCTATCGTCACACCTCGTTGGCTACTATGACTACTACCTTTAATAACCAAATTCACTCATTTTCCCCTATTTCAACCGTTGATCATACAAAGGAAGCAGATCGATTGCCTAGTAAAGACGAACCTATTCTTTCAGTCAATGCTTATCTGGGCTCGCATGCTATCGCTGCTGCCTTGAAGGAGGGAGCTCATATCGTCGTGACAGGTCGTGTAGTTGATTCTGCATTAGTAGTAGGGCCCTTAATGTATGAGTATGGTTGGGAAGAAGGTAAGACGGCAGATTATTATGATTTATTAGCATCAGCCTCTTTATCGGGTCATATCATTGAATGTGGCTGTCAGGCTACAGGTGGTAATTTCACAGACTGGCATTTAGTGGCACAATCGCCTTATGGAGGTTATTCAAATATGGGTTACCCTATTATTGAATTTGATCGTTCAGGTTCCTTTATTGTAACAAAGCCTGTCAAGACAGGTGGCCTTGTATCTCCTGCTACGGTTGCAGAACAACTCGTATACGAAATCTTGGATCCCGCTCTCTATTTATTACCTGATGTCATCTTAGATATGCGTCAAGTCACATTATCTCAAGTGGGTCATAATCGTGTATTAGTGAAAGGTGCTAAAGGTTTACAACCTACACCTTATCTTAAATGTTCAGGTATCTTTTTAGACGGTTGGAAATTGACAGGTGAATTATTAATTGGTGGTGTGGATGCGAGAAAGAAGGCAATCGCTGTAGGGGAGGCCATTCTTCAACGTGTTCGTAATATGTATCAAGAATTAGGTATTCAAGATTTCAGAAATGTTAATATTGAGCCTATCGGTGCTGAATCCCTGTATGGGTAAATAGAGTACTTTGTTTCTTCTGTTCCTCCCCTCTTTTTTTTTTTTTTTATCATATTTGTTAACATATCATATATAGTCCATATTCAGCTACAAGTCATACTCGTGAAGTTGTGTTAAGATTAACAGCTCATCATGACGACCCTAAGGCTTTAGGTCTTGTTGCACTGGAAACGATTCCTGTAAGTGAAAATACGAATTTTAATTAATCTAAAAACCTAATATTATTATTATTATTATTTACTTACTTTATTCGCTCCAAGTCGGCTACATGCATGGCGCCTGGTATTACGGGTGGTGGATCTGGACGTCCAAAGGCTGTTCCCAACATGGTCCATTTCCCTCTCCTTATTTCTAAAACTCAGATCACCACAAGTTATACTGTCGGTCCTCATGGTAAGCTTAAATCAATTGATTGGGGCTCCTGGGATGGAAATGAAACGTATAGTCAACCAAGACCCATACCACCACCATCACCTAATAATGATGATGAACCATCCTCCTCATCTCTTGATGAAGAAGGGAAACAAAATAAAAGGGGGACTCAATTGATTAACGTAGCCTATGGTCGAAGCGGTGATAAAGGTGATGTTTGTAATATTGGCATTATTGCTCGTGACCCTGCTTATTGGCCATATATCAAACGTTCAATCACTGAAGAGGTGGTGGCGAATTACATGAAGCATCTTTGTAAAGGAAGCGTAACACGATATGAATTACCTGGCGTTCATGCCTTTAATTTCGTCTTAACTCGCTCATTAGGAGGTGGTGGTTTAAGTTCTTTAACTATTGATAGGCAAGGGAAGACATTTGCTCAACTCTTATTAAGTGGCTTAGAAGTTGAGATGCCTATCTCCTTACTTCCTTCAGAGGAAGCCAAATTATAAAATTATCATACATGATTATTTAAATAACATAACATGCATACTATTCCCCTCTTTCTCTCTTTTTTTTTTCGTTTATTATTATTATTATACTTGATATATGATAAAGACAAAAAAAAAAAATAAACATTATTATCTATATAATAACTGTAGATGTTATAAATATATATACACCATGCATATACATAAAGGTATTTTTTTTTTTTTTTTTTTTTGATAATTGTAAGCAATGAAAAAAAAAAGTTGATATAATATATAGAATAATGTTATATATGTATATATATGTATAAATATATTTATATACAAATATACATATATAAAGGAAGAAAAAAAAGGAAATGATTGTACTCTAAATTATTGCCCTTTTTTTTTTTTCAATAAAAAAAAAGGAATCTAATGTGTCAAGTTGGATTGACCTATTGACATGTTATTTAATAAGCTTTGAACTACTATATAAATATATATAAAAAAAAAGTTAATATATAAAAGAGGAGGGTATATCTATTATTACTTACGAACAGTTTCATCAGTGGATGAATGATTTAATGAAAAAAGAGCAGGGAATGATGAATCTAATTCTTTAGTACTTGTCTTTACAGTTGCTGAAGCAGGAGGTAATGCAAATTGAACTGCTGACGACGATATATGCTTATTGGGTGCTGTTGTAGAGGATGGATAAATCAATGGAGGTTGGGTATGAATATAGTTATTGATCTGAAAGGGTAAATTGCCTGATTTTTTTGGCGAAGAATCCAACATGATATCTGGAATCGATTGATTTGAATGCATAGAGCTATTATTACTACCAGTAGAAGTAGATGATGTAGGTACAACGTAGGTATTGTTAAAGTCAGGTTTCGATCCTAATGGCTGGTAAAAACCATTATTAGAGGCATTACTTTGATCCATTGGATACAGCTAAAATAATAATAACAATAAAAAGTTAAAACTACAAATACAAAAATAAAAGAGAGAAAGATGAATTGATCTAGTATACTTACTATAGAGTGTGGTTTAGACTCTAATCCAGACAATGGTGGGCTTCCAACAAAGCCATTCAAAGAGAATTGTTGAGGTGGGTTCGACCAAATATCTAATCCACCTTGACCTGCGGGTGATCCAGTACGGAAATTAAGTGGGGAAACAAGAGAAAGAGAAGGCGGTGCAGGTTTATTAGCGTCAGGGGAATCAAAAATAGCTCGAATATTTTCAGCAGTTCGAGATGAGTTGATATCTCTAAAGTTCTTCCATGATGCTTCAAATGCATTACTACTAGCAGAATTAGGGTAATCAAAAAGTGAATAACTTTTTAAGCCGCTATTTAATCCTGAAGCTAAAGGTTGTGGGAAATCTGTCAAGAGAGAAGATGAAGCAGATGGAGTAGGAGAAACCAAATCTAATGATCATAAATAAGAATTAAGTCCTTATTCCTATATATACGCATATGTATAAGAATTACCTGATGGTAAAGCAGATGGAATGATTTTATTATCAAATAATGGGAATGGACCATTATTGGCTACTCGAGGAACATTTGCTGCTTGACGAATAATAGCACTATCATCATACAAATTAACCTGTTGACTTTTCAAATATCCAATTAATGTTTCCAGAGAGACATTTAAACGATCCAAGTTTCCTTTGGTTAGCTTAAAAGCAATTACTTTATCACCTTCATTTTCATCTTCATTCTTTCTCTTCTTTTTCAACTCTACTTTGACGTCATAATCTTTGGCTATCTTTTGAACTACTTCCTTATATGAATCTGATTCTAAAACAGACTTGAGATGAGTTGAATAAGGTAAATGAACATCATATTCTTCAGGTATAATGGATCTAACCATTTGAGCTGCTAAATTAACTTGTGATTCTGGACCTACTAGGGTTAAAGAATCATTTGCAAGCTCATTATCAGGCCAAATAATACGCGTGTTTGTCTTTTTGGTCATCTCGGTTAAGAACTCAGTCTGGTCTTTAATTAATTTTCGATGAAGCCAGAAGGGGATATCGTAAAGTACTTGTTCAACGCAATCTCTATCCTTTGGATTAATTAAATCCATCACAGCATTTCTTAAATTTTCCAAATTGACTTGGTTTTTCATGGGTGTTCTTGCAACTACATTATCATCATTATCATAATAGCCACCCAAGGCAGCAAATTCCTCTGCATTTGAAAACTTCACATAGACCCCATATTTCTTCATGATGCGTTGAATATTTTTACCGCCAACACCAATAATACGCTTGTGGTACACTTCTGGTACGTAGAATGAAATTTCGGCAGGTAGTTCTTCCTGTAAGAGTGTTAATCCATCCAAAGCCTTATTAAAATTATTACTTTCAACTTCGATAATAAAGTTATATTCACTAAAGGGGACAAACTTAATTTTTGCACCTGAAGTCTTCATGATCTTATTGATCTTTCCACTCTTTTTACCACTAATGAATTCACGTTGATCATTTGATAATTCGACATTGAATACTGTACTCTGATGAAGCATTTTTAAGAATGTCATATCGTGTAAACGCTGGTATACATTACGAATGGCACGTTCGGTACCAAACGCTTCTATACAATTTGTATCAGGTCTATAACTGACTTCAGCTCCTGAAATTTGAGATAATTGAGATACAAGAGCTGACACGTTTGCAACTGAGTTAAAGAAGGCATGAGCACTATCAATACCATATATAGCAGCATCTCGATTAAAATAGAAGCATGCTTCATAAATGCTACAAGCCTTTAAATTAAATTTAAAAATAATAATAATAATTTAGAAATCAATACAACATATTTGTTTGTTTATATTTACCAAAAAATGCAATGAACGAAGTGTACGCTCAGCATTGACTCTATTCTCTGCATAAACAGTAACAACATTATTGCTTGTCCCCATTTTTGGAAATGAAATAAAAGAGCCATTATCTCTCATTATCTTTCTTAAATCGTCTTTACGGTGTAGTAGCATCCAATTTAATTTTCTAGGGTGTAGTACAGCATCCTTATGATACATAGATTGAGCCTAAAATAATAATAATAATAATAGGTAAGCAAAGCTAACAAAAAAAAATTTTTTTTTTTTGAAAACCTTTTGTGAAGCTAATTTTCTTAGCATTTCTTTCACGCGCGTCACTTCATTTGATTCACCTGTAATATAAATAACAGGAGAATAATCGTCATTTGCTTCAAATATAAAGAGTGAAGGGAAATAGATTGATGTAGCTGTTTCTTCTATGATAGATTGAATCCCAGTACGTTTTCTTCCACATAATAAGTGATGTAACTTGTATGGAATAGCGACAGTATCTACATCTAATTCAGACTATTTTTTTTAAAAAAAAAAAAAATACACACAAAAATTTTCAGTATCCGAAATAATAATAATAATAATAATAATAATAATAACCTAAATTTAAACTTACCAAACTATCCAACATGACTAATGTTCTAACTCTTGCAAGCTCAGCATTGTCGGGTATACCAGTAATGTGAATATTGACAGTATTTTGAGAAGCAAAAGAAGATTGAGGAACAGGTTCTGTTATTGATATGGTTGTATTTGTATCATTTGCAATTTTTTCACATTCAATTCTTAATTTCTTACAATCTTGATCAGGGATCTTTAAATTTAAATGAATCTATTATTCAATAATAATAATAGAAAAGAATTGATATCGATCAGTAAAATATATTTATAAGTCAATATTAAAAAGAATAATGTCGAATGAATCACTATAAATGGGAAGCTGCCTTCTTTTTTTTTTTTTTTTTTTTTATAAAGATGAAATAAGGAATGATATTTACTTTAGTAGGATATAAGTTTAATATCTCGGTTCTTGTTGCCATGACATTGTCTTGTTGACCAATTAATGTAAGATTTGATCCTTCTACGATTATTTGACAGGTTAAAGAAGTGGGTAGTTTATCTACTTGTCCAAAACAAAATGAAAAAACAAAAGACATATTTTCAAGTTGCTTTGCTTTTTTGGTATATTGTTTTTTCTTCTATTTCCCTACAGTATATTGTATATATTGAAAAAAAAAAAAAAAAAAAAAAAAAAAAAAAAAAAAAAAAGGAAAAAAGGAAAAGAAAACTGTATTACGACACAAGAAAAAAAAAATTAAAATTCAAAAGAAGCCCGGAGGACGTGAATAATTTCATAATTGAAAATATTATTTATAGTAAATTATAAATAAAGTAAATGCGTGTCTGTTTAAGTGTAATTTTTTCTTAATAAAGAATAAACATATTGCTACAACTATAAAACTGATTTTGATAAACTTTTGATTTTTTTTTAGTTAGTGTCTAGACTATTGACTTTACTTTGGAAGAGTATTCATTTTTCATTTTTCTTTATTTTATTTTTTTTATTTTTTTTTTTTTTAAAAAAAAAAGAAACCCCCTTGTAAAAATTCCAAGTTGGTTATTGGCTATGTTTCGAAGAACTAGCAACAGTTGTCATAAATTATGAATTGCTTTTTTTTTAACTTTGAAAAGGATAAAATTACGAAAATGAATTGAAATATTTAACACATTAATAATTAATGTGAAAACTTATTTTCATAAACAAATGTCTTTCCAAATAATAGATACAAATGCTGCATATTACAACTTGTTATCATTTTTTATATAACAATGTTTTCAAAATAAAAGGGGATTTTTTTTTTGTTGATTAAATAAAATATTCAAAATAAGAAAAATGTGTTATTATTTCAGGAAAAGCGCTATAATGAAATCATTGATCCGTTTTCAATTTGAGGATTTTTTGAGCATTTTTAGATGAATTGTATAAAAATGATTTACATTTTTCTGAAGCAAGTTTAACTTTATTTAGTATACTATAAGCGGCTAAAATAGGTCATTCTTTTTTATTTATTTTCTTTAAGAAAAAAAGCAAGACTTTAACATTATTTTCAAATAATGAAGATAATGATATGAGGAGGAATATGTTATAGAAGAAAGAGAATATAAAATGCTCCAAACTAATTAGTCAATCTTGAATTCTATTTTGAAGAGAATTCAAGCTTATTACCTTCCATTTCAAAAAAAAAAATAAGTAGGATAAAGGAATAGAAGAAATTTTAGCACTTTTAGCAAACATAAATACTATAAGAATTGTACCTAAAAAAATCTATTTGTTTTTTATATACTCAATTTGTATTTCAAAAGTAATAAAAGGTGTGTTCTCTAGTAGCGACGCGTCAAGCAAGTCTAATAAACTGCTCCTTCTATATCTACATACATATTACTAGAAACCATTTTATTCAATGTTTACAAATGAACACTCATTTGTATTCTGCTCTGTACTGCCTATAACAATTTAACAAGAAATGCTATTAAGTCAACAACATATCTGCATAAGAAGCCATTTACGATTGCTCGTGTTATTTGATCTATTCTTTTTTTTTTTTTGCTACTCGTTACTCAGAACTTTACTGAAGCAGCATATTTTGTCTTATTGGAATATGTTAGTATTCTGTTTGATTCAGAATTGTAAAATAAGAAAAAAAAAAAAGAAAAGGAGGGGAGGGGTCAGAAATGTGCAAATAATTAGTGTTTAAAGAAGCCTTTTGGACTCTAGATTTTAGTGCAAAAAGAATACTGATATTTAGTCTAAAGAAAATCAATTCACAGATAGCATATACAAGTCTATATGTATCATATTAAGAGTAGACATAATAAAATTGAAATGTGCTAATCCTTTTCGCGTTATTATTGATGATATTATAAACTTACAAATCAACCATGCAATACATAATACTTTAATTGCCATGAATTATATAAAAATTAACAGTCAAATATTGACCAATCATAGCGCAGTTCATATAAATTACAATTGAAATATACTACACAATCTTTCTTTTTCTTTCCATACCAGCAATACAAAAGAAAAAAAAAAAGAAAAAATGTCAGACATGTCAGATGATGAGTTTCAGCCTCTTGAACCCACCCTTCAAAACATTTTAGACCAAAACTCTCTCCACTGGATTTTCGTTGGTGGTAAAGGTGGTGTAGGTAAGGTCAAATTACTTGTTTATTTATTTTATTTTATTTTTTTCAATTTGATGGTTCAAATAGATATAACAACTCGACTTCTTTCTTGTAGGTAAAACCACAACTTCTTGTTCTTTAGCTGTTCAATTGTCTAAAGTTCGCGACTCCGTTTTGTTGATCTCAACTGACCCTGCTCATAACTTGTCTGACGCGTTTGGACAAAAGTTTTCCAAGGAAGCTACACTTGTTAATGGCTTTAATAATCTTTATGCAATGGTATAAACCAATCCTTTATTTTCTTTTTATAAAAATGAGCACACACACACACACAAAACAACAGCAACAACAAAAGGGCTCGGATTATTAATAACTTAATTATATAGGAAATTGACCCTACTTCAAGTATTCAGGAAATGATTGAACAATGTAAGCTATTTTTTTTTTTACCTGATGAATATAAAAAAGGAATATGCTAAATAACTTGTTTTAGCTGATCAAAATAATCCAATGGGAAGCATGATGCAAGATTTAGCTTATGCCATTCCCGGTGTAGATGAAGCAATGGGCTTTGCAGAAGTTATGAAGCAAGTAAAAACTATGTCATACTCTGTTGTTGTCTTTGATACTGCACCTACTGGCCATACACTTCGTTTCTTATCTTTCCCTACAGTACTTGAAAAGGCTTTAGCCAAGATTAGTGGGCTTAGTAGTCGTTTCGGACCTATGGTTCAACAAGTATCTGGTATGATGGGTATGAACGCAAATCAAGAAGATATGTTTTCTAAACTTGAAGAAATGCGTTCAGTTATTACTGAAGTTAATAATCAATTTAAAGATCCAGTAAGTTCAATTATTACATGAACAAATTGGAAAAGTAATTATTTATTTACTCTCATTAATTAGAATACAACTACTTTTGTTTGTGTTTGTATTTCTGAATTTTTATCCTTGTACGAAACTGAACGTATGATTCAAGAATTAACTTCTTATCATATTGATACACACAATATTGTTGTTAATCAATTGTTATTCCCAAAAGAAGGTAAATTATATACTTGTTTTTCTCCATGCTTATTCACCAACTAATTATTCAATTAGGTTCTAATTGTGAGCATTGTACTGTTCGTCATAAAATGCAACAAAAGTATTTGGACCAAATTTATGACCTTTATGAAGACTTCCATATTGTTCGTATGCCTTTATTAACTAGAGAAGTACGTGGTGTTGAAGAAATTAAAGAGTTTTCCAAGATGTTGGTTGAACCATATCAAGAAAAGAAATAATTTTTTTTTTTTTTGAATAAAGATGTTCCATCATAGATTATTTCTTTATATATAAAGAACAAGGAGGAATTTATTAATAACAGTTTAGTCAAGCAAAGGATAGTGGCATTATTTAAAAGAAGTATAAGCTTTTTTTTCTGTATATTTGAAGCTTATTGGCTTTGGCTTTTTTCTTTTTTTAAGGAGTACGTAATTGTTTATTGGCTACAACTTAATTTATATTCGCTCCCGTTCCCCTTTTTTTTTTCAAATATTAATTTTCCCCTCACTAATCAACTTTTAAACCCCATCATTAGTTAACAATGGTTGTTGAGACAAAATATTATGATGTCTTGGGTGTTAGTCCAGATGCAACTGAAAATGACTTGAAGAAAGCATATAGAAAGCTTGCGTTAAAATACCATCCGGATAAAGTAAGACAAATGTTGTTAATGATCTCCGCATCATCTAATCCCCCTCTCCCTCTTCCCTCATCTTTTATTATAGAATCCTCAAGCAGGAGATAAGTTTAAGGAAATGTCTCATGCTTATGAAGTCTTATCTGATGTTGAAAAAAGACGAATTTATGATTCGTATGGTGAAAAAGGATTGAATAGTCAACAACAAGGTGGAATGAATGCCGAAGATCTCTTTTCTCAATTATTTGGCGGAGGAGGGTTGTTTGGCGGAGTAGGTGGTGGTGGTGGTCAACGTGCAGGACCTCGTCGTGGAAAGGATATGGTACATCAACTCAAAGTCACTCTTGAAGACCTCTACGTTGGAAAGACAAGTAAATTAGCCCTTCAAAAGAATATTATTTGTAACACATGTGAAGGTAAAGGAGGAAAGAACGGTGCGGTACAGGTCTGTAAAGGGTGTCGTGGTCAAGGTACACGTATTATCATGCGTCAGATGGGTCCCATGATTCAACAAATACAACAAACATGTCCTGAGTGTCAAGGTAGTGGTGAAATTATCAATGAAAAAGACCGCTGTACTCAATGTATGGGTAAAAAAATAGTGAATGAACGAAAGATTCTGGAGGTAAATGTAGAGCGTGGTATGCGTGGAGGTCAAAAGATTGTATTTTCTGGTGAAGGAGATCAAGCACCTGGCATTATTCCTGGTGATATTATCATTATTTTGGATGAAAAGCCTCATCCTTATTTTACTCGTCAAGGTGATGATTTGGTCTATAAGGCTAATATTGATCTTTTATCTGCTTTGGCAGGAGGTCAGTTTGCAATACCTCATCTTGATGATCGTGTTCTTTTAGTGACTATTTTACCTGGTGAGGTGATTACACCAAACAGTGTTAAGCTCTTGACAGGACAGGGTATGCCTATCTATCGTATTGATAATTATGGTAATATCATTCTAAACTTCACAGTCGAATTCCCTTCATCCAACTGGACAAACCCAGAGAATTTATTACAATTAGAGCATATTTTACCTCCTCGTCATTCTGTACCTGACATTGAGAAGACTACTCCTAATAAGCATATTGACGAAGTAGTTTTAGAAGATGCTGATAGTTATCAAGGAAAGTCTAATGCCAATAATGTATACGAAGAAGATGAGGAACATATGCGTTCAGGTCCTGGTGTGCAATGTGCTCATCAATAAAAAAGAAAAAAAAAAAGAAAAGAAAGGTTTCTTTATTTATCATTATTCTGCTTAGACATATACATATGTAGTTTCTATTTATCGCAAATTAAAAACTTGACCTATATTTTATATGTTATATTGACCTTGTTTAAAATCTATCGTTTATGCACTATTAGGGGGAAAAAAATACATAAATAAAAATAAAAATAAAGAGAGGGAGAGAGAGAGAGGAAGGTTAATGATTATTAGAACAAATGAATTAATGTAAGAAAGTGATATTTTTTGCTGGAGATAAGAATAATAGACTATGTCTACTAGCTAAAGTAGTAACTGGAAAGACTCTACAAATAGTAAGCTTGTTAAGAAATTGATTTTAGATTGTTGATTAGAAAGCATATTATATTCAATAATAATACTCGTGGGTTTATACGGACTAGAGATATGAAATACTGTGAGCAAGAGTGAGATACACCTTTAGGTGATCATTTTAAATATCCTTCAACTAGCCCATGATGTTCAATAGGATAAACAGATAACCAAAAAAGTAGGCTTCAAATTCAAAGCCATGCAACAAAAGGATAAAAAGCAGTCTACTGTATTTATATTGAAGCATTGTCTACTAAAAGAAATAATAATAATAAAGAAACTTTGACATTATTCACAAAGGGCTAACAAAAGAGACATATCAATAGGCTCTGGAAAGGTTTTAACCAGGGATATATACAAACATATACATATATAATATATACATATATGTACATAATATATACTTATATGTACATAATATATACTTATATATATAATATATACATTTATATATAATATATACTTATATATATAATATGTACTTATTTGTATAATATATATACCTATAAATAGAATATATATACTTATATATAATATAATATATATACACATATATATTTGTTTGTATACATATAATAATAATAATAATAAATTATATATATATAGGCTACTATTTAAACTATATATTACAAATACAAGGTAAGAATCCATTATCAAGTAGCGATATTAATTCTATAAAAATAAAGTTTGTGATATCATTTTTTTACATGGACAAAATCTTAAAAATATGTCACATGGCATTTTTAAAAGACCGACTAGAACTGACAGGTAATGAAGGCACATAGTTAACTGTTTTTTTTTTATTGAGTAGCAGTGAATTTAAAAAAATAAAATAAAATAATGAAGCTATGTTCTAGAAATGTAATTATTCGATTATTTGTTGACTATAAATACATATTCACTATACATATTAGCATTCATACTTTTGAGACACTGTTTACTGTAACTTGAGTTTATTTCACTAATACGTTGCATAAAGTTATTTAGTACCAACAACCTTAAAAAAAAAAAAAACTTGATTTACTTTCGAAATTTAATTCAAAATTTATTTATTTAAGCAGGAATATACAGAAATAAATATATATAAATTTATATTTATTATATTATATACAATTTATATGTAATGTTACATTTAAAACCAAGCAAGAAGCATATAGGAACCGGAGTTTTTTTGTTTTTTTTTTAGTTGGGCATCTTTTTACCAGAACCTTGTTCACGAAGATAACGAATACCATCATGGAGGTTGTCTGTACACTTGCCTTTAAGTTTAGAAAGGTTAGGGAAAATATTACGAGGTAAACCACTTGTATTATAATTGTCATTGAATGTAAATGTGCATGGTTTTTTAGATTTTGATTTAGCTATAGTAGGACTAGCCATAGTTAAGCACACCAAAGCAGCGAATATGAGTATAAAGAGAGAGAAAGTACGAGAAGTAAAAGCCATTTAAATATAAGTTGAAGTTATAAGAGCTATGCTATTTAATTAAATAATAAGAAGAAAACCAAACAATAGTAAAAATGGCTCTCTATTTATATACAAAAAAAAAAAAAAAAGTATTATTGATTATCTTCTTTGTTGTTGTTATAGTATGTCTTACTTTTATTTTAAGTAACAAAAGCTTAGAATAGACAAATTGACTTATTTTGGAAGGTAAGATAATATCTCCGACTTAGCTTAGTTTTAATTACATAAGAGAGTCTTTTTAAAAAGAGAGTTAGATATGAGAATATTTTGTTGTATTTTTCTAGTTGAATATATTTAATTAAGCACAACAATTTTCTATAAGAGAAAATATACAGTAAAAAAGAATAAATATCTCTGAACCAAGTAAGATGAATAGTACTTGCGTTATTTTGTTCATTTGCTACACTACATGTCAAGTAATAAAGACGCTTTAATATTAGAAAATTTTTTTTTTATTTTATTTTATTTTTTTATTTTTAAAAGAACGATATTATTTGATGAGAATAATACTACTGCATCATTACTACTTATTGGTGCTTTTAAAATTATTTTTAGTAACTTCTCCTTTAATATTGCTGTCTTCAGATTAGAACGAAACATGGGAGCAATACTATATTTATACATGTCTGATTTTGTTTCTTTTTTGTCATCATCATAATCCTATTTTTGTTTATTCCAAGTAAACTAATTTTGTATATTCCAGGGTTAAAATATTTTCTTAAAAAAAAAGGAAGAAGAAGAAGGGATCTACATTAGTTCTTTTGTTCTTTACCAAAAAGAAGTTATATAAAAAAATTAATTTTTTTTATATTATTATTATTCACGTGAGATGCAAAAGTAGGATAAAAAGTGTTTCTATTTTTGAAACATTCAACTCTCAAAGTAACATTTTCTTTTATTGCTGCTGCATGACTATATTTTTTATTTACATAAAATGCTTGTTTCATATCATGATAAATATTTATTTTATTTTTAATGACATAAAAAGAAATAAAGGGTTCGGGAAAGGAAAAGGAAAAAATCTAATTATCAATCAACTAAGCCAGCTTCTTTTGAAAGTGAATAAAATTGAGATTCTTTGTTTGTCAATAAATTCTTTGGTGAATCAAATTCAGCAATCATTCCCTTATCCAATACAAGAATTCTATATATTTCATAAGAATTAATATCAAGTATATTTATAAAGGAAAGGAATTTTTACCTATCTGAGTCCATGACAGTATTAATTCTGTGAGCAATGGTTAAAATTGTACAGTTTGCAAATTGTTTACGAATAGTTTCTTGAATAATAGCATCTGTCTCAACATCAATCTAGTGAAAAATAAAAATACAAAAAAAAAAAAAAATTAATAATTAAAATTCAAATGAGAATAAATACTTACTGCTGCTGTAGCTTCGTCCAAGATTAAAATTGTTGTATGACGAAGTAAAGCGCGGGCAAGACAAATAAGCTATTAATAAAGGTGGAAAAAAAAAAGTTAAAACAAAAAGACATTTGCATTTTATTTCATATTTGTACCTGTCTTTGACCAACTGAAAAGTTATCTCCACCTTCTATTACAACACCATTCAATTGACCTTCCATGGCTGCAACATGTTCTTTCAAATGTGCATTTTCTAAAGCTTGCCAAATTTCAACATCATCATGTGTACCAAAAGGATCTAAATTTTCTCTAACTGTACCAGCAAACAGGACTGGATCTTGTGGAATGATGGTTAATCTTGATCGAAGATCAAAAAGTCGAAGTGAAGAAATATCAATACCATCAATTAGAATATTTCCTTTAGCTGCTTCAATAATACGGAAAAGTGCTAAACTTAATGAACTCTTGCCTGCACCTGTACGACCAACGATACCAATCTTTTCTTTAGGTGCAATCGTAAATGATAATTCTCGAAGACAGAAATCGAGTCCTTCTCGATAGCGTGTTGAATAACCATTAAATTCAATATGTCCCTTTGTAGGCCACATAGGATCTACAGTTCGAGTAGCCTCGTATCTTTCACGAGGCAAATCAATGTATTCCTTGACTCGTTCCACAGAAACAATATTTGTTTCAATATCACAGTAAGAACGAATGACCCAATTCAATGCTTGCGTTACGCTAAGTGCATATGAAACGCTTAAACCGACAAGACCAGGATCAATATAGGATTTAGAACCATAAAGGACTCCAAAGACAGCAAATAAGGATGAGCCAAATATAATGACTGAACCCAAGAACTCGAGACGAACAGCCAACCATCGATTACAGGAAATGGATGGGAAATAAGTACGCTGATTTGTGTCTAGTTTATGTTGATTTTGATAGATAAATACACGTTGTTGTTCATAAGCACGAATTGTTGAGACGCCCTGAATCGTTTCTTGGAAATGGGAGTAAATAGGGCTTTTACCAACTGAATCTAAACGCTTTAATTCACGAGAGGTAGCAAGGTAATACTTTTGGACACCCATATAAACAAAGGCTAACGGAATAACCAAAATTAAGAAGAAAGGCGTTGAAAAAGTGATGATAAGGACCGTGGCAAGAACTTGAGCCAGGACACGAACGTACATATTAAAGTTTCTAGGTAGCACTTCATCAATCGTATGTTCATCCTTACTGAAGCGATTTAAAATTCTGCCTAAAGGTGTTGTGTCAAAGAAGGACATGGGTGTCCTTAGAACGGTATTCAACATACTATTATGAAGAAATCGGGCAGATCGAATACCACAGAAGACCCACATAATCATCGTTTGTGAAAAGGCAAAAATCGTAGAAGACCATCCAATAATAGCATAAATACCCAAGTTAAGCCAAATATCACGATTCGTACCTTCTTCTAAATTCTTGCCACTCCAATATTTAAGCCATATATTTGATCCAACCTGTGCACCTTGAGAGGAGCACTGAAGGAGTAAGACGGCAATGACTCCAACCGTAGAACAAGCTTTAGCATAGTGTTGATACACACTCCAGGATACCTTCCCTTGAGCGCTCTTTTCTTCTGTTATCAATTGGCCAGCAGTTCTTGATACATGACCTCCTCTCCCGTTACGTTGACTCTTGAAAATAGAGGATGCAATCGAGCCACGTCTGAGTGTGGATACTTCACTAATCAAACTACTCAAGCTTACTCTACGTTCATTTGCATGACGACGCATCATATCTCGATTTATAGATGCCTCTTCCTCACAGTGACCAAGACTTGCAGAGAGTTCACCTTCCATAGCCTCTAATGCTTCCTCATCAACAACAGAGGATGTAGCGGTTGTATCATCATTGTCCATGATACCCAGCTCTTCTTTAGGCAATTGGTTACCAAATTCACGTACAAGCTTATACAATTCGCTTCCCTCTTCCTCCATGAGTTCGTCATAGGTACCCTTCATTTCAATTTTACCATTACGCAGCATGACGACCTGATCAACCTTATCAAGGTATGCAATTGCATGTGTAACTAATAAACGTGCCTTATTCTTTAATAAACCATTAGGACCAATGACATGGTCAAACAAATGACGTCCAACATGAGCATCAACGGCACTCAAGGGATCATCTAATAAATAGATATCCGCACGAGCATATAATGCACGAGCCAAGGAGATACGAGCCTTTTGACCACCAGATAGGTTAATACCACGTTCACCAATCTCTGTCAGATCACCATTCGCCAAGACTTTAAGATCTGGCTTTAAAGAGCAAGCCTCTAGGACTTGATCATAAAAGTTAGGATCCCAACGAAGTCCAAAAACAATATTGTCTCTCAAGGTAGCATTCATGATCCAGGGCTGTTGTGGAACATAGGCAATAGATCCACGTAGCGTTACATCACCAGCCACTTTGACATTATCACCTAAAATAGCACTTATCAACGTTGATTTACCAGAACCGACACGACCGACAATGGCTGTCAGATGGCCCTTCTTAACATCCAAGTTGATATTAGTTAGATCCGTTTTAGAATCATGCTTATTCCATTTGAAATCAGCTTGTCTGACCTCGACCAAGGGGATACTGGGATTCCAGTTAGACATCTTTCTAAAATCTTCTCGTTTAATAGCCAAGGGATCGATTTCTTCACTAGAGAGATAATCTTCAATACGATAAAGGGAGACAGAGGCCTCAATAATGGATGTAATGACATTAGGAAAGATGGCCATAGGGAACTGAAGTAAACCAAATAAGGAGATGGCAACAAAGGCAATCTGACTTGTTAATGGTGTGGAAGACGTAAAGACGTAGACCGCAAATGTAAGGATGGAGACGAAAAAGGGGATTGAGGTCCAAGTGAAGGTCTGCATAGCTGCTAATAAGCCAATCTTCTTAAGCATGGTTAATTCCAAATCATTACGAATAAAATTAACCTATATAATACAGTTATTTATATATAAATTAGAGATACATATATGCATATATATATATTATAACTTACTTTTTCAATGAAAGGTGTCTCCCATGCATAAAGCTTTATAACTTTAATACCATTTAAAATTTCATTCTAATAAATAGAATGCATTAATACTTTGCTTCCGTTTTTTTTTTGGTTTTTTTTTACCATTAATTTAACTCTTGCATCTTTATTGCCCATTTGAATCTTTTGATATTTACGCATAGTTTTTGCAATAAGCATATTCATAGGTACAGCGAGTACTAAAACAGTTACACCTGCCCAAATACTAGGTCCCATTGTCTTTCTTAATAAATAAAGCGCAATTATAATTTGGAAGGGACCGCTCCAACTAATATGAAAATTGGTGCACAAATCCATCAAACGTTGAGCATCTACACTCATACGATTGACAATCTATTTTCATTCATATTAGTAATCAATCTTATTGTTGTAAGCCCTATTATTACTATTATTATTATTATTACCTCTCCGACCGTAGATTGTTGACGACTAGCGTTACTTAATACAAGTGTCTTTTGATAAATTGCTGTAACTAAAGCTGCACGGATTCTCATACCTGTTGTAAAACAAAGATGGAAATATTGATGCAAAAACATAGTTTGTGTGAATGCAGTTATGAACATAAAAACTATATACAAGTTGTTTAGTTAGTGGTGGAAAAAAAAAGGGGGCGGGAGAATAGGAAGAGGACACAAGCTAGATACAGAATAATAATAATAATAATTCAGTCATTAAACTTTACCTGCAATAAAAACACCTTTGTAACTTGGTTCTGGATTATCAGTTAAATAGCTTCCAACCCAACCCATAAGCTCCTTTAACAAAATAGGCTGAAGAAATTGTAAAATATCTTGAATTGCTTTAAATAGCTAATAAAAAAAAAAGAAAAGAAGCGAATATAAGACTATTATTACAATAATAACAACATGCATGTCTTATGAACTTACAGCTGCAAACATAAATCGACCACCTAGAGTCTTAAATAAAGCTCGGAAAAGAGAAGGCCTATATTAAATATTTAGATGAATGGATAATAATTCTACATAGAAATCAAGTCAAGTTTTTTTTTCTTTATTATTTTTAACTTACTTTTCTTTCTGTAATTCTTTATTCCAATTCTTTTGGAATTTTTGACTTATAACTGCAGTTTCATCATCATGTCTTAAATTCCTATTGATTACTGTTATTTTCCACTTCCTCTACCTTGTTACAAGCTTATTTGTCTTACCATAAGTCATCCATGACTAAAGGACTTTTATAACCCAATTGCATTAATGGAGTCATCCAGCTGAATGTTAGTCTACCAAAAATATTTGTCTTTTCTATAGGACAGACCATCTAAAAAGAAAAAGAAAAAAAGTAAATAACAAAATAAACTTGAACATGTACATCAAGAGGAAGGGGCTCTTATATGTATATACTACCTCATCTTCCTCTAATATAATATATTGACTTTTAGGTCTTGATACATTTTCTAAAATAAATATAATAACACTCAAAGCATATTTTATCAAGTACATTGCGAAATGGTCAGGATGGTTGCCTGTCTCTCCGTGACTGATAATCATCGTTCTTAATTTGATAGATCCCACAATAATATCAAAAAGCCAATAAAATAATAGAACGCCAGATGAAACCTTATTGCGTGTATATTCCAGATGATGGAGTATCATGACGAATACCTAAAAATAAAAATAGAACATTAAGGTTAAATACATATACTAACCCTTTTTTTTTTTCGTTAACTGATTTACCAAAATAAACACATTAAATCCTTGTGCTAAAATTTGAGCATTATCAATAATAGCAAATGCTTCTTGAATAGAGAATAATAAATTTGCCATCGACAAGAACAAGAGGATAAGCAGAGTTGTCTATCAAAACAAACAAACAAACAGAGAGAGAAAGAGAGAGAGAGAGAGAGAGAAATGAGCACAAGTTACACACTAAATATCTTGCAAATATACCATTTTAATAAAGTAAAGCCAGTTCCTTGTAAAATCTTTAGATAATGATGGTCTCTTCGATAAATTCCAGATACGAATAGATCCAGCAATGAAGACATAAATTGAGGGTATTAATAAGATAACACTAATATATAAATAAGTAAGTAAAACCCGTACAGTAAGTCAGTTCTATTTTTTTTATTATCCTTACGTGTCTTCAAAGCATGGTGTAAAGTCAGGCTCTCTAATAGCTGAATAAGGTCCCTATAACAAATTGGATTATTAATACAAAAATAAATAAAAATTATTATTCAATAATTATACCCAGCCCTCTGGATTATAGCACATTTTCTGCCCCAGTATGTGGCCCTTGATAACCCACTGATCATCCATTCTTTTAGAGATGAAGAAAGAGATGGTTTACACAATAGGTAAGAAATATATTGAAAGAAGAAGAAGAAGAAGAAGAAAAACTAAAGCTCTTGAGAATAAAATAAAATTAAAAAAAAAATGAAACAAGTCTTTTCTGACTCCAAAAAAAAAAAAAAAAAAAAAAAAGCTCAAGGCTCAGGACTTATGAGAACGGACTTTCAATTTAGGTAAATCTGATAAATCAAATTCATATTTATGCTGAAATAACAAGCTATAATAATCAATATATGAAAATTCCTCAATTATATAAATCTGATTAAAATTGACTTTAGACATTTATACGTTATAATAAAGTCTTCGTATTTCATTACTCTACATAATCTGAAGAAACAGACAAAAAAAAAGTTATGTTTGTTTAATCAACTATTTTTAAGTTAGAATTAAATTTCAAGCTTTCATAATAATAATACCATTTATTGTTAAAACACTGATTATATACATATACAAATATATTACTAAAAAATTAATATTAGATCAGATAAAATATATATTGGATTATGCCTAGCCATATTTTCTTCTCTTCGTACTTCTTTAGATGTAACATTAGCTAATATCAAGAATGCACATTTATATATTCATCAGTCGTAATGAAAAGGTATAATGTCGATATAAAAGTATAATAGAAAATGACAGCGGATAGGGCTTGAAATTTTCCCTATATTTTAGAGATTTAATATGGAAAATAATGAGATTAATTAACAAATTATGTACAAGTAGCTCCTTTATCTCTATACTAATGTGATCGAAAAAAAAAGGTTGATATTATCAGAACTATTGTAATCTACTAATGTATTTGAAATATAATTACTGATAATACTATTTGAGGTATAAATGTCTATGATACTATCGGCTCTATATAGCCAAGTTAATATATTGAACTTTTTTACAATTCATATTATTATTAAAACAATTATGCATATTATATACATTCTTAGCAAATTGCCACATTTATATTATAAGCTACTTGATCCATTCTTGAAGTAAGTATGTTATTATTAATTGTAAGAATTACGACCATATTTCAATCAGGGAAATATAGAAAGAGTCATAAACAATTCCAGTTCCTTTTTTTAATTTTTTTTCTTCTTCTTTTGTGTGTTTAGGGTGAGTGGGTGGGTCTGAAATAAGCTAATAACAAGAGATACATATTATGTTTGTTCAAATTATCTATAACTGAATTAATAAAACTATATAACAAGGAAAGATACAGCGCTAATTCTTCTAGAAAGCTGCTTTCCTGTTAAAGATGGTCATTTATATCTTTATCAATTATTAACATCGAGATCAGGTAATAGAGTCCTAGTTTTATCTTGATACATTTATCTATTTTTTTTTAGTAGGTACGATTGACCTTTTTTACAAATGCAAATTTACATAAAATATTTAATTACAAATTGGCTTAATCTACGAATAATCTATACAATTACATAGAAACTTATCTATCAAATCTATGGTAAGATTATTACTCTAGTACGCCAACGAGATAATCAACTGTTTTTAATTAATAAAATAAAATAGAAGCATGTGTTTATATTATTAAACATTCAACTAAATACTAAAAGAGAATGTTTAGTCCTTCTGACTAATACCACATTTTTTATTTTTATTACATTATGTTATCGTTTCATTTATAGTTATAAAAGTATTATACTTTTTTGTTAAATTTATAGTAGATATAAAGATGTTATGTATTATGGGTAGATATAATTAATTATTGAATAAATGTCCTAGACTTTGTTATCCAAAACTGCCTTCATTTTATTTTGTTTTAGCTTTGTATATTACACAATTTTTAAAATACTGAAATACACAGACATAAAAAAAAACCTTTTCTTTTTATTTATCTATTTAATTTTCTTCAGTTCTGTTTTGTAAGGTATCGATAAAGTACCAAATATCATTTTCTTTCATAATTGGAGCAGCTGGAAGTGTATTGTTTTGAGGAATACTAGCGATTGTATAATTATCTGGGGTAGTTTTATATGGAGATCCATCAACAGATGTGTTTATCCTATATTGAATGATATACATCAAATTCATTCATATCATTTTAGTAATCATTATCAATGGTGACTTACGTTTGAATCTCATCTTCAGTTGTAGTACCATTAACAAGAGCCTTCCAAAGCTCATGAGTTTCTAATACAATATGAGTAGCGAATTCCTGCATGTACGTTTTTTGTTTGTTTGTTTGTTTGTTTGTTTAGATTCGATATTACTCCTTAAAATGATATTATTCATATTTATAGAAACATACCTTGGGCTGTGCAGTGCTATTAAATGCAATTTCATTCTTTTTCTTTCCTCCTGGAAGTTTATAATTTATAAGAAAAAAATTAGTTGCGTTTAAATAACCAGGCATATAAGTTTCCACGTCATTAATATCTAAAAAAAAAAGAAGAAAAAAAAACGTTAGATATTAATATTATCATTATTCTTTGATCAGGTATTATACCATTCAACTTTTCTGCTAATGGGTCTTCATGATCAATCACTACAACTTTCCAATCAGTTTCATTTTGATCCAATAATCCAATAATACCCAAAATTTTAACTTGTTTGATTTCACCTACAGTGGCTACATTTTGGCCAAGCTCGACCACATCAATTGGATCATTATCACCTTTGGAATTTGTATAAGGTGAGATATATCTAGGATCTTCCCAGGTCTAAGAAGAAACAACAATAGATGAATATCATCAATTTATATATATATATATAAAAAGTGTAATTTATTACTTGAGGAAAAGCGCCATAGTTCCAAATATAACCTTTAAAGGGAAATAAATTATGTACAAATCGTAGCTTACCATCCGATACGTCTTGCATAATTGGATTTAGTGGTGTTTCTTTATTAATCTAGAAGAAGAAGAAAGCTAATAAGGAATACAATAGAAATAGACATAGACATGTACAAATACTTGCCTCATTTTTAGCAGTTGTCCATCGAGGCATTTCAACAATCATATTATATAAGGATTTTTCTTTATCAGCAAATAGGGGCACATCATGAAATGGTGAAATAATAGTACCATTTTTTTCTAAACATATCCATTTGTATTATTACTCATTATAAAGATAAATATGTATATGGATAGTCAAATTACCGAAATAGACCTTATAATCTAAAGTATTTGGTGCACCAATCGTTCGAAGTGAGATATCATCAGAGGCTAAAGAGGTAGGAATAAAATACCCAAAGATAAGTAAAGAAAATAGACTAAACAATTTCATTATGTATTTCTAAAAAGAAAAAATAAATAAATAAATAAATAAATAAATAAATAAATAAAAAAAAGAAGAAGAATGATAGTAAAAATATTGAACACACGTTTCCTTTATTTATAAGAAAAAAGAGAAGAGAGAAAAAAAATTGCTTCTATCCGCCACTCTAAGCATTTTGACACGGGGAAGTTTTTTTTTATTGGATCGTACATTCTAAAGCGTGCTTGATATTCCAGAATTAAGTACAGGTAATGATAACTTTATTTATTCATTGCCACAGAATATCTCCTGTACGGATAAAAAATAAATAAAAATACTTCTTCCTGTCCATTCACATTACTTCCCCTTTAAACTTCTGGTATTTTCCAAGGCAGCTGTCATCTTGACGTAGCATTTTTTTTTCTTCGAGAATATTTTTCTTTTTTTTTATATAAATACTTTTTTTCTTCTTCTTCTTCTCCTGTATTTATTCATCTACCATACCAGCAGAACAATTGTCAAACTTGTTACTACTAATTATAGACATGTTCCCCTCTCTTACCCCCTCTTTTTCTTTTCTTAAAAAAAAAAAGGTAGTTTATAGTAAGTTATTGTTGTATAAATGGCTTTAGCTTAGAGTCTATCTGTGTTACAGTTCCATATTTATAACTGATGGGGAGGCATTTCAAAAAAAAAAAAAAAAAAAAAAAAAACTTGGTTATTTTAATAAAATTGTTTGAGCCAGAACACTAGATCTTTTCTATAATTTCCGTTAAGAACGTGTTTATTTTTTTCTTCCTCATATATGCTTTCATATTCTTTTCTTTGGTAATAGCATTATCTTTTTTTTTTATTCTAGTGAAAAATGTGTTACCTATTATAATATATGAATAAGGTTCTGATATTATTACTATTATTGTAAAAATAATAACAATAATACCTTACATAATAGCGATGACGATAATCAATTGCTGCATTATTAGCTGATTTAAGTCTGTATTAATAACTCAGTCAACTACAATTGACGGTAGAAATATAAAGCGCGTACTACCATTAACTACTACTTTAGTCATTGTTTCATTACAAGTTAATAATAATAAGAAAAAGAGAGAGAGAGAGAGAGAGAGAGAGAGACGAGAAGAGAATGTGTCTTTGTTTACATATAACTTTAGATGAATACTTAATCTTCTTCCAAAATATGTAATAAATAGAATATATTCCTTCCTATTGTGTACTTTATTCTTTGTTATAAATCAATACATCCTTATGTTATTGTATCTTTAGTAAAATTTAAACAAAATGAGAGAGAGAGAGATGGACTGTTTTGGGAAATAGGATATAATAAACGACCACTTCATCGGGATTTTAAACTACTAATATTCTCGAATAGCTCCTTCCTCTTTTATATCTTGCTAGTATAGATACAATCTCTCTTTCTCTTTTAATAAAGAACAAATGGGACGGTATAATAGCATGCATGTATAGAATATATTCATACTCACAAGTCGGAAAGAGTATATATATTAATTAAGAATGCATATATTGTTAAGTTTAAAAAAAGATATTTACAATGACTTAGAGGGGGAGTTAGGAGAATTCACTTCCCTTTTCATTAAAATAGACCTAAATCTGATACTTACGTTTAAAGAATTTATATTAAATAGGTAGTAGTAAGGGAAGTTATATACAGAGTCATCATTCTTCAAGTAGATTTATATGGAGGATTAACTAGAGATATATTACTCGGTGCCTCAATATGAAATAGATTCAATTCTGTTAATAAAGCATTCACTTCTGTCTTTGACTTTGTCGTAATAGGTGATTGGTGTAATGAGAATGAATTACTTTGAGTCGAAGAATCAGTATCTACATCATCTGTTATAACCGACTGTCCTGCAGTAAGGGCTTCTTTCAAATTAGCGACACGTATATTATGTTTTTTATCCTCTAAATTAAGTGAATGAAGCTATAATAATAATAATAATAAAAAATTGTATAAGTAAAAAAAGGCCGTTATGATGAAACATGATTTTAATCAAGTTAGTCACCTCATCATTAGTATGTTCCCATGGACTTGACAGCTTTGGTTTAGACTCATTCGTTTCATATAATAACCTTGATCGTACACTTTGATTATTTCTAATAATATGATGTGCACCCCATTCAGTCAATAATTTGGCTTCTATCTCTGATTCATCTCTATCTGTTTCATCACGCAAGGTTTCTTCTTTGGAAAGCAATTCTACAACTTTATTGCGATCTATCCATACATTATTTGACTTGGACTCGACATGAATTGAAAATAATTCAAGCTCATTTTTAGCCAACTCTGCTTCATTTATAGTTTCTGTTAATATTAAGTCTTCGTTTGCATCGAAATTACGTTTTTCTTGAAGTCTATTCATGTAATCCAACAATGATTCAACATGATAAAAATGAGCAATCATGATAAACCATGCTATTAAACTCGATTCAATAGCGTATTGCCTTACTGTGAATGTGATTTGATTTTCCTGGATTAATTGCTGTACCTTAAAGACGAATGGGACAATCAAGATCATAGCATCTATGTCAAATTTACGAACAAGTATACATAAAGTTATATAAAAGAATCGTAAATCAGTTGTATTAAAGTCAGAAATCAAGACCCAGTTTAACATTGCATTCAACAGTCGATCAATAAACAAAGCATCCTGTTTCAAAATCATTGTATGTGTCTTATGTTTATCTGATGGGTTTGCTTTAGAAGGAAGGTGTTGTAAAAATTGGTTTAAACATTTACAAAACATCATTCGAGTTCTTGGATTCTCGTCATGTAATAAATCAAGAGATGAGTTCCAAGCTTCTAATGCAGAACTGGGATTCACTGAAGCTCTTGATAGTTCATTATTATCATTATCATCATCACCATTATTCATAACAAGTGCTACTGGATGCTTTGGAACGACTATAGTTTGTTCCAAACAACTGAAAACAATAAATCGATAATCATAAAGTAACAAATCATCCACATATTCTAACGAAGTATTAGGCCTTAACTTGGATACTAAATAATCGATAATATCGTTTAATTGATTTTCATAGTAGATCTGAGATGCTAAACCCGCAATTGAACAAACAGTTTTATACTGGATTAAACCGACATGTGTCTTATCGTCATCATCTTGTTTATATGGATTAAATGACTGATTTTGAGTAGTTTTAATGAGAAAGTTGAAAAGTGAATTTAAGATTTCCAATACAGATATGCCAACAAGAGGAACATCTGCATTCAAAATCATATCTAGAACTGAAATTAAGGAAGCATGTTTATCGTTCAAAGTCATATCTCCAGTTAATTCCAATTGAGTCATCAAGTCAGACACTAATAAATATCGATATTGAGACTAGCAAGATAGCTGTTAATAATCGAATAAAACCTTTGATATGTATAAATATTACCTGTACTGAATTTAAAGATATTTTTATAATCTTAACTATTAAATGAGGAGGCCACCATTTATGATTTTCATTTAAATATCTATTATTAAAAAAAAAAAAGATGAGATAGTTAATTATTGCATGTTTAGCTCGTATTACTCACTTAAATAAAGGAGTTAATGAAATTCGAATCAAGGGCCCTGTTATCTTACTGAATAAAAGGGTTATTGTATGTGTAGCCAATAATTCATTTACTTGATCATTTATTTTATTGTTGTTTATTGCTGAATGTCTTATATCGATGGAACCACTATAATAATGAAGTCAACAAAAGTTTCATTTATAAAAAAATACATACACATACATACCTTGTTTCTACTTTTTCGAGTGATATTCGAGAAGAAGCAAGAGTCATAATTAACGAGGGAAATATAATGTCTAATTGTATTTTAAAGTTAGAAGCTAATAAAGCGCTAGATGTTACAGCTGCTTGAATAGCTCGATGCCCAATATATCGCATTCTAAATAAAATAAAATAAAAATAAGAATCAATATCAACCAATAATTAAAAAAGCAAATAATATTTACTTTAATGATAATGCAGAATCTTCATTCATATAATTACAAAAGACTGCAAACTTTCTTAAAAGATTTTCGTAATCTGTTGTCAGCTCTGAATCTACACTTAACGTTGTACCATCATGATAACTACAAAATATAATAAACTATATACATAATGTATAAGCTTGAGGTTATTTCTTTAACAATGGTCATTCAATTTACAGTTTCACAACTAAGATCTATAATTTCTAAATCTCTTGTATCAAGTAATTGATTTAAAATCTTGACAATGTATTTTGAGAAAATGTTCAAGTCTCGATGACAAGTTTGAATTAGAGCTTTAATTATGTGTAAAGTAACAAGATTTTGACTAAAATATGCATTGTCAATTATAATAACAATAAGACACCCTTTTTTTTTTCTTTGTGTTATTGTTATTATTTACCTTTTTCTTCCCTTTCGAATACTTTTTTCAACTTTTTTTTGAAGAAAAGAGCCGACTTTAGTTAATTTTGCAGGTCTTGAACTTGCATAAAAAGTAAGATAACTTAAGTCAGAAGAACGAGGTATTGTACTGTTTTCTTTTAATGGTGGATAACAATTATTAATAAGGGTTGCATGCTTAACATTTATGCATGGAATACAGCCTTTCATTGTCATTATTATTTTATATATGTGTATATGTATATTTGTAGATAGATAGATAGATAAATAGATAAAGAAAAAAAAAGATATATAAGGAAAAGAGGAGTCAATAAAATAAAGTAGCATTGATGACTGTACTATACAGTTTTACACTTGAAATTCAGACGACGTTAGTTTTTTTTTTTTTTTAACGAATTAAAATTAACTTTCAGATAGTTTATTTACCTTTTTTGGATGAATAAAAAAGAAAATTCAAATACAGATGCAAAAATGGGACAAAGGAGAAATTAAATGGAGACAGAATTCAAAAAAAAAAAAATTGCTGTTTCTTTTCGTAAAGACTTATCTGCAGGTATCTTTAAGCTGTCACCGGTGAAGATGCAGCAACCACATTGGAGGTGGTTCTTTGTCATTGAAAGATATTCGGGCGATTGTTCCCATTCCAAATAGATTGAGTAATGGTGAACATATTTTTGCTAGCCAGGAAGTCGTGGTTCCAATAGATATTACAATTTTTGCATATTAATACTTGATGGATTTTACGTTCGCCATGCTTGCATTTTTCAACCGATTTTTGTAAGCAACTGTTACAAGTCTATAAAACAAGTTAGTCTTGCTCATGTAATATAAGCACATATGTGTTTTACCTTTGATGTGTTATATTCATCAATGCCCAAAAGTAATAGCTCACCGAGCTTTTCTCTCAACTTTAACTGTCGGTATAGTTTTTTAACAACACCATGTCTTAAACCTTTGAATTTCACTTGAGACTTGTTTTTTAAACCCTTCGCCAAATACAACCATAGGCATTTTTTTGCGGTCACCTTTCTCAAATTTCTCTTTATAGTTTCTTTCAAAAAAGATATAAAAATGGTTAATGCTTCAGAAGTAAAATAAAAAGAATGTGTGTTGTACCTTAATTTTTTGTTCCCAATTTTGTAGGATGGGAATCGGATTGGCTGCTTTGGTATCTAGTCGAAGTCTTTTTTCTCTTCCGTCTATTCCTTCTTGTGTTCTTCTATTTTTATTATATTTTTTTGATCCATTGATCAAAATATTGACAGCATTTTCTATTGCTCGCTAAGACCCAAAGTGATTACACCATCTTAGTCTCGCAGTGTAGAAATTATAAAAACTTGAAAGTGTATCAAAATTCTGTAACATGTATGATATATATACACTGTAACGTTCCAGACTTGCAGTTTTTGGAGAAGGTATACTAGTTTCAATTTGCTCAATATTCAAATCTTCTCTTGTTCTCTTGTTCTTGATTTTGATGATTAATATTACCATTCATATCGTAATATTCAGCTGATGATAAGCGCCTTATGTCATTAGCACCATGGTATGACGTAAATACATCCTTTCTGTTGGGATCAACAGTGCAAGGGCGAAAATAATGATTAACCTCTTCGTTTGTAAAGCTATGCAACTTAAGCGAAACCTTATCCGTAATTGAGCCAAGATAATTTTTGCGACAGAAAGATAATCTACAGGTATAGCCATCTGTGTACAGACTATTGTGAAATATCTTCCCTTTCTGCTCTGGTAAGCTCTGCAATTCTTGGAGACTATTTGAGACAAAAATTAATACACATATATTAATTATAACCCATTATAAAATTACCTGTTGACTTTTAACTTCTTAAAATCAAAACGTTCAAAGAAAACTCTTTGGGTATAATTAAAAAGCGTTTCTTCAGGCTATCTTCGTGAAATTCTTCTGTTAAATACACTAACCAGGTTTTTGACTATCTATCTTTAAAAAGCACCATTTTAAACTAGGATTAGGGAACAAGCTAAATGTTATAGGTGGCTGGAACTGTGTATTATTGCTTCTGTCTTTTTTTGAGTCTTTGTTCTTTTTTGATTTCTTTTTCTTTTTGGGTCTTTTTCATGGCTGATTTGACGACTCTGGTTCTTGTAAAACAGGCTATTGATGTTGAACTACTGGTGGCTGTGCTGAAGATGCTTGCTGCTGAATCTCAGCAATTACTAATTTAATATTTTTCACGAATATACCTTAAAGTTGGCATAATGTTGAATGGAGCACTATTCAGCATTTCTTTTCTCACAGGAAGTGAAGGCAGCCTATTCCTGATCTTCAGCATTAGGGGGTTCAAAAAAATACGAACTCTCTTTTGTGTCTGTTCGTTTAAAGAATTTGAGATATTGCCAGCCGTTATATGTACTGGTACAGAAGAAAACAAGTCATTTAAAACATGGTCATATACGATAGACTTGATCACAAACATTCTCATGTCCCTATTAAAAGTTAGTTTTAGTCATTGTAGCAAAAATAACCATATGTTTAATTTTTTTTACTTACAGAAAATGCACCATGGAGCATGTATATAAAATAATTTGAAACTATATTTTCGAAATTCTCCATGTAGTAGTTATTGTAACATGTAGAAACAGTTTCGCAAGCAGTGAATAAAACTTGGCCATAGTTTTTTAAACCTTCAACTTCTATTCTCAAGCTAACTCCTTCAATGTTATTAAGCTCAGTCCACGTTTCTTCAAAGAAAGGAATTTGAGGAGAGTATTTTTGAGTAAATTCGCTAATATTCATGTTTCCATTAACAAGTCGACACACAGAGTACCAGAAGTTTTGACGGAAAAAGTCATTAGTCAAGCTTTCTGGGCGTTTCAAAAATGTAATCATCAACAAACAATTGTGCCCTAAAGATAACTTTCCGCAGATAAACAGACATATTTTGGATTTTTTTCAAGAGCGTTCTCAAATATATCATTACTCGGTGCCAGTACGAATGATTTGAGAGGCAATGATACTGTGTATCTTTCATTTTGAGTACCAAGTTTTTGTTGAATTAGCTCTTGTAAAGTAAAATTATAGTTGGTATATAGTTTGCTTCTAGTCGAGGAGTGCCCACTAATACCACAAGATTTACATGTAACGTCTGGGTCTAAAGGTGTTGAGCTGCGTGCTCTCTTTGAAATCGACTTTTTTTTTTCTTCAAACGTATCCTTGCGTTTGATATCTTGTAACAGTTTGAGTTTTTCTGTTTTTCTTATTAACAGTTAGTTTACATTACCTCTTCTTTGTTTAGATTTCTTATTCAAATCGTCAGCTGCTTTTGCTGCTTCTTCTGCTTGTTGTTTTTTCTGCTGTATAACAGCTTCGACATCTGGGTAAATAGGCGTGGTTTTTGGCGACTATTAAGTTCTATAAGAAATAGTATATTGGTATTAATTGCATAATACTACATGCAGGCTTTCGTTCGGAAAATTCTTATCTTAATAATGTATCATATAAAGTTAATTCATCTATTTTATCAGACAGAGCATTCTGACAGCTCTTATCTATCAGGTTTATAATCAGTTCATTCAGTACATAATTATCTATCCGACATCCAATGCAATAGGATTAAGTTATTATATATTGAAGATCACATCACAAGATTAATTCACTAAAGATGTCTTGCTTATTAGTTATTTAATCCAAGCGCAGACTATCTATTTATTTGTGTTTCTTTTAGACTGGCTGAATACAGATATGAAGTTATCAGTTTAAAGAGACAAAGAGATCTCATATCCTTTTTTTTTTTCTTTGGCTCTCAAGGTTTGATATATGTTATAATAAAAAGAAATGAGTTTTAAGCCCCACTCTTACACCGTGTAGTGCTATCATGGTACGAATGCTTGGGAAGCTGACTGCTTTTAAGAATCCACACCTGAATCGAAGAAAAGCTATTAGTGACGGCTTTAATAGACATAATACACATGTATGTATACTTGTTAATAATGGTTCTTTGAATCAATATAGACCGTTTTAAAGAATACAACAACTCTATTTTATGTTATTGACTTATAAATGATCTTTTTTGACTTTATTCTGTTACCCCCAAATTTACTTGATTGATATATTTATTGTTATTTGTATATAATCCCCTCTTTTTTTTTTTTTTTTGTCCTTTAAGGCTATCTACTCTACTCTACTCTAAACTCTGATTTTCATGAAATGATAAGAATATAATAATACATGTAAACCATTCTATTCTCCTTTATTATTATGTGTTTCTGTCTTTAATAGTTTAGCTTGCTCCTTTTTCATTTTTTCTTCTTCAGTAATCTCGGGTAACCATTCCATTAAATCACCTAAACGCTCAATTCCCTGTTCATCTACAATTACTTTGCGAATGGCTTCTCCCTTTTCCTTTACTAAATCTTCTACTGTTGTTTTATTGTCCTTAAACCATCCAAGATTATCTGCAATCAGGTGTCGGTTCTTACAACCAGGGCATTGAATTAGTACAACACCTTTAGTATATGCGTGTTTTGACATGGTATGATGAGAACGTTCATGACAAACTGTACAAGTAAATCCAATTAGCATTTGACGTTTATATACATTTTCATCCTCTGGAGATGGTGGTTGTTCTTTAAATTGAGGCTGAATTGTATGAAAGGAAAATCTTTGACAGATGGCTGTAGTATGGGGTTTATATAATTTGTCATAATGATATGCCGGTAATATTCTAGGAAGGGGTTGATATCTTTTAAGATATACACTTTTAGGGCATGTTATTAATGATTGACGGAGTTGTTGAAAGGATCTAAGCATTTCGTTAAAAGAAGAAAAAAAAAAATGAATAAACAATTATTGAGGGGGACAAATTATTTATTTTTTTATTTTTTTAATAAACAACAAAAACGTCACACAAACTAAAGTTTAAATAAGCACATCTTGATGATTCCTACGTTTATTCTTAATTGACTGTAGGAGGAGAAGAAGGCCCAATCATTATTATTATTATTTTTTTTATGTATATACTTTGATACAAGGTTACTACTTTATTTGTTAAAGAAAACGACAAAAAAAAAAGATTTTATTTTTATCCAATGGGATAAATAATAGTTTAGTTTACTCTACTCTTCATTCTTCATTTGTACACCTTACAGTTTTTACACTAACTTCAGACAATGTTAGTTTTTTTCTGGACGAATCAAAAAAAGAACTCATCTGTATCATGGTTTACTATATCAATATCCATCCCCCAGGGAGATTTGCGGCCTTCATTGGGTGGCATATGGCGGAAAAAGTTTTCTGGAAGAGACTTGTTGATTGTTGGGTTAAGGGGCGTTTCAAAGACTGTCTCTTGAACCGAGTTGGGCAGTCAAGCCCTTCTCGGTTCCAGATGCGAAAAGGACTCCAAACATTGTTGATTGAGGCATCTGTGAAGACCTTATTAATACGTTTTTTTTTTCTTTTTTTTAAAGAAAAAAGAAAGAAATGAAGCTTCGTTTGAGTAGTACTCTCGAAGTGGATCCTCGACTATAGAACATGCTTTGAGGTAGTCAGAGGACTTGTCTACTTTGATTGCTGATGCTGGAAATCTTGATAGATAGTTTTCATACTCCTTTACTGACATAGGTTTTTTTCATGTCGCGCAGTTTCCCAATTTTTTTTTTTCATCTCAACCGCACACTGGCTGCTGGTGTATCTGTAAGTGTGTTTGTCTTTTCCAGATTTACTATTCTCCTGCATGCAATAGAGCATATCTCTCCGTCCAGGATCAATAAGGACACATCTTCCGGTAGTTTCCTCGAGTTCAGTTTTGGACAACTGGTGTATGTATCGAAAGTTATCATCTTCTTTTAGTCTGGTACCACGCATACCACCCTTTGTACTCTCTTTATTTTGTTTTAACATCGACACGCCTACCCCCATCAGACTGAATCATTCCGCGAGACTTCAAGGATTTCGAAGCACCTTGATCCTTCATGCCCTTCGATGAGAGGTTGACTATTTGGCTCCAAATGAAGCCTTTGTCTAAATTAAATCTAATTGTATTACGCAGAATATGATTGTTCACGATCAACGCATCAACCGTTATATAGCATGGCACATACATTCGGCGGAGCGGAAAACACATGAATGATTTGCAGCCTAATTCTTCACAGTACTTTGCCATCTTGCAATATGCTTTAAGGTGCTTCAAAGGCTGTGCCTTACAGTCATAATATATACTTGCTTTCATAAATTCGCAACGTGATCCATATGTACCAAAGAATTCTTTAATACGTTTGACGACCCTTGTCGTCCAAATGGGTTGCTGGCATACTCTGTGTATTACAGGAGGCAAAGGAAAGCTTCAATTGGGTTAAGGGCTTCGTGATTCCGTCAGAAAAGATTTGCTTGATATTATCCTCTCTTTTCTTGGCTTTCTTTAATTCTCGCTTCCTCTTGGTTATCTTGGCCTCTTGTTGTGTAAGATGGTTAATGAACATCCGGAAACGATTTCCAAATTGTAATATGACTGAATTTTTGTACGCTGTGTCGATCTTCGCGCACTCATATGCTGCTATTTGTTGTGCGTATTTCAACTCGATGGGGTCGTACTTGGTTAAGATACAATACTCGTTTTTATACTTTTGTATTAAATCTCTATAGTCTTTAGTTTTCGTTGATTTAGAAGGTTTACGATTTTGTTTGGTGAGCTTCAGGAACACTTTAATGTAAAAGTCCTTTTCAGCGTGTTTTTTCCAGATCAAAAAAAAAAAAAAAAAAAAAAAACTCGATTCTTTCCAATTCATTGATGAATATAAATTTTTTCAATGCAAAAAAACGGGAAACAAGTATGTTAACGGTTGATACAAGATCTTTTGGCCTTGGTATGAGTTCGCGTCTCCATTGTATACCGGAAACAGATGCTTTTAAAGTTATTACTTTTAAGTAATTCATTTAAGGCCAATATATAAAAAAAAATAAAGATCATTTAGGGAGAAAATGGCGAAATATAAAAAAAGAATAAAGAAGTGAAAGGCAACATTTTCATCGAAGGTTTATAAATTTACACGATCATGAGTGACTTCATCATGATATGTGATTATAAAATATGATAAATTGACGAGGACAACATCTAAAAGAACAGCACTGGGCACGAAACAGTACCTGAAGATATACCACCCATCATTTTGGAAGCAATAATCGAATTATAAGGTCGCTATATATGTAAAATGGTTTGAAGGTGGTAGAGTATATACAAAGGTACTGTTCTATCTCGTATTCTAGACTTTAATTTTCCATAATCATTCTCTCGCCTACCATGTATTAAAATTTATCGAACAAACTATGAATATTTTAGATAAGCGAGGAAAACATGGAGCCTACATTGTTATGGACAATTGCAGGATTCATTATTCTGAATTTGTTACAGATTGTATCAAAGAAAAAATAATAATAATAATAATAATAATTCAATTTTAAACGTATTAATAATAGGAATTCGCTCTTTTAAAATTTCCTAATGGTTGCTGTTGTCTATATTGCTTACATAAGTTCAATCTCTTTCTCAGGGACTCGATCAAGATTATTAAAAACAGTCTATTTAACCCTCTTGCTTTCAAGATTGGGAGAGAATATATATGTATATATATATAAGTCAAAAGTAGGCAGCATACTCGTGGGGGAAAACCATACAAACAACTCATCTCTAGGATATATATATATATATATATATATATTTTTTGGCTTTAAAGGTATGTCTTGATATTTCTGTCCTTAATCTATAAAATATTTAGATGCTCTTTTTTTTTTCTAGAAATTAGCCCAACAAACCAAAGCTTACCACAATACATCAAATCTAGCGAGCTAATCTAAAGATGATTAGTAGCCAAAACATGAAACAAATGAATAAAAGGGGAAAAAAAACTCTTTTCTTCAAGCAATAAACAACTCTTTATAGACTGAAAAAAAAAAAGAAATTGATCGAAAGGTATGCGGTGTTGTAGCAGCACTTGTATTCAAAAATAAAAAAAGTTTCTTCTGATCTAAAGAACTTTAAACGATGATTATGTAAAAGGTGCTTACTTGTTTCGTTTTCCTTTAAACAAGTGCATCAAGGATTTCCAATGAAAATAAATAGAATTACAAGGATATTTTGATAGCTGTCGTCTTATAACATAAAAAGAAATGACTGAGATCATCTGTAGAGGAGAATAAAAGATTTAAACTTTTACCTTCCTATAGTCCCCGTTCCTGTATCCAACTGAAGAGTATTGGGCAAAAATAAATAAATAATAAAAAAACCTCTGGAATCGATGTATTGCTAACAACAACAAAATTACAAGAAGCATTTAAATAAATCACCTAAAGAAGTAATTGAAGCGATTTTATTCAATACTCAATCACCTTCCCCTTTCGAGCCTTGCTTACGTAAAGAAATGGGGATTTTTTTTTAAATATATTTTTTTTTTGGTAAACTTTAGACGAATTAGTCACAATATGATCTATTGTTGGCTGGGCTTATTATTTATGTAAAACGAAAAGCCAAAAATAATTCAGCCATATCTGATTTCCTTTTTTTGAAATAAACTTAAAAAATGAGGCGCATAATCCATAAACTTAATACTAAAAAAAAAAAAAAAAAAAAAAAAAAAAAAAAAAAAAGAGGCTTTATATTTAATTATATTATGTAATTAATATATATGCAACTTCTTATTATTATTTATCAATAAACCAATATTTTATTCTATTTCTGTTCTATCTTTTAATTCATTTATTCTTTTCTATACATACATTCCTTCTATTATTATATTTATATAAATGTATATATTTATATATAAAAGGATAGTTTTCATATATCGATTCATAATAAACTATGCCAGCTTATTTTCTTTACGTATGCCCACGTTATAATCGTTATACAACAAGTTTAGACTTTTTTCTTTTCTCTTCTTTTGTGCAATAGATACACAAATAAGTAAGAAAGAAAGAAATAAAATAAAATAAAATAAAATAGGGTATCTGCTAAATTCTATTATACGCATAGGTACTCAAATCGACCCACTATTAAAAAAAATATACAAGCTTTTTTTTTATTTTATTTTATTTTTATTTTTTTATGTTTAGGATCAACAATGCATATTCGGAACAAGCTATAATCATCACTGTCATGAAACAAAAAAAAAGTTACTTTGATAGTATAAATAGAATATCAAACATTGTAGTAGTACATATGACAAGGGAAATTCAACTATTTTATCTCTTTATTAAATAAATAAATAATCTAAAATGACAATTATTGTATATATAATATCTTTAATAAGCTGATGCGAGTATGTGTGTATGTGAGTGAGTGAGATAAGATTATGAATAGTCTATGAGAATATGAATGTTAAATCATATATGTATACATAACGTGCTTTGACAACAATCATCATAGATACGTGATATAGAGACAAGTCTTGAAAAGGAAACTGGAGGTGGCTTACAATAATAAGAGGCAAAGTAAGTCGTAACTATAGATACAAGATATTTATAAAAAAAAACAGTGTTACTTTAACAAGTTGATAGAATGATAATAACAATAACAACAACAATAACAACAACAAATATGTAAAATATTATTTACTACTGTTGTATACATAAACATATATATAAATTTGTAAGTTTTCTTTATACAAGTACAAACTTTTGCTAAATAAAAACTTTATTCTAAAAAAAAAATGGTACCTTTTTTTTTTTTTTTTTTTTTGTACTCAGTTATGACTTTTGACGTATGTAAAAGTAAAGTCTATAAATTGTCTACAGAGCATCTATAACAGTTGATGACTCGTTATGCTTGATTTATTTTTAGATATAAACTATTTATTTATTTTTACTTACTTTATTTCATTTTATTCTTTCTTTGATCATATGAAAATAATTCTCTCTCTTTTTTTTTTTTTTTTTTTTTTTTTTTTTTTTTTTTTTTTTTTTTTAAACTGTACAACTTTATCGGAAACATTTACGATTTGTTACACTAAAAAAGCAAGAAAGAATGAAAGAAAGAATAAAAGAAAAACATTTAAAACTCTGATGTATATAAATACAAGATTCATTTTCAAGTATTTGTGTCTTTTTTTTTTTTCCTTCTTTCTCTCTCTTCTTTTCATTAAATATATACATTTATATAATTATTATTACATATGAATAATACTACTGCATTTTATAGTCAAAATATCTTTGCTTCTCCTCTTTCAGATTATAATCCTTTTGATACTTCATTATTTGATACTGCAAGAAAAATAGAAGGATATCCATTTTATCCTAGTCCAATTGAATCACCTAATAATGATTTGTTACTATTAACACCTGAATGTAATTTTCAAGAACAAGGTCTTTTGAATATGATGATGGTACCTCCTCTTGATATGCCCTCATTTATGGCTCCAACTAGTTTTGAAGAAATTCCTAGTATTGATCTCGTAGATCAATTTATTGCTGAACATGAAGCTGCATTAAATAATTTTAATTTAAAACACGTTATGAAACAAGAAGAATCTCCTCCTGAAGAAATGATGATAATTAAAACGAATAAACCCCGTCGTGGTCGCGGTCGTGGTCGTGGTAAGGGTATAAAGAATAAGATCTCTAAAAAGGAAGTGGTATCTACAGAACGTAATAAAAAGACACCTGTAGAAGGTGCTTTGTATGTATGTCAACATGATAACTGTGGACGATCTTTTACTCGTCCTTATAATCTTACGTCTCATATGAAAACTCATACAACAGAACGACCTTATGCATGTTCTCATTGTGGAAGAAGATTTGCTAGACAACATGATCGTAATAGACATGAAAAATTACATTGGGGAATTCGACCTTATGCTTGTCATCATTGTCATAAATCTTTTGCTAGAATGGATGCATTAAATAGACATTTACGTATGGAAAATGGCTGTACTGCCAGTGTTCATTTATAAAAAAAAAAAAAAGAAAAGAAAAAAAAAATTTGTATATTTCTATTGTTAATTATATTTTTGTATTTTATTTATTTATTTACCTATATATCTATCTAATTCCCCCTTTTTTTTGTAAATACACATAATAATAATAATAATAATAAATGGGAGGGAGGGAAAATTAAAATAAAAGAGCTATTATCATTATTTCCTTTTATATCTATTACATATGCAACAATTATCTATATTTGTATCAATACAATTTTCCTTATATGTACTATCATTAAACTATTTTTGCTTTATCTTTAAAGTGGCTGATCCAGTATAATGACTTTTTATTATTTCCTTAAAAAGATTTTACCCCGTCTTTTTTGTTTTTTAAGTAAAAGATAATTTGTACAAAGTAACTCTCTGTAGTCCAAAATCCACTCAACTGCTATCCCCTTCTACACATTTCTTCTTTACTTATTTATTTATTTTTTGTATTCATAATAGAGATATTAAAGTCTTTATTGCTATATAAAAAGGAAAGGGAAGTGTATAATAAGCTAAAAGTTGAGCTTGTTATACATAAAGAAAAACGTATGATCAAGAAAGCGTAAAGTTATATATCTATATAGTTAACTTGACCATGATTCACCTTACAAAATACTTTTGCAAAGTTATATTAAAACACAAAAATGCTTTTCTTTCTTTCTTAAGATGTACATAAAAACGTCTTCAAAACCATCATGATCTATCTTTTCATATCCTTAGTCAACAAAACTACCATCTGCATATATAAAATAATGATAGTTTATTCTATGCTCAATCCTCTAATCAGTCTGAAAAACAAGACTATAGTTAGTATATCTATAACCCCCCAGGCTTCTATTTAGTGCATTTCATATAAATAATCATTTTTATAGTTAAAAAAAAAAAGTTAGATATGTATATTCAGGGCTACAAATAGACTATAAAGACAATGGTACAATTATTGTCAACATGATTAGTTAGAATAGGCATGTATTTTAAGCTTTACTACATACAAAAAAAAAAGAGGGGGAGGAATTTAGGAGAGTTCCATTTTCTTGCCTTTTACTGATCTTAATGTTAAAGGATAAATCAGCTTCTTTTGTCAAACAATAGGTAACAGTTCAATACAATTCTTAAAGAATTGAATAAAGCATTCTATTTTTCTTTTATGAATGACCATGAAGAATACAAAATAAGAGAATTGTGTGACAAACATTTAATATGTAATTTGACGTTATCTCTTTTATTCCAAAGAAGAAGGTCTTTACCTCTTCTTGATGAACAAAATCAATCTATAATAAAAACAACAACAACAACATAGTCTATGATAAAATTATCTTTCATTGGTTGCTGTATGCATTACTTTCTTTTCCCATTTAAAGGAATTTGACTCTTTTTTCATACTAAAAATTGTATCGTAAATTTGAATATAAATAAAACTGCAAAAATAGGTAAATCGTCACATATAACAACGCCATTCTTTGTGTGTTTGTTTGTTTGTTTGATCTTCTCTCTCTTTTTTTTGTTTTTATTTTTATTTTTTTTTATTTTCTTGGTGGGAGTAAATCTCTTGGCTCTATTTTTATTGGATAACAGTTCTCATCATTTTATTAAAGCCCAAAATAAAAAACAAGCCCATTTATTTCCAATTTAAAGGTTCAACTTTAATTATAGATTATCTAACCCCGACTTTTATTAATCGCCATTTCGTTATTACTTTTTTTTTTTCTTTTTTTTTTTTTTTTTTTTTATTATTATTATTATCATTATTTCTCTCTCTCTCTCTTTCCCCCCTTTTTTTTTCTCACTCTTTTATATAAAATAAAAAATGAGTGTTAATAGACTTGCTGAACTTCAGCGTGATTCTCGTAATTTACAAGATGGTCGTCCTGTTCAAGACCCTAATGGTGGTTATGAGATGCGACCCCTTTTATCAACAAAGGGCGATATCACATCCGTCCAAGGTTTTCTTGACCAAGTCTCTAATGTAAAAGAAAGTATTGCACATATCAATCAAAATGTGAACCGTATTCAGATGTTACAATCCAGTATGCTTCAAACAGCTGATGCTGGAGAATTAGCTCGAAACCGACAATCACTTGATGTCCTGACTAACGAAACTCAAAGCATCATGTCACAAGTGAAACAGAAACTAAAAGAGATTGAGCCTACGCCTCGTCATACTGATTTAGCTATGCGAAAGAATGCGTTTAGTGCTGTGACTCGCTCCTTTATGGAGGCTATCGAGAACCATCGTCGAGTTGCTGTCGAATTTCAGAAAGCTGAAAGTCAACAACTCGAACGACAAATCAAGATTGCCAATCCCAACGCTACACCACAGGAAATTCAAGAGGCTGTCTTGAGAGCTGAGGAAGGATCAGGTGCCGTTTTCGCTCAACAATTGATGCAATCAGTAGGTTCAGAATATAGACGTCATAATGCTCAAAACACGTTGGATGCCGTGCAAGAACGTCATGAAGACATTCGTCGTTTGGCCAAGAGTGTTCAAGAGCTATCAGTGTTATTTGAGGAAATGCAACAAATGTTAGAGGCTCAATCAAAGATTCTAGATACAATCGAACAGAGCGCATATGAGACAACAGGTCAATTAGAACAAGGCGTTCAGTATGTTGAAAAGGCAAAGGCTTCTGCAAAGGCTACTCGTCGTAAGAAATGGATTTGTTTTGGTATTTTTGTAATCATCATTATTATTTTGGCTATTGTTTTGGCTATTGAAATTCCCAAATCACGAAATTAAAATGAAATTGTTTATTTTTCATTTTATACCTCTTTTCCCTTCTTAATAATTTCCTCTCTATCTCTATCACACACACACACTCTCTCTCTCTTTTTTTTTTTTACACGTACATTATACTCATTTATAATAAATTTCACCATATATATATATATATATAAAAAGGATTCTTTATTTAGATTGGCAAATTCTTTTCTTATAAACATGTAGACCATTTTCAACATGAAATTATTGGATCCATTGTTTACATGGAAAAATAAAGTTTGGTATTCTTCTTTAATAAAAAGAGTTTATACTTGTGGCCAACCCATTATAATAAGACAATCTTTTAATGTAAGCCATTAAAGAAATACAGAGTTTGAATATGTATATATAAATTAGAAGAAAAGGATAATCAACCTTTAGTTTTCCAAGACAAAAAAAAAAGTATTCAATTGTCATAAAGAAAGAAGTCTATTTTCTTTCTGTTATAAAAGATTAGAAATGATTATTAAAGGAGGTAGAAAGAAAGATACTTATCATCGTCCCTCCTTTTTCTTATCCTTCTTTGTACTTTTTTTTACAGTAGAAGAATAGTTTTATTCTTTTATACACACATCCATAAATATATATAAAACTTTGATTTTTATTAAGCATAAAATTAACGTCATAAATGGGGGAGGGAGGGGGGTGGTAAAGCATCATATATATAATTATTTTCTTGATGAAAAAAAAAAAAGAGTATTACATAATAATCTAAAAAAGAAATTCGATTTTTTTTTTTTTTTTTTTTGTGATTATATTGTGTAGTATAGATTTGTGTGTACGTGTGTATAAATATAAAAATATAAATGAATATACAAATATATTTATGTGTATGTGTGTGTGTGTGTGGGTATAAATTCAGTTTTAAGAATATATAACCCGAGATGCCAAAAAAAAAACTTCTAATGTGTATGGGTATTTGTATTGTTATATAGAAAGGTCTTTAAGAATTTAACTACATATTCCCAATAGAATACATGTTTTCAAGTGCTTGTTTTTGTAATACACTTTGTTGAAAGCTAAAAAAAGAAAAAAAATTTTTTTTTTAGCTGAATTGAATTTTATTCTATTTCTTTTTTTTTTTTTTGTTACTCACCTTCGGAGCTGCTCATTTTCTTGTACAAGGCGTTCAAGTTCAGCTAAAATTGTCATTTGAGTCGATTTTAGATGTTGAATATGTTGAACAGCTTATTATGATTAAGAAAAAATGAGTAAGAAAACATACATGTATATTACTTTGTTTGGTCACTTACTTCTATGTAACAATGTCACTTTACTCATTTTCTTGTTGAGACAAGCAGGTAATTCTGCACGTAAATCTTCAAAGCCATCTTTAATTTGAGCACGGCGCTTTTGTTCCGACTGGATATGAATTTGGCGTCGTAACTCGGTTACAGAAGCATTTTCATCTACTACTACTACTTGTCTATTCTAATCATGTTAGACTTCTCCTTTCCAGTCATCCTATAGAATAGAATAGAATAGGATAGGATACTTACTCTACTTTTTGTTTACGTGTAGGGCGTTCCTGATCTTTTATCTTTTTCTGCTCTGCTTGTTCTGATCGAGTGCGTTTTTTATTGTTATGATTACGTTGTTCAAATGATTCCTTTGAATATTGAAGAAATTCAGGATAAAAGGATTCTGGTAACGCTGAAGCCTTTGCGATTGTTTCAGATAAATAACTACTGCTTGTAGAATTAGAACAAGATTTTACAAGCTGAGGTGGGTAGCTAGATAGCATTGAATCAGGACTTCCAGGACCATGCTGGCTCATATTAAATGAAGAAGGACTCGACATGAAAGGTTCGTTACCATAGATCATGGTAGGTGAGGCAGAGGGTGAAGTAGTAGCATAGAAAGGTGAGACTAATTAATTCATTATGATTATTATTTAATACACATAAAAAGAATCTATATATTTATATAAATTGTGGGGGGAAGTTGACTTACCAGGATAAATTAATCCTGCTTGTTGTTCAAGTTCTTTTGACATGTAATGTTGATCATGAAGATATTCAGAAGACCATTGAAGTTGTTTATCCATTTTTGTTTTTTAACTGTATTATTTAAAGGATTGGTATGGGGGTGTGTACAAGTGAGTGTAAGGGGTTAGTTTTTCTAAAATATAAAGAAAAGAAAGGAATAAAATTAAATTAAAAAGAAAGAAAGAAAGAAAGAAAAAAGTTCTTCCACCTTTAGCAAAATATGAACACTGAAAAAGCTCTCATTTTTCTCATGCACCATAACTGTCCCACTTGTACTTTTTTTTTTTTTTTTTTTTTTTTTTTTTTTTTTGTGCTAGGAATGGATCTTCCTCTATCTCTGTCTGTCTGACTGTCTGTCTGTCTGCCTCTCTCTGTCTCTGTCTCTGTCTCTTTTTTTTTTTTTCTTAATGTATTTATATGCCTTAATTTTAAATTGTATTCCGACCGGAACTGATTCCATAAAATGATGAAGATTGAATAGTATGAAAGAAATAAATAGGATTGTTAATATGACAAGTGTATGAGCTTATTATACAAAATTATGTTCTATTCATCATGAATTCTATTCTTATCATTCAACTTCTTTATGCCTGTATCTATGATATACATCTTAATTAAAAAAAAATTGTCATATCTCCCACTGTTGTGTAGCCAAAAAGGACCTTGAATTCAATATGCATTTACCCGCAAATGGAGTTGGTCGTATCCTACTTGACCCATCTTCTACACTAGAGTGGCAACTAAGATACATACTAACACACATGTATATAAATAGGTGAGAGGGGGAGGGGAGGGGTGATGAGTCTCTTCTTTTGATATTGATATTATTTTAATAATTAAAGAAGAAAAAAGAAAAATAGAATCAGGTAACATTCGTTTTTTTTTTTTTTTTTTTTGTAACCTTCTATGATATATAAGCTTGTTTAAATAATGATTATACGTTTAAAAAAAAAAAACGTACGACAGGCAGACAAACTTTAATATATCATTTTTTAATTATTCTTTTTTTTTTTTTTTTTTTTTTTTTTTTTGAAGAGAAAAAGAGTGATCTAGCTTAATTGTAGTTTACCTTGGTAATTTATTATTATTACAATTTGATTGTTGTGAGATATTCATTCGTGTTTTTTTTTTAAAAAAAAAGGTATAGAAAGTATGAAAATTTACTACTATAGTTTCCGTTACAGGAGTGTGAATGACGGGTTTAAAAGTACCAAGTCTGCAGAAATGGGCATGTTATCTCCCTTGTTCATTATGCTTTTACTTTTAGGATGAAATAAGCACTTCCTTATTGAAATATCTATTATTCAAATCATGACTTGAAAGTCCTTTTTTTCTTAGATAGAGAATTAGAACATGACAATGATAAGGATTTACTTTTTTTTTGAAAAAAGAAAGTCTTTGTGTTCAACCATCTGACTACGTTTAGTAGATTTGTTTGTTTTTAATTACAGATCAAAATACATATGTATCTGAGCAAGGTGAAGAAGGATAATTGTTGTGTTCTTTATTATTATTATTAACTGCTTGTGAATGGAAGTACTATAATTTTAAGGTCTTTTAATTTTAAAGAAGTCATTTTCATTTATAATCTTTCATGGTCCTTGTGACTCAAGTTGTGCAAATCGTCTCTTGTTGGTCCGCCAGGTACGTTTAGCTCAATCTATATTCTTTGTAACAATGAATTACTACGGATATATCTAAAACAAGTCGAGCATCAAAATGCATATTTTCGGTATTAAATTATATGAACTATGTATTTATATAAAAGTCCTCTTTCTTCATTGTATTTAGTTACAATTTCTTAGTCCAAAAAAAAAAAAAGAAAAAAAAAAGTTTATGTCATTCTTTTTTTATTAGTTATTTTTTTTTTTTTTTTATATTTAAATTAATATAAAATCCCGTAGTGGTTATAACATTCATCTTTAGACTGTTAATTAATTTTTTTTTAAAAAAAAAAAAAAAAAAAAAAAAAATAGTACTCGCAAGTAAATACCTTCAAAACCGCGATTTACTCTTTAGAAATATGTAATTTAATCATTTTTCTTTTGTAGTCCAAATCAGACTAGTTGATTATTTTAAATCCCGTAATTCAAAGTGTATTACGACAAGGAAAAGAGTTTTTTTTTTTTTTTTATCTACAAGATACTTTTTTTTTTTAGCAAATTGTACTCATATCTTTAATTAAGTATGCAGTGTAACATCAGCCAAAAAAAAAAAAAAAAAGATTGATTCTTCAAAATGAAATGTCTGTGCACCCATACAAAGTGTATTTACTAGCTTTTACCAATGTCTGTAATGATTGCTTGATATGTATATGATTGTCTTTAAGAGGGGAAAAAAAATATACAATATGTATAAAATCAAACTGTTATGACTTGTAGACCATTATTATCAAAGACAGTAGTATTGATAGCAGGAAAAAAAAAAGTTATGAATTCATTCAATATCTTTGTTGGGCAAAGTAAAGAAGACAAGTTAAATGCTTAATTACTGACTTTTTCTTCTTTCATGAAAACCCATACATCTTTATTAGTAGTTCAATTTTGATTGATGGTATATATAATGTCCTTTTTTTTTTAGTGGTAAAAGGATATCATTCTATGTACGCATCTTGTTATTTAATAATAATAATAATAAAATGATTTATTGTAACAAACTTTTTATATATATTTGTATATAAAAGTTTAAAAGTATTAATAATGAATTGCGTTACCATAATAATCTAGTCATGATTTTTCCACCAATGTCTAATACGCTATTACTTAGATGTAAAGCATATCTAATGTAATTATATAAAGATTTACTCATTCGTTTTTGTCCTTCATTTTGTTTATCATGATTCGTGGTATTATTGAAGAAAGTACGATCATGATTCTTAGTGGAATTATTATTATTATTATTATTATTATTATTATTGTTACTACTATTTGAAGTAGCATCAGTAGTGTTAGGATGGTTCTTAGCGTTCGTTTTGAAAGTAGAATCATTATTCATGGTAGCAGTGTTGGTATCATTATTCGAAGATGCCTTTGAAGATCCTTCTCTCATTTTTACTTCTTCATTGATCATCATAGGTAATCGTACTATAATCTTTAAAATAGCCAAGGCTATCTTCATACGTTTCCATAAACTAAAATAAGAGAGAGATCGAAATTCCAGTTGTAATTCATATAACTTTAATAATTCAAATCGAATTAATTTGAAATAATAGTGTGTAGCTACAAAAAGAAAAAGTAGTGAGCTTAATATATAAATCTATTTGTGTGTGTATACAGCTATCTTTAAAATATGTGCATAATAAATGCATACATTGAAGAAATTCACGTAATCTTTCAAATCCACGTTCCATTTGATTAATATATTCTTCTGAAATATGTATACCAGAGAATGTGCCATTTATGGTACCTATAATAATTATCAAGACATTATATGTGTGTGTGCTAGAAAGGATAATAAAATAAAATACGAACGTATAAATGCTTTTATAGTTTCAAATTCGCCATTTAATAATTCAGCATAGACCTGTGTTTTATATATACATATTATATATCAATACATTCCTTGTTATGTGCGTGTATTTACAGGAAATAAATACCTGTTGCAATAAAAGTTGAAATGTAGCATGAGCATCAGTCTTTTGATTCTTCACTGTAGTATAAGAAAACTTCTTTGGTGATATATCATATCGCATTCTAGCTCTTGAATCACTAAGTGTTTCATAAGCAATAGCTAACACTATATAAATATACATATATTTTTTTTTTAGTATACATTCTTCATTATTTTATGTACTATTTTACTTTGAAAACTTTCAGTTGCTTTAGGATAAGCAGGTACAAATTTATCAGGATGACAGATTCTACATTTCTATCAAATAATAATAATTATTTATTTATATATATATATATATACATTATAGAATAGAATCATTTACCTTAATATAGGCCTTTCTAATCTCTTTAGAAGATGCATATTTTCGAACTCCTAGTACTTGATAATAATTCGTTGCAGATAATACTTCATCTACAATCCAATACTTATCTTCTTGAGCATTTTTCTTATTAAAAAGCATTTTTCTTGTATAACGTAAAATAAATAAAATAAAATAAAATAAAATAAAAAAAAAGGACAAAAAATGTAGAAAAAAGTAAAATAAATACAAAAAAATAAAAAAAAATAAAAAAAAAAAAAAAATAAATAAAATAAAAGGGGAAAAAGGACGTTGGGAGGAAGGAAGAAAAATAAGGGCAAGCCATATATCGATTTACATGTGAATTCCATTCCAATAAATGTGTGCAAATTTATAAATAATACATATTTCGTTATAATTTATACAAATAGAGAAGCTTTTATTATAATTTATATATTAAGTTTTTTTTTCCCGTTTTTTTTTTGTTTTGTTTTCCTTCTTTTTCTTTTTCTTTACTTTTTATTTAGATCTTTTGCATAGCAGCAATATCAACAGATTGAACGTAATCTTCCAAATCTTGAATGGCATCAGTCAAGTCATCCATCATAACCTTATCATCTTCAACAACACAGTTGATTTGAAGCTTCTTGATACCATAACCAATGGCAACAAGTTGGTGACCACCCCAAAGGAGACCATCCATGTTGATAGCCTTGACAGCAGCAGTCAATTCATCCATGTTGGTTTCATCATCCCAAGGCTTAACTTCGAGGGTGACGGTGGTCTTAGCAATAGGCTTAGGCTTAGCGGCCTTCTTGGCATTGTATTCAGCAAGACGTTGGGCCTTGAGCTTTTCAGCTTCTTCATCAACTTCTTCATCATCAGAACCAAAGAGGTCAATGTCTTCCTCTTCTTCAGCGGCAGCAGCAGCAGCAGGAGCAGCAGCAGCAGCGGCATCCCTATTTATTTTAAATTAGATGAATTAATATACAAATATATATATTGAATCATTAACATGCGGTACATAAGGAATACTCACTTGGTGTTCAAACCCTTAACAGCAGCAATGTGAGCATACCATCTAGCCAAGTGAGGGTAGGTCTTAGCACAAGGACCTTCGGGCAAGGCATTGAAGACAGCGACATCAGCATCGGAAGCTTCAACACTAGATAATAAATTATTTAAAATTAAATCTTCATTAATAATGATCTTTTTATTTTTTGTCTTTTTTTTTTTTTTTTTTTGTTTACCCCTTAACGTAAGAAACGTTTTCAAAGTAGTTATCAAGGATCTTAAAGGCCAAAGGAGCTTCGAGAGTGAAAGACATTTTTTTTTTTACTGATAAATATTAAAAGGGAAGAAAAAAAAAAACAAAAACAAAAAAATCTGCAGATTGCCCTAAAAAAAAAAAACTTTTCTGTCACTTTGAAATTTCCACTTAAAATTGATTGGCTAAGCCACTTTTAGATGATTACCACAGTGGATAAGTAGCAGTAAGACGCGTTACGCGTGGTATTATAAACAATTATTTCTTTTAATTAAATATTAAAAAAAAGACGTGTCTTGTATAATAGGCTAAAAAAAAAAAGAAGACATTAATGTAGTTTATTAAGAATATAAACACCCAATAAGTGATATATAAAAGAACTTTTGAAGAGGAGGGGAAGAGAGTGTTTGATTATTGGAAAAAGAGAATATTAAATGATAAAATAAAATAAATTTATTCATATAAATACTTTTAACAAAAAAAAAAAAAAAATACATGTAAGGTGATACCTTCTCTTAAAATTATTATTATGTACAATAGTTCTATAATTTATTTATTTATTTTTATTTAACTGTAATTAACATAAGAATGATTTATAAACAACGTTGTCTGTTTCTTCTTTATATTGATATCCAAGCTTGGTTAAATATTCATTAAATTGGTCTGTATCTTCAGGAGGAACTTGAATACCTACAAAAACTTTACCCATATCTAAAATAAATAAATAAATGAATAAAAAAAAAATATCAATAGATTGGCCTATGATGATTATAATAATGAATGTTACTTACCATCACCATGATTACGATAATGAAATAATGACACGTTCCAAGAAGAATTCATTTCAACCAAGAACTTTGTCAAAGCACCAGGTCGTTCTGGAAATATAAATCTAAACACACGTTCATTCATCGGTCGACTTCCACCCACCATATAGCGTGCATGACATTTTGCCAACTCGTTATCACTTACATCAACACCTTCCATGCCTTCCTTACGCCATCCTTCTATCACCTCTCTCACTTCTCTTTCTCGATTCGTGACCTTGAAAGAGATATAGATGTGGGCTTTATCAGGGTCATTATATCGATAAGAAAATTCAGTGACAGCCCGTGGATTCACTTGATCGATCATACGGATAAAACTGCCTGGTCTTTCAGGAATAACAACCGTACAAAACGCCTCTGTTTGTTCACCTAGTTCAGCTCTTTCAGCAATGAATCGAAGACGGTCAAAGTTGACATTAGCACCTGAAACGATAGCCACATGAACATCTTTTTTAGTTTTAGGATTAAGTTGAATATATTTCTTGATAGCTGCTAAAGAAAGTGCACCTGTAGGTTCACATACTGAGCGAGTATCTTTTTTAAACAAAAAAAAAAAAGATAGATGTAATATACTTTAGAGAACTGTGTATCTTCAAAGCCTATACATATACATATATATATATATATTTGTACCTTCAAATATATCTTTGATAGCTGCACATACTTCATCATTATCAACAAGAATGACTTCATCAATCAAATCTTTGGCAAGTCTCCAATTTTCTTCACCCACCATACGTACGGCTGCACCATCTGCAAATAACCCTACCTCATTTAGAAGAACTCGATGATTTACATCCAAACTTTCCTTCATAGCACAAGCATCTGATGTTTCAACACCTATGATTTTAATATGAGGAGCAATACGTTTGACATAAGAGCCAATACCAGCGATTAATCCTCCACCACCGATAGGTATAAAGATGCTAGAGATCTCATTCACATTATATTGTCGAAGGATTTCCATACCAATCGTACCTTGACCAGCAATAACATAAGGATCATCAAAGGGTGGAATATCTTTAAGTCCTTCTTCAAGAGTTAATCGTGCACATTCCTTTTTCGCTTCATCAAAATCATTACCAAACAAGACAACTTCGGCTCCTAATCGTTGAACATTACGCCACTATATACATATATAAAAAGTGAATATGTGTGTGATTTTAAAGTGACTATTTACAATTAATATAGATGTTACCTTAATGGCAGGAGTAGGAACAGGCATAACAATTTTAGCTTTAATACCTAACTTTTGAGCAGAGATAGCTACACCTTGTGCATGATTACCTAATTTACGCGTAAAAAAAAAGGGGTGGTGGTGGTGGTGGTGGTGGTGGTGGAGGAAAAAGGAGGGTAAGAAATGGTAAGACTCATTTTTTTTTCTTTCGTATATTTATATATATATATATATATATATATATGCATATTTCAAAAATAACATACCAGCCGAACAAGCAATAACACCTCTCTTTTTCTCTTCTTCTGTTAGATGAGCTAATCTATTATAAGCACCACGAATCTTGAATGAAAAGACTGGATGAAGATCTTCTCGTTTTAAAAAGATTTTGCTATCAAGCTTTGAGTTCAAGTTAACAGCTTCTTGAAGTGGAGTCTCTTTAATAATATCATAAACTCTAGCAGTTAAAACCATACGAAGGTAATCAGGTTGTTCATTATTATCTTCTGTTTTCTCTTTCATGATTGTATATCTGTATGTATATCTATATGTATGTATGTATGTATGTATGTATGTATGTATGTATGTATGCGTGTGTGTGTGTGTGTGTGTGTGTGTGTGTGTGTGTATGTGTATGTGTCTAAAGAAGAAAGTATATAGATGTTCTTTCTTTTTTTTTAAAAAAAAAGGGGGGGAGAGGGATTAGAGTATTTGGATTAAAGGAATCAATTATTTATACAAAGTCGGAACTTTAAATTGCATAACCATTGATTGACATGTTTGTATACCAATACTAAATGACTCAGGAAAATTTAATTATTTTTATTGGATAATATCAAAAAAGGTTGTTGTATTGTAATAAGTCATTACAGAAAAACAAAAAAAAAAAAAGGCAACAAGTTTAAGATCTGAGTCAAGATGATATACATGTATATGTATTTTTTACAAGAGTCGCCGTCTGTGTATCAATAGTATGAGATGATTCTCAATATTGTAAGCCTTAATTTTTTTTTTAAAAAAAAAAGAAGAAAATGGTGAATATATTATGCACATAATAGCGATTTTATTTATTATGAATGGAGATTATTATAATCAATAACCTTATCTAAATCTCCACTAATAAAGATGAAGATAAAAAAATAAATAAATAAATAAATAAAAAAGGATGCGGCTATATGCAATGCTTTGTTATTCTGTATGTCGGTCTTGTATATATTATTATTATACTTGCTGCCAATCTTGTGAACTTTCTAGAAAAATCTTCGTTTGATCCACTTGTAGGATTCTGCAATACCAATATAAAGGATGACAGATGCAACGGTCATACCCCATTCCCAAGTAATAGGCTTATGTCTAAAGACCTTTGTATTAAGGAAAGGTACATAAAGGACAACGATCAATAAGATGAAACCAAATAGGGTAGACCAATAAAGATAAATATTTTTGGGTCCCTTGAGAGCAGACCATGTCCAAGTAGGGTTACGAAGATCACGACATGTAAAACCATGTAACAAGACAATCACTGTTAAAGTTGCAAAGAGTGCACCACGTGCACGGAAGACTTCATCACAGGTATCATTGTATTCACCATTGCAGTCTACACCAAGGTTACCCGTACCATAGGCATACAGGACAATGATAAAATTACACAAGCAAATGATACCAATGGAGAAACCATAAAAGATAATATCCGCAAGGTTTGAACGACTAAATAATCCTTCCTTCTTTGATCGAGGAGGCTGAAGCATTTGATCATTATGAATAGGTTCAAGGCCTAGACTCATGGCAGGTGGAGAGCTAGTCAAGATATTATTGAATAAAATTTGGATCGGTGTCATCGGGAAGACCGAGCTGCCTGAACTATCGATAAAGGCCAAACCAATCAATAACGGCGTTAATTCAGCCACATTTCCAGAGACCATATGGACTACAAAACGAGCAATGTTTCCAAAAACACGACGACCTTCTTCAATTGCCTTTACAATGGTAGCAAAATTATCATCAACAAGAACAATATCAGCAGCTTGCTTTGCTACATCTGAACCATTTTCACCCATAGCAATACCAATATCAGCTTCCTTGAGGGAGGGACTATCGTTGACGCCATCACCTGTCATGCCAGCAATACGCTTGCGACGATGGAGGGCTTCAATCATTTTCACTTTTGTATCAGGACTACAACGGGCAATAACGAGGGGGAGTTCAGGTAGGGCATCAATTTCTTCTTCTGTTAATTTATCAAATCGTTGAGCGGTCATAACGAGATTAGTAGTAGTGCCTTTACTACCCTCATAAGAATGATGATTCATCTCTTTAGAAGATTGATTTTGATCATCTTCTGCCTTGAGTCCATAGTCAGCAGGAATGATACTAACTTCACGAGCAATAGCAGTAGCAGTAGCAATATGATCACCCGTCAACATATGAACAGTGATACCAGCTTTATGACATTGTTCAACGGCCATTTTAGATTCAAGTCGTGGAGGGTCATAGATACCAACCAGTCCCAAGAATATCATCTCCTGTTCGACTTGTTCACGTACAAAGGTATCTGATGAAATATTAGATCCATCCTCATGTTTCATGCGACGCATAGCTAATGATAACACACGAAGACCACCACGAGCGAGTGAATCGACTTTGGGGAGTACAATTTCCTCAATTTCCTTAGGCGACATCGAGTGCACATCATTCGTATCTGACATTTGCATACCGACACAACAACTCAGGACACGTTCAGTGGCCCCCTTTAGGAAGGCAATTGTTGCACCATTAGGTGATTGACAAAGGACGGTCATACGTTTAATAGAGGAATCAAACGGATATTCAGCAATTAAATTCCATCTAGTAGGATTATCTTTGTTAATTAACGAAGGTTTACCATTTTGTAGTTTATGAGCAAAGACCTGAAGGGCAACCTCAGTGGGATCACCAATACCGGACCAATCGCCAGTAGCCTTATCTTTACGTACTTCACTCATGTTACAAAGAGCAGCTGCATTGACCATCATTTGAAATCCATGATCCATCTTCTCCTTTGTCATAATCGTGGCATTATCTGATTCCGATTTGACTTCACCTTCAGGAGCGAAACCGATACCACTGACAGAATAAAACCCTGTATCTGGTCTCCAAAGTCGTGTCATGACCATTTTCGATTGAGTTAGCGTACCTGTCTTGTCAGAACAAACATTTGTAACGGCACCCAGGAGTTCTAAAGCAGCTAAGCGACGAACGAGGGCCTTACTTTTAGCCATGCCATATACCCCAAACGCCTGAGTTAATGTGACAACAGCCACTAGCCCCTCAGGGATCACAGAGATGGAGGTAGAGATAGCATACAAGACAACTTCATTTGTGATATGAAACTTTGCAGCGGCAAAGACAATAATAAGTGAGATAATAGCCACAGCTAACAAAACTAAAGCCATACGATCTAAAGATTTTTGAAGGGGCGTCTTGGAGTTATCACCCGAATCCAAGAGACGTTTAGCAATTTTACCAATTTCAGTTTGCATGCCCACAGCAGTAACAATGGCTTTACCACGACCTTTTGTAAGAACGGTACTTGAATAAGACATGTTAACACGGTCACCCAATGGTACATCATCACCTTGAATGACATCAGGTATTTTATTGACAGGTATGCTTTCACCCGTTAGCAGAGCTTCATCCACATCCATATTAAAAGATCTAAATACTATATGTAAGATATACTTTGCATATATATATATATATGTATGTATGTATGTATGTATATGTATAGTTAACTTACTCAATAATTCTACAGTCAGCGCCTACAACATCTCCAGTTTTTAGAATAATGATGTCACCCGGTAATAATTCACGAGTAGGAACTGTCTTTTGATGCCCACCACGAATAACTTGACTTGTAGGAGAAGCCATTTGACGAAGAGAATCCATTGTCTTTTCAGCCTTAAATTCTTGAATAAATCCAACTGCTGCATTAAGGAACATGATGACACAAATGACACCACCTTCAATATAATCTTTAAATACAAAAGAAACAATCTAAAAAATATATATATAAATATATAACTATCTATTCATATATTCATTCATCCATTCATATCCTTACCATTGCAATCAAAAGAATTAGAACCATAATATTCAAGAATTGTTTAAGCAAAAGCCTCAAGGGACTTACACCACCTTCACCTTCCATTTCATTAAAACCATATTCAGAACGTCTTTCATCAACCATAGATTCAGATAAACCATCTTCTAGATCAGACCTCAATAACTGAGTTACAGTATCAAGATCCATTGTATGATATGGAGGACCCTCTACTCTTTCTGATTCATCTATACTCTTTCTTCTTCTCTTTATCAAATTCATTTTGTGCATCAACACACTACGAACTGACTTGGTATCAAAATCCGTTGAGCTTTGGCCTGTTGATTGCCTTGTTAACGGTTTCTGTGAATATTTTTCATTATATTGCACTTGGTATTCTTTCATTTCTCTATTTTTCTCTTCATCAAATTTGATGGTGGTTTGTGGAGGTTGTTGTTGTGCTACATCATGGTGACTATATTCACCATTTTGTTCTGTTTCAAATGATAAATCATTATTACTATTCATATTGTGATTTACTACATTATTATTAATCATCATACAAATATAAAAATAAATAAATAATTAAATATAAATATATATGTGTAGAAAAAAAAAACTTGATATTATATTCTAATGTGAAGAAGAAGAAAAAAAAAAAGAAGATAAAATTATTTTGCTAAATCTTTTTTATAAACATATGTGTGTGTGTGCTTTTTTTTTTTCTGATTTCGATGATGTATATACAATTTCAAATTACAGAATTTTTGACAGAAACTTGAGAAAGCATAAATTTCTAATTTGAAACGAATCACGTGCTTGATTAAAGCAATAAACCTAATTGGACATAAAATTGCTTTTGTCCTAACACACATTTACACTAAAGAACTTAATTGCTTCTGAAAATTCTATTATGATCTAATCGGAAAAAAGGGAAGGATTACCAAGTAAAGATAAAAGATACCATATGGCATATTTTTTTTTCTTTTTCTATAAAAGTAAAACTGTTAAAGAAAATAACGGAGAAACTACTTGAGTTCTAAGATTTAAAATGATCATGTGAAAGAAAGAGTCGATAACAATAATAAGCCCCCTCCTTTCCTCCCTCTCTTCTTTATAGACTCATTCATTACATAATAATTATATGTATTAGTCAGAAGCTATTTAGCTCTAGTTACTAGTTTAATCTAGTAACTGATAATAGACTTTAATTTTAATTTTAAATCTTTATGTAATAAAATAGCTTACATTCTGTAATTGTTATTTCAAAACAAGTATTAGGTTGTTCATATCATCTAAGAAGCATGAGGACATGTATCACCATAAAGCTTAGCTTCATCTTTTTCTTCTTCCTCTTTCTTTTGACAGAAATTTGATTGACCCTGTTCAAAGTGATACACAACTGCTCTATTGTATGTCCTATATGAAAAACGTGACTTGTGATTTAACCTAATAATTTGGAAAAAAAAAAAATAACAAAAAAAAAAAAAAAAAAAAAAAAAAAAAAAAAATTGCAAAGCAAAAAAGGGAGAAGAAAAAAAAAATTTGGTTTGTTTTATATATACATTTCAAAACACATTTTTAGAAATGTATAAGCCAACAGGTATAAAACAAAAAAAAAAAAAAAAAGGAAATGAAGAATAGAAAGGGGACTCTAATATAAATATATATTATTTATAGGGTCTAATGTCACTCCACTTGGCACTAAAAGACGTTTTAATGAACCACATAGTCAAGATAAACAAACAAAGGATGAGCCTGTTTCTTCACCTGGTATGTAAAATACCCATGACACACACAATTACATGTCATTTTTAATAAATAATATTTAATTTAATAGTTTCATCACCAGTAGGTACACCACCTTCAAATGGTTCCACAACCAAGAGAAAACGTAAGAGTCGTTGGGGTGATGAACAACAAAAAGTCATCATTCCTGGATTGCCTACAACTATTTCTAAAGCAAATAGAGATATGTCTGACAAGTATTTATGTAGGTTCTTAACTATTATTTATCTATTCATTCATGTATTAAATTATCTTCTTTTTTTTTTTGAAAGTACAAATTAGACTTGAAGAGATAAATAGAAAGTTACGTACTAATGATTTTCTTCCACATGAACGTGCAAGGTAAATTCATTATATACATTTATATAAGCCTTATTATTAAAGTAATATTGATTTTGTTTAGATCACCCTCTCCTGAACCTATTTATAATGCTGATGGTAAACGTGTGAATACAAGAGAAGCAAGATACAAAAAGAAATTAGAAGATGAACGTCATAAGTTGATTGAGACTGCCATCAGAACAATTCCAAACTTTAGACCTCCTATTGACTATAAACGACCCACAAAAACACAAGAAAAAGTCTATATTCCCGCAAAGGAATTCCCTGAAATTAACTTCATTGGTCAATTAATTGGCCCTCGTGGAAATACATTAAAGAGTATGGAAGCTGAATCTGGTGCTAAAATCAGTATTCGTGGTCGTGGCTCAGTTAAGGAGGGCAAAACAAGAACAGATGCCGCTGCTAATGCAGGCCAAGAAGAGGATTTGCATTGTTTGGTAACAGCTGATAGTGAAGAAAAAGTGAGAAAGGCAGTCAAGTTGATTGAAAAAGTAATTGAAACATCTGCTTCAGTTCCTGAAGGACAAAATGAACTTAAAAGAAACCAATTGCGTGAACTGGCTGCATTGAATGGTACACTACGTGATGACGAGAATCAAACTTGTTTGAATTGCGGTGCTTCAGGACATCGTAGATTTGAGTGTCCTGAAAGACAAAATATTACATCTATATTAAATTGTCACATTTGTGGTGGTATGGGACATATTGCTCGTGATTGTACTCAACGAAATAATCCTGAGTTGGTAAATCAAGCTCGTGAACGTGATTCACAATTAGATAGTGAGTATATGAATTTGATGGCAGAGTTAGGTGAAACGGTGCCTAGTAGTGATAAACCAGGACAAACTACTGCACCATGGCAACAAGGACGACCTGCTGGAACAGCACCACCATGGCAACAAATGAAAACAGGAGCCACTAGTACTGCACCACCTCCCTGGGCTAATAGTTATGGTCCACCACCAGCTAGTAATAACGCACCTTGGCAAGCAAGTGGATATTCAAATTATTATAATCCTTATGGAAGTTATAATGGTTATTATGATCAGACTCAGCCTCCAGCAGGAAATACTGCTGCTGCTGCTGCTGCTGCTGCTACTACTACTGCTGCTCCTTGGCAACAACAACAACAGCAACCAGATCAAGGAACAGAACCATGGGTAAAGTATTAACATCATTTTGTAAACAATCTTTTTTTTTTCTAATCATTTTATTATTGTTATTTAGGGCGCAACTCTTCCACCGCCACCACCACCACCACCACCACCATCTTCTGATGCAAACTATCCTCCACCTCCACCTCCACCTTCAGATTCATCTCTTCCCCCACCTCCTCCCTCAAATTCTGCTTAATTATATGTATATACATGCAAATGTATAAATATATAAAGAAAACCAAAAACAAATTAATAAATCCAAATATATTTGTATTAAAATTATTAAAATGACTGCAAGAAAAAAAAAAGATATGCAACTAAAATTACCAGAAGATATGTTTTATAAGCATATAATAACAGAATTTAGTGATTTTAACTTTACTCTTCTTGTTTTCTCTAAAATAAATAAAAGAATATGAAGCTTTTAACAACTGTATAGCTACTTTGTTATTCTAGTAAACACGTACAAATATATGCACGTGTTTATAATAATAATAGACATAAATAGATTTACATAATAATACAGCAGCATTCAACATTTGTTTTAGACTTTATCTTCATCATAGGACTTGTCTTGTCTAATAAGCTCTAGATATATATCATCTACTATTGATCTCAAAGTAAGGTGATTATAGATAGTTACTTTGTACACTACATGAAACCCTTGTGGCTTGTGGTGATATAACACTATAGAAATCATAAGATAAAAGTAGCCTTGTAACCAGTAAATCTTTAAATCTACAGAGAAATAATACACAAAATGAATAGAAATAGTCTTCCTTACCAGTTATCTCATCATAACTTTTGATGTCAATGTTTTATGAATAAAATCATCTTTATGATATCTAATGTATTATTATTATCTAAAATACAGGATTTGAATTCTTTTTTTCTTAAAAAAAAAAAGGAAAAAAAAAAAGAAGAATACAGGACTCTAAAAGCTATGATTTACAGTAGATGAAATTAAATCCAACGATGTTAAGAGAATCATTATAATACTATAAACACACCCACCACAGTAAATAATTAATAGTTCAGAACTAAAGGATGAAAATAAATAAAAAGATACATACTCCTCAAGCAATGGTATTTATTTAAAGTCAAATAGGGTGATCACATTATGTATATTTGTTGTCAATATTATCCCTTCTTCTAAATCTACTACATGTCAAAAAAAAAAGTATTGCTTGAATAAGCCAATCAAATTTTATCTTTAAAAATCTTTGAAAAAAAAAAAGGTAATTTGATCTTTTTTTACTTAAAATTTTTTTTTTCCTCATACCTTTTTTTTTCTTTTTCTATTAAACATGGAGGAATTAGTTCCCCTTTTTGTTAAAATCGGTCTTTCCGAGCAAAAGGCAAAAGATACTGCCAAAAATAAGAAATTAGCACCTACTCTTGAGTCAGTCATTAATGAAGCAGGTGTTCGTGAATCAGGTTGTGAAAAGGAAAAGGGTATTTTGTTGTATAGTTTAGCTACAACTGTCACCAAGAATGCTCTCGAACATGTTTCTTTTATTACCAAGAAAATTATGAACGGCGATTTGAAGACAACAGATCAAGTTTCTGGTAATATAATATAAATTAGTCATCAAATGACATTTACTGATTTAATAATAAAATTTACCATTTTTAGCTGCCATCAAGTTTTGCGAAGTAGATTTCAAGGAAGAAGGATTTGATGCTGCCTGTGGTGTTGGTATGTTTTGATTAATTCCATAGTATATAGATAGATTTTTATTTTTATTTTTATTTTTATTTTTATTTTTATTTTTATTTTTATTTTTATTTTTATTTATTTATTTATTTATTTTTTTTATTTTTTGCGACTTATAGGTATTGTCATTACTTCTGAACAAATTAGTCAAGCAGTAGCTGAATATATTGAAGCCAACAAAGAAAATATTGTTGCCAATCGTTACAAGACATTAGGTCCTACACTTTCCAATATGAGAAAAGTGGAGGCTCTTCGTTGGGCTGATGGTGGTAAAGTAAAGAATGAAGTTGAAGCTCAATATCTTGCTCTTTTGGGACCTAAAGATGAACGTGATGCTCCTCAAAAGAAAAAGAAGGAAGCCAAGAAGGTGACTCCTGAAGCCACCAAGAAAGCCGCCGCACCTGAGAAGAAGGCTGATCTCTCCAAGGTCTTCTTTGAAGGTGAACTTGGTAAATTACATAAGCCCGGTGAAAATCCACAAATTCATCCTGATTTGATGAAGGAGCACCTCAAGGCAACAGGTAGTAAGGTCATCACACGTTTCCCACCTGAACCTAATGGTTATCTTCATATTGGTCATGCAAAGGCTATTAACGTTAATTTTGGTTACGCAAAGGCTCATAACGGTATTACTTATCTTCGTTATGATGATACTAATCCCGAAGCTGAAGAAGAGAAATACTTTACATCCATTCTTGAGACTGTTAGATGGCTTGGATTTGAACCTTTTAAGATTACTTACTCTAGTGACTATTTCCAAGAGTTATTTGATTTAGCTGTCAAGTTGATTAAAAAGGGTTTAGCTTATACTTGTCAATGTACACCTGAAGAAATTAATGCTAATAGAGGTGGTAAAGATCATGGTGAGCGTAAGGCTTGTGCTCATCGTGAAAGACCGGTTGAGGAAACATTGGATCAATTTATGAAGATGAAAGAAGGCCGTTATAAAGAAGGAGAGATTACACTTCGTATGAAGATGGATTTGACAAATGGTAATCCTCAATTTTGGGATTTAATTGCTTATCGTGTGATGTATACACCTCATTTTAGAACACATGATCAATGGTGTATTTATCCTACTTATGACTTCACTCACTGCTTGGTTGACTCCTTTGAGAACATTACTCATTCACTCTGTACCACTGAATTTAGACAATCGCGAGAAAGTTATTATTGGTTGTGTGATGCTGTTGAAGTCTATAAGCCTGTCCAATGGGAATATGGTCGTTTGAATGTTACAGGTACTATCATGTCTAAGCGTAAGATTCTTAAGATGGTTAATAATAATTACGTGAGTGACTGGGATGATCCAAGACTCTATACACTTGTGGGTATTCGTAGACGTGGTGTCCCCCCTGAAGCTATTAATAGCTTTGTACTTGAACTTGGTGTAACTACAAGTCAAACAACGATTGAAGTCTCACGCTTTGATAATAAGACTCGTGAATATCTTGATAAGACAGCACCTCGTTTAATGACCATTTTAGATCCTGTTCGTGTAGTTTTGACAAATGTTCCTGATGATTATGTTGAAGAAGTAATTGTACCTAATAAACCTAGAGATCCATCTATGGGAGAACATAAGGTACCATTTACTAAAGTATTTTATATTGATCGATCTGATTTCCGTGAAGAAGATGCGAAGGGATACTATCGTCTTGCACCTGGTAAATCAGTGGGTCTTTTGTATGCTAAACATCCTGTTCATTGTACAAGCTATAAGAAGGATGCGGATGGTAAAGTAATTGAAATTGAATGTATTTATGAAAATGAAGGTGAATTTAAGAAGCCCAAGACCTATATTCATTGGGTAGCTGAATCAGCCAAGCATAACTCACCTGTCAAGTTGGATGAAGTTCGTATCTATGAACGACTCTTTAAACATGATAATCCTGAAACAGTTGAAGGAGGATATTTGAATGATCTTAACCCACTCTCTTTGGAAATTGTCAAGGGTGCAATTGCCGAAGTGGGTATGTATGACCATATCGCGGATTGGGTGAAGAAGACAGATGGAAAAAACAAAGAAAGTATGCGTTGGCAATTTACTCGTACAGGTTATTTCTGTTTAGATAAAGATACAGATTTAGATGCAGAATTAATCAAGTCAGGCAAAGTTAAAGAAGGATTGAAACATATTGTTATTAATCGTACTGTTTCTCTAAAAGAAGATTCAGAAAAAGATTAAATAAAGTTACTACTACTTTTTATTGACCCCATGAGTATTTTTTTTTTTTTTTTTTTTTTGCCAGCATGCGGTGATAGTGTACATCTTGGATAGCAAAAGTATGACTTAGAATGAGTATGTATTTGACCTCTTACAAAGCCATATGTGTGAAAGAGATAGAGTCTATACATGCTAATCTCGTTGTATCTATTTTTTTTCTTGTGACAGACTATACAAGCTCAACTTGCAAAATTTTGATGCATTGATGTATACGAGCTATACATCTTTGAGCTAGTCGGATAATTTGTAATAGTTTATGTTGAAATACCATGTCTATGAACAAAACATTGTTTAAATCCATGTGCTCCTAATCAGGACAATGACACCACGCATCTACCTCGTTAATAGATAGTTCCATTGATCCTTAGACTACTTGTATCATTGAACTAATCCGCTTGTTCTGTTTCATTTATTCAGTAAAAATCTCGTATTTTTGAAGTACATTCAGTTCAAATAACGGGCAAAACACTCAACAGTACTAAACAAATAAGTACCCTGACGCTTGTCACCTCAAATAAAGATAACTTTAATTTCACTACTCAGTATTACTGATTACTTTCATGTCTTTTTTCTATTGCCCACTACTCTTTCTCTCCATTTATCGTACAAGATATTATTTGTCGCGTATTACATTCTTTTCTTATGAAGTCTTAAAAAAACCCCCCCCCGCTTAAATAATAGGTCATTCTCAACAGTACAATTTGATGACATAACAATACTGGATTCGATAAGCTACTTGAGAAAGAGAAGAACGTACCTGAATAAACATCTAATCGCTGTTGCAGCAATTACAACAGTTGCCATATCTTTTAACTATCTTTTTATTATGGGTATTAGAACAGTTTTATAAGTTTAGGCGTTTTAATACCCTAGAAGGGACACACCTAAAAACTGTTTGACATATAACTTCAAGTGTTATGATGTGTTTTTTTTAAAGAATTAACAATAAGGTTCAGAGTAGCCGATTGGGCAAAATATAGTAAATTTTCCATCTTTGATGAGCAACTTCTAAGGGAATTGGTTGACCATGTGGCAAGGTAGCAAGAATGAGCCCATAGGACAGACGTTAGTTTCTTTTAAGTGTACAAAAGCGCTTTTTTTTTTTCCCAGAGGCTACATGAAATTTCTGATTATCTAAACCTTCTTTTTATTTTATTTAGGAAAAAAAGAGTTTGAAGTATCTCTTGTAATATTTGCTTCCAAGACAGTAAATCATTGCTTCGATTGATGACAGAAAGTTACTGAGGTGCGTGCAAGTGTAGTAACATCTTCTACTGCTTTATAAGCATTATTAATTATAATAGGATGTAGGTCGAAATGAGGAGTAGAAGATCTCCAAGTAAGAGGGAGGGGGGTCATAGTAATGAAAAAAGAATTCTGAGACAACATCGTCCATAGAACAAATTCCTCATATTATGCTTGGATATTGCCAAAGTAACAAGAAAGTCGTCTCTTTTTAAACCGCCCTTTCTTTCTCTAGAGAAGCGTAGGCTCATACTTACTCCTGTCTATGTTTGCAAGTAATTCACTAACAGACTCATGATGAATAGGCATTATATTAATTGTGCTCACCATTCTTTACATGATAGGTGAATTATCCATAATCATATAGGAACTTTCTTTACACTAAGGATACTTGTCCATATCACTCATCGTTTTCTCAACGAAACTGGTATAATGGTTAGTGTTAGTTTCGTCCGAAATTTTTGCTTTCACCATGGTCACTTTTCTCTTCCAAGCCCATACGACATTCACTTTTTTTGGTTACGAGAGGAACAAAAAATTTCCGTGTTAACCACTTCAAGCATACAGGCTTTACTGAGAATTGTATGATTGGTTGTTCGTGTTAAAGGTGCAGTATTTTATAACAGGAGTGTCTTGATTTGATCTTGCTGTTGATATCGAATGCGCTCTCATTAATAAAAACCCCATTTTTTTTTTTTTTTTTTTTTTGGTATTGTCCATATCGGTTTTGAGCCAAGTTTCAACCCATTCACATCTCGTTTTAATCTTGTCAGGGTGGTTTCTTGCAACAGAATGGCGAGTCGCTTTTTTTTTTTTTTTTTGATACATACAATAGAGATAAAATCAGGAACTGCTGAAAACAAAAACTCTATTGTAATAGACTATGCCTGATAAAATCTTATATCGGTAAAATAATAGTAAAAAAAAAAAAAAGTGTACCTTCCAAGAAAACTTCGACGGTCCTGTTTTTACATTGGTTGTCCCATTTTCAATATCGCTGTCCCAAATTTTATTTTGATTGGCCCAAATTTTTTTTTTTTTCTGCTGTATGAATTCTAAATTAAAAAAAGCGTGCAACCTTTTTTTTTTTTAGAATGAACCAATGTTTTTTATTTATCAGATCATTATATAGAATGGCATTTATATTTTTTATTTTTTTTTTATTTCTTTATGTATATTAAACTATATGATTATATACAGTTTTAATTAATAATCTAAAAAGTCTATAATAATTAAAAGAAGGAAGAAGATAATATGCAATGATGATATGTATACGAATTAATATTAATAGTAGTAGTAGTAGTAGTAATAGTAGTAGATAAGGAGAAAGCAAGAAAAAGCGGAGAAGAGATTTTCAGGGAGATACAAAAAAAGTGTTTTGGTATATGTATAATTTCCTCTTAAAATAATAGTGGTCAATTTTAAGGAGACGCTCCCGAAGAAGAAGAAGGAGTAGAAGCTTCACCAAAGAAAAAGTCTTCTGCAGAATGTTCGGATAAATAACGATGTAACTCAGCTGACTCTCTTCCATCATACGGTAACATTTGGTTTTTCCATCTACATTGTGAGCATTCATACCGCACAGTTGAATTATCTGTGATGCGTTTATTTAAGACTATCAATGACTTCTCTGAACGTGTTAATTGTACTGAAGTTGGATTTTTACATCTTGGACAAGGATGTGAGGCATGTTCTAAAGAAATCTTCTTTCCAGAATTAGATATTATAATAAATCCAGTCATTAAAGTAAAAAATATAAATGTGTGTGTTCTTTTGGGAAGATAAATAAAAAAAAGAGAGTAAGAAATAAAGAGGGAAAAATAAAAACAATCAAAATCATTTCTTTTTATATTATTTAACATTGGAAGGCAGCGGAGAATTAAAAAAAAACAAAAAAAGGGGAGGTGGTTGGAGGAAGAGAAATTGTATGAAGGGAAAATGTGGAAAAATTTTTTTTTTTTTTTAATGGAGGCAAAGTTTTAAAATAATAATAACCAGAAGATGTTTTTAGCCACGTTTTGATTTAATTGAAATTGTACAACACAGCTATCGTCATAGCCAATTAAAATACTGCTATTGTCGTCATACCAACGTATGTAAAGTTAACCATGGAAACCTTTTTTTATAGTTTTTTTTTTCTGTTACTATGATACAGGGCAACAATAAAAGATAGGACACATTTTTTTATTTACTACCAACAGTAAGATATGGATATATTTATTAATAGAATAAAAATACAATTACATCATTTGGTTTTTCTCTTTTTACAATGAATATCTCAAATGGGATACTAAATTAAGCATGTATCACCATTTAATTCTCCACTTCAAAAAATATTATCATTATACCTTCTTGTTGTTAAAATACATTTTAATTAACAAAAAAAGGTATATTATTAAGAAAAGAAATTTCTTCCATTCCGACCCAACGAATTTTTATATCATCATTCTATCCTCCTTTAAGCAATAAAAAAAAACTAGAAGGAGTAACATTTTCTCCGAATAGTAATAACCCCAGACCTGGGAGAAGGATGCATAGCTTCATTTTATTTTAATATGTACATAAACTCTTATCTCCTCTAATGCATTTCTTTATTATAGACTATTTTAAATGATAAGAATAAAAAAAATAACATCGAACAAGTTATACATTTATGTACACACACACACACATAAATATTAATACGTATATGTATATGTATATATATAATCTATAACATATTTATTATTATTATTATTATTATTCGAACTAATAAATGTTTCACTTCAGATAAACCTATAAGAAGAATGTGTTTTCTGAATAGAAAAGAATAATTGTGGGGGGAGGAGATTCTGGTCTAAAATTCGTTGTTTTCATTTAAGAAAAATATTATCAAAAGTATTTGTTAAAATAGTATGTGTTCTAGACATAATAAAAAAAAAGTAGACAATATATTTAGAAACCCAACAAAAGTTAGTTGTTAAAGTTTACCCTTAAGTCCCTTTTTTTTTGACGTACTTGGTGGCTAATAAAATAGAAATGCTGATCAAAACGATGATATGTATTTTAAGATTTGAGACAAAGTTTCATTTTTTTTTTCTTCCCCGCGTCATCAACAGAATGGACAGAGAATTGAATTTTATACTCCCACATTTTAGGTTTTATTAAACCATTCATAAAATAAATATCTCAAATAAACAGAAATTATCTTTACAATTTAGCTATTATCTAGATATATGATAATCTATAAATGAAGATAAACTTTATTAAAGTAAAGTAAAGTAAAGTAAAAGAAAAAAAAATCTATTATGAACAGATTCATAGAAAAAAAATTTTTTTTTTCATTTTTTTTGGACTTTACTAATAGGACAAAGATGACGTTATTATAGTATTACATTTTTTTTTCTCTTTTCCTCTTCCTCTTCCTTTTTTTCTTTTCCATTATATTATGATACTATTTGAAAAGTTGATTGTAGAAGAGGCTTCTTTACTGAAAACATGTATTGACTTTTTTGCAAGAAATAAATTCTTTAGTACAACTGCATTTATTTTATCCATTATATATGTTATAAATGAGCGTATTTTAAAACCTCCAAAAAGGCTTAGGCACATTCCTTATCAGGGATATTTTGAATTATTCAAATCTATCAAAAATAAAGAGTCTTATTGGGATCGATCATATAGGCTAACTCTTCCTTATATCAATTCCCCGAAAAATAACAATGTTTACTTGGTATGCATGTTGTTTCTCCCTTTCCTCCCCCCCATTATAAGATTTAAATTAAACTTGCATTTTTTTTTATATAGAGACCAGGAAGAACAGGATGGGAAGTTCACATAGCAAATCCAGCTGATGCTAAATTCATACTTTTGAAACATGGTATGATATCTCTATTATTTTATTTTATTTTTTTACGTACATACACGCAGTTTTATTTAATCATTTAAATGTAGACCTATTTCCAAAGGCAAATATGATGGCTGGAGCTGGGAAAAGAACATTAACAGGAAAATTTATGGATAGTGCTAATATCTTGTTTTCAAATGGACATATTTGGAAATCACAAAGAATGATAGCTAACCCAGCTTTTCGGCGTTCAATGCCTGTAAAATTATTTGGTAAATTAACTGTCGACTTGTTTAAAGTAGTAGATGACATGCCAGAAACTGTGGAAGTCACTGATTTGATGGAGAGATGGACCTTGGATGCTATTGGAAAAGCAGGTTTTGGTAAGAAGAATAGATGTGTGAACTTTATAGAATATGCACAGACTGATAACATTATAAATATATATATAAAGGATTTGACTTTAACGCTATCCGGGAAAAAGACAACCCATGGGTCAATAGTTATAATATGATTAATAAAGGAATTCAGGATCCTCTTTACCTTTTATTTCCTTTATTAGATTCAACCTTATTAGGTCTCTTTCCAAAACGAAAACGAATTCATCTTGAAATGGATAAATTCTTAAAAATGATTGATCATGTGATTCTAAATAAAAGAGAGGATATGAAAAATAATCAGCCCAATGAAGACCTTGAGGAAAATGAACGTGATCTTTTAAGTTTGATGATAGAAGGTGAAAATAGAGGTGAAGGCATTCTTACAAATGGTGAATTAAAGGTATATTTTCTAATATGAATCATATTGTTATTACTGTTTACTTGTTATGCTAAGAGGGCTTGTATTATATTATATATAGAGTAATCTATGCCTATTCTTTTTAGCCGGACATGAGACAACTACGAATGCTCTTTCCTTTATTATTTATTATTTAGCAAAATACCCTGTAAGTAAGACTATTTAAAAAGTAGAAAGCTGTTTCATTTATTTATTTCAATATGTATAAGCATATTCAACAAAAAGCAAGAGATGAAGCAATTCGAATCCTTGGAGATGAACCGTTTGATATTTTACCTACTGCTGATCAGCTCAAACAAATTGTCTATATTAATCAAGTTATAAAAGAGGTACCTAAGGAATAATATATACATATAAAGTAGAAATCATCTTTTGTTAATATGATGTATAGACTTTGCGATTAAATGGACCCACTATCGGTGTGCTTCCTCGTATTGTTTCAGAAGATATAGTTTTACCATCAGGTGTACCTGTTCCAAAGGGTGTAGGCATTACTGTCGATATATTTAATATTCATCACTGCGAAAAATACTGGACCAATCCAGATCAATTTGATCCCGAAAGATTTAATGAAAATTATGGAAAAGATGTGCGTAAATCAGGCGAAGGCTTGACTTATTTACCCTTTGGAAACGGGGCAAGACAATGTCTTGGTATGAACTTTAGTTTAGTTGAGCAACGAGTTATGCTATTAATGTTATGTAAGTAATGATAATCAAAAAAAAAAAAAAAAAAAGTATTTATAACAAGTTATAACTATTCAATATGAATTATTTTATCCTATCATAGTGCGGAAATATGTCTGGAACTTGCCTGATGACTCTATCCATAAAGATAAAATTATTACTGCAGGCATGTTTATCATTGCTCCACAAAATTTAAAAATTACTTTTCAAAGACGTTATTAACTTTATAGTATATTATTCCATTGACGTATAACTATTCATCACTATATAAATACATATACAAAAAAAAAATATAATTTATTTTCAAGGTCAATACTTGAGAAGCATCTTTCAATGTATTTTATGAAAGAGCATTTACAAAATTGTATTGCAAAGAAAAATACATTAACTATAAAATTGACTGGATTAGTAGAATAAAAGTCATTCTTTTTATATAAAATTTTTTCTTTCATCATTCTCCCATCTTGACAAATGGAATCTTTGTTAAAATGTCTAAAAGATAAATCATTAATTTGCTAACTTTATTCCTAGTAAGAAAATGTTTATAATCATAATTCTAGTTGAAATGCATCTTGAACTCAGCTCCACCAGGGAAATTACTTCCACCACCAAATGGGAAACCATTTTGGAAGCTAAATCCTCCTTGAGTAAATTGGAATGGGAAACCTCCCATAGGTCCATGACCTCCACTTCCGCCACCTGCACTTCCTTGTTCAGGATCATAAGGATCAAATCCATTATCATATTGTTGCCTCATATCTAAAATAAATATCCATATCATTCAGTATGATATATATGTATACATTTATACAAATTCATTATTTTACCAGCATCACTTAAAACTTCATAAGCTTGGTTAATCTCTGCCATCTTTCTTTCAACTTCTTCTTTTCCAAGATCACCGCTATATTTATCAGGATGCCACTCATGTGCCTTTTTACGATATGCCTTTTTGATCTCTCGAGTATCTGCATCAGGTGAAACATCCAAGATTTTATAATAGTCTCTCTTCTTTGACATCTTTAATCTCTGATGAGCTTGTTGTAATAATTGTCGAATACGATGATCACGACCACCTGAAATCTCATTTGCCTTTTCCAAGTCACGAACAGCAGCTTCAAATTCTTTTCGTTTCAAAAGAACTTCTCCACGATATGATAAAGCATCCACATCATCATCTTGAATCTCTAATGTCTTTGAACACCATAAATGGATCTTTTCATCGTCCTTTTGTTGACCATATAATTTACAAGCCATCTGATAACATTTGAAATGTAATCTTTTTGGTAAGCTATTTGTCTTTAATTCCTTTACAAGTTCGTCATAGTCTGAATCTACTTCCTTTAAAATACCTTCACGATTCATAGTACCGATAAGACGATTAGCTGCTGTTGCATATTTCTTTAACTCAATGTCCTTTTCAACTGACTGTATTGTCTTTTCCAATTTTTTCATTTTTTTAAATAGTTTTTTACATTGCTTTTGTTCTGGGTCATAATGTAAACATTGTTTAATGTGTGTCAAAGCGCCTTGCATTTCTGACAGAGAATAAAAATTGATTTTAGATAATAAAATTAAAATAGTTGGATCAGATGGATTCAATTGTGCCGCTCGTCTATTGATAAAATAAGATAATTGAATAAGATGAAAGGAAAATAATTCTATATATATTATGTATACTTTACGCAAAATCACCTGCAGCTTCTTCAATTTCTCCTCGGGCAATATGACATTGAGCTCTTAATAAACGAGCATAAGTATAAGAAGGTGAAATACGAGATGCAGTGCTTGCTAAAGTAATACATGTTTCGAACTTTCCATTCTCTTTTTCAATTTCAGCTTGTTTTATTGAACTTTGAGCTTCTTTAACTGATTGAAGCTAATCCATTTATAAGTCATTATATACATGTATATATACATATTTTTTTAAGAAAAAAAAATGTATACTGAATATTCAAACTTACCAATTGTTCAGTGTCTGTATGAGTTGGATAAGTAGATAAATATTTTTCCAAATCCTGAATGGCCAAATCAAAACTTCCTTCTTTGGCATATATACGAGCTCTTTCTAATAAAGCTTTATGGAAATCAGGTTTAAGGTCCAAGATTTTTGTAAAGTCATCCACCGCAGCATTGTAACGTCCCAAAGAAAGATAGGCAGTAGCTCTCTTGAAATAAGTTAAATAATTATCAGGTTCTTTGTCTATTAGAATTTAAAATTAAATAAATAAGCAAGATGAGGTAGATGATGACCGACTTACGAATGGCTGCATCAAAGCTTAGTAAGGCATTATTGAATTGTCTACTTATTAGATAACTGTTGCCTTCAGCTAAATGTTGTTGAACACTTTTACTATCCGCAAATACAGAATAAGGTAATAAAAATGGAAGGATACAAGCAATAAGGTAACGATGATGTTTTAATTTCATAGTTGCAAGTCAAAAAAAAAAAATAAATAAATAGAGTAAAATAAAATATTCATGTGGATTATCAAGAATTTCTTTATTTTATTTTATTTTTTTATTTTATGTGGATTTTTTTGATTGGCTTTCAAGAAACGAGATCACGCACGTGACCATTTTTTAAATGTTGTTATTTTCTGTGGTTGTCCTTTTATCTTTCCTTCCTCCCCCTCTTTTTTTTTTTTTTTTTTTTTTTTTTTTTTTTTTCGTTTTTGTTTTCAAACACAAACAACATGTCAAATAATGAAGATTACCTAAGTAATCTCTTACTGGCTATTCAATCTGAATTGCGTAACAAAAACTTATTAGGATCTGATTTAGAACAAACATTTGCATTTGTTAAAGCAGTAAAATTAGATTATACTTTCTAATATTACTTTCATATTGATTTTATACTTAAAAAGGTGGACTGGACTCAGCCTTGGATACTAAGCTTAATAGGCTTTCATATCCTTTGCTTTATTATACTTATCGTTTTAAGAAATAATCATAACTTTCTATCTATCTACTTTTTTATTTTATGCAAGTATCTCACTTCTTATATGTTTCAATTTTATATTAACATAATAATAAATCATTGTAGTGGGATTAGCAACATTAACAAAGCCTTTAAATGATTTTGGAATAAAACACTGGCAATCGTTTTCAAAGGACCCTTATTTCAATACTTCTGGATTATTTATTGTTTCAGTTTATTCGTTTCCTATAATCCTTAATAGCTTAATTACGCTGGTAAATTAATACAAAACATATATTTTGTAAAATATTAAAAATTCTATTATCACTTAGATGTGGATATTGAAAGCAATTGTTTCTCTATTCGTACAAACAAAAAAACTGCAATTAAAGCAAAAAATTGACAGACAACGTCAAAAGAAGAAGAAATAAGCATCCTAAATTACCTTATTTGGCATGTCTTTAAATTCTTTCCCCTTTCCCCCCAAAAAAAAAATTGCCAAAAATATATATTCATATTCAGATAGTTTGATCTGTCGAATATATAAATAACGTGCATTATATAACTGCTTGTTCGATATATATATATATATATATTTTACGTGTAATAAAAATGCTAGAGAAACTCTTAATTCTATCAGTCCAGTTCTTTTATTGGGTTGCATTTTTGCAACAAACTATGGCTCTTTCTTCAAAAAGCATCATTTGAATTATTTTTAGAGAGGATCCAATAAACCTTATACTACGATCCCCCACCATGACAATGGAGTCTCAAGCTAGCTTTTTACGTTCAAAAATAAAAAGTAATAAATTCAAATTCAAATCTAGCTAGGACCCTTATGATCGTTAGTTATCTAGTATGCATGGAAGCAAACTGTATTATAAAGTAAACGACTACTTCTACAACTTTTGAACATCCAGGCATTTCATAAAATACTGTGTTGTTGTTTGGAAATCAACTATTCATGTAGGATGTGGTGGTGTAAAGACTAGTAAAAATTTTTGGGTAAAGGTGTTAAATTATTAACCTGCTCTTATTCTCCTCTTGGTAATGTAGTAGTAGATGATAATGTTTTCGTGGATGAAAGTAGATTCAAAAATAAAAGAAAAAAAAACTAGCTACTGATAATATATGTAAGCATTTATTTAAGCAATGGTAATAGACATAAAAATAAAAAATAGAACAATTATACAGAAGTATTATTATCCTGAAGATAGACAATATCTTCCCAGGAATAAGTCAAATATTCATTGTTTTCATTAAAATCAGTAATGGCAGCATCAATTTTTTGCATTATTCGGATTTTCCTCTCCCCGGTCTCCCAATCTTGAGATAATAAGCTTGAGCTTGAGCTTGAGCTTTGTGAGCTTTGTGAGTATGGCGAATCTTCTCGATAACATGTATCAGGAGTCAGGGTAGAAGAAAGGAAGACTAAATCGTCTTCTTTAGCTATGTCAGTAATTAGCCTAATTATTTCAAAGTTTTGAATTACTATTCTCTATAATTAAAATACAAATAATACATGAGAAATTATATTCAAGAAATAGATTCAGTATAAAAGTTCATACCACTAATGATATAACGGCAGCTAAATATTCAGCAACTGAAGTTCCTTCTTGATCAGTATTTGGAATTCTGACTACTTTCAAGACTGAGTGAAGTATTACACCTGCAATAAGCTTTGTACCGATAATTTGCAGTTTGAGCTTATTAAATTGGCAGGTTACGGCTGTGATATATTTAATGCATTCTTCGTAAGGTAAGAGAGACATCCAAAAAGTCAATGCTTGTTCTCTTAAGTTCTTGGTCTTTTCTCTATCTTGAGAAGTGTTTGAGTTTGGTTTATCCTCACAGTAAAATGCATCGTTCAAGCCACCGTTATGCGAAAATATAAAATCTAGTCTGACATTCTTTGTGTCCGAATCTAGCAAGCCCATTTGTGATGGAAGGTAAATAAAAGATAAAAGACAAAATAAAAAGAGAGAAAGGGAACAAAAGGAAGTATAGTTTGAGACTGTTTTTTATTCAATAAATAAAGTTAAAAGAAAAGCTAAAGAAAGAAGTTCAAGATTATTTTGTGTCTAAACAACTGCTTGTATTTATATTAATGAATCCTGAATCAAAGAAATAAAAATAACCGCCAAAGAACATGAGTCATGAAACAGTATTAGTATTCGGATATACGTCTTGTTGATTCAAGAGACTGATCTATGGATTATCTATTGGGTGTTATAATGATCTGATCAAGTTTTAAATAAAAAATTTATTGTTTAATCTGAGTATATGTTCCTGATATCTTTTATGTTTTATTTTATTGGATCAAAGACGACCTGAATCCTTTATCAAGGTTATAAAAATAAATATTTAGAAATGATACGATGTCTTATAATTGATACATCTAGACAATTGGATGTCAATAAGTTTTATATTATTTACAAGATGTTATATACAGAGTTTTATTTCATATTCAGGCTTATATTTTATCCTGTATTATGTAATTCATCTATTATAATATTACTCATGATTATATCCAGAGCTTGTTCTATAACACCATTGCCCTTAGTGATTTTACGATATGAGAATGACACTCCGCCCTAATAAAAATAATGATAAGTATTTGCTTATTCTTTATTTAATGTTATTACTTTATACCTTTTAGTTTCATAGCCTGTTTGTCCACAGAAAATAAGATCAAACAGGTCACCGTAAACATTTACTCGGTACCAATCTTCGTTATGGTCACCTTTTAATATATTATGGTGCCATAGGTAGCATCTGATATCCAAAAAAATTAAAGCTTCATTAGTATTTTTAAACCTTTACTAATACATTCGTAATACCTACAGCTTTTGTATAGCTAATTTTATGAAGGGAAGTTCAGACTCATCACAAAAAGGATCAATTTCCTTAACAGATTGGTATAGATCTTCTTTTGTATGACATTTACTAATATATTTTAAAGCTCTATATTCTTTATTCTTCAACAGTGTGGGCAATACTAGGCGATAGTGCTTACAAATGTCATCAACCGAAGACTTCAGACGTTTGGGTATGATTGATGATTTCGTTAGATTTAAAACACTTTTCGTACCACTAGCATGATAATGATTAACATGAATATGTATTTTTTTTTTATTTGTTTATTTATTTTTTTTACTTACAAGTATTCATTTAATATCCTAACTTTGTTCTCCCAACCAGCAGCACGCAGATCTGTAGTTCTGATGCGTTTTCTTTTCTTTGATTTTGGTAATCCTGCAACATTAGAATTACTATTATTTGAATAGTTTTCATTTTTATTGATGTCATCATTTTGATTATCTTCAGGTTGGAGGAACTCTTGATACGCTATTTGCACTGGGCTCTTTTTCAGTATTTCTTTTGATTGCTACAAAAAAAAAAGAAGGATATTTTTAATATTATCGTATAAAAGTTAAACACAAATGTATCAAAAAAGTTACCTTTTTGATATTCGAATTAATATTGATAAAGCAGG